CATCTTTTATAGAAAACAGATTGGGAACTTAAACTCTCACTATTTTTAAATTTAGTGTCCATCTATTATCGAAAACAGATGACTGATTATTTTGGGAACTAAAACTTACTGCCTAACTATAATAGAAAACAAACGGTACTGAACAAAAACTCCTAATCTTTTTTAAAGTCAGAGCTCATCTATTACAGAAAACAGACGGAACTGATTATTTTGGGAACTTAAACTATTACTCTTTTAATTTCAGTGCTCATCTATTATAGAAAACAGATGGTTCTGATTATAATGGGAACTAATACTCTTACGTTTTATATTTAGAGTACCATCTATTATAGAAAAGAGACAATACTTTTTATTTCGGGAACTAAAACTCTAATTATTTTTAAATTTAGTGCCCATCTATTATAGAAAACAGATGATACTGATTATTTTGGGAACTGAAACTCCTCCTCTTTAAATTTAGAGTCAATCTATAATAAAAAACAGAAAGTACTGATTATTTTGGGAACTAAATCTTTAACTCTTTTTAAAGTCAGAGCCCATCTATTATAGACAACAGACACAACTAATTATTTTGGGAACTTAAATTCCTTATTCCCTTAATTCAGAGTACATCTATAATAGAAAACTGACAGTAGGGATTATTTTTGGGAACTAAACCTTTTACTCTTTTTAAATACAGTACCTATCTATCATAGAAAAAAGATGGTATCTATTTTTTTGGGAACTAAAACTCTCACTCTTTTAATTCAAAGCACATCTATGATAGTAAACAGACAGTACTTTTAATTTGGGAACTAAAACTCTTATTTTCTTTTTAAATCCAGTGCCCATCTATCATAGAAAACAGATGGTACTGATTATTTTGGGAACTAAAACTCTTACTCTTTATAAATTAAGAGCACATCTATGATAGAAAACAGACAGTTAGGATTATTTGGGAACTATTACTCTCTCTTTTTTAATTCAGAGCACATCATTATAGAAAACACTGATTGATTTAGATTATCAGGAGCTGTGAAGGTGAACCGGTTCTTGTACCTTTAATGTCTCTGTGGATCTTCTTCTCGGAGTGCAGGTAGTCCAGTCCCTTCAGGATCTCCTTCAACATGGTGGCGATCTGAGCTTCATCGAACGGACCCGCCCGCAGCTACACACACACACACACACACATTCATGTGTTCACAAACACACACAAACACACACAGGCACAGGGAGCGATGACACAGATATAAAACACTCAGTGACATGCCAGAGGCTGAACCTGCGGCTCGAACACACCCTGTTCAGTTTCATTCAAGACAAGACTCAACACAGAAATATTGAGCAAGTGCGTGAAGTGGAGCGGCGACAGAGTTACATAAACTGTCAGATCATTTCACTTCGATCAATAAACTCACGATCGTTGATCTCCGATAAATCTGACGACAAACACTCACCAAGTCAAGCGCTGAACCGCCGCCGAGATACTCCATGATGATCCATAATTTACTCCCCTGGAAAAAAGAGAGATCGTCTTTTCTATTTTAGCCGTTTTCATTCAGTTTGGTAACTTTTTAATCAACAGGAAGTAGCGCACACCTTTAAATTCCAAAATAAAAGCGTCTCACCTTCAGGTAGGAGCCGTAGTACTTGGTGATGTACGGACTGTCGCACTGACTCAGCACCGTGATCTCCTGCTGGATGTCCTCGATCTCGTCTTCCGCCTCCTCCAGGTCGATCGTCTTGATGGCGACGACGCTCTGTGTGCGATTATCGATGCCTTTAAACACCTGGGGGTGGTAAAACGAGAGCGCCGATGAAACAAAGAAGGACGAAAACGAAGAAGAGAGAGACGTGGATTTGGATAAAAAGTGACGCAAACCTCTCCGAAAGATCCTTTCCCGATACGATCCAACTTCGTGAACAAGTCCTCTGGATCGACCTGAGAGCTCTGAGAAAAGGGAAGGAAAGGAGACAAGGAGAGTGGACAAGGAAGCCATTTATTAAAAGTTGTATTAAAAATAATTAAAAGTCACTTTTAAAAGAGTTTAAATAAAGTTTTAAAAAGTTCTTGTTTACAGAATCACTCTGAGGCTTTTCAGCTGAGAACGTTTCCATCACATTTCCAACAGCTTCAGCTCGTATTTCCTCACACACACACACACAAACGCATGAACACACACACACAAAAACATTGCAACATGACAGCAGTGTTGTCACCACAGACGCACACGCACACACACACACACACACTCACGCACAAAAACCCATAAAAACACAGAAGGAAGCCAGCATGACAGTTTAAGATAACAGGAACTGCACACACAGCTGTTGGACTACACACACACACACACACACACACACACACACACACACACTGAATTTATCTCCGCTGACTTACATTCATTTCCTAAACCCTGTACTGTCACCGCAGCGGCTGTAAAAACCCAGAGCCGCTCAGTTTACGGGAACAGACGTCAGACGAATTCTAACTTAAACGCCGATTTTACCGTCTCCACCCCGGAGATAAAAACGCACTTTTATCGCGTTTATCGCTCCGCATGTTTGTAACTTTAAAAAGTAACGACTATTTCATTTTAAACATCATAATAACATAAAAAGTTCCTCCTCAGGTGAGCGTGAAAAGCTGCGCCATGAGTTTGAGTCTGATTGGTTAGAACTCCATAGCAACAGTCACTTAGTGTTGCCAAGGAAACGTGATATCAAACCAGTCTGCAGAAAGTCAAGATGATGATGATGATTGTGGGTCTTGGGTCAAATAAACATGTAAATAAATAGGTATATAATAATAAAAATGGCGCCTTTCTTCTGTCTGAGTTCGTATGATGTAACACTCGGCGTGTTGTTGTTGTTGTTTCTGTCGTACATGCTAATTACTTAAAGTTATAACATCGGCAGTTCCCCCGAAGGCCTTCACCGTTATGTAAGCGATCATGTAATACATGACAAACAGTTATGGAAATCAGAATCCCTGCAGGCTCAGACTCGGCTCCCACCATATTAGCGTGCTAATGGAGACTAGCGTGTTTGCCTCCGTGTCAACAAGTGTCTGATTGATTTGATACGACGTGTGTGTGTTTGTGTGTGATTTGTGTGTGTGATCTGCTGTCTCTGCCGCTGCTCATGCTCGAGTTACAAATCAATGTCAAGGGGTTTGACCAATCAGAATCAAGCAGGTGATAACCAACCCCGATCAACAGTAGAGAGTAACAGCCAAAGCTCTCGTAAAGTTTTATTTATCAGCACTTTTGTTTTGTTTTTGTGAAATTAAATAAGTGGTTTATGTTGTACAGCCCAACGTCTAACTGTGAACACGGTGCTATGATGTTGGTAAGAGTTAAATACTGTGTTCTGCATTGTTTACAACTAGTATAGCTAACAACTAACAAAAACTAACAACAGCTAGTGACAGCTAACAACAACCAATAACAGCTGACAACAGCTAACAACAGCTAACAGCAGCTAACAACAACTACCAACAGCTAACAACAGCTAACAGCAGCTGACAACGGCTAACAACAGCTAACAACAGCTGACAACAGCTAACAACAGCTAACAACAGCTAACAACAGCTAACAACAGCTGACAACGGCTAACAACAGCTAACAACGGCTAACAACAGCTAACAACAGCTGACAACAGCTAACAGCAGCTTACAACGGGTAACAACGGCTAACAACAGCTAACAATAACTAACAACAGCTAACAACAGCTAACAACAGCTAACAACAGCTTACAACGGCTAACAACAGCTAACAATAACTAACAACAGCTAACAGCAGCTGACAATGGCTAACAACAACTGACAACAGCTAACAATAACTAAGAACAGTTAACAACAACTGCAACGGCTCACAATGGCTAACAACAGCTGACAAGAGCTAACAACAACTAACAACATTTAACAACAGATTACAACTGCTAACAACAGCTGACAATTGTAAACAACAGCTAACAACGGTTAATAATAGGCGTCAATCTTAGCTTTCTGACTTGTTTACTGTTTTGTCGTCAACTCTGGTGTAATGTCATTCCCAGCTCCGACATCCGACATCCAAGGTAGCTGGGAAATCAAGGCGGGAATAAATGAGCTCATGACATGATGTGCAAAGATCGAATTTGATGATGACGGTTTCTCTGTTTAGCTCTTCTTGGATGTTCTGGTGTAGTGATTGCCCGTCATGAAAATCACGTTTTTCTTGTTTCTCACATGTTCATACGTTCATTTTTCTGATGCTACAGAACATATCTTGAGTTCAGATTCAGTGAGATTTCCTACATCACAAATCAAAGCTCCGCCCCCCAGAGCCCCGCTATGCTAGCCAGATGATCGCGGAACAAGCGTGTGCGTTAGCAGATCGCAATGCTCGCAAGACAGCTAACTGTGACGTTAGCTTTCATCAAGTCCCTAAAGATATTACAACATCACCTGCCACTTCTTCTACATCGGCAAAGTTAGGCTACATGCTAGCATGGAGACGAGTGTGCAGATCAGCGTTGTCTCCACCCACGACTCAGAGGCGAATTGCTAATGAGCTACTGTAGCTCTAACGTGATTTTGGCAAAACACTTCATAAAAACAATTTAAAGACCACTGAGAACACTTAAAATAGTAAAAATAAACAATCGGAGTTGGACTTAAAGTGCGTCTATGCCCTTTAGTTTCACGGAATTAAGTCGCTGTATTCATTTGCTGAGGTCAAGAGCGTCAGTCAGTGGTCAGGTTACGAAAGCTACTGTGTTCGACAACAAACTTTTTGAAGGTCAGATAAAAAGTGACATCCCGAGCTCGAACACTCTTGATTTTCAGGTTCAGAACCATCACTCTAGCTGGCGCAATTCTCATGTTTGCATCATCCGAGTCAGCTGTTTCAAATCTGAGCAGATGGTTGAGAAACACCGTCTTACCAGCGATCATGTTTTGGTTTCAGAGCCGGTCATACTAAACAACCAGGTAGGTATCCCACCATGAGGACTAAGACCTTTATGAGGAGTGGTGAGGGTATCTGAGGACGCTGTTACCCTTTAGCTAGAGTGTCCATATAGATAACATTAACAGATATCACATTTATCATTATTCAGTTCATGGCAGCTCCTCTATGTCGGTACGGACCGTTTCAAGTGTTGCCATCGTGGCCTCAACAAGCACTCATTATGTCAGACTCCCACACTCTGGTCTCAAACTCTACAGAATATTTAAAGGAACATTTCATTATCACACCCAGAGAAGCGCATGATTGGATGCTGCTTTAGTTTCCTCCCTGAACTAAAAAAAGAACAACACACACACACACACACACACGTACAGACACACACACACAAAGAGACACACAGCGTTGCCCACAATGTTGCCACACCCTGTCAGCAAATACAGTGGTGACTGTCTAATGATACTTTCAGGCTGGTACAGAGAGGCAGTGAAAACAGACGAGGAGATGAGAGAGTGAGGAATCCCTCAGAAACAAACAAACAAACAAACCGACTTAAGCAATATTTTAAAAAAAGTTAAGTGTGTTTATTCTCAAAGAGAGTTATCAGAAAACTGATGCCACAAATGAAAGCATTATCTCATTTCTCCCACGCCACAGTGAAGCTCCTTTCCAAACAGGAAACGCAGAGCAATCATCATGTGAGCAGTAGGTCCGCTTCCAACCCCGAACGCAGCGGCAGAAACCATTACAAAGACCTGTTTCAACAGCTATTGCGCCCGGACACCTCAGAGCGCGGGCAGGTATGTGACTTCTGGTTAAACTCTCCCTCACATTAGCTTCAGCGCTGGAGTTATTTTTAGCAGCAGCAGCAGTCAGAGAGCTGCTTCAGTCGGGACTGAAACATCTCTGAAACTCTGGTTTACGGGTTTGAGAACATCACAAAGTCAAAGTTCTTGTCTGTGAGAATTATCTCTCATTGATTGGGACCCGCCTCAGTTTCCCGGTAGCTTCTGAATGACCTCTTGACATGAAAGTGACTCATCTATAATTACCGTAAACTAAGGCGTACGATTACCAACCAATCAATCCATCTGGACCAGCCAATAAGGAAGTCTGTAAACCGGCTGTCAGGATATCAGTTATGATAATGAAGTGGTGATGTTAGCCAGTAAAAGGGGGCATCCCCGAGTCCTGGACTCTGAACTCTCTCTGGTCTCTACTTTGCCCTGATAACATACTGAATATTTTCGAGTCATCGCTTGAGCTTTGAATGTTTTAGTGGTAGGAATGCTAATAGGGACGTCACATGACCACGGCTAGGACATTCAGTTTAAAACTGTTTTTCTAAACCAGCGACATCTTAATATGACAACAAAACCAGGTAGAAAGACCAGCTGAACTGAGGACAATAACAAAGTTGAACATACATGACCACACGAGGTACAACAGGAAGTCAGGACTCCGGACACGACCAAATTAGAGAAGGTACATACATAAAGTTACTGATGCGACATTAGAATAAAAGGTCATTAACAATTGACCTTTGTTGAAGCGGAATAGCAAGCCTCATCCGTGGACGATTAGGTTTCTGATCAGGAACGCCGCTTAGCGCAAGTGGCGAGCAGATTGGAGGTCATGACTGAAAAGTTGGACGATGCAGAAAACTAGTTGTATGAGCGATTTTATCTTTGTTTTTTGGGGGGGTTTGTTTTGTTACTCTCACAATCACCACAAGGGGCACTTCAGGTGAATTAGCAGGTAAATGCTACAAAAGGGACACAGGTGAAGAAGTGGTCTGGGGGACGGGAAGAGCACACAGTTTTTACCGCTAATCTGATACCACTCTCAGTTTCATCACGAGCCACACCATCGTAGTAAGTTTGACGTATCTGTCTTTTTTTCTTTTTTCATTTAATCAATAAACAGCCAAATTATAACTCAACAACAACCTTGGGTTAGACATTGGATTGTACTCGAAGCGCGTCAAAAACACCTCACTCCCGCACCCGGACAGTGTCTAAAATTCAGGTCCGCATAGTCACTACACCAACCCTCTGATTTTCTGAATCTAAGAGCCTCAACTTGAAGGAAAGTACCAACGGCGATAATTACATTTGGTTTTTTGACTTGGCCACCAATGAAGCTAGGCCTGGTTGTCGCTAAAAGACACGTGAAGTTGAACAGGACTAACACCGCGATCATGAAGCTCCTCAAACCCCAAGACAAGCAAACCAACAACAGAGAGAAACTTGTACGATGTTGTCCTGAAACTTTGGCTCTAAAAACACACCGGTGAGCAACTTTGTTTTCAGTGTACTTCATCCTAACCAGAAGATAACTGCGGACAAATATCTCTGTTTCTGACCCTGAAACTTAAACCAGTTTATCTTTGAACACTTCGGAATGGTTGTGCCAAATTTAGAGAAATTTGGACGACGTGTTCCCGAGTTATTCACAAAAGAAAACAGACGTTTGTCAAATATCTGTGCGGGTGGACGAATTCGCTTAAATATGAAAGACGGTCAAATCAAAATTCTACATAAAGAGATAAACTATTGAAATACTTAAATGATCCGTTTGATAGTGATGGATTTATGTCACGTGCATAAGTCGTTATAAAAAGCGTGTTATGTAATCCAACAGACGGACTTGACTTATATAACAGGAACCTTTGAACACATGGAGTCATCTATCTAATCTAATAACTACTATATTTATTACACTGCTTCTCCAAAAGTCACTCCGTGTCCTCTGTTGGTTTGACCAGGAGGAACTTCTGGGTTTAGAACCACTTCAGTACAGGGATTATATAAACCTCAGAGGACACACTTCAGCCTCAAAGTCCAGCTGGGTTGAAAAAAAAACAACATTAAGGGAAGTGGAGGACGTTAAATATTCATTAGGTCGGTTTTGTTGCTGCAGCTAAATTCTGGATTTGTGGACTTAAAGGCAGAGCTGTAAAAACTAGAATCCTGTTTCCCAGTTTAAAAAACCAGTTCCAGTTAATGTTTGACTGCAGGTGGGATCAGATTCAGAGGACTGCCAGTCTGGGAATGTTAATGCTATCAGTTACAGGCGAGCAAAGGAGGGTTACCTGTAAAAGATTAAGAAAGAAGTTCATGTTTAACCAGAGCAAAAAAGAGATTATTAAACATCCAGATAAACAGGTCGAATATAAGTTAGTGTTGAGGAGGAAGAGGAGAGCTCGCTGGGAAAGCATCCGTTAACTTCGACACAGCGGTGGGACAGCTGACCGGCAGGGTCACCGAATCAGGACGTTAACCAAAACTCAAGAGCACAGAGCGAATTAAACCCTCTGTAAGGATGGGAACTGGGAACCAGATCCAGATGAGAGAACCGGTTACAGCTAGTTTGTGTCACACAAGTCAAGATGGCAAAACATCGCTTTATTAGAATCATTAATCTCATCTCCACAGACATCTGGGAAGTAAAAACGACATTTTTTTGACCTCCCAAAAGCTTTTTTTTAACTGACTATCAGCCCTAGAGAGGCCTTTTCACTGGAAATACATCTGGAATAAATGGGACCATCTGACAACGTTTTATTTGATTTAATATTGTTGTGTTTACAATATTACCTCTGAAAACTGAACAGTATGACAGGAAGATTTACAGTAAAGATCGGTAACTCTTCGGTAGAGCTGGATGATTGAGGTTTCAGTTTCAGCTAAAAATTATGGTTGCCTAAAAATAAAATAACCTTCCTTTTTTTATGAGAAATGAATTTGTAGCAACAGTAAAAAAAATTCAGACCTTCCTACAAGTAAAAGTCTGAATTTTTTACAGGAAATTAATTTGTAGTAACATAGAAAAAATTCAGAATTTCCTACAAGTAAAAGTCTGAATTTTTTACAGGAAATTAATTTGTAGCAACAGTAAAAAAAAATTACTTTCCTACAGGTAAAAGGCTTAATTTAAAAAAAAAAAATCAATTTGTAGCAACAGTAAAAAACAAAAAAAAATTCAGAATTTCCTACAAGTAAAAGTCTGAATATCTTATGAGAAATTAATTTGTAGCAACAGTAAAAAAAAATTACTTTCCTGCAAGTAAAAGTCTGATTTTTTTTAAGGGAAATTAATTTGTAGTAACATAAAAAAATTACTTTCCTACAAGTAAAAGGCTTAATTAAAAAAAAAAAACAATTTGTAGCAACAGTAAAAAAAAAAAAAAAAACACTTTCCTACAAGCTAAGGTCTGATTTTTTTTTTACAGAAAATTAATTTGCAGCAACATTAAAAAAAAAATTTAGACTTTTCTACAAGTAAAACTCTGAATTTTTTTATGAGAAATTAATTTGTAGCAACAGTAATAAAAAAATCACACTCTCCTATAAGTAAAAGTCTAAATATTTTGTGAAAAATTAATTTGTAACTACAGTAAAAAAAATTCAGACTTTCTATGTGTAAAATTCTGAATTTTTTACGAGAAATTATTTTGTAGCGACAGTAAAAAAAAATTTCAGACTCACCTACAAAAGTCTTAATATTGAACGAGAAATTATTTGTAGCAACAATAAAAAAATTTCTGACTTTTCTACAGGTAAAAGTCTGAATTTTTCACAGGAAATTAATTTGTAGTAACAGAAAAAAAAAAGTCTTTCCTACAAGCAAAAGTTTCACAATCTCACGAAAGATAAATGTGTGTAAACAGTAAAAAAATATATATAAAAATCAGACTCTCCTACAAGTAAAAGTCTGAATTTCAAAGATAATACTCACTAAACTAAAAGGCAAAGTTATGCAAAGAACCTCAGTATGAAAAATGTGTTCTTTCTTTTAGACAGACGTTTCCATCTTTGTTTTGGTCTATGAACCAATCAGAGGCTGAATCTGTGATCAGCTGACCTTGAAAAGGTCCAGTTAGAAGTGAGGGCATCCTGAGACAGAAGTCCCGGTGTCGTCGGCGTAGAAAAACTACAAACATGATTGGTCACTTTTTCAGCCTCCTGTAATATTTTCCAAAAACTCCTTTTTCCCTCTTCACGAGGTTGGTCAGTGTTTCCACTCCGTTCTTCACAGACTGCTGCTCTTTCTCCTGAGGATCAACTTTTTATTTTTAGACTTTCCTAAAATAGTCTCAGAGGTTTCCAGCGAACGTTACGACACCGTTTGTGTTTGATTAGGCTCATTTTTAAAGACTCTGATGATACAGAGGCGCCGGCGAGCGGACGAACACACCTGAGGGTTACGTGTTGGTAGGAGCAACACGGGAGATAAGCGGAGTATTCAGGTCAGAGACACGGAGAGAGAGAGAGAGGGAGGGAGAGACGAGTCTGAGAGGTCAGTGAAAAACTTGGACCAGACTTTGGAAACTGTGTGCGCGAGTGAGAAAGTGAGCGAGGCTGCGGGGGGATCCATGTTTTTACTAACAAGTGGGGTCCAAGTATCCAAACAAAAAAAAGCTCTGTCTGTGTGTGCGAGGGGTCAAAGGTCACAGCTGCGAGAGGAGGAAACACAAACACGGCGTTCTGAAAAGCGACCTTTGCAGAGCCGCATCATGTGAGAATCTCTCCACTCTCGAACGTTTCCTGTTTGGTTTAGCTCAGCTCTCTGAAACATGACGTGACGGGTCGAGTCACTCCACATGAGAAACTTTTCCACAACTTCTTCGAGTCCATGTAGACCCGAGACTCTTTAGAAAGACCGCGTACGAGTCCAGAGGGGAGGGTTTAAACTTTAAAAAACAGGAGGAGGACTGTTGTAGTTTTTGTAGCAGTGGTTAAATCAGGAGAGAAAAGACCGAACAGGCTGTCAGGACACATAAACAAACTAAAACCTCTGTATAAAGACAGTGAAAAGGGGACTCCCTCTCTGGCTGATCAGGATAAAGTTATTAGGGATTTGCACCGCATTGATTGACAGGACGGCTCAGATCCACTGGTGCTGCTTTATTGATGGAAATGAACATAAAAATAAACTTAAACCTACGACGTCTGCACCGACATTGATCAATAATCACATTTCTATTTCTCCTCTCCCAGATCTGTAAGTGTAGCAGGATGGCACTGAGGCGCTGTTTCTATGTGTATCATAAATAAAATAACTGATCAATTTTGTATTGTCGCACATTCTATGAAATCATATTATGACATCATATTATCTCATATCATACCATATATCATCTTCTCATAACGTATCTTATCATGATGGTGTTCCATCGAAGCTCATTCCATTATATTGTATCATTGTACATTGTAGCTAACTGTATCATATTGTATAGGTATGTCATCATATCATTACGTATCGTATCATAATGTATCATAATGTATCATATTGTGTCATGTCCACCTTCTCATATATCATATCTTATCATAATGGTGTTCCATTGGTGCTTATTTCATCACATTGTTGTATCACAATACATTGTTGCTAATTGTAGCGTATTGTATTGTATAGGTTTGTTATCATATCCCATTGTATCATGTCATTCCAAAGGTATCATATTGTATCATATTGTGTTGTTCCCACATTCTCATATATAGTATCTCCTCATCACGAATCATATCTTATTATACTGTATTGGTATACTATTGTATCACTTCATATCATATCATATCTTATCTCATCATATCATATAACATCATATTGCATCACGTCATGAAGGTCTCTCATTGCACCATAATGTTCCATTGTAGCTCATTTTATAACATTGTATCATTTAACATTGTAGCTTAATGTAGCATATCGTATTGTATACGCATGTCATCATATCCTGTTGTATGATGTCATTCCATATCGTAACATAATTCATCATATTGTGTCATGCCCATGTTCTCATTACATATCTTATCATAATGGTGTTCCATTGTAGCTCATTTCACTACACTGTTGTATCATATTACATTGAAGCATATTGTACTGTATAGGTATTTTATCACATCCTGTTGTATCATATCATTCCATATCATATCATGTATCGTATTGCATCATATTGTGCCACGCCCATCTCCTCATATATCATATCTTCTCATCATGTATTATATCTAATTTTATTGTTTTGGTATACTATTGTATCCCCTCGTTTCATGTCATATGTTATCCCATCATATCACATTGTTTTGCATTGCGTCATTACGGTCTCTCATCGTACCTCATCTCATTGCACCGTACTGTTCCATTGTAGCTCATTTCATTATATTGTATTATTTAACATTGTAGCTAATTGAAGCATATCGTATCGTATCGGTATATCATTCCATATCGTATCATAATGTATCATACTGTGTCATGCCCATCTTCTCATATATCATGTCTTCTCATAACATATCTTATCATAATTGGTGTTCCATTGTAGCTTATTTCATTATATTGTATTATTTAACATTGTAGCTAATTTTAGACTATTGTATAGTCATGCCATCATATCCTGTTGTATCATATCATTCCATATCATATATCATATTGTATCATATTGTATCATATTGCATCATGCCCATCTTATCATATATCATATCTTCTCATCATGTATCATATCTTACTATATTGTATTGGTATGCTACTGTATCTCCTCGTATCTTGTCATATTGTATCTCATAATACCTAATCTCATTTTTTTCATCACAATAAAAGAGGAAACTGCAGCAGACTACCCTAACATCAGGACATTCTCTAAAACATCAGAGTCCAAATCTTCAGCCAAAGTTTTCTCCTAACTTTAAAACTCTCTCAAACTTTTTAACTTTATCTGTCCACGTGTTAGACAATCATCTGTGTGCCGACAAGAACCAGGCTGTGAACAAACTTTATTAGTCCCTTTGGGGGTCGTTAGTGGACAGAAAGTTATAAATAGACAAAGAGGCGGACGAACAGCAGTGATTAAAGATGAGAGCTGAGTTTAACTCTTGGTTCAGGATAAATGTTGTTTTTTAACTTTCTGTCAAACCTCCCTCAGATATTCAGACGTTTCTGACGTCATGTTATCATGAGTCAAACTCGGGACTCTGATGCCGATCTTGAACTCTTGCTTAATCTGACTGGATACAGATCTGAAGTGTGACAAACTCTAGTTCAGGTTTACGGACAGTGTGACTCCAGACCGTGAAAAATATGAATGTAAACAAACCAGAAAAAAGGAGAAGAAGAAGAAGAAGAAGAAGAAGAGAGCGAATGACCTGCAGTGATTCAGCCTGATAACAGCCTGACTCATCCTCTCAGCTGAAGCTTCGTCGGGTTTCAGTCTGTGATTATGTTGTGACGGGAACCTTGACTGTAAGAACAGGAGCTCTGAAAAAGGTGCAGCCGCTGAAATTACAAAGAAGGAGAAGAAGAAGAGGAGGACACTCCCTGGCGTTTGATCAGGACGATCTGCGGACACGCCTTCTGAAGGCTTCCCCGCAATTTCTGCCATTTAGTCCTCGATGTACCTGCGAGTCGCACAAACACATTAACCACGGCGCGGTTTAGCGGAGGAGCGCGGGAAAGTTCAGCTGGAGCTTACAGGCTGATCCCCAGCTGGAGTTACAGTTTATCAAGTAAGCAGGAAGTCCCCTCTTCTCTTGTTTTTCTTCATCAAAAAAGGGTCAAAGGTCGGTTAGACATCAACTCTGAGGCCGCGGAGGAGGATCGAGGAGCTTCGAGTTAAAACCCTGAAACTGCTTTTTGTCATGAAGGTTTTAGATTCAAGAGCGAAAACTGACTGAATGACGACTTTTTACTTTAACTTATATCAGTTCGACGGTTATTGACCCATGAAATCTGATATTATAGTTTCCCAAAGCCTAAAGTTGAGTCTTTAATTAACTAATTTGATCAAACTTGGACAAAAATAAAAAATCAAAAAGAAGAAAAAATAGTCATCGACAAAATTATGCTTGAAAATCAGCAAAACTACAAATCCAACTGAGCTGTTGTCTTTCAACCATATGCCCCGCCCACGGGACCTTCTGATTGGCTGACTGTGTTGTCAAAAAAGTTTCAGTTTTTATAAAAAAATTTTCCACAGGTGTCAAAAAAAAGTTCACTGTTAGAGTTTAAAGGATGGGAATCACCAGTGGCCCCACGATATTTTCACGATACGATATAATTGCGATTTTTAACAATTTGCAGTACAGTGAGTATTGCGATACAGCTTTTTCAACTATTAAGCTAATTTAGCATTTGGCTTTTCTTTGTGTTTGTCTTATTTTTGCTGTATTTTATTGTCATGTAGCACATCTTGTAAACCTCACTGGACAAACAGTTGATTTTATTTTTCAATTATCATACATTTGACTTCACATTAGCAATTAATTTTAAAAATCGATACTTGGTAAATGAGGCGATACGATATATCACCAGACAAAATATTGCGATACTACGCTGTATCGATTTTTTCTCCCACCGCTATCAGAGTTTGTAATTTTGTAATTTTCAAAACTTTAAACTTTGATGAAAAGTTTTTTATTCAACTTTAAAACAAATATCAGGTCCATACATCATTAATTGGTCTCATGAATTATTAATTATAATTAATAAAAAAACAGTATAGGTCAACCCCTAATTAAAAGGCATTAAGCAAATATTGTCCAAAATTTTGTCACTTTTATAATTTTTTTACTCAATAAATGTAAAAAATATTCATCAATTTTTGCGATACAGTCACTTTATCAACTGTTACAATCATTAAAAACATTGATGGAAGTGGTTCAGATCAAATCTAATTTTTTTTTTTTTTTAATTTTTGTGTTGTGTATGTATGATTTTTTGTATCTGTCATTGTTTATCTTGTATTTCAGGTTTAACTAAAAATATAGTAAAAAATAAATAAATAAAAATAAATTAGAAAATTAAAAAATAAGTTAAAACTGTAAATAGGATAATACTAATACTACTAATAATAATAAGTTTGATAGCCAGACAAAAAGCCAAATCCTAACGAAAGTTCTTCCAATTTTCACGATAAATCAAAAGTTAAAAGTTTTTCTGTTTTGTGGTTAAAAAGTTGAAAGTCCAGAAGTGACGTCTTCCCATCTTATGAAACTAAAAACACTTAAGTATGAAACTCGTCAACTCTTCCAATTCCACCAAACTTCACGTCTTCAGGTTTCAGTATCAAAGTGACGTGGATCCAGATCATCGTTAGACCCACTGACACCCAATCCAAAACTAACAGCTGATAAGAATCAATAAAGAAAGGTTCCCGCCCCAGACCATCAAGTCCTCACTAACCGATCAAACCATAAAGACTGAATTAACGAGACTTTATCAGCTGTGAGTCATCAGACCACGCCAAACTTTCCACGAGCCGCTGATTCTCTGATCTTACAGCATCTTTAAACAAAGATCAGGTTTTTATTTCTTTAAAATGACGATAAATTATATCAAATACTTTGATTTTGCAAAATCAGAAAAGTTCTGAGAGTCTGACCCACCAGGGGAAACACTTAAGAGTAAAAATCTGAGCAAATTCAGGAAATAAGTTCAGACAAATACAGTTATTCTTGGACTCAGACTCAGTCACTCATGTACTCGGAGACTTTGACCCATCAGGAAACCTCTTTTTTTTCCGTCTCTTATCAATGAGTGTTGTGAAACTCTGACAAACAGATCGCCACGCTGTCGGTGAGTGAGCGTCTCATCATCACGCTAACGCTCTGATGAAGATTTCACATCCTCCTGAAGAGAAGAAACGTTACGTAACAGAGAGAAATCCGCTCGATGTAATCTGGAAAACCGTGTCATTATTACACAAGTTTCCTCGTCTCTCATGAAGAATATGTTTACTGTTCGAGTTTAACATTCGCTGCCTGGAGCAAACGTCTGTGTGTGAAGTCTTCTTCTCAGACTTTTCCACAGATGTTTCTTTGGATGTAAGGTCAATATTTACCTTCATTTCAGCGAAGTTTAAGTCAAAAAGAAAAATAAAGATTTGCTGTTGAAGCAGACTGTGCTCATCTACGAAAGAGGATTAGGGCCACATAAAGAGAAAAAAATAATGACAGGAAGGAGATTAAGGTCGAAATTTCGAGACTAAAGTCAAAATTTTGATAACAAAATTATGTCAACAAAGTCAAAATTTCCAGATTACAAAATATCAAAATGTTGTGAATAACGTTGAAATTTCAAGATTAAAAAAAATTAAAATTTAAAAAAAAATTTTTATAACTCAAGATTACAAAATGTTGAAATGTCATGAATGATGTCAAAATTTTGAGATTGAAAACATTAAAATTTTTAAATTAAAGTTGAAATTTCGAGATTAAAAAATTTCAACTTTTTGAGATAACAAAATGTTGAAATGTCATGAATAATGTCGAAATCTTTAAATAAAAAAAAAAAAATTAAGATTAAGGTTGAAATGTCGAGATTAAAGTCAACATGAATAAAGTCCAAATTTCAACTTTTTTAAATTTCAACTTTTATCTCGAAATTTTGACTTTAATCTCGAAAAGGAAATTAAAAAAAATCTCCCTCCTGTAATTTTTTAAACCCTTCTTATGGCCCTAATCCTCTTCTGTAGCTGTCGGACGTAGCATAAGGTCCTTTAATGACAATTAAAAAGGCTTAAAATGGACTTAAGTGGAACTAAAATCGGTAAGGTGTGCCGCCATCAAACAAAACAACGAGCTAAAAGATCTTTACAAATAATCTTTTAAAGACAAAAAATGTCAACTAAACGTCAATAAAGTTAAAAAGAAGTAACTTTTATATTCAGACCAACAAACGTTTAGAGGTGGTTTTAAGCTCCTTTGAGGAGTTCTTGGACGGTCGTGAAATTTATACAGGTGACTTTTCATGATATCCAAGAGCAACAAGACTGAATATTTTCACGTCAAAGTTTTAACCCCTAAAATCATACGAGAGGGTAGGTGTCAAAAACAGCCTCGTTTTTACGAAGTCCATGTAAACTTTACGTAAAGGTCAGCAGGTAGACGATGGGATAAACAATGACGTTTTTGTCCACAGGGGGCGCCAAAACTGACACAAACTGAAAATTCCCCACAGGAGCTTTAAGTTGTAGATGATTTTAGCCAATCGCTAAGTTAAGCAGCAAGTGAAATAATCAATAAAGACCAACTTTTGATGACGGAAATTAGATCTATTGGTCCAAAACTTCAAGATATTCGGCTTCTGGTCGCTAAACAGGATAGAAATTAAGATATTTTGACTCTGAAGGGCTGGAAATAAAAAGAAAAAGTGGTCGTTTTTTCCAGAAAGTTACTCAAAATGATCATCAGACATCGAGATATAATCTGTGGTTTTTCGATTCGTTTCTTCTCTTATCTAAGAGGCGGTATCTTTGTGGGTTTCTGACTTTTCCCGCTCAATATTTTCTACTTTTTGCTCTTTTTTGTACAAACAAACTAAACCTTTAAGAATTACTCGACAGTTTTTGTTTATTATTTAAAATGAAATCTGCAATTTCTCCTTCGTCAAATTCAAACCAGCTCCACACCACAGCAGACCTTCATCATCAATAGATCTCCTCCTCCTCCTCCTCCTCCTCAGCAGCTGCCGGCTGTCAGGTGTGTGTGTGTTTGAATGTTGATTCAAGCAGGCTGTCACGCTCCACAGCTCCGCCCACCTGAGACGCACAGATCAGGCCGAGCGAGTGAGCGAGGCTGACAGCCAGGCAGCCAGTCCCACAGGTAGACACACCTGAGAGAGCCGGCCGAGCAGGAGGCCGAGCGAGAGAGAGAGAGCCTAATAACTCGCCTTACACGCCTTTTTTTTTTCTTCTCTTTTTTGTGAGCAGCACAAACACACTCAGTCTGTTGTGTTAGCTTCAACCACCAACAAAAACACACAAATCTAATATAAGAGAACAAACATCCCAGAGTGACCCACTTAGAACGACAACAAAAACCATCAAGAGTCAAAATAGGTCACAGAAGCAGATCCACGAGGATCAGACACACCTCGGACTTGGGATCGCAGCTCAATTATGACCCTATAAAGCAGATCCTGAGCTATAAATAAGGTTCGAAAAAAGACACAGTGAGTCACTGTGGGAAGAGCACATGAATGTAAGTTATGCAACAAGGCAGAGAAGGTCTCAACAGAGATAAAACACGGACTTTAAAGCTGCTATAGGTAACTAAAGGTCAGCGTGGACGACCAGCTCTCTTTAAATCAATGTGTGATCACTCAAGACGACGACAACAACAGAGGCTAACTAATGACATTAAGTTATTGTGATTGTCTAAAACAGGACAAGTCACTATAGTAGTATAGTATGTGCAGTTAAAAGAGTTAAAAACAATACAAGAAGAGTTTAAAGATCATCTCAGTCCAGCTCTTTAAAACCATCATAAAATCACTTTCTACTCAGTGAAAAGAAGCAAATTTATGTTTAAATCCACTCTGTTTGGATTATGAGGACATCCAAATACAAATAAATGACATATTATCTAAAAAAATTCAGTTTTATGAAGTTAAATCACATTTTAAGACACCGAAACAAACATTCTAGGTGTTTAAAAGGGTTTCAGCCACTAAAATGAAAACTAAAATGACTTAAAATCTCCCTATAGATGGATTTAATGGAAGTTTTAAACAGGTATGTTTAAAATCTACAAGATTTTGGACTATAACAAAGACGACATGAATTTAATGTAGTGGTACAGTCCCATTGAATACATTTTTTCGAATATTTTAGGGGCATTTCAAGGGATAAAAACAAGATTTTGTCTTTAAAATCACATAAGTCTTCAAATACACGCTTAAGTGTAGTTTTTGGATATTTTAACACTATAGGAGCTTGAATTGCTGAGTCACTATTCGTCAACTCTTACATTCCATTGTAAAATTTTAATGACACAAGGTTTATTAAGTCTAATTTAAGACACTAAAGAAACATCATAGGTGTCTGAGAGGGTTTCAGCCACTAAAATGACTTAAAACCTCTCTATAGATGGATCTAATGGAAGTTTTAAACGTATATTTTTAAAATCTACTAGATTTTGAACTATGACAAAGACGACATGAATGTAATGTAGTGGTAAAGTCCCATTGAAAGCAACTTAATGAATATATAAGGGGAATCTTAAGGATCAAAACAAGATTTTGTCTTTAAAATCACATAAAAGTCTTTTAAGTTTAGTTTTTGTGTATTTTCACACCATAAAAGCTCAGATTGTTGGGTCACAGTTGGTCAACTCTTACATTCCACTGTAAAATTTTAATGATAGATGTTTATTAAGTCTAATTTAAGATACTGAAGAAACATCATAGGTGTTTGAGAGGGTTTCAGCCACTAAAATGACTTAAAACCTCTCTATAGATGGATTTAATGGAAGTTTTAAACGTATACAATCTAGAAGACATGACATGAACGATCCCATTAAATGCACCTTTATGAAAATATTAGGGATATATTAAGGGATAGAAACAAGATTTTGTCTTTAAAAATCACATAAAAGTCTTTAAATACACGTTTAAGTAAAGTTTTTGTGTATTTTAATACCATGGGTGTTCTAATTGCTGAGTCACAATTGGTCATCTCTTACATTTTATTGTTAAATTCAAATGATAGATGTTTATCAAGTCTAATTTAAGCCACTGAAGAAATGTCATAGATGTTTGAGAGGGTTTCAGCTACTAAAATGACTTAAAACCTCTCTGTAGATGGATTTAATGGAAGTTTTAAACGGATATGTTTAAAATCTACAAGTGTTTGGACCATAACAACATGAATGATGACATGAATAGTCCCATTGAATGCACCTTTATGAATATATTATGGTCATTTTAAGGGATAAAAACAAGATTCTGTCTTTAAAATCACATTTAAGTCTGTTTTAGGATAGTTTTTGTTGATTTTAACACATAGGAGCTTGAATTGCAGAGTCACAATTGGTCAACTCTTACATTTTATTGTTTAATTGTAATGATAGATGTTTATCAAGTCTAATTTAAGTCCTTTTATGATATTATGAGATGTTTAAGAAGAGCTGCCAACACAATATATCCTAACATTCTCAGTTTGGAGAGTTCTAGACGATATTTTAACAGATTCAAGAGATAGTTTCACCTTAAACCCACTGTTAACTAAAAACAGGGTCCAAAACTTGCTTATAATCGAACATAACGAACTAAAGATTGTAAATATTTGTCTAAAAGTCAACTTTATGGTCAGAAAACAGCTGTTAAACGTCGTTTCTTGAAGCTGGGAGCGAAAAGTGGAGACGGTGAGTGTGAATAATGAGCTCAGGAGGAAACACAGTCAACTCTGCCAACAGGTAGTAAATTCAAAACATGAAGGAAACGGCCTCAAGTGTCACACTGTTCCCTAAAATGTGACTTTACTTGGTTATTTCTGCTTTAAAACGACTTAAAAACACCGAGAGAGCCTTTAAATGCAGCACGGCGTCCACCTTTCCACTTACCTGCATACCAGGAACTTCCATGGTTACTTGTGAGTATGAACGCCCTTCTTCTTCTTCTCCTTCTCCTTCACCTCCAGGTTTGTCTCTTTACTCTCCTTCTCTGCTTTCCTCCTTTCTTTTTATCTCCTCTTCGACTTTTTCCCCCCGGAATGAATAAACTCCACAAAAAAACAGCGTCAAAGTCGAACAAAAACGAGTATATCCGATTAAAAAAGTCGGTTTGTGTGTGCAGAAGAGCCGCAGAGAGAGGAATGGACAGACTAGAAAACACACGCAGTCATTCACACACAGACACACACACAGATACAGACACACACACACGTCTTGTGAATGTGCAGTAACAAAAAAAAAGTGTTGAGCAAACGAGCAGGATGACGAGCTGGTTACTGCCTACTTCAGGGGAGGAGCGAGAGTCTGGAAATGTCAGCTTCGGGACTGCTGCCCCCTGCTGGTTTTAACGTGTCATTGAAGAAACTCACAAATCTGTTTTATACTGATTTTATTTTTTTTTTAAACATCTTTCTTATTTCATATTGATATAACAACCAAGAAATAAATGAAATAAAAATAAATTAAAAATAATAAAAATAATCATTTTAAAAAAGCTGTGCGTTTTTTAAACATCTATTTATTTCAAAGTGATATAACAATCAAAAACATAAAAAAATAACAATAAAAATAGAATAAAATAACAAAATAAAATTAAAAATACTAAAAATAATTATTTAAAAAATTGTCTGCTTTTTTTAAAATCTATTTATTTCATATTGATATAACAACCAAAAAAATAAAAAATAAATAAAAATAAAAAATGAATAAAAATAAATAAAATAATAATAAAATAATTATTTCAAAAAATTGTCTGCTTTTTTTTAACATCTATTTATTTCATATTGATATAGCAACCAAAAAATAAAAAAAAATAAAAATTGATAAAAATATTGATAAAAAATAATAATTTAAAAAAATTGTCTGCTTTTTTAAATTATTATTATTATTACTGTTATTATTATTATTTTTATTTTATTTTATATTTATTTATTTTTTAACCACATATTTTCCTACCCAACCTACTATTCCCAAGGGGTTACAGATCAGAAAGAAAAATAATAAATAAATAAAATCAAAATATCTATATATAAATAGGAAAAGAGTGCAGAATCAGAAAAGTATATTAAAGAGAAACAAAATAAGAAAAGAAAGTAAATAAATAAAAAGAAAAAGGCAGCAACAATGATATAATAACTTTTCTTACTGTTCTGTAATGAGGTAGATCATCTTTTTTTTTTTTGTATGATTGAGTTTCTGTGTGACTTTTATAATAGCAGATGATTTTCTCACTATTGTTCCAAAGGTTTCACTTCATCAAACCTCTGAAAGTTTCTCGGTCCATTCATGATGTTTGAGGTTCATTTCCGAATAAAAACACAATTGAGACTCCACGTTGCCTTCACTTGCAACTCATAAAGTCCGACATTCGAGCTTCAATGCTGACCTGCCTTCATTAATTGTTTATATTATTTCATACTGATAAATTAGGCAAGTGGAAAAGAAACACTCTACAGGGAAGAAGTCTGGGATCTTTAGTTTTATCATCTGTTATGAAAGTTTTTCAAACAACCTAAAAACAATATCTGGAAAACTGTTCTTATCATCCAGGGCATTATCTGCCCTGCCATCATGATAATACGATAATGAGATATTATTAAGATAAGATTATTAAGATTATTATTATTATCACTGTTTAAAGGAAGCCTAAGGAAGCGGATGTAACTTCATACATTTTATTTGCTGTTGTAAATGTTGTAAATCTGTAATCTGACAGCCTGTTTGATGTTTTCTAAAGTTATCATGAAATTATGTAATCCTTAAAAAATAGTTTATATATCTGAAAATAAAAAAAATAAAGAATTAATCAGTTAAAGGAAAAAAAAAATCAACAAATGAAGAAAAATTACATTTACAATTTAATACTTTACTGTAAAGTTTCGTGAATTCCCATGGTCCCTGAATGCAGCATGGTGTTTCGCCGTGACGTCACCCGGAAGCAGGTGACAGGGGGGCGGAGCCCTGCAGAAGATGGCGTTCCTTCGCTGTAGGCGAGATCCCTGCGGCGTTATCTGTCTTATTTTAACGTATTTCAGCGTGTTTTACGCCGACTACGTGGTCATACAGTATGTCCTCATCCCCGCCTACTCGGACAGGTGAGTACTTCGTGTTTTTACGCCGTTTGAAGCCTAAAAAAACCAACATGGCGCCCGCTCCTCGCGCTGTCTCCATTCATTTGACAGCAGGTTTGACAGCATCCATCCATCCACCCGTCCTCTCTCTCTATCCCTCCTTCTGTGTGTTTTTCTGCTCTGAGCGGGTTTTTCTCACAGGAACACGACTTTAATTCATTAAAAGTGTGAGTTTAAAGTGGTTTTGTGTATAAAGGTGATAGAATAACGTGTTTTTGTTCCGTTTGTTTACGAGCTGGAGGTCTGATCCGCACTGGAGCATCACGGAGGAGGATCCTGTTTGCAAATAAATACAAGAAATAAACAAAAACGACGAGAGAATAAGTTTAAGTTGACTATTTGAATTACAGTTAATGACTGTTCAGTCCCGGATCACTCAAAGAAGTATATCATTACTTTAACTTCAATATTATTTTGAAGTATGGTTCTGCAATGTGAGAAGACAATAAAGGCATTCTATTCTATTCTATTCTATTCTATTCTATTCTATCCAAGTTAAACTATAGAGTCATCAACAATTAAAGTGCTGAGTATTTAATCTGAAGAGGGAAGTGAAAGTGTAATGAAAAGTAAGAATCAAACTGTTTTTAATACTTTTGCTTTCATTCTTTTTATTCAGTTAGAGTTAGGGCTGGACGATACGGGACAAAGTTTATCACAATATATTTTTTTATATATCAGTCACAATCAATATATATCATGATATAAAAAAAATACTTGTCGATCTTAAAGGTTCCCTATTAAGGTCCTTTCACACCGGGACGTCAATTTTATTTCGAACCCATATCCTGTCAATACAAGCGTTAACGTCAGCGACGTTTTCCCGTCCCGTGATATTGCGGAATTTATTTTTTCGTATCACGGTCGAATTTTCTAAAGTTTCGCATACTGTGTGTCCACTTCTGACCGATCAGGTTTCGTGTTGTTGTGACGTCTGATTCACCGGTATATCCAACATGGCCGATAGGCTGATTGTTTACGATCGTTTACACAAACATTACAAAGATAACGACCTGAAGGATGACATAGCGTCGTATTTCTCATATGACGATGGTTTGTGTGCTTATCGTCTTTGTTTGAATTTCATCTGTGCTAACGTAAGCTAACGGTTGTTACCATAGTTACAACAGTGCTGTTGGCTTCATGTGTTTAAGTGCTTTGGTTGCGTGTAGCTGCTGTCTGCTATGACGCAGTTGTTTGATACTCAGTTCTTATTCAGCGGCTATTCATATAGTCTACCAAAACATGGTTGAATGACGACTATCAAAAAGGATATTGGCCATGTTCTATATTGATATTGAGGGAAATTAATTTTCGATATATATCATTATTGTTTTATCGCCCAGCCCTAGTTATAGTTAAAAAGTTGAATGTAGTGAAGTACAACGTTTAGCCACTAAAGTAAAAACACAAACAGTCAGAAAACAGTGTGTTATTTATTATTGTGATACAAGATACAAATTGAATCTGCAACAGTTTTTACAACCATATGTAACTGGAGGGGGATTCTGTGAAGTTAAAAAATTAAAAAACAAAGAAATGATAGAAAAAGTAAAGTGCTGAAACTCCTGTGAGAACTTTTTTAAACCGGTCTGTCCGGTCACTCTTACTCCTCTCCCTGCTCTCCTCTCTCATTCTTACTCATCCTTTCTCAAAATGCTGTTCACTTTCACCCCTAAAACACCGGGACAGGATCCAATCATGTGTTTCACGGCGATAAAGAAGCAAACTTTTGATTAAAATCTCTTTTTCTGTCTCTGAAAAAGCGTTTGGTGTACTCTTCACGGATCAGTGTTCAACCTGATTCTGCTGCTGCTGCTGGCCTGCCACTCCAAAGCCGTCTTCTCAGATCCCGGTCAGTAACTCAACGTTATAATCACTCCTGTAACTTGTTTTCATGTTTGTGTTTTTGATATTAAGGATGTTGTTTTTTTCCGTAGGCATGGTTCCCCTTCCCGACACAGCGATCGACTTCTCAGACCTGCGATCGCAGTCGTCTCGGATGAACGAACGGGTGAGTCAGTTGGAGAAAGTCCTGCAACAGTTTCCTTCTGCTTTTCTAAATCTGGAACTTTTTTTTCTGACTCAAACTGATTTTACTGCTGAATAGACGCGTTTTGTCCACTTTAGAAATCTGCAGACCTGCTTCAGAGACACCTGCTGCGTCTGTTAGTCCACAGAGAATGACCTATCAGCTTTTTATTTGAGATTTATCCAAATCAAACAAATGATGAAAGTATTATCCTGTCATCAAGAGTTCAACAAAGTGGATTTGAAGTTACAGAAAGAGATAAAGCAGGATAATAGCAGAGGGGATTTCAGGGAGATTGTGGTTTCTGCCTGATTGTAGCTCTATTATCAGTAAGTGTGTATTTACCTTCTGTTGACTCGGTGTTTAAACGTCAGCAGCTGCACTTTTGTCCATGTTCGGCCTCGTCATTTTGTTCTCATGAGCCTAATGACAGACGCCTGTGAGGGAGGCGGTGTCTGGATCGTGTTGCATTCAATGACAGGGCTGATGTGTTAGACTTTAGGTGGACTAAAACAGGACATTTTGCAGGGGTGTGACGTTTAAAGTTTCTTTTTTCCTTCAACTTTGATGCATTAAAACGTGATCTCAAGTGTGTTTTTAAAGTTTATAATAATAAATAAAGAATTAGTAAATGTTAATTTAAAATTTGGGTTCAACTTTCTGTAAAAATAGCAGGTACATGGTCCAATGTGTTAAGATTTAGTGCAGAATTAAATGCAGTGCTGAAATTATCAAATAAAAGTTGAAGAGCAACTACTTAATATGTGAAAAATATTCTGCTTTTCTGACTGATTTATTGTAAATTCAGTTTTTAAAAAAAATAGAGATGGTAAATAAAAAGAAAAAAGAAAAAAAAACTTGTTTCAACTTTTTTGTGAATTTTTTTACTTGATTCTAAAAAAAATAAGTCAAAAATAGAGTTGTTTGACGTCACAGAAGGTCTATATGGACAAGGATTAAGGCTTTTATTTGGTGTGACTTGTTCTAATAAAAGATTTGACTCCAAACTCAAAAATTTTGAGAAAAAAATGCAATTCTGACTTTTTTTTTTCAGAATTCTGAGTGAAATTGAAATAGTCGAAATTGTCACTTTGTAACTTTTTTTTACTGTTAAGTAGCCTTAATTTACTCAAAAGTTCTAAAATTCAATTAATACAGGATAAAGTAAAAAATATGAATTCCAAAATTAATACTTTTTTTTAAAAGCCAAAAAAATGTTTTTTTTTTAACTGTTGCTCCTTTTTTGTAGCATTAATCTGTATTTCTGCAAAAGTTCTCAAATTCAGTTAATACAAGATTAACTTGAAAATCTGAATTTCAAAAGTATTTCTTTTGTTGAAAAGTCAAAAAGACTATTTTTGATTTTCTGTCCTTTTTTCTGAATTTTGGGTGAAATTGAAAAAAGTTGGGCCTAAAAAAACTGTTAAGAACTTTTGATTTTTGCATAAATACAGAAGTAGAACAAGTTCTTAAGTTCAATTAATACAGAATAAAGTTGAAAAACCTGAATATCAAAATTAATACTTTTGTTGGAAAGTCAAAAAGACTATATTTTTGACCTTCTGTCCTATTTTTTTCTGAAATGTGGTGAAAATTGAAAAAGTCAAACCTGAAAGAAAAACTGTCAAGTCGCCTTAATCTACTAATGTATTTGCAAAAATCAAAAGTTCTGAAATTCAATTATTACAGGATAAAGTTGAAAATCTGAGAATCAATACTTTTGTTGAAAAGTTGAAAAGACTGTAGTTTTGACTTTCTGTTTTTTTCTTTTTTCTCAGGGGTGTGAAGGTTGGACGGTGTGCAGTCGATGTGAAACCTACAGACCTCCCAGAGCGCATCACTGCCGAGTCTGTCAGAGATGTATACGCCGCATGGACCACCACTGTCCCTGGTGAGACGACGCCTTCAGTCCAGATACATTTTAACAGTTTCAGGTGTTTTTTGTAAATTTTAACACTTTGTTTGATTTTTAGGATCAATAACTGCGTAGGAGAGCTAAACCAGAAATATTTTATCCAGTTTCTCTTCTACACGGGTGAGTACAGACACGATACGACAAATCTGCTTCCCCCATATTGATATATTCCTGTATCTGACCGTTTAATTGATTTGTCGTATTTTCCTGTTTGTCTGCAGGCATGGCCAGTCTGTACTCGCTGATTTTGGTGGTGTCGGCCTGGGTGTGGAGGATAAGAAGCGAGAGAGACGGAGATGCGGAGAAAGACGGCGAGGAGACGCCCAGCAAACACCTGATAGTGTGAGTTTTTTTAGTGTCAGTGTAAAGTCTGGTGTTTATCCATCTTGATTCGCTAACATGTGTTTGTGATTTCTCCTCCAGTGCTCACTACATCATCCTCCTGGTGGAGTCGGTGCTGTTTGGTGTGTTTGTTATGGTCATCTTCTATGATCAGGTATTAACACAGACAATTTTACATTAAAGGTGGGGTAGGCAGGATCTGTTCAGTTACAGACACTTGTCTTACTTTGTTAAAGCGGTTTACCTGTCCAGCAGAAAGGTTACAGGGTCACCAAGATCCCCAAGCGTCCCCCATCGTTTATGTTGACCCGGCTTTTTAGCTCTTGTCCGGTCTACCTCCGTTTTAAGCGCCCGTTATTCCTCCAGAGTCTCCGGTATTTACTTTGTTTTCTTGCTTGTGTCGGCAGTCGTGGCTAAAGGAGGATTCAGACAATTTTCCGAACTTTCTGGTTTGTTTCTACTGTCCGATATTGTAGCACGCTAACACACTGTTTTCTTGCTGACTGTTTTCTTACTAACTGTTATCTTGTTGACTGTTTTCTTGCTGACTGTTTTGGGGTTGACTGTTTATGGTTGACTGCTTTTTTGCTGACTGTTTTCTTGTTGACTGTTTTCTTGTTGACTGTTTATGGTTGACTGTTTTCTTACTGTTTTCCTGTTGACTGTTTTCTTGTTGACTGCTTTCTTGCTGACTGTTTTCTTACTGTTTTCTTGCTGACTGTTTTCTTACTGTTTTCTTGCTGACTGTTTTCTTGTTGACTGTTTATGGTTGACTGTTTTCTTACTAACTGTTTTCCTGTTGACTGTTTTCTTGTTGACTGCTTTCTTGCTGACTGTTTTCTTACTGTTTTCTTGCTGACTGTTTTCTTACCAACTGTTTTCTTACTAACCGTTATCTTGTTGACTGTACTCTTGCTGACTGTTTTCTTGTTGACTGTTTTCTTGTTGACTGCTTTCTTGCTGACTGTTTTCTTACCAACTGTTTTCTTGTTGACTGTTTTCTTGCTGACTGTTTTCTTGCTGACTGTTTTCTTGTTGACTGTTTTCTTGCTGACTGTTTTCTTGCTGACTGTTTTCTTGCTTGTGTCGGCAGTCGTGGCCAAAGGAGGATTCAGACAATTTTCCGAACTTTCTGGTTGGTTTCTACTGTCCGATATTGTAGCACGCTAACTTTGTTTGGGCTCCTGAACGACACGGGGGAGCAGCGTCTGCCTCACAACCAATCAGGTTAGAGGAGGTGGAGAACGGCTTTGTTTACAGTCAGAAAGTGCGGATGTTTGATAGCATGGTAACATACCGCCACTCTGACAATTAGAGACCAATGGCGGAATGTCGGAATGGCGGTTGCCCCCCTTTTATCTGAAAGCCCTCTGTTCTCCGACACGTAAACAATCAGCCGGTCTGAATCTGACGTCGCAACAACACACAATCTGATTGGTCAGAAGTGGACACTCAGTATGCGAAACCGCGATACGAAAAAATAAATGCCGCAATATCGCAGGACGGGAAAACGTCGCTGATGTGAACGCTTGTATTGACAGGATACGAGTTAAAAAAAAAATATTGACGTCCGAAATAATCGCCCCCGATGTGTAACGACCTTAATTCTCAAAAACGAGTATTTGTGTTTATCGTGAACTCAGGATTCAAATGTCACACTGTTTGTTTGTTTTGTTTGTAGTTGGTCTCCATCATCACCGACGAGACGCCCATAGAGCAGATGAGAAACAGGTTGATGATCAAAGACAGAAGCTCCTCTTCGTCGTCCTCCTCCACCTCTACCTCCTCCTCCTCCGTCTCTCAGCTGCCTCACCATCCTCCACACACCCGCAAACCGAAGCTGGCTCTGCTGCGGGAGGTTTTTGGAAGAGGTGAGCTCGTGTTAATCATCTCCGGCCTCACGGACGATCTCACTTCGAGCTTTTTACCGATCACCTCTTCTTCTCTCCAGGTTCGGTCTTTTGCTGGCTCCTCCCTCTCCACTCCAGCCCGCCGTCGGTCGGCGGCATCAGCTACTCCGCCCTTCCTGACTACGATGTCTAACTCTCGACCCGTGAGAGCCGGTAGAGGAAGGCAAGGCGGGTTTTTCTAGAGTGATTTCGCTGCCTAACTTTGATGTCTTATCTTTTGACCTGTGAGGTGAAGAGGAAGGAAGATGAAGGCGAAGTCTGGGATGAATGAAGAGAGTATGTTTGCGTGTTACATGAATGAGTGGTTATCCGTGTGTTACTCAATCCCCCAGGGTCCAAAAAGTCCAGCCTCAGACCCCTCAGACCTTTGAAATACTCTTCCTCTCATATCACAAAGGGAAAGCTCAGATATTTTGCATTTTTCTAGTCTGTTTCCAGCGTTTTTGAATATTTTGGCTCCTGTGGAAGAGTTGGCGTCTTTTGGACTTCTAGGTCTGACTCACGTGGGTGAACCTTGGCTGATATCTGACAAAGTATCTGAACATTCAGGAACATATTTCACTGGAAAATAGGAGTGTTTTGGGTTTGTCAACGGTATCAGCATGTTTTTAATCCGCTTAGGGACTTATTTATTCATAAAAATCAACAGTGTGATGATTTAGCTGCTTTCAAAATCCAGAAATTCAACTTTCTTCAACTTTCTTTTGCCCCACGATTGAGTCAAATCAAGATCCGACACGACCCAACAGATCAAACCGGTATAATCGTGTTAAAACCAGAACAAATGAGCTGTTTTCAGGTTTTGATTTGTCGCCTTTGGGGTTCATAAGCTAACGTAGAACAGAGATCGTCCACGAAGAGATTCAAAGTCTTTTTTGGGGATATAACTTTTACTATGTTCCTGGAAACTTACCCAAACACTCGAAAACATCTTGCCTTACAATAATCCTAACCACTAACCCAGTCGACTACTTGAGTGTCCCCTTTTCAGAGGACTGAAGTCAGGCACGTGTCTCCATAAGGATGCTAAACCAGAATCATTCACACACGCTCAAACAGAGTGTGTTTACCCTGGATACCCCAAACACCCATGAACTACTTGCCTTATTCTTACCTCAGATACCAACCCAGAACCTGCGGCTTCAAAGCGGGGACATGGCTAACACTCCAGTCCCCTTAAAAACCGAAGTCAGGCACATGGAACCCATATGGAGGCTGAGGTCGCTTTCACACCAGAGCTGTTTGATCCGCTTTAAACGGACCAGAGTTCGTTTCCCCGGATAGTCCGTGAAAGCTCATCCGAACTCCGGTGCGGACCAAACAAGCGAACTCTGGTCCGCCTGAAAACGTGGGTCTCGGTTCGCTTGCAAGTGAACCCTGGTCCGGTTCGTACGCAGTGTGAAAGCTCACCGGACCAAACACAGGACCACATGGACGTTATGACGCTATACGCAGTGCATCTTGGGTAGAGGAAGCACAAGTGACCACTGACATTAGCAGTAGCTAGCTTAGCTCAATTGTCTGAACAACAATAACCCATAAATTCACAATTTGGCATATTTAAACAAAATCAAATCGCAACTACCAACAGTTGCAGTCCTTAAACTCTGAGCTCATATGTCATCACATGTCAGATCGTCAAAGTAAGAAAACTAACAGGATCAATCCCTGACAAGCTACGATAGCATTATAGGAACAGCTGCGTTCGCTAACATTGTAGCATTCCATGAAATAATGCGACGAAGCGCGATACAAGACGGCTAGTCCACCCCTGTTTGTAATCCGTGAGGTTACATACCTCTCCTACTTTGTCCAATCGACGTGCGCCACTTTCAACCACGTGATGCTGCTCGGAAAGTTCGGTGCGCTTTAGAAATCACAGCGTCAAAGCAGAACAATGTTGCGACTTTCAACTCCTCAATCGAACCGAGTCGGCTTGGTCAGGTGTGAAAGCGACCTAAATCAAAACACAAACACACACCGTGTTGTTTATAATAAATACAGGGACACTGGGAGAGAAAGTTTTATGTACTGTCAGACACGATTTAAGGGGGAAACACAAGCATGGACAGAGTGTGTGTGTCTCTGCGTTCTGCTAAATCTTAGTGAAGGATTGAGTCTTTACTTATTTATTGTTTTCTACTGATTCTGTGGAGTTTACTCTACCCAAAAACTGATTTTTATGTGAGGGGTGAAGCTGCCTTTCTTGGACTCTTTTGTTGGAATGGAGTTAAAGTTTGTTGCGGTGATAGTCAAGGTTGAAAAGTCGAATCAAAACCTGCATAAGTTATCCTTTTGTCATCCAAAGTAAGCTAACTGTTTTATCTGATGACTCGGAATCATCGGCTAACGGTTATAACCTGAATCTGACTCGTTTACCTGACGGTTTACTTCCATGGTCACGCTCAAGTTGTCTGTGATCCATCTTACCAGCAGGGTTTTGATTCTCTCAGGTAAACAACCTCAGCGTAAAGACTTCTTGGCGATTGGATCGAGATCTTTTGGCTCGGCAAGAACCGGCTAGCAGTGGTTTTGTATTTGCGTGGGATAACACCATTAGGTCCCTGCGATCAGGCAATGAAACACTAGATCAAGTTCACGGTTTACATCCCACTTTGGATCAAAACCATAGAAGAAACTGGAAACTAAGGCGGCTTCACCCCTCTTTGTGTTTTTCTGTATGTATATAGAGTTATTATTAATCCCGTGTTTCATAAATAAGAAGGGAGCGTCATTACAGGTGTATTCTAACAAAGTATTAACAGATATCCTCGGACGAATCAAAGTGAGAACAACTGCCAGGTGAGACATGATGTCACTTGTTTCCACTGAGAAGTCCTATTTCTCAGATTAAGTGACTTAAATCACATGACCTGATCTGCCTTTTTTATCTAACGTTTAACGAAATCAAGTTACTGATATTTCCGATAGATTTTCTTTATATGACTCTTGTTTAAATCAGGATAAGCAGCAAAACTAAAAACAGATTTTAAGCTTTAAGCAAAGTAAATGATGACCGGAGATCCTAGACTGTGGCTATGGGAGGCGTTTGTTAGCTTGTATGCACACCCTGTCATTCCATTTTATGGTCCCAGTTGCAAGATTTAAGTCTGTCTTAAAACTAAATATTGTTTATTTATTAAAGGACCATTTGTTGTGCAGAACGTTATTCCTTTCCAACACTTGTATACTTTTATAATCCTGCAGTGTAGCTAAATTCCACAGGATACGGAATGGCTGCTCTCCGCTCCGGAACGGCAGCCTGATCAAATACGCAATCAACGTACGTGATTCCACACAATCTGTCCGCCATCTGGCTCTGCTGCGGGTCGGTTCTGGTGGTTGGATCAGATAGGCAAGGCTTCATTTTTTGCCAGACGCCGCAGCACAACGTATCTGCTCATTTTTGTTTTGGTGTTTTTCCGCCTCCGCATTTGTCTGCACCAATCTCCCCTCTCAGATTACACTCACCCCGAATTTCCACCGCATCCAGAACAGCTCAAATCTGGAACGGCTGCGATTTTCGCCTCCCGCCAATTCCTACCGGATCCGTTTGTGGGGCGGAATCGCGAGGAATCGCAAGAACTCACAAGAACTTGCAGATCCACGTTCAATCGTGCGATAACGAGTTGTCTCTATAAAGACAGACACAGACATATAAGCAGTAGATTCTGTCCTTCCAGAGGAGGAAATCTACTTCTAGACTTCTAGAATCAGCATCTCCTCATCCATGGTGTCATCGGGGTGAAATGACGTGTAAAAAATCTTTCACTTGTTCGTCCCCTGCCTGTTTGCATGGTGCTCCGGCATCCAGAAAAAATGGAACTCTTGCGATCAGCTGCGGAATCCAGCGATCTGCAGCGCGACGGAAGGAAGCCGGTGGACATTGACACATTTTCATGAATGTTTACAATCAGCTGCGACTGGCGGGTAGGACCTTTTTGTTGCCGTTCCGGATGCGGTGGGAATCAGAGGTCAGGCAGCCAGTCAGCATTGTGGAGTATTAAAATTGTATTAGGACATGTCTTAAACACACAAAAGCAGTCTCATGGTATGTCATGGTGTGTATACAAGAAGAAGTAAACATCTTGGTAACGGAGCAAACATCTTCCAAAATAAAAGCTGCCTTATTATGTTACAGTGTTTGAAATGGATTTACAGAGGAGGATGGAAGCTCGAAAGGGTCAAACTGATGTCTTGCCATAGCTGCTGTTTATCAGTCTCTACTCACTGTTTCAAAGGCGGGCACATTTACAATGTGTTCAACCCAGGTTTGTTTTTAACTGTCTGTACATAAGGAGGTTCATATTCTTTAAGGAAAATGTGCAATTTTCATGAAGGGAAAGTTACTGAAATTCAACAGTTGTTTGTTTTCTTTTTTTGTGTGTGTGTGTCTGTGGAGATCCGGGTGAACTACAACATGGTTTGAAATGTTTTTCAAAATTATGAGGTGCACGAGGTTTTTGAAATTGAACATTTTTGGTCAAAGTTCAACGACTGATAATGACTTAAAAATCTGTTCCCTTGCCTTTTCTGTAAAAGCAGCGTCACTCCTCGCGCCTGAATGTTTTTCCGGCAGAATCGAGCGCACCTCTCCGCGGTGAAAACATTTGAAACTGTAAATACTTTTCAAGCTTTGTGTTAACTATCAGGGTACTGGCTTGCTTCTTTGAAAAATGCAGTTGATCTGTATCTGTTTGTTTTTGTATCGATGTTGAACAACAGGGCGCGCTGTTTCATTCAACCACATTGGTGCGATTTTTTCGTTTTGCATTCGTTTAAATCCGGCTAGATGAGCGTCGACCGAAACAAAACAAGCGCGCCCTGTTTGCTGTTTCCATGACAGCGGGAAGGAATGTGTGTACAAACAAAAGGGCCTGAAATTAACACTCCGCCACCGGCCAATCACTTCACTTTTACCGGTTAGTTAAAAAATCTTGAATTTTATCGGCTCCTTTCTGAAAAATATTTGTAACATGTACCCAAAGAGATAAAAGGTTGATTTTCTTATCCTGCACTTTGACCCTTGAGGATTTCCTCCAGCCGGTAAAGTCGTGTTTTTGTTGGCTGGTTGGCCCCAAAAAGTTAGCTTCACGCCCTACGAACAACCAATAAAGAGTTTAATATCATGTTTATTCATGATAAAGCAGTTTACAACAGACTGATGTTTTATTTATTTATTGTTCCTATCTCTAAACCGTGACCTGTGTATCATTCCTAATGACTTGCTGCTCTGCTTGTTCAACTGGAAGTAAAAACAGACGTCTTTTAAGCTTCTCGTGCTCCTTTTTTCTGTTTTCAAGGTTCTGTTTTTTATTTCATCGTAGTTACTTTTGATGTAAAGAGAAGGAGAAAAACAACGGAGACAGTCACTGGTTGGTCAGTTCAGACACATTTTTTATTATTTAAAAGAATAAAAGTAAATTTTTTTACAGAATCAGTCTAAAACAGATCCGCTTACAGAGGTGTTTTATGTTCATGTTATTTATTATTTACAGAAAAACACTTACAAAGAAAAACTTGAAAAGTCAGTGCAACACAAAACTTGAAAGGCGTTAAAACAAGCTACTTAAATAAAAGACAAGACAAAAACATGAAAAAACATAAAGTTAAAAAAGCTTACAAATACAGCCTAAAAATTTCAGAGCAGTTATGTACAGTTGAAATAAGTGGTTTTAGTTGAAAGGGTTTTTTCGCTTTATTTGACATTTTAGATTTTGACATTGATTCAATAAATTAATTAAACATATGCCACACATGAGCTTAAGAGTGTCTCTACATACTTCTTGCAAATCTTCAGCCTCATTCAGCTTTACATATGTTTTGGTTTTAAAGTGAAAAACACAATGAAAAGTGTAAATTAGACACTTTTAATGACTCGTGTGAAATCATGAACCAGCATGTTTTTACACTCAAACACAGCAACAACACGCTTACACTTCTACAATTATAAAAATACGATCTATGAAAAAAACTGGGCATTGAAGAGGGAGTGATGAAAAAAGTTCTCCTTATGCATCAGGGGGTGCTGTGGTAGCAGGTCCCAGGCTCTGAATGCTCAGAAAGCGTAGAGAGATGACTGACGGCAGCCCCAGTCTCACCAGCTCAGCTTGAATCTAGTGATGAAGAAGAATCAGACGTTTTAATATTTCTGTTCAAGGTTTCATGTGAAGTGCCGAATGGAATGACTGACGAAAAATCATTAAAATTTCATTTTTACATAACCACCTTGCAGGACTGCATTCTGCCATGGATGAAATGTTAAGCTGTCTCATTTGACGGCTTTGGTTTGTTTTTGCTGGCTGCTTTCCAAATGAGAAAAAGCATTACAATTTATTCCTCATATTTCTTTTAAACGCGCTTCCTCGTGTCAAACTGTTCCACTGGATGTATCATATTTACCACTGCGTAACACAAAGTTGGGTTGGGCTGTGACGATTAGAGTCACAGCGAGACTTGATGTAATATCTGGCAGCTGTTCCTCCAGTTCTTCAGAGGAATTTTGTTGAAAACGAAGAGCAACCACAGGTGTTTGTTGGCAGATTGTTGGCTGGTGTATATGATGCTCATAAATTTTGATATCGTTTCCATTGTTCTGGAGCTTCTTGTGTCATCATCGTTTAAAAAGAAATGTCAGTTCTAACAAACTTATCTCAAGGTAAGACAACACAATCTTCCTTTGGCAGGGAGGTGTGAAGTTCTGGGATATATCATTTTTATGCAGAGTCTCTTAACTGCAAAATAAATGAACAATGTTTTCTTGCCTGTTTTACCACATCATGTATAAAAAAGACCGACCTGTTGCAGCACTGTTGTCCTGATGTCTTCTTCACTCAGTGGAGTTGTAGTTGAAAGTCTTATTCTCAGGCCGGCAACAACTAAAAGCAAAGCAACTCATATTACAATGCCGCAAAAGACTGTGAAGAAACTAAAGAGGTATAGTTGTTAAATTCGTTCAGAAGGCTTGACATCATTACATTGTACAAATGGGAAATACCAACTTTAAATGTTGAGGCGCCGAATCTAATTTGAATTCAGGGAAAATATTTGATTTACTCTTTAAAGTAAGTTCCTCATCGGTTAAACAAGGAGTAGTTTAATAAAAGAAACTTCAGCAATGATCTGACTTACTTTGGTTTGAGTCTTGGGTCGTTGGTGTTTGAAAGGTTGTTGTTCCTCCTGTGCCTGCGGCTGACTTGGTTGTTGTAGTTGGTGTAGTTCGGGTTGTGGTTGGGGTTGAAGTTGGTGAAGGAGCGGCAGTTGTGGTTAGTGTTACTCTTGGAGTTGTGGAAGTGGTTGAAGCTGATGTGGTTGTCACCAAATTGAATGTTGATGTTGCTTTTTGTTGTGTTGTTGTGGATAGATTGTTGGTCGGAGTGGGTTTGGTTGGAGTTGGTAGAGTGCTGGTTGGAGTTTGATTGGTGGTTGTTAACAAAGGAGTGGTAATACTTGATGATGTACTGGCTGTAGTTGTTTTAGTGGTTGTAGAAGGAATAGTGGTTATACTTTGTGTTGTACCTATGGTGGTAGAAGTATATGTCGAAGTTGTACCTTGGATAGTTGTTTGTGTTGTGGTGGAATTTGGCTGTGGAGTTGTATTTTGTGTTGTTGTAGGCTGAGTGTTGGTTGTAGTTGCTGTAGTAGGATTGGTTGTTGTTTGGTGAACAATTGTTGAAGTGGAAGGAGTTGTACTTTCTGTTGTACTTATGGTGGTAGGAGTATTTGCCGAAGTTGTACCTTGGATGGTTGTTGGTGGTGTGGTAGAATATTGTTGTAGTGATGTTGTATTTTGTATTGTTGTCGCTGTAGTAGGATTGGTTGTGGTTTGGTTGGTAAATGTTGAAGTGGCAGGAGTTGTACTTTCTGTTGTACTTATGGTGGTAGGAGTATTTGCCGAAGTTGTACCTTGGATGGTTGTTGGTGGTGTGGTAGAATATTGTTGTAGTGATGTTGTATTTTGTATTGTTGTCGCTGTAGTAGGATTGGTTGTGGTTTGGTTGGTAATTGTTGAAGTGGCAGGAGTTGTACTTCCTATTGTACTTATGGTGGTAGAAGTATTTGTCAAAGTTGTACCTTGGATGGTTGTTTGTGTTGTGGTGGAATTATATCTTAGTGACGTTGTATTTTGTATTGTTGTAGATGAAGTAGGATTGGTTGTGGTTTGGTTGGTAATTGTTGAAGTGGCAGGAGTTGTACTTCCTATTGTACTTATGGTGGTAGAGGTATTTGTCCAAGTTGTACCTTGGATGGTTGTTTGTGTTGTGTTGTAATTTGGCTGTGAAGTTGTATTTTGTGTTGTTGTAGGTTGAGTGTTGGTTGTTGTCACTGGAGTAGGACTAGCTGTAGTTCGGTTGGTGGTTACTGATGTGGTAGAAGTATTTATCGAAGTTGTACTCTGCATTGTTGTTTGTGATGTGGTGGAATTTGGCTGTGAAGTTGTATTTTGTGTAGTTGTAGGTTGAGTGTTGGTTGTTGTAGATATAGTAGGATTGGATGTGGTTTGGTTTGTAATTGTTGAAGTAGCAGGAGTTGTACGTCCTGTTGTACTTATGGTGGTAGAAGTATTTGTCGAAGTCGAACCTTGGATGGTTGTTTGTGTTTTGTTGTAATTTGGCTGTGAAGTTGTATTTTGTGTTGTTGTAGGTTGAGTGTTGGTTGTTGTAGATGTAGTAGGATTGATTGTGGTTTGGTTGGTAATTGTTGAAGTGGCAGGAGTTGTACTTCCTATTGTACTTATGGTGGTAGAAGTATTTGTCAAAGTCGAATCTTGGATGGTTGTTTGTGCTGTGCTGGAATTTGGCTGTGAAGTTATATTTTGTGTTGTTGTGGCTTGAGAGTCGGTTGTTGTCACTGGAGTAGGACTAACTATAGTTCGGTTGGTGGTTGCTATGGTGTTAGAAGTATTTGTTGAAGTTGTACTCTGCATGGTTGTTAGTGTTGTGTTGGCATTGTGGTCCAATGATGTTGTGTTGTGTATTGTTGTAGGTTGAGTGTTGGTTGTTGTCACTTGCGTAGGACTAGCTGTAGTTTGGTTGGGTGTTGTTATTGTAGTAGAACTACTTGTTGAAGTTGTACTCTGCATGGTTGTTGGTGTTACGGTGGTAGAACTCGCCAGTGAAGTTGTATTTTGTGTTGTAGTAGGTTGAGTGTTGGTCGTTGTCACTGGAGAAGAACCTGCTCCAGTTGGTGCTGAATTTGTTGACGTAACAGTTGTTTCAGTATTTGTAGAAGTTGTACTCTGCACAGCGATTGTTGTTGGCTTTGTGGCTGTTGAAGTTTCTGAAGTTGTACTTTGATTTGTACTTGATATTTGGGATGCAGTTGTAAAGGTTGTTGTTGATGGCGGTGTACTTGTCGTAGCACTTTGGGTTGATGTTTTGATTGTCAAGTCTATGAACAGAAGTGAAGAAATTCAGAGATCACAAGCTAGCCTTATAAATCTCACAAAACTGAAATCATTTAAAAATAGACAATGAAGGTTTTTACTCACAGTTTCCGACGCTGACGATGACACACCGCAGCTCTGAGTGATATTTGACCGAACTGGAAATACTGGAAATACATCAGTGTGGGGACAAATTACAAAACCATTTTACAGGTTGTGTTCCAAACTTACATTAACCTTCATAATCAGGAGATAATTATACTTTTTTGCAGGAAACACAATCAATACTGTTGTTTTTCTGTACATCCATGAAAAATAAACTACACCCAAGAATTTTTTGTCACTCCAAGGATGCCGAACATTACCAACAGACCTTTACAGAATCCGTTGAAAGACCCCAAACTTATTTTCAAATTTATACTAATGTGCATATTGATTGACAATAATGCTGAACATAATAAAAGTTTTGCCATCAGAGGGATCACTTGGACCTTATTTATTTCAAAGTGGAAATATCTGGATGTATGCATCGGCGAGTGGAAAACAATTCATAGTTTGATGTCTTCAATATTAGTCATCATCAGTTCCATTTTTGTTGTGACTTACTTGGACTCTGCTTGGACGATGAAGCAGATCGGGTGGCTTTCTCCGTTCTCGCTCTCTGATGGCGTCCATCTCAGGGTGAACTGTCCCTCTGCGGCCATGTTACTGATTACGTTGTATGGCCCGCTGAACAGAAGCTCTGACATCCTTCAACAAAACCGAAAAACAACAGGCTCCACGAGTCAGATGTGCTTTTCAGAACTCTCCATCCATGACATTGTTTTTACGATGTTTGCTTCATGGTGGTTGGTTTTCACTGGCTGGAATGAGTCAAATGGAACGGTTGATGTTTTCTTAGCTGTTGTTGTGCTAAGACCGTCAAACTAGATATGGTCTTGAAAACTTGCCACTTTCAAGATTTTTGCAGAAACTTCTGGAATAGTTTTCCACTCGTGTCAAACAAGATTCACATCAGTGTTAAAATTGCAGAAAACAACATTCCTTGTGCAACTGCAAACCAAACCAGGATAAGCATCTCTTATCTCACAAGAAAAAGTTCTGTTATCAGTCTGTCCTTTTTTACTTACTTGGAACTGTTTGCTTCTGCGCTGATGTTGATTTCCAGGGTCTCATTTATGGAGGCGTACAGTTGCGCCCTGTTTTCTGGGGTCGGAGGCAGAAACTTTGGCAGATAGAAGCCCTCAGTGCAGGATTGCACTGAATCTTCCACTGTAATGATGAAAACACAACATGTTACCCAGCACTGGTAAGGGCGCTAACCACAATGGACGTTGTTCAGCTAAATCCCATGGTAGCCCTAGCCTTGTCTGCAGAAAACTGTGGCCTGGCTTGTATGATGTAACTCAAATAACTTCACTGGAAAATCTGCGGAATATCCTTTGACTGTTCGTGTTTGTGTTAGGTGGTACAACACTTTTTGAAGGACTGAAACATCTGCGTATCCACGTATTCAAAGATTTGCAATGATACAAGCGGCCGAAATGGGTTTCCTTAACAGGGTGTCCGGGCTCAGCCTTAGAGATAGGTTAAGGAGCTCGGACACTCGGGAGATGCTCAGAGTAGAACTGCTGCTCCTCCACGTCGAGAGGAGTCAGCTGAGGTGGCTCGGGCATCTGGTTAGGATGCCTTCTGGACGCCTCCCGTTAGAGGTGTTCCAGACATGTCCCACCAGGAGGAGACCTCATGGCCAGCCCAGGACCAGATAGATGTATTATATCTCTCGCCTGGCCTGGGAGCGCCTGGGAATCCCCCCGGAGGAGCTGGTGGAAGTGGCCGGGGTGAGGGCCGTCTGGGCTTCCCTCCTGAAGCTGCTGCCCCCGCAACCCAGACTTGGATGAAGCGGAAGAAAACGATGACGGCGATGATTCATGAGAATTTTAGCGCCAGTTGAAGGTCAGGAGAAAATTTAATATGGCAACTTTAATAGGACTTGGCCAGTGTTTCCACCCCACTAAACCCTGATACTTCCCTTCAAAAATGTGATTGTAGCCCCTGTTAAAACTAGCATCAAATGTCAGCTTGTGTCTTCACAATGTGGAATTTATCAGGTTGTTAAATGACCAAAAAATGAGTATTGAATGGGTTAGGGAACTACGACTAAAGACCACCAAGCTGGTGGCATTGGCTGCCCCGGAACAAAAATGCTCACCTCTTATGACAAACTGAAGGGGTATTTTACTGATGGGGTCGTTGGTAAATTTCACCTCTTGAGAGCCATTAGTTTGAGTCAGGGTAATACTCTGTCTCGGAAAGTCCTCCATCACCAGCTGGACGGCATATGGACCTTTCTCTTTGTTTGTGGGACTGAACGACAAAGTGCAGGACTGCAAAACAAAGAAAATTCAGCCATTACCTGAACGTAAAGACTTTATCTAAAGTTTCCATGTGCTCGGGTTCTTAAAAGACACAAATGAAAGTTATTGTGGACTGTGGAACTCACTGAAGAGAGGTTGAGAACTGATGGTAGAGTACAGTGTCCGCACTCGCTTTGTGTTTCATTGGCAAATCTGCATTTCACCTCGTCTCCATCAGGGTCGAATGCCAACAGGTTGAAATCTCTCTGACAGTTCGTAGGAACTCTGAGTAAGAGGAAGAAACAGTCTGTTTTTTTTTTTTCCTCAGGTAAACCATGAGTCAGCCACCTGAAAATATTTGATCTGTGTTGCTGAGCTGAGATAAAGGCACACCAGATAATGATCTACTGACTGTTTCTTCAACTTGGATTCTTTATGTGATCTGATTAATTTCTTCCTCATTGTTTTCACCAGAAAACTCATGGCCGGTGTCAGAGATGAGAAGCTTAACCTTGTAAAGTTCAGTCAATCAATCCTGGACTGACACTTGTTGGATAAATGTGGTGTACAGGATATGATTTTGACCTCGGTTGGCTATTTGGTTCGGGGACTTCCTCTGCTTTAACGGTGAGTGCTGATGGTCATCTGATTCCAGCATGTGGCGTCTGAATGTGATTAAAATCCTGTGAATGGAAACCAGCCCGTGTGTTTTCTTACCTCAAAGCTGGCAGGATGGTGGTCTGGGGCGACCTGTTGGCCTGTCCGGTGTCCGATCGGATCCCAAGCTCCACCACAGTCACGGCTCTCCAAAGAACGATTTTATTCACAATTCCACTAATCCAGTTACCTCCATTTAACCTGTGGAGGAAGTTCAGGAAAAAGATGACTGTTAACACACCCGAAAGAATCAGGAGGTACTAAAGGTGTGTTTTTACTTTGCTGGACATAAAATCCTTGTAGAAGGTACAGCAAAGTATTAGAGACACTGTAAAGATGAAGAATTTGGAGGAAAGTTATCAGACAAGTTTCATGTTATATTGTTACAAGAATTTGTGGTATCCACTTCAGAACAGAATTAATCATTAACTTGATGAACAACTTAAATCTCGTAACATTACGACTCTATTCTCATCAATCAATCAATCAATCTTTGTCAATATAGCACCTATTCCCAATGTTATCCCAAGATACCTAACAAAGAAACCTGTTTAGACAGAAACCTTGAGCAGAACCAGATTCATGTTAGACAGTCATCTTTCGAGACTGAGCTGGGTCGAGAGAGGGGAGAGAGTTTAAGCAAAATCAACAAGAGTTTGTACAGTTTTGAGTTCTTCTAGCTCAAGTTACGACAAAAAAGGTGTCGTTTTACGGTCACTCACAGCATCTGAAAAGGAGCGCTGGTGGAAACCTGTCGGGTCATGAAGCCCTCCCTCTGACACCACTCGCCATTGCTCTCCTCCACCACATGAAGCTCCACACTCCCAGTCTGGATCCCACAGTCCTTGCTGCCACATTTCCACTCATCCTTGTCACTGCAGGAGACGAAATTCAACTTGTAGCGAAGAAGCACCTGCGGTAAAAAGGACGATTAAATACTTCTCTCCAGGATTACGACCAGAAAAAAAAACTATCTTAGGGCGGCCGTTCAATAACTGGAAGGTTGGTGGTTCGATTCCCCCCTATCCCAAGTCTGTCGGTTGTGTCCTTGGGCAAGACACTTAACCCACCTTGCTCCCAGTGTGTGTCCTCCACTCGTGTATGATTGTGAGTGTTGTGTGGTGGTGGTCGGAGAGGCTGTAGGCGCAAACTGGCAGCCACGTTTCCGTCAGTTTGCCCCAGGGCAGCTGTGACTACTAAGTTAGTTTACCACCACCAAAGTGTGACTGTGTGAGCGAATGAATGATGTATCCAATGTAAAGCGCTTTGAGGGTCTCTGATAAAGAGCTATATGAAATCTGATGTATTATTATTATTACGTAAACTCAAGTGGCAAAATTAGCCTATGCTGTAAGTGACCGAAACAAAAACATTGTAGTGTCAATGATTATTTTCCAAAAACCACAACCAGCAGTTGAATTCCAACTTTTTTCTCAATCATGGATTCCTTTGCCTTTATCCAAAACATAAATGCAATGCATCTGCTTTCATCAAACCTGTCGGCATTCAGGTTCTCTTTCGAAAAGAATTCAATAAATTTTGTTGAATCTGTGCAAAAGAGTAAGAAATCCGCACAAAAACCACTTGTTCAAAACAAATTGTTTAAATCAATTCTCTGTTTAAGCTTGGAAACCTTCTTCAAAATTAATCAAATTCTGAGTGTTTTCTTCCAGAGTGGATTGGCTAAAAATCTGCCAGATGAGAGCGTTTAATAGACCAGGAACCGAAATGAGTCTGAGGAAATGAGTCTAAATGATTTACAAAAACTCCAGTATCGATGCAAAAGAAATACGAATTTATCAGGATGCCAACTTCTGTGAAGCTGGTGCTTGAAGAAATTAAGAAGTCATAAAAAAGCGTAAAAATATGATACCGCTCTTTGGGAATACTGGGTAGTTATCACGTAACTCAGAGGTAAACATAGTAAATCCTTCACGTACTTAAAAAATCCAGTTTTTCTGCCATTATTCTCAGAACTTTTTACTTCACATAACATGACAAAAATACACCACATTCGCAGAAGTTCTTCGAAGTAAACAAGTTTAACAAAACTTCACATACCTCCACAGATCCATTAGCGTGTATGGATTTTGGGTAGTAAGTCATCACCGTTCCATAAAAGTGAGAGGCCTGGGAGCTGCAGAGCAGCATTAACAGCAGGAACGAGAGCAACATAGTGAGTGTGCCAGTTTCTCCACACGAAGGCGAGTTGAACTGATGAGAATCAGCCTCTGTTACAGCTCGTCTCTCTCACTTACTCAGAAAAAAGGTTTGGGTTGAAATGGAACAATGACCAGGAAACAGACAGGTATGAGGAAACGTGCGTTGGCAGTGTTGCAAGTTCATGATCAGAACAAACAAACGGTTGAAAGCTGCTGTCATAATCAATTATCAGTAGTTCTAAGATAAGGTTAGTTTGAAAAGAGAAAATCCGAAACAAAAACTTTTGTCGCCCTGATCCTTCCCACCTTTTTCCAAACACTTGAATCTCAGTATAGTTGGAGTTTTACTGTGATATTCGCGGCTCTACTTACTCCATGATTCCAAAATGGACCTTTAATTTCCTCATAACTCAGTGGTGTACTGCACTAATGTTATAGAAGACAGGAACATTGAAATTCGAAACTATCTTTGAAATGTTGTCAATGGTGTTTATGTCATGTGACGGTACCCGTGGTAGTTGGTTAGCTTAGTAAGCAACAATAGTGGAAGCGGATGCCTGACGCCATCATCAGGAGTCAAGAAGCGCGACTTTCCCAGTTCAGGTCCACACAGGCCACAGCAGCCAAGTCCTTTAAAGACAGCAGCCCCCAGATTTGGACATTACTAAAGTGTAAACAAAGGTTTTTAATTTGTCCACAGGGGGGCGACAAATCGACACTAACAGAAAGTTTCTCATAGGAGCTTTAATGATTGAATAAAATGTAAAAAAGCCAATTCATGAGGCCGACGCTCTTCTCCACATCTGTGTACACAAACAAAAATCTAGACAGAAGGAAATGACATGAGTCAGTGACACAAACTGCGTCAAGATCAGTGGGATGTTGTGCTGTCATGCCATAGCAACAAAACAACATGGTCATGGTCATAAAACTGTGTTGTCGTCATCATCTTAGGTGAACTCCGTCACTTTCTTGAACAATAATGTTTTGGTTTACTGATTCGATCCCAAAATTAGTCAAATTTTTGGAGCTCCACTAAAAATATGTTTTTCGGTGTGGGCGAGCGCCTTTGTCTGATGAGCTATCCTTGAGTTTTTTTCCACAACAATGGACCGTTTGATGGTTCACTTAAATTAACTTACCTCTTTCTTCCACTGGACTCTGTCAGAATAGAGACTTGATCAACAGTCAGTCGATTCCTTAATGGGTTTCAACAAAGGACGGTGTTTCAATCTGATTAGCCCAACAGAAATTCCTGAAATAGTCTTGAAATATTTGGGCACTGCAAAAACGTTGATCTTAGTGTGTGTTTTGTCTTTTTTCTAGTCAATAATGTTGTATAGGTCAAATAAGAGCCAAATCCACAATTCTACTGATTGCAGGGCTGCCAAGTTTCAGAAAACGACAAAAGTGAGACTTTAGCGTAATGATGTGTTTGGCCGCTGAAAAAAATTGGCCTCTTTAAATGTCAATTTACACCTTAATACTGATGTCCTCACCTCCATGCCAGCTGCTCTCCCTAATGCTAGTCTGTATTAACCAGAAATTAGAAATTAGAAAGTGGGTTTTAAATGTCGGCGTTGTTGCGTATGAAAGATAGTTAGAGATGCCAAGACTCGCCGTACGTTGCTTCTGATTGGTTTATATTGCGTGGTGCCTTCTGTGGTTGGTTGGATTAATGCTGCTTTCCAGTTACCTCGGAAGTCAGAAGTCTGAGCTGAAAATGACGTCACACCTGAGTAACCAGTGTTTCAGTTATCAAGTCGGAAAAAGCAAAATTGGAAGCCTGAAACAAGATGGCTACATCTACGAAAGTTATGTTAGCACTAGCCTAATGTTCGGACAAGGCAAGCACTAAAATAATAAAACAAGATGGCTACTTCTACGGAAGCTATTTTAGCGCTAGCCTAATGTTCGGACAAGGCAAGCACTAAAATAACTTTCATAGATGTAGCCGTAATGTTTCAGGCCTCCAATTTTGCTTTTTCTGACTCGATAACTGAAACGCTGGGAACTCATTTGGGATTGGTTATCTCGGTCAGTCAATCAGGGTTACTCAAATTACGGCAAGTCAAGTTTGTTATCATGATAAAAATAAATAAAGACTATTAAACGGTGGAATATAAGAGTAAAACATGTCAATTGTGGCGTGAGAATGGGTCAAATTGCCTGACGCTTGGCAGCTCTGTGATTGAAAATGTCTAATATAGACCTTTTAATTTAACTTAAAAAGCATATTAAATAGCATGACAAAGTGAATCACAGCTGATTTTAATGTGACGGGTGTAAATAAAAAGCTTTAAATCTACCTCAGCCCTGTTTTTTTGTCTCGAAACGTCCACCACACCTAAAATAATATTCTTGTTTCGCTAGCCTGACTGTTTAACGGCCCATTCAACGTCATCACGCCAGCCCATCCCATCCGCGCTCTCTCATTGGCCACCCGCCCTGTCAATCACACCCGTGACTCAGATCCCCATCGTCATGTGACAGATGTTTTGTTTCTTCTCTTCCGCCTTCTGTGTTCTCGCAGTGTCATGTGAAACTCCAAATTGACAGCTCCGGGATTAAAAAATCCGCTCCGTGTCTCCTCCAGGAACCTCAGCCGTCTGAAGTGAAGACTTCTCCTGACAGAGGAAGGTATCGGGACCCCGGTGGGCGGACGATGGCGGACGGGGAACGGTCGCCGCTGCTGTCCGAGCAGCACGACGGGACCAACGGCTTCTCTCCTGGGAGCAGCTCACACGGATATCTGTCCAAACCGCAGAGTATGTCAGGAGTTTGGTCTGTTAACAGTTTATGTAGACGCGATTTAAGGAGTTTAACTGACAGTTTAAGGTGAAATTAAGCGAGTGAATACCCTCAGTTTGGAGTTTGGAGGCTAACCGGCTAGCGTTAGCCAACGTTAGCAGCAAATATACTAAATCCAGTCACTTTTTACCAGGTTTATACACTGTTTTATACCATATTTATGCACGGTATTGTTATTTAAGAAAAAAAAGTAAGGATTAGTTTATTAAATATTATCAAAATGAATAAATACACACCATTAGGTCAAAGTTCATCCCGGTTTTCTGTTCAATTTAACGACACGGTTAAAATATGAACATTTTATCATCATATTTATGAGATTAACCCGAGGATAATCAAATATTTTAGTGAGAGAAAAGTCTCGAACTTAGTAACCCAAGAACACTATCATTAAAATTAGTAACACCATCAGTAATGCCGGGTGATTTTTACTCGGGCCCGAGTAAATGTGAATTTTTCAAGGCCGATACCGATTATCAGGGGGAAAAAATCTGATTACCGATTTATCGGCCGATTTTTTAAATTTTTTTAATAAAGTATTACAATGTTGTTAATTTAAGTTATATATCTACATATTTGGGTCAGTGAAAAATAAGGGTTTGCAATCATGAATTCACTTGAAAATAACTACTTTGTGATAAGGGTTGGGTATCGCTTGATTTTGAATGATTCCGGTTCCGATTCTGATTCCTCATCTCGATTCCTGTTCCAAACAATTCTCCATTCCAATTCGGTTAAAAGGCAGGATAAAAAGAAATAAAGACATGGTTTAAATGAGGGTGCTAACTGGAGTTCTTTGTTTTGGATGAAATTTCTGAATTTCTCCATGAATTTTTAAATTATATTATCTTTTTAAGAACTTTACTCTGAATTTCTCACATTTTCAACCAGTATATAAAAATCCATTTTTTGGTGTCAGGTTGTTTGTCTATGAAAAAGTTAGCCAAACTTTTGACCGCAGCCGCTGTGGCTATTTCTTCTGGTTGGCGGACTCCGGCATCGGAACTTGGAATCTAAGTTTTATAATTTGAACGGTTCCGGGAGGATCGGAATGTTAGTCCCGGTCCCCATTGATGCTCAAGACTCGATGCCCAACCCTATTTGTGATCGTTATATATAACCACTGTGCTAAATAAAGATAGCATGCAAATTCCAGGACCACTCTTTAAAAATCATCCTGTGAACATGTACCTATAGGAAAAAGCAGGTTTTGGATCAGGGAAACAAATATGCCTTCAAAGATGTCAAAGGTAATGCTGAAGCTACACAGAGACCCATGATACTCAGACAAACGCAACATCATGAAAGTCACCTAAACATGTTTGGTCGGGTGAAAATCACCTGGCGATAGTGTTCAAGGGTAAAAGTGGTCAAAAGAGTTCACACCATTATGTGAACACCCATAATATCTGTCCTCTTCTTCTTGCTACCTTATTTTCTGCAGAAACTCTTGTTAAAAGTCAATCTTTATCCTTTGCCGACTAATAACATCATGTTAAGTGATGAAATTGTCGCACAGTATTTAATTACCAGTCTGTGAGTCATTGTAAGCAGATGGTTTGTTTGAAGAGAAACGCAGCACAGGATATATCAGCTGTAATGAGTCACGCTGTCGGGTTACCGCAGAGAGGAACAACCAGTTTCACTCACTGTCTCAGGATTAAAACAGCTCTAGAAATGGAGGGTTCAAACTGTATGTCTTATTTATAAAACTGGGCTACCAAGCACTGAAGTCAGCGAGGGGCTCATAAGTACAGTAAAGTAATCAAGTAAAGAGTACATTAGATAAGTGTTTTTTCTTCATGTGAAGTTTGCCAGTTAGAGCGAAGGTTGATGGAAACTGAATTGGGGGACAACTTATTACGGACTACAGTGGAGTGCCGCAGCTCAAGAAAGAACATTTATGATCATTTCTATATCATTTTGTTTAAGTAATAATCATCATATCATTTTTTCACTGCAGACGGGGTAGTTCTTCTGCCTTAGCATCTCGGTCTGATTACATTTCCATGAAGAAATGATCATAAATGTTCTTCCTTGAGCTGCGTCACTCTGCTGTAATCCATAATGCTCAGGCCTGAGGTCTCGCTACAAACATGCGGGTGCTGGAAGAGAGTAGGCGAGTTGCGTTCAGTCTCTTAGGCAAAGTTAAAAAGGTGTTTGGTGGCTAGTACTATGGCTGTGACCCTATATGTCCTGTTGATGAAGTTAGGTGCTGTTCTGAGCATTATTCGTGGTTATAAAGTGGCGTTGTGTTTGAGCATGTGGCTCACCATATTGCTATTGTGCGGTTGTTACTAAAGTTGGTATAGCTAGAGAGGCAAGCGGTCGGCAACATTCATCTCTCTCTGTCTAACTCGCTGTCACGGTGTGTTTGACCCTAAATTAATTTTACGCTGGAATATCCCTGAAAGTATGGTGTCCCTCAGGGGGTCTGTTTTAGGTCCCGTTTTAGGTTTCCTTGTACATGCCCCCCATCAAAACCGAGCATGGTGTTTTATTGAATTTTTATGCAGATGATTCTCAGTTATACCTGTCATGTAATTTTTGGATAAGCATTAGCGTACTGTTTGTTTTTAAAGTCATTTCATTCCTGTTGACACCAAAGTCAAGTCCTGCTGACAGTGATCCGGTCGTTCCCCATCCAGGTTTGGCACCGTTCCCCAGTGCGATTGTACCAGGTGAACCCCCGCCCCCGTACTCGCCGCAGGGCAGCCCGGACAGCAGCAGCGCTCCGGTCATCAGCTGCAGGGTCTGTCAGAGCGCCATCTCCGTGGAGGGAAAAACACATCAACACGTGGTGAAGTGCAGCATCTGCAACGAAGCCACAGTGAGTCACATCTGTCCTCCTATCAGAGCGCCAAAACAGGGACTATTCCTATAATTGTCACTATTTATCATGTTGAAGTCCAAATGCATCCAGAAACAGAAAAATCACCAACGTCAGACATCCGCAGTGTCAGAGGTTGTGTTTTTCGCATCTTATCCCTCTCTCTCTCTCTCTCTCTCTTCTGTGTGTCTGCAGCCGATTAAGAACGCTCCTGTCGGGAAGAAGTATGTCCGCTGTCCGTGCAACTGTCTGCTGATCTGCAAAGTCACGTCGCAGAGGATCGCCTGTCCGAGGCCGTACTGGTGAGACCGAGAAACAGAGCGGGATTATTTTTCACCCATCTCAGCTTTTGGCTCGTAATCGCGCCATCTGTGCAGGAGAGGCCACTCCATCGAAACACATTGACAGATCAGAAAGTGTTGTTCTCGTGTCTGTTTGAACAGACGACTAAAGGGTTTAGTAGTTTTCTCCCACAAAGAGGACTGTAGAGGTTTCTGTATCTGACCAAAGACAATCCTGAGTCAATGATGGACTCTGGTACAGAAAGAGATCTGGGTCGTCTGGACTCAATAAATCAGCGAGGATAAGCAGGGTTATTGTGTAAAAAGCTGTCGTGGTCTCAGCAGTGCCAGAAAACCTAAATTTCAGTCAGTTTTTCACCGCTTTACAAAGAGGTTTGAGTGAAGGGTGCACAGTATCGTTTAAAACAATCCCACCTTTAAAAAACCAGCAAAGATCTGGTGACCAAAACCCCACCCTTGACTTTTTTCTCACTTCTCCAAATTTGAGAGGAAGCGGTCAAAGCTGACCTTTAGTGACCTGTGTGTGACGTCCATGCGGATCTTTAAAAAGACCCTTGTCTGTTTGTCCGTCAGTAAACGCATCATCAACCTGGGACCAGTTCACATCGGCAGGGACAGTCCTGAACCGCAGCACCAGCCCGTCGGAGTCCGGATCATCTGCGGGCACTGCTCCAACACATTCCTGGTAGGACACGCACCCACTGATCCTCGCAAATACAAAAACACACACATTCACGCACAAAGACAGACACACACTGATGAATGTTTCTCTCTCACAGTGGACAGAGTTCTCAGACCGCACTTTGGCCCGATGTCCACACTGCCGAAAAGTGTAAGTACCTTTCATTTCTGTGGGTGTTGGTCAAACATTCCGATAATCTCTTCTCTGTCGACTAAAGTCCTCGTCTGATGTCGTTTACAGCTCTTCTATTGGTCGGCGGTACCCGAGGAGGAGGAGCCTGTTGTGCTTCATGCTGTTTGTCGTCATCGCAGCTTCCACTGCAGGACTGATGGTGAGTTTGTTTGTGTTTCTCTTTTTCCATTTGCAGAACAAAACCACGACGTAACAGGCAGCAGACATGTTTGATTCCTCTGTTTAACCCCCAATTTCCACCGCATCCGGAACGGATACAAAGAGGCCGTATTCGCCGATCATAGCTGATGGAGAAGGCAATCTACCTTTTTCTGACAGAGGACCATGGCCTCGGACTTGGAGGTGCCGATTCACATCCCAGCCGCTTCACACCCGGCCGCGAACCGCCCCAGCAAGAGCTGGAAGTCACTGCTCAACAAAGCTAGAAGAACCACATCATACGCAAAAAGCAGCGACACGATCCTCTGCCTGCCAGACTGGACACCCTCCACCCCCGGCTGTGCCTAGAAATTCTGTCCATAAAGGTTATGAACAGAACCAATGACAAAGGGCAACCCTCACTGGAAACAAGTCCAACTTACAGCCGGCTACATGGACCAAGCTCACGCTCCTTTGGTAAAGGGATTGGACGGCCTTTTACAAGGAACCATCCACCCCATACTCCCAGGGCACCTCCCACAGGATTCCCCTAGGGACATGGTCATAGGCCTTCTCCAAGTCCACAAAACACATGTGGACTGGTTGGGAAAACTCCCATCTCCCCTCAAGAACCCGAGCAAGGGTGAGGAGTTGATCCGTAGTTCCACGAACGGGACGAAAACCGCATTGTTCCTCTTCGATCCGAGGTTCAACTATTAATCTGACCCTCTTTTCCAGCACCCTGGCGTAAGCTTTCCCGGGGAGCCTGAGGAGTGTGATCCCCCGATAGTTGGAAAAAACCCACTGGTCCCCTTCTTAAAGATAGGGACCGCCACTCCAATGGCACTGTCCCCGATTTCCATGCAATGTTGTATAGGCGTGTCAGCCAGGACAACCCCACCACATCCAGAGCCTTCAAATACCCTGGGTGGATATCTGAAGGCTCTGGATGTGGTCACGATTCCTGCCGTCCGTAATCCACCATGAAATTAGTCTACGAATGGATCTGATGAGAATTGGCGTACGGCAAAAATCGCTGCTGTTCCAGATCGGAGCCATTCCGGATGCAGTGGAAATCCCCGATAAGATATGAACTTATCAGAATTCTGCAGACAGCCTCAAGTGGCCACTCAAGGAACTGCAACTTGCACTTCAGAGATGTTATTTGTTACTGGCACTGGTTTACCATTTCCAACCCTACTCCAGACCTGCGCTTATTTCCTGTCACTGAGTTACGTCGGTTTTGTAAAGTCGCGTCTCTTTGTTCTCTCCAGGTCGGGACGTGGAAGCCCGCCCAGGACTCCAAAGGGATCTATGTCTCATGGGTGCTTCTGATCCTGCTCCTCCTCTTCACGTTGGCCAGAGCCATCTACTGGAGGTGTCTGAAAATCAGCGACCCCATTTCCAACATCACGTAGAGGCAGGGAGGGGGAGAGAGAAAGTGAGGCGGTAGGAAGGAAAGAAGGAAGGTAGGAAGGAAAGAAGGAAGGTAGGTAGGAGAAAAGCCAAACTTATCAGTCAAGTTAAGAAGAAAGGTAAGAGAGGAAAGATGATATGCAGTGAAGTAAAGAGAGGATAAAACGATAACGCAGTAAAATAACTGGAGGATTTTTAATCATTTCTTCTTCACCACAAAAAACTAGAGAGAGTTTTTGACGTTTGCAGAGAGATACGCAGACAAATGGATGGAGAGGTGGGTGAATTTAAAGACAAAAATTATAACCCAGTAGTTTTCCTCTACGTTAAGCTAGGATGCTCTTTTAATGCCTGAAGGTGTCGTTTTCAACCCAAGCTAACTCCTGTTGAATCCACGACTTAAATACTATTTTCTCATTTTCATAACCCATAAATTCAGGAGTCTGGGTTCTCCTCCAAGCACTGCAGTTTGTTTGGAAAGATGGATGGAAGGAGGTGTTTTATAGTGTAATAATATCAAACTCATGAACTGAGTGAGTTCAAGTGCTCATTTCTCTAATTTTAAAGGAAACTAAGAACCACTCTTTGTGCAAACTTGTCACTTTGTGTCACTCTCCTTGAGTTTGTCTCTCTAACGGGTCTTTGTTCCTCATGAATCCTTGTGTTAGGACTCGTTTTTTTCTGCTTTGACGACAAGGAATCAAAACTTGTGCTCCCTAAAGGTGTCCACTGAAAACAAATCATGAAAAAATAAATATCAGTACTCTTTCTGGGCAGCAGAGGGCGCCCTCTTCATTTCACTTCTCTCGCTCTCTCATGCTGGGCCATAGTTCTTTAACTGAATGATGATAAAATTGGAGTAATAATGAAAACTAACACAGATGATTCAGATTAAAGATCACAGTAAGTTTGTCCTCATTTCAGAAGACGTTATTTTAAACACACAGATCAAGACGGGACTGTCGGAGTGGAGAACTTCATGAATTTACAGACAGGCATTATTATTTTGTGGAGGCAGCGTCTTGTTGTTGTATTTTCTTTTCCGATCAGCTGTGTTTGCGTCTGTCAGAGCAGTTTTAGGGCATTTCTGGGGCATTTGGTTCAATTAACTCTGAATTTTATTTCAGTCCAACTCTGAAACTTCAAACAGAGGTTTGAGTGAATCTGAAGCCGTCAGAGTCACTGAAATATGCAGTAAATGACCTGAAGAGTGATTCTTGACCGTCTTCTCTCTTCACATCCTGTTGAAATCAAACTGAAGTGAACGGACACGCTCCTCCAACCTCTGCCAGGGTCTCTTTCTCTGTAAATACATTCAGTGGATGTTGATTATTGAAGCTGTACACAAGTGTCCGAGCTCCTGCTTCCCCCTTGTGGCTGATTAATGTACCCGCTGACTGTGAAACCTGTTGCACTACATTGTACTGATGTACTCCTACTGTAAGCTTTGTCCATATTCTGACGGTGGATGGATTTCTTTTTTGTATATGGTGGAACAAAGTAACACTTTTAACAACGTGATCTGGCTCGGATGTGTCTTTTTTTTTTCTCTCAAACAGGAAGTCAAACAGGATCTTAAAGAGTCCAAATATTATTTAATTTAATATAACTATAGTATATAACTTATACTATATAAATTCTAAATAATCATGTTTGAGGCTAAGATAATTGATACAAACTAAAGCAGAGAAAACAGTTCAGTGATATAAAAATGATATTCTGAAAAGTTTTTCACTTTTTTTTCTCTTCTTGTGTCCATAAAAGTTTGAGAAGCAGGTTTAGGTGGAATTTTCCTTTAATGTACTTACAGCTGAGAACCACCAGAGGTCCCTGCTGAGTCAGAAAACTCTTTACACCGAGGAGGGAGAACAACTTTGTTCACAAAATAACTTTGATGTCTGAAAAACTTTTTTACTCAACAATATTTTTATTAGTTTTATACAGATTCATACAGTGCAGTGAGATCTTTAAAGAGCACAAGATACAAACACTCCCTTTCACTCCAGACCCTGTCTATTGCTGTGCTTCAATAACAAATTCTAGAGCTAATAATACTTTTTTTTTTTTAAAAAGGTGCTGCTGGAATTCAGGTTTTATAGACCCTGAGAAGTAAAAAGTAAAAAGAAAATCAGTTAAATGAACTACTGTACGGTAAGAGAAACACAAAGGTAGACAAGTCACTGAAAACTTAGAACGTCCATGAAAGAGAAAAGAAATTATGAAAAAGATTTATAACATCATTAAAAAGGACTGCAGTATAAGAACAGAATCTAACAGGAAACTCTGTCAGAGTTGTTTGACCCTGTAGACATGAGATTGAGAAGAAAGGAGTGACTTTATCATGTTACCAGGGTTACAAAGTGCTTTATCAATGAAAACAAAATAGAAATAAAAGAGAAATGTGAGGAGACCAATGACTCAAAATCTCAAAGGTCACTAACATGGACAAAATTCAACAACAGAGAGATAAAAACAGAAAGAAAAGAAGGACACAAAAACCCTGGACCAGCATGAAGTAGGTTAAAAGTACTATGTGTTTATGTACAAATATAATCACAACATATATTAATATAAACACACTCATACACACATAAACATATATAAATCAAAACAATTCAAAGATCAAACTTGTTGTTGATACTGTTCGGCTCAGAATAAAAGTAGCTTATCAAAGATGAAAACACTTTAAAAGATTATCTTCTCTAAAAGTTTTGTTTTTAAAAGATGATCAGCAGATTTAACCAGAGAGGTCCGTCCTTCCTCGTCTCTCTGCTGCTATGTCTGCTCTGAGTGTCATGATAACTTCCTGTTGGTTAGTTTAGTCCTGTTTTTGTAATACAGTTGTATTTTCCTGTTCTGTGTTCGTTAGTCTTATGTTCTTGTTTCTCACTGTTTGGTTTTTCACTTCCTTATTTCAGAGTAGTCCGTCCCTGTTTATCCGCTCTAGTTTTACTTCTTCAGTTTTCCCTCCTTAGTTAATGAATCATGAGTCCAGTTTAGTCTTTTGTCGAAATAAAACATTTTACGTTCTGTACCTGGGTCCCCTCTCTAGTTTTTGTTTAATCGTAGCACTGATGACCTCTCTCTCCCCCTGGACTCATCCTGCTAAGAGCTCATCCATCTGTGGATCATTGATCGCTTCATAAAACTCCAACAGGACTGAGGCCTGAGTTCAGAGGTCAGAGTACACTCAAAGAGAAGTTTCTTGATCCGTCGGGTTTTTCTCATCTTCTGACCTGTTAAATCTCTTAACATTAGCATTCATTCTCTAGCACACTGATGACAGGACTAACACTGCTGATTAATCGTGATAAAGCCGCGTCTTTGTGATGACTTCAATCCCATTGCTTTTCCTCCTCTTTTTTTCCCGACGATCACAAACAGAAGGACTGCGAGTGATGCAACAGTAAGGAATACAGACCAGAGCAGCTCCTACTATTGTTCCCACTGTAATAACGATGGCGATGTCTTTCAATCCCCACATCTCTGTGTTTAGACTCTCTGCTTCACCCTCAGACCTGCTCTGGTTCTTGGCAGCTGGAAGGAGACAAACAAAGACTTGATCATGTTTCTGTGATTACTGCAGGTCTCAGTTTGCTCTAGTAAAGTCTCTGAAAGTCGTACAGGAGGCAGGACCTTCAGTAATCAGACCCTTCTCCTTTGGAACCATCTACCAATCAGAGTCCAGGATTCAGAGACCCTCTCTACTTTTAGGACCTTCATGTTAAAGTTCATAAAAGGTCTGATTCAGGTTTGGAGAAGATCCAAAGAGAAACAGAACCTGAACTGAACATCTTTTTAAAGTTCTGCTGAGAAATAAATCAACTCACCAGTCACATTGAGAAAACATCTGTCCAAGCTGATCCCAGACTCTGTGAGGACTTCACACTGATACCAGCCTGAGTCTTCAGTCCTGAGTGAGGACACATGAAGTCTGATCTGTCCCTCTTTGAGGACCTCTTTGTCACACTGGACTCGTCCTACAAAGTCTCCCTCCTTCTGTGGGACCTCCACTCCTTTATGGAGATGAAACAGGACTGGGTCTTTCTTATTGTTGAACATGTCACAGAAAATGTTCAGAGTCTGCAGAGAGCTGTCAGGTTTGGGTGTGAAGGTCCACTCCAGGGTGAGGTTCTGGTCCACTTTTGCCTGATAGGAGCTGTTAGTCACTTTGACTACAAGTGTTCCTGTAGAGGAGACAGAGAGGGAAAGAGAGGAGCAGAGAAACACAGGAACATGTGAGTCTTTCAACATCTTTTCTAATGGAAGTGTTCAAGTGTTTCAGTCAGTCTCAAAGTGGATCTCCTCTTTTCTCTTTGTGGAGAAGAAAGTGAAGGTGGAAACCAACCAGAGACACAGACGCTCAGAGCCATGAGCAGCAGGAACCTGGAGACCATCTTCACCCTGTCAGAGGAACCACATGCACACACACACACACACACACACACACACACACACACACATTTTCTGTTATAAGACGTGTTGGTGCTTTCTTTAGGAACAAACAGGTTTCTCCCTTTTTTTTTCTTCTTCCATAATTTGGTCGACTCCTCATTCTGGACTACAAATATTAGACACAGGAAGTGAGTGACATGAAGTAACTGAGTTTCAGGAAGTAACGCCCAGTGCTGCTCAGTGTTCCTGTTATGTGAACAATTGTTGCTGAACTTCACACTGAAACCACCTCCTCACAAGAACAAGAAACCCCCTAAAGTTGAGATCCAGATCTGTCCTCAAACCCGTCCTGAGGACAGATCCAGGTTGATTCTCTGTCTGTTAGTCTTTGGACCGTCCTTCATTATTTCTTTTGTTCTGATGTCTTCATCCAAAGTCTTAGAGACGGACACTTCTGGGTATCTACACTAGAGTCAACACTTTACAGAATAAAGAAAACATTTCTACACTAGATGTCCCGTCAAAGTCAGAAACTGCTGCTGTTTACTGTCAGACTGTTTTGACACTAAAGTCCTGAGACTTTAGGACCAAATCAATGTTTACTTTACAGATTTGATCAGCTGATAAAATCACCAAAAAAGACATTTTCACAGATTATTTCAATCTAAGGTTGAAGAAGTGATCTGTGAGCTTACTTTGGAGACTCTACACCTTTGAATTGTTCAGTTTTTACCGCTCATAACTGGTTTGATGGTTTTTTAATGTGAATATTAGAGTTAAAAAGAAAAGCAGAGCTCCTCTGAAATATTCACTTCATAACTCAATAATGTGGAGCTGATATAAGAAAAGAAGAGAGAAAAACAAACGATAAACTGTGAGATAAGAAGAAAACAGACTTCTTACCTCGTTGTTTCGCTCTTTCTGACAGTTTGCTTCAGCCTCACGTTGACTTTGGTGGTTTCCTGTTTCTGCTCTGAGTGTTTTTTTCTGTAAACGGAAATTCAGTCGGTGGTAAAGTTTTGCACCTCTGCTCTTCAGTTTCATTTGCATTTAAGTCAGATCAGGTCTGAGCCAATGAGCTGTTTTGTTGCGGTTCTCTTAAACACACAAAAAGAGAAGTTCATGTGTTCATAAACCACAGTAATCTTTAGCTGATGTGTCACAGAGTAAGTCAGGAGGACAGAGGGGTGAAAATGATGATACTGAATCTGATCTGATTCTTTCCAAACTCCCTTTGGCCGTTTAGACCAGACACTGAAGCTTAGATTCAAACACAGATCTCTCCATGCAGAGACAAACATCCTTCTTCTTCAGATCTTCTCTGTTCTCACCGTGTTAAAGAAAATGCACAAGTGTGTTTAGATGATGAACATCAACAAGAAAGCAAGCAATCAATGACATTAAGACCTCTCATCATCATCACCAATTGTCTTCACCACAATAAAGACCAAAGTACCAAGTGCTGCTGGGTCACTTAAGACCTGGGTACAAAATCCCAGAAGTAGAACAGGAAAGAAGGTAGTTTGGAAAGAATCAGATCAGATTCAGTATCATCGTTTTTACCCGTCTGTCCTCCTGTAAAACATCAGCTTATGCTTTATGTGTACCTCTTCTTTTAAAGGAAACTAAGAACCACTCTTTGTGCAAACTTGTCACTTTGTGTCACTCTCCTCTAGTTTGTCTCTCTAACGGGTCTTTGTTCCTCATGAATCCTCGTGTTAGGACTCGTTTATTTCTTCCATAAAGACAAGGAATCAAAACTTGTGCTCCCTAAAGGTGTCCACTGAAAACAAAAATCATGAAAAAATAAATATCAGTACTCTTTCTGGGCAGCAGAGGGCGCTTACTTCATTTCACTTCTCTTGGTCTCTCATGCTGGGCCGTAGTTCTTTAACTGAATGATGATAAAATTGGAGTGTTTCCCATCCTGTTGAAGTCAAACTGAAGTGAACGGACACGCTCCTCCAACCTCTGCCAGCGTCTCTTTCTCTGTAAATACATTCAGTGGATGTTGATTATTGAAGCTGTACACAAGTGTCCGAGCTCCTGCTTCCCCCTTGTGGCTGATTAATGTACCCGCTGACTGTGAAACCTGTTGCACTACATTGTACTGATGTACTCCTACTGTAAGCTTTGTCCATATTCTGACGGTGGATGGATTTCTTTTTTGTATATGGTGGAACAAAGTAACACTTTTAACAACGTGATCTGGCTCTGATGTGTCTGTTTTTTTTTCTCTCAAACAGGAAGTCAAACAGGATCTTAAAGAATCCAAATATTTAATTTAATATTGTTTAAGTTCTAAATAATCATGTTTGAGTCTAAGATGATTGATTCAAACTAAAGCAGAGAAAACAGTTCAATGATATAAAAATGATATTCTGAAAAGTTTTTCACCCTCTTTTTTTCTTGTGTCCATAAAAGTTTGAGACGCAGGTTTAGGTGGAATTTTCCTTTATTTTACTTACAGCTGAGAACCACCAGAGGTCCCTGCTGAGTCAGAAAACTCTTCACACTGAGGAGGGAGAACAACTTAATTCACAAAACAACATAGATGTCTGAAAAACTTTTTTAATCAACAATATTTTTATTAGTTATATACAGATTCATACAGTGCAGTGAGATCTTTAAAGAGCACAAGATACAAAAGAAACATTAATAACAAACACCCCCTTTCACTCCAGACCCTGTCTACTGCTAAATATAACAAATTCTGGAGCTAATAATAAAAAAATAATAAAAAAAACAAGTCAGTGCTGGAATTCAGGTTTTATAGACCCTGAGAAGTAAAAAGTAAAAAGAAAATCAGTTAAATGAACTACTGTACGGTAAGAGAAACACAAAGGTAGACAAGTCACTGAAAACTTAGAACGTCCATGAAAGAGAAAAGAAATTATGAAAAACATTTATAACATCATTAAAAAGGACTGCAGTATAAGAACAGAATCTGACAGGAAACTCTGTCAGAGTTGTTTGACCCTGTAGACATGAGGTAGAAAAGTAAGGACTGACTTTATAGTGTTACCATGGTTACAAAGTGCTTTATCAATGAAAACAAAATAGAAATAAAAGAGAAATGTGAGGAGACCAATGACTCAAAATCTCAAAGTTCACCAACACGGACAAGATTCAACAACATTAGAGATAAAAACAGAAAGAAAAAGGTCATGTCAAAAAAGAAGGACACAAAAACCCTGGACCAGAATAGAGCAGGTGAAAAGACTATGTTTAAATGCACATATGTACAAATACCATAGACTGTATATACTTATATGTATTTCTATATACAGTCTATGAAAAATACAGACACATCAAATATTACATATGTATAACATATATAAACACTTCAAAGATCAAACATGTTTTTGTTGATACCATTCGGCTCAGAATAAAAGCAGCTTATCAAAGATGAAAACACTTTCAGAGATCATGTCAGTCAGTCTCTGTGTATCCACTCTAGTTTTTCCTCCTCTGCTTTTCCTCCTTAGTTAATCCCTCATGAGTCTCACCTGCGTGTTGTCTGCCTGACCTGTTGCTTGTCTCCCTGCCCACCCCCACCCCCCACTCTTCCTGGTTTTCCTGGTGCCTCTTTGTTCTACCTGGATTTCTGCTCCTTGTGTTTTTGGTTATTTAGATTTTTCTTTTTGACCTTTTCTGTTTGAGGTAAGTTTGTTGATTCAAGTTTAGTCTTTTGTTGAATAAAACATTTTAGTCCCACTACACTCGGCCTGCTAAGCGCTCATCCATCTGTGGGATGTCGATCACTTCTTAAACTCAAAAAGGACTGAGGACTGAGTTCAGAGGTCACGGTACACTCAATGAGAAGTTTGTTGATCTATAAGTTTTTTTCTCGTCTTCTGACCCGTCAAATCTCTTCACATTCACATTCACTCTCTAGCACACTGATGACATGACATGATTGATGCTGCTGATTAACCACAATAAGTTCGCATTTTGTTACGACTTCAGTCTCATTACTACTCCTCCTCCTATTCCTCCAAATTTTGTCCCTACAGCTAGAAACAGGACGAGAGCGAGTGATGCAACGGTAAAGAAAAAAGATCAGAGCAGCTCCTGCGATTGTTCCCAGTGTAACGATGACGATGTCTATCCTTCCCAACACCACTGTGTTTGGACCCTCTGCTTCACACTCAGACCTGCTCTGGTTCTTGGCTGCTGGAAGGAGACAAACAAAGACTTGATCATGTTTCTGTGATTACTGCAGGTCTCAGTTTGCTCTAGTAAAGTCTCTGAAAGTCGTACAGGAGGCAGGACCTTCAGTAATCAGACCCTTCTCCTTTGGAACCATCTACCAATCAGGGTCCAGGATTCAGAGACCCTCTCTCCTTTTAGGACCTTCATGTTAAAGCTCATAAAAGGTCTGATTCAGGTTTAGAGAAGATCCAAAGAGAAACAGAACCTGAACTGAACGTCTTTAAAGTTCTGCTGAGAAATAAATCAACTCACCAGTCACATTGAGGGAACATCTGTCCAAGCTCTTCCCGTACTCTGTGAGGACATCACACTGATACCAGCCTGAGTCTTCAGTCTTGAGTGAGGACAGATGAAGTCTGATCTGTCCCTCTTTGAGGACCTCTTTGTCACACTGGACTCGACCTACAAAGTCTCCCTCTTTCTGTGGGACCTCCACTCCTTTATGAAGATTAAGCAAAACTAGGTCTTTCTGAGGGTTGAACATGGAACAGAAAATGTTCAGAGTCTGCAGAGAGCTGTCAGGTCTGGGTGTGAAGGTCCACTCCAGGGTGAGGTCCTGGTCCACTTCTGCCTGATAGGAGCTGTGAGCCACTTTGACTACAAGTGTTCCTGTAGAGGAGACAGAGAGGGAAAGAGAGGAGCAGAAAAACACAGGAACATGTGAGTCTTTCAACATCTTTTCTAATGGAAGTGTTCAAGTGTTTCAGTCAGTCTCAAAGTGGATCTCCTCTTTTCTCTTTGTGGAGAAGAAAGTGAAGGTGGAAACCAACCAGAGACACAGACGCTCAGAGCCATGAGCAGCAGGAACCTGGAGACCATCTTCACCCTGTCAGAGGAACCACACACACACACACACACACACACACACACACACACACACACACACACACACACACACACACACACACACACACAGAGACAAAGTCAGTGCCACATCTACAGTCTGTAGTCATTCAAACTCTCATTGTACGTCTTAATCTGAAGAAAACATTAAAGCTGCACTCCTTCGTTTTTGACACTAGGGGGCGCCCACTCATCAAACTCAACACAACCAGGAAGAGACAGGAGAACAGACTGATGATTCTGAACTGAAATGTTTACAGTGATCATGTTAGTCCAGCTGATTTCATCTCCCCTCCAAACATCATCGATAATTCATCATTTTTCTCCTTATTGATTCACATTTCCTCATTTATTCACTTCTTCACCTCAGGTCCATCTTCTTTAACTGATAACGACCTTTATCCTACAAATACGAATTCAACACAAACTATGAGTTTATTATAAATGCACTTAGAGGTGCAGTGTGCTCGGTGCATTGTTCTTAAAAACTGCACCAATGAAACAACAGTTTAGAGACAGTCGCAGATATCCGAACAAAACCACAGAGAGTGACGATGTTTGTTTTCATAACACTTCCTCATTCGCCATTTCTAATGATCCACAACACAGCTGTACTTCAACGAGTAAAACTTCAATTCGACGAATCGATTAAACTTTCTAAAAGACAACCGACTTCGACTACAACAAAAATTTGAACCTTTTTCATCCACTAACTCCATAAGTACAGCTGATAAACAAACTCTGAGCAGATTTGAGGTTTACTGACGATCGTTTAAGGAGTTTATGAACACAGACGAACAACAACAACAGACTGACAACACGGAAGGATATAGATATATATATTCATAATAAAACACCTGTCAGGGTTGGATTAAGTACTCACGTTTGTATCAGAGTCAGCAGGTCAGGTTGAAGACTGCAAAACTTTTACAGTATTCGGGTCAGCTGCAGACGGTCTTTGTTTAAAAAAAAACATGGCGGTAATGTCGACGAGGGGAGGAGCTGCAGAAACGTCAAAACGAAAGTGAAAGTTAAACTGCTGTATTTGGATGTTACAGATTTGAATCAGAACCTAGCTGGTATATGTGGTGATTTCTAATCCTAACATTTGAAGGGTTTTCTCTCTCTGTATTATCACTTTAATTATCATCAGTGGAGGACAAAGACTTCTGTCATCTTTCCCACTTTCAGAGAGAATCATCAACATGTCAGAGATCACAGATTTACTCTCTTTTTGATCCTGATGCTTGAAGCTTTTTCCTGAAGTTATTTTGACTTTTGAAGAGAAAAGTTGTTGACAGTGAAAAATGACTTTTCCTCACATGAACTTTCAGTCTGAGTTTGGAGTTTGAACAGCTGCTAAACCCTTTAGGTTGTCTAGCAGTTTCTACATCAGAGTATTAGGACCACATTAAGAGAGAAGAAAATAATAAAACTTAAATATTAAAATAATTACTCATGAGAATAAAGTCAGAATAAAGTCTTTACATTCTAACCTGTTGTTTGAGATGAGAGTTGTTGAATTGTGAGTCGTGGGACATTTCGTGAAAATGTAGACTACTTCAATAAAGGTTTCACAAACAAGGAGCTTTTATTTGATCCTGAAATAATCAGTAATAACAACAATAAAAGGTTGAAGTCTCTCCAAACTGAACAATTCAAAGGTGTAGAGTCTCCAAAGTAAACTCACAGATCACTTCTTCAACCTCAGATTGAAATAATCTGTGAAAATGTCTTTTTGGTGATTTTATCAGCTGATCAAATCTGTAAAGTAAACATTGATTTGGTCCTAAAGTCTCAGGACTTTAGTGTCAAAACAGTCTGACAGTAAACAGCAGCAGTTTCTGACTTTGACGGTGGTGCAAAGCAAACACCCTAACAGTTCATGCAATAAGATGATAAACTAACCCACTGTCGCACAGTTAGGCAGTTATAAAGATGATCTGATGCTATCAGTGTGGAGTTAAGACAGAGTATGGGGTCAGCTTGGATGAATGTTATCTCAATGTGATCGGTGAGTTGATTTATTTCCCAGCAGAACTTTAAAAAGACGTTCAGTTCAGTTTCTGTTTGTTTTTGGATCCAGAAGAATCTGAGATTAAAGTATCATTGAGGTTTTTATGGACCTGTTCCTGTTGATCTCTTGTGTTTGTTTATTCTTCTCCTGAATGACTCTAACCTGTTGGTCTCTCTACAGGAAAGACTGATCTCCTTGTTGAAGGGACACTGTTGGCAGCAGCATTTATAGGTTTGCTCTCTGTTTGTTCCTTACTCTGAGATGAAAATGGACAACCTGCAGATTCCAAGTTCAGACAGGACTGTGAGCAGGTAACCAGATAGCAGCTGTTCAAACTCCAAACTCAGACTGTAAGTTCATGTGAGGAAAAGTCATTTTTCACTGTCAACAACTTTTCTCTTCAAAAGTCAAAGAAACTTCAGGAAAAAGCTTCAAACATCAGGATCAAAAAGAGAGTAAATCTGTGATCTCTGACATGTTGATGATTCTCTCTGAAAGTGTGGGAAAGATGACAGAAGTCTTTGTCCTCCACTGATGATAATACAGAGAGAGAAACATTGAAATGTTAGGATTAGAAATCACCACATATACCAGCTGGGTTCTGACTAGTGAAGGGTTGATATCTGTATCATTAAAAACAGTCCAACACAGATAAAACTGTCACACCAAGACTTGATACTGTCACAGAATTTAGTGCTAACATGAGGACAGAGATGACAGGGCGGCCCTCATGGACTTGGTCTCATAAACTTATGAAGTAAATACAGTAAACTCTGAATTCAGTCCAGACTACCTGCCACTGTCTATTTACTTTGGGCAAAAACTACAGAGATGACACTACACATATGAATCATGTCAAACAGGGACAAACTTTCAGACCTGCTTGACTGTTTTCACATCATCGTGTATCTGTCCTGTGATTCACTTCTGTTTAAAGAGGGCGTTTCATGCTTTCACACATTTGTTCAGGGTGCATATAAAGGTTGGCAAATGTTCCAACTGTGAGGTAAACATTTGTTGTGATAATCCTAGAAAATAGAAGAGAATTGCTCTAAGCACGTTGTCACAAAATCACACCTGCAACGCTCCACGCCCTCTTTTCTTGGACAACATCCAGTCCACATGTGTCAACAGGCGGTCTACCTGTGTTCAAACACTGTTACACTCTATGGTGTTTTGTTCGGATATCTGCGACTGTCTCTAAACTGTTGTTTCATTGGTGCTGTTTTCAATAACAATGCACCGAGCACACTGCACCTCTAAGTGCATTTATAATAAACTCATAGTTTGTGGTGAATTCGTATTTGTAGGATAAAGATCGTTGTCAGTTAAAGAAGACGGACCTGAGGTGAAGAAGTGAATAAATGAGGAAATGTGAATCAATAAGGAGAAAAATGATGAATTATCGATGATGTTTGGAGGGGAGATGAAATCAGCTGGACTAACATGATCACTGTAAACATTTTAGTTCAGAATCATCAGTCTGTTCTCGTGTCTCTTCCTGGTTGTGTAGAGTTTGATGAGTGGGCGCCCCCTAGTGTCCAAAACAAATGAGTTCAGTTTTAATATTGTCTTCAGATTTAGACATAATAAAGGTTTAAATGACAACAGACAGACTGTAGATGATAACACTGACCTTTGACCTGCTGTGTGTGTGTGTGTGTGTGTGTGTGTGTGTGTGTGTGTGTGTCCTCTGACAGGATGAAGATGGTTTCCTGGTTCCTGCTGCTTTCTCTGAGTGTTCCACTCTCTGACTGTCCCTGGACTCGGGTCAGTGGTGGGCCCTCAGGGTCAGCAAGGCCTTCTCAGCAGGCATAAGAATACTCAGAAAGATACATTTATTCACTTATTTTTCCACACGTATTTAAATAATATTATTCTCTATAGTCTGTTCTCTTTGTGTCATATTATATCCACTTGGTTGAGCTGTTTCCAATGTTGTAGATCATGATAGAATTTCTTATCCAATCATATTTCAGCTCGCTTCTGTTGTCAGGTGCTGTAAAATCTGCCCCTTCAGAATCAACAGAGCAGACTCCTTTAAATGAACGGACACAGTCAGTTCCAACGGCCAATCAGATCTCGAGTCTGCGACATCAAGGCCAGCTCGAAGGTCTTACGTTGAACTGGACATGCACGCGTCCTGTGATTGGATAAAGCGCTCGAGAGAACATGAAAGGCGGTACTTTGAAAAATATCGACCTAAACCCAGAGAGCCGTTAGCTACCGACAGTTGTCGCTGTATTTGTCTGTATGGGAACACGACCGGACAGACACGGCTTTTAGCGTTAGAAAAGGACTTGTTGATGGACCTGAAATTAAACAACAGAGAGGTTTAAGTCAGAAAAGAAAGGAGGACAGATTTTATCTTCGAATAAACAGACGCTGTGGAGGAGATCCGTACTGGTGAGTTCAAGCTTTATATTTTTAACGGCGACGATGCGCAGTTTGTCGGTGAGCTAACATAGCTTACGTTTACAGGCCTTTTGTTGACTAATATATTCAAATCGTCTTTTATTGTTGAGTTTTGACAGTATCTGTGATCTTATCTGTTTCCTACTCTTAACTGTGAATATGTCCTTATTGGTTTTAAACGCTCCGGAAATGCAGTGTTTCTCGACTAGCTTATATTAAGGGACTGGGAAAAACAAACTGCTCACCATTAAAAGCGGTGGTATCTATGGTGTTATGGTGAATTAGAGCGGTTAAGGATAGCTTTACTGTCTGACTCTTTTATTTGTTTCTTCACTTTGTCAACTTCTCCACTCGGATTTTTAGCAACCGAGGCTAACGGCTAACTTCGCTTATGGTGCATTCAGGTGCTCCGCGGATGCTCGGAATTTCCACAACAGGACGTTATTTATTAGTTAAGCAATTCCAAGACATGACGTGAAAACAACATTAACAAAAACAAATGGAAAATATATGGTTTTACACCATGTAGGCGTTAATATGATAGTGAGTGATGTCACTGAAGTGTCTCCCTGTTCTCTCCAGGTCGGGATGTTGAAGCCCGCCCAGGACTCTAAAGGGATCTACGTCTCATGGGTTCTTCTGATCCTGCTGAAAATCAGCGACCCCATTTCCAAGATCACGTAGATATGGAGAGGGGGAGAGAGAAAGTGAGAAGGTAGGAAAGAAGGAAGGAAGGTAGGTTGGAAGAAAAGCCAAACTTATTTGTGAAGTCACGAGAAAAAGATAAGAGAGTAAAGATGATATGCAGCGAAGTAAATAGAGGATAAAACGATAACGCAGTAAAATAACTGGAGGATTTTTAATCATTTCTTCTTCACCACAAAAAACTAGAGAGAGTTTTTGAAGTTTGCAGAGAGATATGCAGACAAATGGATGGAGAGGTGGGTGAATTTAAAGAAAGACAAAAATTGTAACCCAGTAGCTTCCCTCTTCAAACAGAAAGTCAAACAGGATCTTAAAGAGTCCAAATATTGTTTAATCTGTATTTTTTCAGTTATGCTAACTCCTCAACTACCTTTAGTAGAAATGTAGAAATGTTCAAAAACTAAAAAAGTTCTAATAATCCTGTTTGAGTCAAAGATGTTTGATACTGAAGCAGAGAAAACCGTTTATTGATGTAAAGATGATTTTCTGAAAAGTTTTTCACTTTTTTTTCCCTCACGTCCAAAAAAGTTTGAGAAACAGTTTTAGGTGGAATTTTCGTTTAATGTACTTGTACTAATGTAATGTGGCTGAGAACCACCAGAGGTCCCTGCTGAGTCAGAAAACTCTTTACATTGAGTGAGGAGAACAACTTTATTGACAAGATAACTTGGATGTCTGAAAACCTCAAGTAACATCATTGAAAGTGACTGTGCAGTACAGCTTTATCAGTACAGAACAGAATCTAACAGGAAACTCTCTCTCTAAAACAAAATAGAAAAAAAAAGTGAGGAGTACAATGACTCAATATCTCAAAGTTCACCAACACGGACAAGATTCAACAACATCAGAGATAAAAAAACAGAAAGAAAAAGAGATAGTGTCAAAAAAGAAGGACACAAAAAACCTGGACCAGCATGAAACAGGTAAAAAGGACTATATGTTTAAATGCAATTATGCAAAAATACAAACACAACATATATTAATATATATAACATGTATAACTCAAAAGATCAAACATGTTGATACCACTCGGCTTAGAATAAAAGCAGTTTATCAAAGATGAAAACACGTCCAGAGATCATCTTCTGTAAAAAAGTGTTTTTTAAAAGATGATCAGCAGATTTAACCAGAGAGGTCCATCCTTCCTCCACTCTCTGCTGCTATGTCTGCTCTGAGAGTCCGTTTCCCTGCAAAGGTAGGCCCGTCAGTTCTCTTACAGTTACATTCCCATTTGGCACAGTGATGTGAAGACTGATGAGGCTGCCATTTCGAACTTCCCCAGAATCATGGCCACAAACAGGAAGAAAGCGAGTGATGCAACAGTAAAGAATAAAGATCAAAATAGTTCCTAATATTGTTACCATTGTAATGATGATGATGATGTGTTTCAATCTTTCCATCTCTGTGTTTGTCTTCTCTGCTTCACCCTCAGACCAGTTCTGGTTCTTGGCTGCTGGAAGGAGACAAACAAAGACTTGATCATGTTTCTGTGATTACTGCAGGTCTCAGTTTGCTCTAGTAAAGTCTCTGAAAGTCATACAGGAGGCAGGACCTTCAGTAATCAGACCCTTCTCCTTTGGAACCATCTACCAATCAGGGTCCAGGATTCATAGACCCTCTCTACTTTTAGGACCTTCATGTTAAAGCTCATAAAAGGTCTGATTCAGGTTTGGAGAAGATCCAAAGAGAAACAGAACCTGAACTGAACATCTTTTTAAAGTTCTGCTGAGAAATAAATCAACTCACCGATCACATTTAGATAACATCTGTCCAAGCTGCTCCCATATTCAGTGAGGACTTCACACCGATACCAGCCTGAGTCTTCAGTCTTGAGTGAGGACACATGAAGTCTGATCTGTCCCTCTTTGAGGACCTCTTTTTCACACTGGACTCGTCCTACAAAGTCTCCCTCCTTCTGTGGGACCTCAACTCCTTCATGGAGATGGAACAAGACTAAGTCTTTCTGTGGGTTGACCATGGAACAGAAAATGTTCAGAGTCTTCAGAGAGCTGTCAGGTTTGGGTGTGAAGGTCCACTCCAGGGTGAGGTTCTGGTCCACTTTTGCCTGATAGGATCTGTGAGCCGCATTGACTACAAGTGTTCCTGTAGAGAAGACAGAGAGGGAAAGAGAGGAGCAGAAAAACACAGGAACATGTGAGTCTTTCAACATCTTTTCTAATGGAAGTGTTCAAGTGTTTCAGTCAGTCTCAAAGTGGATCTCCTCTTTTCTCTTTGTGGAGAAGAAAGTGAAGGTGGAAACCAACCAGAGACACAGACGCTCAGAGCCATGAGCAGCAGGAACCTGGAGACCATCTTCACCCTGTCAGAGGAACCACACACACTTTATGTTATTATGCAGTGTTTGTGCTTCCTTTAGGAACAAACAGGTTTCCCAGTTTTTTCTTCTTCTTCCATAATTTGGTCGACTCCTCATACTGGACTACAGACATCTGACACTCACACAAACTCATCTGCGTCAGTGAATCACTCATTCATCTTAAAACATCCAGTTTAGACCCACAGACCAAGAAACCATCTGAACTCTCTGAACAACTTTCTACTGCTGAGACTAACAGACAGGAAGTGAGTGACATGAAGTAAATAAGTTTGAGGAAGTAACACCCAGTGCTGCTCAAGGTATCTGTTAATGTGAACAATTGTTGCTGAACTTCACACTGAAACCACCTCCTCACAAGAATTAGAATGAAAGTTTTCGGTCTAAACCTTCTAAAGCTGAGATCTAGATCTGTCCTCAAACCCGTCCTGAGGACAGATCCAGGTTGATTCTCTGTCTGTTAGTCTTTGGACCGTCCTTCATTATTTCTATTGTTCTGATGTCTTCATCCAAAGTCTTAGAGACGGACACTTCTGGGTATCTAAACTAGAGTCAACACTTTACAGAATAAAGACAACATTTCTACACTAGATGTCCCGTCAAAGTCAGAAACTTTACAGATTTGATCAGCTGATAAAATCACCAAAAAGACATTTTTTAATGTGAATATTAGAGTTAAAAAGAAAAGCAGAGCTCCTCTGAAATAATATTCGCTTAATAACTCTCTCATTAATGTGGAGCTTTGATAAGAAAAGAAGAGAGAAAAACAAACAATAAACGGTGAAATAAGAAGAAAATAGACCTCTTACCATGTAGTTCGCTGTTTCTCACAGTTTGCTGTTTCTGCTCTGAGTTTTTTTTTCAGTCTGTCGTGAAGTTTTGCCCTTCTGCTCTTCAGTTTCATTGGCTGTCACATTTAAGTCATATCAGGTCTGAACCAATGAGCTGTTTTGTTGCAGTTCTCTTAAACACACAAAAAAAGAAGTTCATGTGTTAATAAACCACAGTAATCTTTAGCTGATGTGTCACAGAGTAAGTCAGGAGGACAGACGGGTAAAAACGATGATACTGAATCTGATCAGATTCTTTCCAAACTCCCTTTGACCGTTTAGACCAGACACTGAAACTTAGATTCAAACACAGATCTCTCCATGCAGAGACAAACATCCTTCTTCTTCAGATCTTCTCTGTTCTCACCGTGTTAAAGGAAATGCACAAGTGTGTTTAGATGATGAACATCAACAATAAAGCAAACAATCAATGATATTAAGAACTCTCATCATCATCACCAATTGTCTTCACCACAATAAAGACCAAAGTACCAAGTGCTGCTGGGTCACTTAAGACCTGGGTACACAATCCCAGAAGTAGAACAGGAAAGAAGGTAGTTTGGAAAGAATCAGATCAGATTCAGTAACATCGTTTTTACCCGTCTGTCCTCCTGTAAAACATCAGCTAAAGATTACTTTGCTTTATGGACACATGAACTTCTCCTCTCACTTCAGTTTGAGTGTATCTGTGTGTACCTCTTCTTTTATAGGAAACTAAGAACCACTCTTTGTGCAAACTTGTCACTTTGTGTCACTCTCCTTTAGTTTGTCTCTCTAACGGGTCTTTGTTCCTCATGAATCCTCGTGTTAGGACTAGTTTATTTCTTCCATAAAGACAAGGAATCAAAACTTGTGCTCACTAAAGGTGTCCACTGAAAAAAAATCATGAAAAAATAAATATCAGTACTCTTTCTGGACAGCAGAGGGCGCTTACTTCATTTCACTTCTCTTGGTCTCTCGTACTGGGCCGTAGTTCTTTAACTGAATGATGATAAAATTGGAGTGTTTCCCATCCTGTTGAAGTCAAACTGAAGTGAACGGACACGCTCCTCCAACCTCTGCCAGGGTCTGCTCTGGCTTTCATGTGTCTGTTTTTTTTCTCTCAAACAGGAAGTCAAAGAGGATCTTAAAGAGTCCAAATATTATTTCATCTGTTTTTTACAGTAAAGCTAACTCCTCAACTTCCTTTGGTATAAATGTAGAAATGTTTAAAAACTATAAAAAAAACAAAAAACTATTGTGTCCATAAAAGTTTGAGAAGCAGGTTTAGGTGGAATTTTCCTTTATTTTACTGACAGCTGAGAACCACCAGAGGTCCCTGTTGAGTCAGAAAACTCTTCACACTGAGGCGGGAGAACAACTTTATTCACAAAATAACATAGATGTCTGAAAAACTTATTACTCAACAATATTTTTACAGGTTTATACAGATTCATACAGTGCAGTGAGCTCTTTAAAGAGCACAAGAAGCGCTGGAATTCGGGTTTTATAGACCCTGAAAAATAAAAAGTAAAAAGAAAATCAGTTAAATGAAATACTGTACGTTAAGAGAAACACAAAGGTAGACAAGTCACTGAAAACTAAAAAAGTCCATAAAAGAGAAAAGAATTTATGAAAAACATTTATAACATCATTAGAAAGAACTGCAGTTTAAGTACAGAATCTAACAGGAAACACTGTCAGAGTTGTTTGAACCTGTAGACATGAGATTGAGAAGTAAGGAGTGACTTTATAGTGTTACCATGGTTACAAAGTGCTTTATAAATGAAAACAAAATAGAAATAAAAGAGAAATGTGAGGAGACCAATGACTCAAAATCTCAAAGGTCACTAACATGGACAAGATTCAACAACATCAGAGATAAAAACAGAAAGAAAAGGAGATCATGTCAAAAAAGAAGGTCACAAAAAATCTGGACCAGCATGAAGCAGGTTAAAAAGGACTATATGTGTAAATGCACATCTGTACAAATACAAACACAATGTTAGTGTTATATAGTGAGTAGTGCGGGTAACGTAACGTGAAAGTAACAGCATAGCTTCATGAGTGGCAAGAGAGTCAGGGTAACAGCAAAAGTGTGCGTGCGAGCATGAGTGTGTTAGTGTGTGTGTGTGTGTAAAAAAGAAGAAAAAAATAGATTAAAAAAAAGAACGAGCTCACAAATGAAAATAGTGATTCAACTTGATGCTTGTATTGATGTTTTCTCTAAATTGTTCGAATGTAACTCAAGTTTAGCTGCTCTGTGTGTCAGTCTCTCTGTGTGGAATATATCACTCATTAATCTTATAGTTTAAGGCTAAAAACTCACAAAAGTCTGTTGTAGCTAATTAGCATTGTCCTTGTTCCTTTGGTTTTAGTAAAAGACTCCTAAAATGATCACAACTTTCACCGCAATTTTTCAGAAAAGCTGCTGCAAAATCTGGTATTTTAGACCGAAACAATCACAAAAAAAATCCTGGCTAATCCAGGAGGGACTGGTTAATACAAACACTATCATACACACATTAACATCTATAAATCAAAAAACTTCAAGAAGAAAGATCAAACTTGTTATACTGTTCAACTCAGAATAAAAGCAGCTGATCAAAGATGAAAACACATCCATAGATCATCTTCTGTAAAAAAGTGTTTTTAAAATATGATCAGCAGATTTAACCAGAGAGGTCCTTCCTCGTCTCTCTGCTGCTATGTCTGCTCTGAGTGTCATGATAACTTCCTGTTGGTTAGTTTATTCCTGTTTTTGTAATACAGTTGTATTTTTTTCAAGTTTGTCTTTCTCTGCTCAGAGCTCATCCATCTGTGGATCGCTTTATAACAGTCCAACAGGACTGAGGCCTGAGTTCAGAGGTCACGGTACACTCAAAGAGAAGTTTCTTGATCCGTCGGGTTTCTCTCGTCTTCTGACCCATCCAATCTATTTACATTAAAATTTTCTCTCTCTCGCACACTGGCAGGACTAGTGCTGCTGTTACTTCTAACTTGTTGAAACTGTGTCTTTTCTGTGACTTCAGTCCCATTAACTTCAGGACCACGGCTACTAACAGGAGGACTGCTAGTGATGCAAAGGCAAGGAATACAGACCAGAGCAGCAGTTCCTGCTGTTGTTCCCAGTAAAATGATAATGATGTGTTTCCATCTGTCCATCATGGTGTTTGGACTCGCTGCTTCACACTCAGACCTGCTCTGGTTCTTGGCTGCTGGAAGGAGACAAACAAAGACTTGATCATGTTTCTGTGATTACTGCAGGTCTCAGTTTGCTCTAGTAAAGTCTCTGAAAGTCGTACAGGAGGCAGGACCTTCAGTGATCAGACCCTTCTCCTTTGGAACCATCTACCAATCAGGGTCCAGGATTCAGGGACCCTCTCTACTTTTAGGACCTTCATGTTAAAGTTCATAAAAGGTCTGATTCAGGTTTAGAGAAGATCCAAAGAGAAACAGAACCTGAACTGAACGTCTTTTTAAAGTTCTGCTGAGAAATAAATCAACTCACCAGTCACACTGAGATAAAATCTGTCCCAGCTCTTCTCGTGCTCAGTGAGGACATCACACTGATACCAGCCTGAGTCTTCAGTCCTGAGTGAGGACACATCAAGTCTGATCCGTCCCTCTCTGAGGTCCTCTTTGTCACACCGGACTCGTCCTTCAAAGTCTCTCTTCTTCTGTGGGACCTCCGCTCCTTTATGGAGATGGAACAGGACTGAGTATTTCTGATTGTTGAACATACTACAGACAATGTTCAGAGTCTGCAGAGAGCTGTCAGGTATGAGTGTGAAGGCCCACTCCAGGGTGAGGTTCTGGTCCACTTCTGCTTGACAGGATCTGTGAGCCGCATTGACCACAAGTGTTCCTGTAGAGGAGACCGAGAGGGAAAGAGAGGAGCAGAGAAACACAGGAACATGTGAGTCTTTCAACATCTTTTCTAATGGAAGTGTTCAAGTGTTTCAGTCAGTCTCAAAGTGGATCTCCTCTTTTCTCTTTGTGGAGAAGAAAGTGAAGGTGGAAACCAACCAGAGACACAGACGCTCAGAGCCATGAGCAGCAGGAACCTGGAGACCATCTTCACCCTGTCAGAGGAACCACACACAGACAGCAGGTCAAAGGTCAGTGTTATCGTCTTCAGTCTGTCTGTTGTCATTTGTTCTCTCATTATAGGTCTAAATCCGAATGTCACAAGAATGAAAGTTTTCTGTCTAACGCCCTTTGGCTGAGATCCAGATCTGTCCTCAAACCCGTCCCGAGGACAGATCCAGGGTGATTCTCTCTGTTAGTCTTTGGACCGTCCTTCATTATTTCTATTGTTCTGATGTCTTCATCCAAAGTCTTAGAGACGGACACTTCTGGGTATCTACACTAGAGTCAACACTTTACAGAATAAAGAAAACATTTCTACACTAGATGTCCCGTCAAAGTCAGAAACTGCTGCTGTTTCCTGTCAGACTGTTTTGACACTAAAGTCCTGAGACTTAAGGACCAAATCAATGTTTACTTTACAGATTTGATCAGCTGATAAAATCACCAAAAAGACATTTTCACAGATTATTTCAGTCTAAGGTTGAAGAAGTGATCTGTGAGTTTACTTTGGAGACTCTACACCTTTGAATTGTGCAGTTTTTACCGCTAATAACTTGTTTGATGGTTTTTTAATGTGAATATCAGAGTTAAAAAGAAAAACAGAGAAAAACAAACGATAAGCGGTGAAATAAGAGGAAATCATTCTTCTTACCTCGTTGTTCGCTCTTTCTCACAGTTTGCTGTCGACTCAAGTTGACTCTGTTGTTTCCTGTTTCTGCTCTGAATGTTTATTCTCTGTAAACAGAATCTCAATGAGCCACGATGCAGTTTCTGCAGTTAAATTTCGTTTTCTGTCACATTCTAATCTGCCACACCTGTCGCTGGGGGGCAGATTAGAATGCCACTCCTTATTTCTTCTGCATTGAATTATAGGTAAATGTTTATGCTGTTAGGTAGAAGTTAGCTGACGTTTTTTCTTGCTAGGATTACAAGTGGCCTCTCAGCCACTGACCTCACTCCTCAGTTTGTATGAAGCAAAACCGACTGAACTGATGCCTGATAACATTATATAACTCCTATTTTGTGTGTGTGTGTGTGTGTGTGTGTGTGTGTGTGTGTGTGTGGTTGTGCAGACAGACATCATCATGGATATAAGATATTTTTTCTGAAAAAACAGAGCCAGGTGCAGTTAAGAGTGTGTGATCACTTGGATCAGTTTATCAATTTACATCACTTTATTTAGATACATATAAATATATATATAAAATCTGTGAAAATGTCTTTTTGTGATTTTATCAGCCGATCAAATCTGTAAAGTAAACATTGATTTGGTCCTAAAGTCTCAGGACTTTAGTGTCAAAACAGTCTGACAGGAAACAGCAGCAGTTTCTGACTCTGACGGGACATCTAGTGTAGAAATGTTTTCTTTATTCTGTAAAGTGTTGACTCTAGTGTAGATACCCAGAAGTGTCCGTCTCTAAGACAATAGAAATAATGAAGGACGGTCCAAAGACTAACAGAGAAAGAATCATCCTGGATCTGTCCTCGGGACGGGTTTGAGGACAGATCTGGATCTCAGCCAAAGGGCGTTAGACTGAAAACTTTCACTTTTGTTCTTGTGAAGTGGTGATACTGCTGTGGGCAGTTCAGCATTGACTGATTTTCATAAGACACACCTTTAACAGCCTGCTGGGCACCCAATCATCAACCTCTTCCTGGTTGTGTAGAGTTTAATGAGTGGACACCCCCTAGTGTCAGAAACTAATGAGTGCAGCTTAAATGTTGCTCTCTGACTGTCCCTGGATTTATCCTCACGTAGTAGCTGTAAATTTAATTTCTCCACTTCATAAGTCAGTGGTGGGCCCTCAGGGTCAGCAAGGCCCTCTCGGCAGACCTAAGCATACTGAGAAACATACATTTATTGATTTATTTTTTCATAAATGTAAATAAAATTATTCTCTATAGTCTGTTCTCTTTGTGTCGTATTATATCCACTTGGTTGAGCAGTTTCCCATGTTGTATGTTACGATAGAATTTCTTATCCAATCATATTTCAGCTAGCTTCTGTTGTCAGGTCCTATAAAATCTGCCTTCAGAATCAACAGAGCAGACTCCTTTAAATGAACGGACACAGTCAGTTCCAACAGCCAATCAGATCTCTTATCAGCGACATCAAGGCCAGATAGAAGGTCTTACGTTGAACTGGACACGTACGCGTCCTGTGATTGGATAAAGCGCTCGAGAGAACATGAAAGGCGGTACTTTGAAAAATATCGAACTAAACCCGGAGAGCCGTTAGCTACCGACAGTTATCGCTGTATTTGTCTGTATGGGAACACGACCGGACAGACACGGCTTTTGGCGTTAGAAAAGGACTTATTGATGGACCTGAAATGCACAGATAAACTAAAAAACAGAGCCGTTTAAGTCTTCTTCAGAAAAGAAAGGAGGATAGATTTTATCTTCAAATAAACAGACGCTGTGGAGGAGATCTGTACTGGTGAGTTCAAGCTTTATATTTTTAACGGCGGCGATGCGCAGTTTGTCGGTGAGCTAACATAGCTTACGTTTACAGGCCTTTTGTTGACTAATATCTTCAAATCGCCTTTAATTGTTGAGTTTTGACGGTATCTGTGATCTTATCTGTTTCCTACTCTTAACTGTGAATATGTTCTTATTGGTTTTAAACGCTCCGGAACTAAGTGTTTCTCGACTAGCCTATATTAAGGGACTGGGAAAAAAACAAACTGCTCACCATTAAAAGTGGTGGTATCTATGGTGATACGGTGAATTAGAGCGGCCAGGGATAACTTTACTGTCTTACTCTTTTATTTGTTTCTTCACTTTGTCACCTTCTACACTGGGATTTTTAACAATTGAAGCTAACGGCTAACTTCGCTTATGGTGCATTCAGGTGCTCCGCGGATGCTCGGAGTTTCCCTAACAGGACGTTATTGATTAGTAATGCAATTCCAAGACGTGACGTGAAAACAACATGAACACAAACAAATTGAAATATCTCGTTTATGTGATAGCTCAAGTAAACAGTAGCCATCAGATACTGTTTGTTATCACAGTATCTGATGGATACAGATGTGTTACATGAAGGCTGAGGTAAACTCTTCTGCACTGCCTGTTTTAGTGCAATTATATTGTGGTGCACAAGTCATCGCTCGACGGACAATTTTTAACCGCAAAACAAGCAAGGAGAACAGCTGAAACTTAAAGAGGACAGACGAGACAAGTCACCATGACAAAGGCTGAAAGAGTCAAGGTAAGCGCAGATATTTCCTTAAAAGCAATATAAGTTAAGAACGCAAAACATGTTGATGCACGCTTTCATTTATGTATCATGTAGTGTGTGTGTGTGGGAAAAAGGAAAAAACAAACTCACAAATGAAAATAGTAATTCAACTTGGTGCTTATATTTATGTTTTCTCTAAATTGTTAGATAGAATATAGCCCAAGTTTAGCTGGTCTGTGTGCCAGTCTCTCTGTGTGGCTGTCTGTGTTCCAGACATCACTCAGAGATGCAGAGCACTCTATGTAGAAAATGTCACGCATTCATCTTAGGGTTTATGGCTTAAAACTCACGTGAGAGTGTCATGATAACTTCCTGTTTTTGTAATTCAGGTTTATTTTTATGTTCCTGTTTCCCTGCTAAGTAGGATGTTGATTGTTTCATCAAAGTCCAACAGGACTGAGACCTGAGTTCAGAGGTCACGGTACACTCAAGAAACAGAAGTTTGTTTATCCGTCAAGTTTTTCTCGTCTTTTGACCCATCAAATCTCTTACATTCCCATTCACTCTGTCACACACTGATGAAATGATTGATGCTGCTGGTTAACTACAATGAAGCCATGTCTTTGTTATGACTTCAGTCTCATTTCTACTCCTCCTCTTATTCCTCCATTTTTTCCCTATAGCTAAAAACAAGAAGACAGCGAGTGATGCAAGAGTAAAGAAAACAGTGCAGAACAGTTCCTGCTATTATTACCAGTGCAATGACGATGTATTTCCATCTTTCCATCACTGTGTTTGTCCTCTCTGCCTCACCCTAAGACATGTTCTGGTTCTTGGCTGCTAAAAGGAGACAAACAAAAACTTGATCATGTTTCTGTGATTACTACAGGTCTTAGTTTGCTCAAAGTTCTGCTGAGAAAAAAAAGATGACATGTGTCCAAGCTGCTCCCATACTCTGTATTAACTACACACTGATACCAGCCTGAGTCTTCAGTCCGGAGTGAGGACAGTCTGATCCGTCCCTCTTTGAGGACCTCTTTATCACACTGGACTCGTCCTGACTGAGTATTTCTGAGGGTTGAACGTACTACAGAAAATGTTTGAAGTCTTCAGAGAAATGTAAGGTTTGATGGTGAAGGTCCACTCCAGGGTGAGGTTCTGGTTCTCCTGTACCTGATAGGAGCTGTTAGCCACGTTGACTAATCATTGAAACTCTCACATGTCTAAATCTGAAGACAACATTAAAGCTGCACTTATTTGTTTCTGACACTAGGGGGCGCCCACTCATCAAACTCTACACAACCAGGAGGAGACACGAGAACTGACGGATGATTTTGAACTGAGGTGTTTACAGTGATCATGTAAGTCCAGCTTATTTTATCTCCCCTCCAGTCACCATTAATTCATCATTTTGCTCCTTATTATTTCACACTTTCTCATTTATTCACTTCTTCACCTCAGGTCCGTCTTCTTTAACTGACAACGATCTTTATCCTGCAAAAATGAATTCCTGATGCCTGTAGCTTTTTCCTGAAGTTTCTTTGACTTTTGAAGAGAAAAGTTGTTGACAGTGAAAAATGACTTTTCCTCACATGAACTTTCAGTCTGAGTTTGGAGTCTGAACAGCTGCTATCTGGTTACCTGCTCACAGTCCTGTCTGAACTTGGAATCTGCAGGTTGTCCAGTTTCACCTCAGAGTATAAGTATAAAAGTAAAATCACTTTCTTTTTGTTGATTTCAAACTTTGGTCAGCTTGAATCTAAGTGTCAGCAGAGTGAAAACACCACATTATTACTGATATGGTATCCTAGCAGGAGTAAATAGTTTCCTCTGAAGGGTGTCTGGGCTCAGCCTCAGAGACAGGGTTAGAGGTTTGGACATTCAGGGAGAGCTCAGAGTAGACCTGCTGCTCCTTCATGTTCAGAGTAGTCTGTGAAGGTGGTTTTGGCATTTGAGTTGGGTTTCTTAGCATGCTTTCTCTGCGACCCTGAATGAGCTAGAAGAAACTGGATGGATGGACTATCTGACAGCTATGAGGACGCCTGTTTTGTTGGTGGCAGAGCTCTGCTGAGCTGCTGCATTTCCTTCAGTCTGGACTCCAGAAAACTCTGTGTGAAAAAAATATTTCTGCAGAGGTGTGAGGTACGCTGAACAGCTGATGTGGTGCACATTTTAAAACACAAGATACAAGAAGAAGCTCTCCACAAGATTTATTTACAGCTGCTGTTTTTTACAGAGTTTTGTTTACAGCTTGTCTACAAACAAACAACGTAGGAACATTTAACTGCCATGAGCGAATTGCTTAAAGTGTAATGTGCATGCACAAAATGGAGCATGCTGTCTGCGTTTTTATTCATTGAAAACACCGACTTGCTGTTGACAACAGTGGCTGCAGCATTCTAGAAATATCCCAATCTGGAGGGCGTGTTAAAAAGTTACCGTTAAGGTCAGCTATAACGCCATTTCAGTCTATGGTAGTAACAGAAGATTGAGCATGTAAAGCAGTTGAGCAGTCTTCATTTCACAAGAGAGAGCCACGATGAACAAGGGAGATGCAACACAGGAGAAGTTAACAAGCTGCTAGACTGGTTGCATTTCCAACCTCACAAAACATTAAAGATGTTTGGCATTGAAAGTCAGGACTAGGCCTGCACGATATATCGTTTGACTATCGTCATCGCGATGTACGTGCGTGCGATAGTCACATCGCAGAGCCTGCGATATTGGAGGTGAATGAACTCATTTAATTTCAAGGGTAACTGACTGAAATACACTGCATGTGACTCTGCATGTGCTTTGCAGCGATCCACCAATCACATTCGTCCTTAACTCAGTTGCCAATCAGACTCACTTCTCAGTTGCCAATCAGACTACCCTGCCAGCTGTCAATCAAAATCAGAGAGGAGGAAACCCACCCCTGCACATGTTCTGCACATGGAGGGAGACGTGTGTCCGCTGAGAATTACTTTCGGAACTTTACTCATGACTGTTTAGCCCAACAAATAAGAACTGTATGGGTTTTAAATTGTACATTTCCGTGGACCACTCTACTATAAGCGGTGCGCGTTTTGCGAGGTGCATGCAATTCTCGGAGGACATGCGTTTCTCGGCACAACACCGCTAACAACAACAACAACGATCGCAAAATGAGCAACGAACAAGCGAAAACCACCGAAAATGAAGATTTGTTGCCCAAAAGAAAAGGAAAGTCAGTTATCTGGAATTATTTCGATTAAAAGAAGGACCAAAACACGTGTTCTGTGTTAATCTGTTGCCACAATAACGTCCCAGCACAATAAAAGCTAAAAATATCTCTGAGACAGAAGCCATTCTAACATTCACAAAAAGAGGTAAGATCAGTGCAGGGTAACTGTCCTCAAGATTTCAGCAGTGCAGCATAACATTAAGTGCTATTCAGGTCATCTGGTGAAAATTCCTGTATTTTTAATATCGCAATATATATCGCAGGGTTGAAAAAATCGCAATATTATTTTTTTCCAATATCGTGCAGCCTTAGTCAGGACTGTGCAGTTTCTATGTCTTGCAGTGTGAGACATCGTGCCCTAGCGCTAACACCCCCGTGGCTGCCCCAACAAAGCCCCCCACTGAGAGAGTAACCCTGTTCACTTTGGGGAAAAGGGGCTGAACAACAAAAAAGAAGCATTTTATCAGAAGCGTCTCCTACTGAACGCACTTTATTTTATATCTTCTTTATATATATTCACATCATATTGATGTTGCTGTTTGATTTGCAATTAAGTATCTGAAATATAACTTAAATTTCATGTTTTTCACCTGCTTGGAATTGAAACAAGGAATCATTAGGAATCAGAATCAATAAGCAGAACTGGAATCGGATTCATACAAATCCTAACGATACCCATCCCTATCTCTAAAACACCAACACATCAACACAATCCTTCAATCTTCAAACATCAAAATAAGTCATTTCATTGATTATTATCTGGTATTGAGGTTCAGAGTTCAGTTGCTCTCTTCTCTTTGTTGGTCTGCACTGGTTTGGAGGGAGCGGAGGAGCATAGACTCTGATAGACTTGGAGGGTCTTTCTTTGCTTGGGAGGAGTAGTCGACAGGTCGTAGTGCACGTAGCAGACGTTTTGAGCCAAAGTAACAAACACAGAGCAAACCTATTAATGCTGCTACTGTCCACAGGATCAGTCCAACAAGTAAAGCAGTCTTTCCTGGAGAGAGACCAACAGGTTAGAGTCATTCAGGAGAAGAATAAACAAACACAAGAACAGGTCCATAAAAACCTCAATAATTTAATCTCAGATTCTTCTGGATCCAAAAACAAACAGAACTCTCAATGTCTTTTTAAAGTTCTGCTGAGAAATTAAACAACTCACCGGACACAATGAGAAAACATTCGTCAGAGCTGCTCCCATACTCTGTATCAACTTCACACAGATACAATCCTGAGTCTTCAATCCTGAGTGAGGACACATGAAGTCTGATCCGTCCCCCTTTGAGGACCTCTTTGTCATAGTGGACTCGTCCTACAAATTCTCCCTCCTTCTGTGGGACCTCCACTCCTTCATGAAGCTCAAACAGGACTGAGTTTTTCTGATGGTTAAACATGCGACAGGAAATGTTAAGATTCTTCAGAGATCTATGAGGTCTGGGTGTGAAGGTCCACTCCAGGGTGGCGTACTGGCCCAGTTCTGCTTGATTGAAGCGGTGACCCACATTGACTACAAGTGTTCCTGTAGAGGAGACAGAGAGGGAAAGAGAGGAGCAGAAAAACACAGGAACATGTGAGTCTTTCAACATCTTTTCTAATGGAAGTGTTCAAGTGTTTCAGTCAGTCTCAAAGTGGATCTCCTCTTTTCTCTTTGTGGAGAAGAAACTTTTTAAAGTTCTGCTGAGAAATAAATCAACTCACCAGACACACTGATATAAAATCTGCCCAAGTTGTTCCCATACTCTGGATAAACGTCACACAGATACCAGCCTGAATCTTCAGTCCTGAGTGAGGACACATGAAGTCTGATCTTTCCCTCCCTGAGGACTTCTTTGTCATACTGGACTATTCCTACAAACTCTTTAGCCTGACCCTCTGGGACCTCGGCTCCTTTACGAAGCTCAAGTAGGACTGAGTATTTCTGAGGGTTGAACATGTAACAGAAGATATAGAGATCTTTCAGAGAGCTGTCAGGTCTGGGTGTGAAGGTCCATTCCATGATGAGGTCCTCGTCCACTTCTGCCTGATAGGAGCTGTTAGCCACTTTAGCTACAAGTGTTCCTGTAGAGGAGACAGAGAGGAGCAGAAAAACACAGGAACATGTGAGTCTTTCAACATCTTTTCTAATGGAAGTGTTCAAGTGTTTCAGTCAGTCTCAAAGTGGATCTCCTCTTTTCTCTTTGTGGAGAAGAAAGTGAAGGTGGAAACCAACCAGAGACACAGACGCTCAGAGCCATGAGCAGCAGGAACCTGGAGACCATCTTCACCCTGTCAGAGGAACCACACACACAGACAGCAGGTCAAAGGTCAGTGTTATCATCTGCAGTTTGTAGATGATTCATTCAAACTTTCATTATATGTCTAAAGCTGAAAACAACATTAAAGCTGCACTCATGAGAAGTCTGTGATTGATCCAAAACTACTCAAACACAGCTCTGAGAATCTGTGCTGATCTGCTGATTACTTCACGCCCACAGTAAAAGTTTTCACGCTGAAGCAGAGTGAAGAAAGAGTCAGAGGAGTTTAAACAGAGTGTGTTTATCAGAGAGACTCTAAAATTATTAAAGATTAGAAACCAAAATCTGGATTACTGAGAGGATGATGGGAACTGTCTAACTACAAAAACAAGTACAGTGAAATACTGTGTGTGATAAAAGTAAGGATCAGCAGTTCTGATTGTTCTGGTCATATGTTCCCAAGTTTAACCTCCAGTCCTCATTCTGAACTCATGAGAATGTTTCTTCAGTTCCTTAGTTCCTGATTTGGGGTTTCATTTTTCTTGTGCACAGAACTTTGCACTAAATTCCATTGTATGATAAGTGCTGTACTAATAAAGTCTGATTGATTAATTGATTGATTGATGAATATTTGACAATGTTTGTGGTTTTTTGCGAACATACGGGTTTCTTAGTTTCTTTTTCATAATTTGGTCGACTACTCAAACTGGACAACAGACATCAGACACTCACACAAAGTCCCATCTGCATCAGTGAATCACTCATTCATCTTAAAACATCCAGTTTAGACCCACAGACCAAGAAACCATCTGAACTCTGTGAACAGGTTTATACTGCTGAGACTAACAGACAGGAAGTGGGTGACATCCTGTTTATGAAAGCGTTAAAAGAAGTAATGTCCAGTGCTGTCCAAGGTGTCTGTTATGTGAACAATCATGGCTAACTACACACTGAAACCACCTCTCAAGAACAAAAGGCCCCTTTGGCTGAGATCCAGATCCGTCCTCAAACCCGTCCCGAGGACAGATCCAGGTTGATTCTCTGTCTGTTAGTCTTTGGACCGTCCTTCATTATTTCTATTGTTCTGATCTCTTCATCCAAAGTCTTAGAGACGGACTCTTCTGGGTATCTACACTAGAGTCAACACTTTACAGAATAAAGAAAACATTTCTACACTAGATGTCCGGTCAAAGTCAGAAACTGCTGCTGTTTACTGTCAGACTGCTTTGACACTAAAGTCCTGAGACTTTAGGACCAAATCAATGTTTACTTTACAGATTTGATCAGCTAATAAAATCACCAAAAAGACATTTTCACAGATTATTTCAATCTAAGGTTGAAGAAGTGATCTGTGAGTTTACTTTGGAGACTCTACACCTTTGAATTGTTCAGTTTTTACCGCTCATATCTTGTTTGATGTTTTTTTAATGTGAATATCAGGGTTAAAAAGAAAAACAGAGCGCCGCTGAAATAATTTTCACTACATAACTCTCTCAATAATGTGGATCTGTTATAAGAAAAAGAGAGAGAGAAAAACAAACAAACAATGAAATAAGAAGAAATCAGACGTCTTACCTTGTTGTTCGCTCTTTCTGACAGTTTGCTGTAGCCTCACGTTGATTTTGTGGTTTCCTGTTTCTGCTCGGAGTTTTTTTTTTTCTGTGAACAGAAATTCAGTCTGTGGTGAACTTTTGCACCTCTGCTCTTCAGTTTCATTTGCTGTCACATTTAAGACAGATCAGGTCTGAACCAGTAAGCTGTTTTGTTGCGGTTCTCGTAAAGAGACATGGGTGAACGCAGACACACTGAAGTGAGAGGGAAAGTTCATGTGTTAGTAAACTCCAGTAAAAAAGTTGATGTGTGTAAAAGAGGCAATGGTTTAACGGGACTCCATACTTGTGATCTCAGTAAAACAGAATTTGCTGGTGATGTAATAGATGCAGTCAGCACAGGTTGTCTGGTTAGAGCAATGAATGATGGGAAAACTCTCTTCCAATTTCCACTCTTTATTGTGTGGTGTGTGTTTTAGTTGTATTGACACACAGGTGAAGGGATCATAATGACAGACGGATACTAAAGCTGTAAAGATGCTGATCTTCACTCTGAGTTGGGAGGTGAGGGCATGATTGACAGGGATATCCGAGGTTGGTGATAGGTGAAGAAGAGGGGTGTGATAATTAGTATGAGAGACAACCAGACTCCTGTATACTGAACATACAGATGCTTAAGTCTGCAGTGGAAGATGGGAAAAGAGCTGTTCTTTTGTATAATGTGTCACAGAGTAAGGCAGGAGACAGACGGGTAAATATTATGATATGGAAAATGATCTGACTCTTTCCAAACTACCTGAGATTGTTTAGACCAGACGTGTTTGTCCATGCAGAGACAAACATCCTTCTTCATATCTTCTCTGGTCTTACCGTGTTAAAGAAAATGCACAAGTGTTTTTAGATGATGAACATCAACAAAAAGGAAACAATCACTAATGTAAGGACCTCTCATCATCACCACCAATTAAAATCGTCTTCACCACAATAGAGACCAAAGTACCAAGTGCTGGGTCACTCAAAGACCTGGGTACAAAATCCCAGAAGTAACACAGGAAAGAGAGTCAGCTGTAGCTGGAAGACTTCTTCAACCACTGGGGACAACAGTGGAGAAGGATCCAGCTAAGTGCACAGTGTTCTCTGAAGAGCTGGTCTTTAGCTGTCTTTGAAAGTAGAGAGGGAGTCTGTGGATCAAATGGAGTTGGGTAATTCATTCACCATTTAGAGACAACAGAGGAGAAGAGTTGGGCTAATGAGTTAGGAGCCTAGACTGGGAGCAGCAGACACCTTTCTGAGGCTGAATGTAGTGGGTGAGAAGGGGTGTAGACCTTGATGAGGGGGTCCAGGTAAAGTGGAGAAGTGTGGGTTACTGCTCTGTAAGCAATGATCAGAGTTTTGTATTTGATGAGAGCAGCGACTGGAAGTCAGTGAAGGGAGATGAACAGAGGAGTGACAGGAGCTGTCCAGCCGGTTGAAGACCAGACGTGCTGCTGTGTTCTGGATCATCTGAGGAGGTTTAACTGTGCATGCAGGGAGGTCTGCCTGTAAGGAGTTGCAGTAGTCAATGCAGTAGCTGTGCTGCATGCTCTGTCAGGTAGGGTCTGATCCTCCTGAGGTTATAGAGGGCAAACCTGCAGGACCGAGGCAACATGAACCCTGAAGGTTAGCTGGTCATCTATCATGTCACCCAGGTTTCAGGCAGACTTGGTATGACTGAGGTTATGAGATCCAAACTGGATACTGATCTGCGGGTCCACAGTGGGACTGGCTGGGATGATAATGAGCTCAGTCTTGGACAGGTTGACCTGTAGGTGAGGTTCCCTCATCCATTTAGAGAGATCAGTGAGGCAGGATGAGATCTGAGTTGAGACTGTTGTGACATCAGATGGAACAGACAGGAAGAGCTGAGGATCATCTGCATACATTGATAGGACAATGGGAGCGGATGATTTCCCCAAGTGATGTGGTGAATATTAAGAAGAAGAGAGGACCAAGCACTGATCCTTGAGGCACCCCTGTTGATAAGCCGTGCATGTTGGACACTTCTCACCTACATGATACTCTAAAAGATCTCCCTGAGAGGGAGGACTTGCACCACTAGGGGGCAGACCCTGAGGGGTGCATGGAGAGCTTTGTGTTTGAATCTGGTCTGAGCTTCAGTGTCTGGTCTAAACGATCAATGGTAGTTTGGAAAGAATCAGATCAGATTCAGTATCATCGTTTTTACCCGTCTGTCCTTCTAACTTACTCTATGACACATCAGCTAAAGATTTCTGGAGTTGATGAATACATGAACTTTCCCTCTCGCTTCAGTGTATCTGCGTTCACCTCGTGTCTCTTTATGAGAACCTCAACAAAACAGCTTACTGGTTCAGACCTGATCTGACTTAAATGTGACGGCAAATGAAACTAAAGAGCGGAGGTGCAAAAGTTCACCACAGACTGAATTTCTGTTCACAGAGAAAAACAAAACTCCGAGCAGAAACAGGAAACCACCAAAGTCAACGTGAGGCTACAGCAAACTGTCAGAAAGAGCGAACAACAAGGTAAGAAGTATGTTTTCCTCTTATTTCATTGTTTGTTTGTTTTTCTCTGTCCTTTTCTTATAACAGCTCCACATTATTGAAAGAGTTATTAGGTGAATATTATTTTAGAGGAGCTCTGCTTTTCTTTTTAACTCTGATATTGACATTAAAAAAACCATCAAACCAGTTGTGAGCAGTAAAAACTGAACAATTCAAAGGTGTACGGTCAAAAAAATGTCTTTTTGGTGATTTTATCAGCTGATCAAATCTGTAAAGTAAACATTGATTTGGTCCTAAAGTCTCAGGACTTTAGTGTCAAAACAGTCTGACAGTAAACAGCAGCAGTTTCTCACTTTGACGGGACATCTAGTGTAGAAATGTTTTCTTTATTCTGTAAAGTGTTGACTCTAGTGTAGATACCCAGAAGTGTCCGTCTCTAAGACTTTGGATGAAGACATCAGAACAATAGAAATAATGAAGGACGGTCCAAAGTCTAACAGACAGAGAATCAACCTGGATCTGTCCTCAGGACGGGTTTGAGGACAGATCTGGATCTCAGCTTTAGGGGGCTGGACCGAAAACTTTACTTCCTGTTCTTGTGAAGTGGTGATCCTGGTGTGGGCAGTTTGGCACTGACTACTTTACATAACACACACCTTTAACAGCCTGCTGGGTGTAACTTTCTCATGTCTCCTCCTGGTTGTGTAGTTTGATGAGTGGGCGCCCCCTAGTGTCAGAAACAAATGAGTGCAGCTTTAATGTTGTCTTCAGATTTAGACATGAAATAATTGTTTGAATGACAACAGACCTTTGACCTGCTCTGTGTGTGTGTGTGTGTGTGTGTGTGTGTGTGTGTGTGTGTGTGTGTGTGTGTGTGTGTGGTTCCTCTGACAGGGTGAAGATGGTCTCCAGGTTCCTGCTGCTCATGGCTCTGAGCGTCTGTGTCTCTGGTTGGTTTCCACCTTCACTTTCTTCTCCACAAAGAGAAAAGAGGAGATCCACTTTGAGACTGACTGAAACACTTGAACACTTCCATTAGAAAAGATGTTGAAAGACTCACATGTTCCTGTGTTTTTCTGCTCCTCTCTTTCCCTCTCTGTCTCCTCTACAGGAACACTTGTAGTCAAGGTGGCTCACAGCTCCTATCAGACAGAAGTGGACCAGGACCTCACCCTGGAGTGGACCTTCACACCCAGACCTGACAGCTCTCTGAAAAATCTCGATATCTTCTGTTACATGTTCAACAATCAGAAATACTCAGTCCTGTTTGAGCTTCGTAAAGGTGTGGAGGTCCCAGAGGCTCAGGCTAAAGAGTTGGTAGGGCGAGTCCAGTGTGACAAAGAGGTCCTCAGAGAGGGACTGATCAGACTTCATGTGTCCTCACTCAGGACTGAAGACTCAGGCTGGTCTCAGTGTAAAGTAATCACAGAATATGGGAACAGCTTGGACATATGTCATGTCAGTGTGACTGGTGAGTTGATTTATTCTTTAGCAGAACTTTAAAAAGTTTCTTCTCCACAAAGAGAAAAGAGGAGATCCACTTTGAGACTGACTGAAACACTTGAACACTTCCATTAGAAAAGATGTTGAAAGACTCACATGTTCCTGTGTTTTTCTGCTCCTCTCTTTCCCTCTCTGTCTCCTCTACAGGAACACTTGTAGTCAAAGTGGCTCACAGATCCTATGAGGCACAGGAGGACCAGGACATCACCCTGGAGTGGACCTTCACACCCAAACCTCACAGCTCTCTGCAGACTCTGAACATTTTCTGTGGTATGTTCAGTGGTAAGAAAAACTCAGTCCTGTTTGAGCTTCATGAAGGAGTGGAGGTCCCACAGAAGGAGGGAGACTTTGTAGGTCGAGTCCAGTGTGACAAAGAGGTCCTCAAAGAGGGACAGATCAGACTTCATGTGTCCTCACTCAGGACTGAAGACTCAGGATTCTATCAGTGTGGAGTCAAGACAGAGTATGGGAGCAACTTGGACAAATGTTTTCTCTTTGTGTCCGGTGAGTTGATTAATTTCTCAGCAGAACTTTAAAAAGACGTTCAGTTCAGTTTCTGTTTGTTTTTGGATCCAGAAGAATCTGAGATTAAAGTATCATTGAGGTTTTTATGGACCTGTTCCTGTTGATCTCTTGTGTTTGTTTATTCTTCTCCTTAATGAATCTAACCTTTTGGTCTCTCTCTAGGAAAGAGCGATGCCCTTTTTGGAGGGATAATGTTGGCAACACCAGCAGTCATCGGTTTGCTCTGTGTTTTTTTCTTTTTCTCCAAATGTCTGTTACGTGGATTACAACGTGTCTACCGCTCCTTCCAAAAAGACAGACCCCCCCAGTCTATCAGAGTCCAGCCTGAAGGCCTCAGCTCCCTCCAAACCAGGGCAGTCATATAAGGAGAAGAGAGAGAAACTGAACTCTGAACCTCAATACCAGATCATAATTAATGAAATGACTTATTTTGATGTTTGAAGATTGATGGATTGTGTTGATGTGTTGGTGTTTTAGAGACCTGAGTTGAACCTGATTTGATCTGTACAACCCACAGCAGCTGTAAATAAATCTTGTGGAGAACTTCTTCTTGTATCTTGTGTTTTAAAATGTGCACATCAGCTGTTCAGTGTACCTCCACCTCTGCAGAAATATCATTTTTTCATACAGTTTTCTGGAGTCCAGACTGAAGGAAATGCAGCAGCTCAGGCTCTGAATGTCCAGACCTCTAACCCTGTCTCTGAGGCTGAGCCCAGACACCCTTCTATTTTAATCCTGCTAGGATACCATATCAGTAATAATGTGGTGTTTTCACTCTGCTGACCAAAGTTTGAAATCAACATTAAAAAAGTGATTTTATTTTTATACTTTTACTTTGAGGTGAAACTGGACAACCTGCAGATTCCAAGTTCAGACAGGACTGTGAGCAGGTAACCAGATAGCAGCTGTTCAAACTCCAAACTCAGACTGTAAGTTCATGTGAGGAAAAGTCATTTTTCACTGTCAACAACTTTTCTCTTCAAAAGTCAAAGAAACTTCAGGAAAAAGCTTCAAACATCAGGATCAAAAAGAGAGTAAATCTGTGATCTCTGACATGTTGATGATTCTCTCTGAAAGTGTGGGAAAGATGACAGAAGTCTTTGTCCTCCACTGATGATAATGAAAGTGATAATACAGAGAGAGAAAACCCTTCAAATGTTAGGATTAGAAATCACCACATATACCAACTGGGTTCTGATTCACATCTGCAACATCTAAATGGAGCAGTTAAACTTTCGCTTTCACTTTGACGTTTCTGCTGACCAACCCCTCTTCCTTCAAGGTAACGGTCCTGTTTTCACAACAAAGATCGTCTGCAGCGGGTCCAAATACTGTAAAAATTTTAAAGTCCTCCGAAACAGCTGACCTGCTGACTCTGATACAAACCTGTGAGTACTTTATCCAACCCTGACAGCTGTTTTATTATGAATATATATTTATATCCTTCCGTGTTGTCAGTCTGTGTTCATAAACTCCTTTAAACGATCGTCAGTAAACCTCAAATCTGCTCAGAGTTTGTTTATCAGCTGTAATTATTGAGTTAGTGGATGAAAAAGGTACAAAAATTTAAACTTTAACGAGTCCTGAAATTCAACGACAGTAAGAAAACATTTGACCACGGAGAAACAAAAAGTGGAATTTAAAACGTTTTTTAAAATGTCGGCTGTTTTGTTTTAGTCGTAGTCGGTTGTCGTTTAGAGAGATTAATCGATTCGTCGAATTGAAGTTTTACTCGTTGAAGTACAGCTGTGTTGTGGACTTTAAAAATGGCGAATGAGGAAGTGTTATATAAATAAATAAATAAATAAAAACACTGTTACAGTCTCTGTTGTTTTGTTCGGATATCTGCGACTGTCCCTCTAAACTGTTGTTTCATTGGTGCAGTTATTAAGAGCAATGCACTGAGCACACTGCACCTCTAAGTGCATTTATAATAAACTCATAGTTTGTGTTGAATTCGTATTTGTAGGATAAAGATCGTTGTCAGTTAAAGAAGACGGACCTGAGGTGAAGAAGTGAATAAATGAGAAAATGTGAATCAATAAGGAGAAAAATGATGAATTATCGATGATGTTTGGAGGGGAGATGAAATCAGCTGGACTAACATGATCACTGTAAACATTTCAGTTCAGAATCATCAGTCTGTTCTCCTGTCTCCTCCTGGTTGTGTAGTTTGATGAGTGGGCGCCCCCTAGTGTCAGAAACAAATGAGTGCAGCTTTAATGTTGTCTTCAGCCTTAGACATATAATGAGAGTTTGAATGACTACAGACAGACTGTAGATGATAACACTGACCTTTGACCTGCTGTCCTCTGACAGGGTGAAGATGGTCTCCAGGTTCCTGCTGCTCATGGCTCTGAGCGTCTGTGTCTCTGGTTGGTTTCCACCTTCACTTTCTTCTCCACAAAGAGAAAAGAGGAGATCCACTTTGAGACTGACTGAAACACTTGAACACTTCCATTAGAAAAGATGTTGAAAGACTCACATGTTCCTGTGTTTTTCTGCTCCTCTCTTTCCCTCTCTGTCTCCTCTACAGGAACACTTGTAGTCAAAGTGGCTCACAGATCCTATCAGACAGAGGAGGACCAGGACCTCACCCTGGAGTGGACCTTCACACCCAAACCAAACAGCTCTCTGAAGACTCTGAACATTTTCTGTGACATGTTCAACAATCAGAAAGACCATGTTCTGTTTCATCTCCATGAAGGAGTGGAGGTCCCACAGAAGGAGGGAGACTTTGTAGGACGAGTCCAGTATGACAAAGAGGTCCTCAAAGAGGGACGGATCAGACTTCATGTGTCCTCACTCAGGACTGAAGACTCAGGCTGGTATCTGTGTGAAGTTAAGACAGAGTATGGGAACAGCTTGGACAGATGTTATCTCAATGTGACTGGTGAGTTAAAATCAGAAGTCTGAATTTGGTCACTAAGAAGTTGAGACAGTGAAATAAGTTTCATTGTTTTTCTAACAGAGAGGACTCAGACTGTCAGTGAGCCTGAACCTGAGAGACCAGAATCAGAGAGTCCAGGAGGGATCGGTCTCTACGTTGGACTGACAGCAGCAGCAGTAATAGTAGCAGCTCTGATCTTAGTTTTGATGGTTTCAATTCTTCACAGAAAACATTTAATCCACATAGTCCAGAAATGTTTCAGTTCATCAGGTTATCAGATCACAGCTGTAAGTGTTTAAGTTTGTTACTGAACATGTAAATATCTTTGTTCATAAATGTTATTTCATCATTTATTTGAGTGTTAAAAAGTGACCTCATCATCCAGACAGTCTTCTGCTGAGCCTGTGTCTTCTGTCCTCACTTCACTGTCTTCTTTCTGGAGAAGAAACTGAAGGTGGAAACTAACCACAGGTAGATCATCACCATGGAGACCATCTTCTCCCTGTCAGAGGACATAATGCAGACCCTTTGAATACCACTAGGGGGAGCCCTGGCTTCTTTTCTCTGCTGCCCTCCTCCAGCAAGGAGGATGTTGTTAAAACTCCATGTAATCTAAGTTTCTGAATTCGACGGGACATGTATTCTAGGTGTTCAATACTGTTTTTCAGCTACACTGTGTAATACTTTATTGAACTGTATCATACTGTGCAATGTCTCACACTGCAAATTGGTTCTGTAAACACTACTCACTATCTCATCTTTCACAAATACTCTGCACTTTGTATTTATTTTTATTTCTAATATTCTGCACTTTTTATTCACTGTTAAAAATTTGTTTTTATACTTATTAATTCCTATTTCTATTCTCCATCTATAAACATTTGTATTAGTATTTTGTAAATTCCCCTCTTTGGATGAATGAAGTATTCTGATTCTGATTTATCTCTGTAATAAAGAGCAAAAGTCAGAAATGAAATACCGTCTGAACTCTGTATTCTGTGCAAAGACACTGGGTTTAAATCTGGAGCAGGGGTTTAATGTGGTGAAGATGCTGGAGCGGCTCGTGCTGCATCATCTGAGGCCACAAGTCCACCGTGCACTGGACCTCCTCCAGTTTGCATATCAGGAGAAGGTTGGGGTGGACGACGCCATTGTCTACCTTCTCCACCGGTCTCTCTCCCACACGGATTGGAGCAACTGCGCAGTGAGAATCGTGTTCTTTGATTTTTCCAGTGCGTTCAACACCATCCAACCCCTGCTCCTGAGAGAGAAGCTAACTGGAATGGGCGTGGATCAAAACCTTGTAGCGTGGCTTACAAACTATTTGACTGATAGACCCCAGTATGTCTGGCTGGAGGACTGCACGCCAGAGACGGTGATCAGCAGCACCGGAGCTCCGCAGGGGACTGTGCTCTCTCCTGTTCTGTTCACCCTGTACACATCGGACTTCAAGTTCAACTCAGAGCTGTGCCGCATGCAGAAGTTCTCAGATGACACAGCGATCGTGGCGTGTATTAGGGATGATCAGCAGGAAGAGTACAGGAACCTCATCCGTGACTTTGACGCTTGGGTGTCAGTCCAACTACCTGCACATCAACACCTCCAAAACCAAGGAGATGGTGGTCGACTTCAGGAGGCCCAGGCCCCTCTACCTGCCTGTGACCATCAATGGTGTTCAGGTGGCGTTTACCGGGACCTATGAATACCTGCGACTGCATCTAGACGAGAGGCTGGACTGGTCACCAAACTCAGACGTCCTGTAAAGGAAGGGGCAGAGCCGACTGTATTTCCTGAGGAATCTCCATTCCTTCAACATCTGCAACAAACTGCTACTGATGTTCTATCACAGAGTCATAGCCAGTGCCCTCTTCTCTGCTGTGGTGTGCTGGGGAGGAAGCATCAAGAAGAGGGATTCCTCACGGCTGGAGAGACTGATAAGGAAGGCCGGCTCCATAGTCGGTGCAGAACTAGACTCCCTGACATCTGCGGCAGAACAAAGAACTCTTGCCAGGTTCCTTTCCATCCAGGACAACCCCCATCACCCTCTGCACAGCACCATCCCCAGGCAGAGGAGCTTCTTCAGTGACAGGCTGTTATCAGTGCCGTCTCGCACTGACAGATTGAGGAGGTCATTTGTCACCCAGGCCAATGGGCTCTTCAACTGTTCCCTTTGAGGAGTCCAGTCTAAACTGACTCACCTGGCATTAGCTAGACCTCGGTGAGTCCATTACGGACTACAGCGGGGTGACGCAGCTGAAGGAAGAACATTTATGATCATTACTTTATCATTTCCTTGAAGTAATAATCACCATATTAATCATTTTTCACTGCCTTAGCGTCTCGGTCTGATTGTATTTCCATGAAGAAATGATCATAAATGTTCTTCCTTGAGCTGTGAAACCCCACTGTAGTCCGTAACGGACTGGCCCGAGGTCTCTCTACAAACAAGCGGCTGCTGGAAGAGAGTAGGTGAGTTGTGTTTAGTCTCTTTGCTAAAGAAATCAGTCAAAGTTAAAAAGATGTTTGGTGTCTAGTACTATGGCTGTGACCCTATATGTCCTGTTGATGAAGTTAGGTGCTGTTCTGAGCATTATTTGTGGCTATAGAGTGGCGTTTTGATTGAGTGCATGGCTCTGTGTATTGCTATCGTGCGGTCGTTACAAAAGTTGGTATAACTAGTGGTGTGTTTGACCCTAACTTAATTTTACGCCGGAATATCCCTTTAAGTTGTCTTTCTGCGGGCATTAGGGAAACCCCGCTCACTCGGGCTGTCCCGTAAACTCATCAAACCAACCCCTGCGGTTCCTCCTGCATGACGCACGGAGCCCAGCGAGCCAGTCCGCTCGGCTCAGCTCAGCTCGGAACCGTCCAGAGCAACATGCAGGATGGCGAGTGTGGAGACAGCCGCCGAACACGAGCGTATCCTGCGGGAGATCGAGAGCACGGACACCAACTGTATCGGCCCGACGCTCCGGTGAGTGTACCCGGCCCCTCTTCTCGTAGCTCTACCCGTGAAAACAGCTGAACTCTCGGCGTCACCCAGCGGAGGGAGCCGCGACTAGCTCCAAGTTAGCAACTCCTCCGGGAGGTTGCCCAAAACTTTAACGGTCGTGGGTCCATTATCGGACAGCTAGCCGGCTAACTATGGAAAAACAAAGTGCTCACCGTTAAAAGCGGTGGTATCTATGCTGTTACGGTGAATAAGTACGGTCAGGGATAGCTCTATTGTCTGACTCTTTAATTTCGTTCTTCACTTTGTCAACTTCTCTACTGGGATTTTAGCAACTGAGGCTAACGGCTAAGTTCGCTAATGGTGCATTCAGGTGCTCCGAGGATGCTCGGAGTTTCCAAATTGGGACGTTTCTGATTAGTTAAACAAATCAACGACGTCATGCAAACACAATACTAACACAAATAAGAGGAAAAATCTCTTTTTATGATTTGTAGGCGTTAATATTATACTTTTAAAAACAACAAAATTTTAAATATACCGACCTTAATGAAATTACAACAAGCTAACGCGCTAAAAAGCTAAGCTACGGCTCTCTGATTATGTAAAAACACGTTTGATTACTAACAAATGATATTTTAGTGAGCACCTTTAATCACTGTCTATCTTTTAGAGCTGTTTTTTCCTCTTTACATTAATGTTCCCTGTTGGAAACTCAAATTTCCGATTATACACATTGTCCGTGAACGCAGGCTAACTGATTGTCATTCTGCTCACTGGTGTTGGAGCTCACACTGGGACTCAGAGGTTGTTTCTGCTCGCTTTTAGAGCTGTCTCTGTCTGCCAGGTTGTTGTTTTGAGTAGAAATGAAGCTTCCTAATTTATCTGAGGGACTTTTTGAGGCTGATTATCGACAGTTAGCCTGCTAGGTGTTAGCAACAGCTGAGATATGTATCAAGGAGTGTCAAGTGCAGCAGCAGCAGCTCTGTGTACACAATGAATGAACCTCCAGCCCTCCAGTGTGATTACACCACACAGAAACCACTCTGCTTCTTGTTTTTATGACCCTGAATGCTCATGAATGTTGACACTGTTGCTTAATTGCACTTTTAGTGGAAACGGAGTGACTTTTCTGCTCTGTTTTTGGTGTTTGTGTCAGGTTGCATGATCCCATTCGTAAAGCATTTCCTCCGCTGTTTTTGAGGCCTGAACTGAGTCACCGACGCTCCTGTCTGCCCAGATTTCATGTTTGGAAGAGAGAAGAGCTTCATGTTGGGTCAATTTGGCATGTCATTTGGAAACCAAGGTCCCAGAGTCTGGAGGAAGATCAGAGAGGTTTTTGGCTCCTGCCCTCGGCGCCAAAACCACCAGAAAGGACTTTGCCGACTATGATATCACTGTACTCACAGGGCTTGATACTAACTTTTTTCATAAGGAGCACATGTGCTTAGGGCTGTCCCGATACTATTTGTTCACTTCCAATACGATACTGATATTGCAGCCTTAAATATCGGCCGATTCCGATATCAGCATGCCATGAGTGGTATACTTTCATTACTCATTTTGTAGTGTGCATCAAGTGATATTACTCAAACAGAGAACAATAGTCTGCAACAGTAGTTTGGGAAAACTGACCCATTTATTATTAACAAAACAAATAGAAGAATAAATAAAGATAAATTGAGAGGCCTTGAATAGTAGATAGTAGAATGTAAACAAAATAAACATATCACTCTAGTAACAAGAGCAGAAAACAGTCAGTCAACTAGACTCCTGACTACCCTTACTACTCCTCCATCTTCACTCTCTGCAGTACAAGCATGATGTGGATTTTGCCGTCCCGTGGGAGTTTTTCACGCTTTGCGAATGTTTCGGCTAGCGCTGGTTGTTTGAGGAAGTTAGAGGCAAGATCTTTTGAAGATCCTCATGCTGTTGTTCGTGGTGTTTTTTCAAATGCGCGATGAGGTTGGTTGTATTTAACTTCCCCTGTTCTGTGCCACCACGGGAAACTTGTGCATGGGAAAGTTCGCACTCAGCTGCAACGTCTTTGTCTGACTTTAGTGGAAAAGTGCTGCCACACAGCCGACATCACGTCTTCTCGGCACATACGCTGTTGTTGTTGTGATTACGTGAGTTCTACTGGAGCCGGGCACGCTTCTTCTTTGGCAGGCAGTACCAGCTTTGGTTCCTTAACGCCACAGACATTTTAGATGGAGTCCGATAGAATGCGATGTCGGTTCTGGACAGCCCTACATGTACAGCCTTTTTTGAGAACATCAACCTTATTGGTCCCTTATTCAACGCCCGACGTTGACAGTGAAGGTGGCGAGTAGATTTAACCGCGCTGCTGTTGTTATTCCCAGTTATGGAGAGTGAGAAGACACCGGTAGATCCTCAGAGAATGTCCGTCAGATATCCAACCTAAAACTAACAGTGTGAAACGGTCGCACTGTCGAGCCCTGACTTAATTGACCAGCCGATTCACCTGACCTGAACCCCAAAGAGGATCTCCTGGACTTAATGACACCCCAGGAGAGACACAGACTGACCACAAATTAGCGTAATTTTCCAGAAGGTGGATGTTTGTGTGTTTATGGATATTCAGGGCTCTAAAGATCACAGCATTAATTAAACACCAATACTTCCTGACATTCCTTGACGTCTTACCCAGTTTCTCGTTACAGAAATAGACACAGACTCTAAATCTGTCCTTCCTTTCTGAAGAATGAGTCGGTTTTAGAGCCGATTGTCTGCAGAGGAAACCTGAATTTACAGAAACGCAGCAGAGGAACTGGTGCTGCTGGAAGTTTTCCCCTCGTACTCGTCATTCAGGCCCGTCACTGTGCCGACTATCAAACCCAGTGTGTGAGGTTGTGTGTTTGTGTGTGTGAACAGGTCCTCTTCAGATCAGTATGACTTGGCAGCTCTGTGTGACACCTCTGGGCGCCACATTCTCCTCTCTGTTCATCAGTGAAATACAGCGTCTATGTTTGGATCAGTGAGCTTCATCAGGGTCTATTTTTAGCTCGGAGAGCTTTAAGCGTATCAGATGATGGAGGATGTCACTTTTAAAACTATTTTAGGTTGTGTAAGCACAGTTGTAGCCGAAGCCCTCTGCTTAACTAACACACACTTACACACACTCACTCCTGATCCAGTGCTGAGTGACTCTCCTCTCCACCTGTGACCGGTCCAGCCCTGGCTTTGCCTCCCTTTTCCAGTCTGGAAGGGAGGGTGAGCTTCATTCACCACATAAGTGGCAGAAAACATCTCAACTGTGTGTGTGTGTGTGTGTGTGTGTGAGTGTGTGTGTTGCTCTCGCAGCAGTGTGTGCAGGTTGAGGCGGGCAGCAGCATTCCTCTCTGACAGCGGAATAACTCAGCGAGGATCAGACGGGAGCAGAACTCATCAGTCAGCTCGATCCTCCACCTTCAAAAAACACTCTTGCTAAGAGACGGAGAGTCTGTTCGCTTTAAAGCTGCACTTCATACCAGGAATTAGGCAGAATTAGCCTCTCGATAAAATAAGGTTTTAGTCTAATCAACACCAGTGTTTGTTGTTTTAAAGCGAACTGCATTCACTCACTCTGTCGTCACCGTCTACTTTGACAGCTATCGTGAAAGTGGAGAGAGGAGTGTGTCTGAAAAGCCAAGGGACAGAAACAGCTCGTCCTCACCCTTTAGTAAACTCACATCTCTCTGTTACTGCCGCACACTCAGGCCTCCTCTACTCCACTGTCGGCTCATGTTGATATCAAATTGGAGTTGCATCATCAGAAGAGGACGGTGTGTGTTTTCTTGTTGCTCCCTGAGCTCCATCGCTCTCTCTCTCACTCTTCTTCTGACTGTGCCGCTGCAGAAATAGCTGATCGTGAGTGCAGTTGTAAGTAAAGAGGATCCTTTAAGACCGTCTTCAGAGTCCCCCTTCTCTCTGTACATGTGTGTGTTTTATTCCGGGCCCCACCCTGTGTTTAACTGAGTTATTTCCTGGATTCGTCCATCAATGACAGGGACTCGTACGAATCTACTCATTATGTGGGTTTCTGCTGTTGAATACACGTCTTTTTCATCGTTTGTTTACTTGTATTAGTCCAGCACAGCAGGGAAAAGCTGCCTTTAGTCAGTGCGTTAACATTCACAACTTAATCATAATTTGTTTTTTTGCGCCGAATCGGTCTTCTCTTCTTGTCCGCGTAAACTTGCAGCCGAGAAAATCGAATTATTGACGTGAACGTGTCCTCCTCCCCAAAACCAGGGGGCGATATGGGTCTTTCAGCGTATACATACAACCGTCAACAACAACAGCAGGTCGGTGTCAGACGTCAGAAGTGTCTACAACTGCTGCTGGACATTTTGGAGAAACGAAGATGGAGCATCGTACAGCGTTGTTTTTGTCCTACATGATGGACGCACTACTTTTCCTGCAAATGAGACGAACGCTACTCTTCTTCTCTGGTGTTTTTATTCTGGGGTTACAGAGGCTTGGCTCATGCGCACATGCATTTTCCGATCATACGCTGAAAATCGAATTCCAATCGCATTATCTGGGTGTCTTAATCAGAGTTTTCAGACTCCGATTATAGTCAGACTAAGGTGTTTACATGCACTTCAGTTGTCTGGTCTTAATCGGAATAAGGCAATAATTCGGTTTTCTCGAGTGTCATGTAAACGTACGAGTGTTCGGACGTCATGTGACCTCTTACCCGATCGAGGATTTCAGCCGATCAACAGCTCTGGGTCCCTGGAGTGGATCTGCAGACTTTGGTTAGACTCTTAGAAACCACATGGAAGAAGGACTGGTGAGGAAAAAGAGGGAGTAGCCTACCACTAGTTTATTACAGGCCATACACACACACACACACACACACACACACACACACCCTGCTGACTCATCTGTCAGACACACACACTTTTATACACAAAGGGTTAGCTTCATTTGAATTTGCTAAGATCCTCTTCAGCCAGCTGCAACTCCTCCCAAAGGCAGCATTCACACACACTCACACACACACACACACACACACACACACACACACACACACACCCCCACACACACTGACAGGCAGCTGTGTACCATGATGTCAGAGCTCTGCAGTTTTCTTGAACTCAGTTTAGTTTTTCCAGAGTTGCACAAGCAGACATGTTTTCTCCTTCTTATAAGAGCTGCAGGAATCAAGAGAGGTAACGAGCGTTAACGAGAGCTAACACCTGCCAGGCTAATCAGAGACACCATGATGAGATATTACCATGAGTTGTGACATTTTACAGATGCGGCCTGTGATGAAATGTAAGAGTTTGAAGAGTTCAAATTTCACCTCGACACCCAAGTGTAAATCCTTAAAATTGAACATGCCGAGCTCTCAGAGTCTGTGGGTTTATCCAGCTGTGGTTGAACCTCCTGCAGATCAACATGCTGCTGTAGTCTCTGAGTGGGAGTGTGTGAGAGTCTGCACACACACACACATAGAAACACACATACACTCATACACAAAGTCAGGAAACTCACTATTGTTCAGAGTTCACAGGAGAGTGGACTTGTGCTTCTAAATTAGAGTTAATGATGTAAAAGTCACAAACAAGCCTCTGCTGCATCAGTCCACACAGTGATCACGGTGTGTGTGTGTGTGTGTGTGTGTGTGTGTGTGTGTGTGTGTGTGTGTGTGTGTGTGTGTGTGTGTGTGTGTGTGTGTGTGTGTGTGTGTCCTAACCGAGCACTTCCTGTCAACAGGAGGAAGGGTGGAGGATTCAGGACACGCACAGGTATTTGTGTGTCAACATCACACACAGGAACTCAGGACTTGTAGGCCGGTCTGCACTGTTGGGGATCTTGAGTGGCTGCCCGGCTCATCCAGCACCTGACCCAGTTGGGATACAAGATCCCAGGACTGTTACTAAGGTGTAGGAAGATTTGTCGATCAATCAATCTTTCCAGTAAGACCCCGGGTTTAAGAGGTCCAAATAAGTTTCCTCTAAAGGGCGTCTGAGTCCTGGACTCCGTGAGGGATCTTGGAATACTGTAAGGTGTCCGTTGAGGGGGTTTAAGCTTTTGTTAAGGATGCCTCTCTTTGGAGGTGGTCCAGGTGTGTCCAGCAGAGGGGAAACCCTTGAGGGATAATATACATTTCCTATCTGGGTTGGGATCTGGTCTGGTTTTGGGATCCCAAGGTGGAGCTGGAAAGCACTGCAGAGGATTGGGGGGTCTGGATTGAGTTGCTGCCCAGGTGACCCGATCCTGGATAAGTGGATTGATGGACTGAAAAATGGGCTTCAATGTTACTCAGAGAAACTGATTAGAGTGATGGAAGTGAGGAGCAGGATGCAACTGATCTGCACTGCAATGGTGCCCCCTCATGGACGCTTCATGTCAGTGCACTTCTTTACAAATCTGCTCCAAACAGGAAACAGATCAACTAAAAGGGAAAAAATGTCGGACTCATCATGAATAATTTCCGATCATTTCACTCACCTCCTCGTCTCTTTCTGCAGGTCCGTGTACGACGGTCAGGAACATGGCCTCTTCATGGAGAAGCTGGACGCTCGGATCAGGAATCACGACCGGGAGATCGAGAAGATGTGTAACCATCACTTCCAGGGCTTCGTGGACTCCATCACAGAGCTGCTCAAAGTGCGCGGGGAGGCGCAGAAACTCAAGGTCAGTACAGGACGGTGGAGACCACTGAAAGAACCGAGAACATGTTCTCAGCTGAAGGTGAACCTTGATTCTTTCTCTCCTCAGAGTCAGGTCACGGAGACAAACAGGCGTCTTCAGGATGATGGGAAAGACGTAAGTTCACTTCTATTGAGTTTGATCGATCAGGGCTTACTTTGAAATCTGTCTTCACCTCCTTCTCTTTCTCCTCTTCAGCTCATCAGCTCCATGGAGGACCTGAAACAGTGTCGAGTCCAGCAGAGGAACATCGCCACCACCATCGACAAACTGACCCACTGTCTACCAGGTAACACAAACATAAAAAAACCACACCTCTCCACAGACGTGTTTGTGACTCTCTTTTGGAATCATGATCCATCTCTTCTGTTCCCCTCAGTCCTGGAGATGTACAGCAGACTACAGGAGCAGATGAGGGCCAAAAGGTACGTCAGGTCACACCTCGCTCTCTCTTACATTTCAACTTTTCAAACTTTATATTTATAGGTTTAACTCATTCAGTGCCAATGAGTGATTTGGACGGATTTTTCAGGTTTTTTGTTTTCTGCCAGAGGGCACTCCTCCCTAACATGCGACTAAGTTTGAGGTCGTTCTGAACGCAGAAAAGCCGACAAGTACGTCATAACCATGTGACAATAACAAAAACAAGTACTGGCCAGTGAGAAGTGGGCCAATTAGCCTAGTTGTGGAGAGTTTTTGAGGAGAGTAGGAAAATGCCGAAGTCATTAGACAAGAGCTAACGTCTCGGTGCATCGGCTCCCGTGGGTGCGATGCTACCATCTCTGGATCCAGCGGAGATCCCGATACCGGACCTTCACATTGTTAGCCGACAATTAAAGAAGCAATTTTCCGGCATGTCGTGGTGCCGCTAGTGCCGGTACTGGTGAGCGAGACTGAGCCGGAATTCAGCAAGGAGGACGCAAGCATTCCGTGTGGTTTACGTTGTGGTGTCAGGTTCTCAAGAGCCAATACGATTCCGAGCCATCACAAAGGGACTTGTCACAATCTGATCTCGAGGGTGATGAGGAGTGATGTCCGAGGAGGGAGGACCTTGATGCCAACGGTGAAATAGTTTGAAGTGAAATGAAATAGACGATCAGAGTTTGGCTTGAAAGTCTCTCCTCCGTAAAAATGTGTTTTCCAGATCGACAAAGATGATATGATCACACTGCATTGAGAAAGTTGCATCAATGAACCTGGCACTGAATGAGTTAATTAGCGAAAGTGAGACGAGTTTTAGCCTGTGAAATGAAGAAGAAACTCCTGAAAATAAGAATTTAACAGGAGGTGCAAATGATGCCCTGTTGTTGTTCTCACCATCAGCCAGTAGATGGAGCCAGAGTGTCATGAACGGCCTCTCAGGTTCCCTCTTTTCCTCTCCCTGCCCTCGGCCTGACCTGCAGACAGGAGTCTGGTTGGTCGTAAATTTGTCGTTTGTTTGTGTGTTTTTCTACTTCTCTGTGTCCTTCGGCTGCCGAGCTCCCGGAGAGCAGCGAGAGGTCAGCCAACAGCCCCCTGCTCCTGGAGAGAAAACCTGAGTGTGTGTGAGTTTGTTTGGAAAGAGAGAAAGGCAGTGGAGTGAAGTGATTTGGGGATATTGTGTTGCCAAAGATCCCTGAGGTGTATCTGAGTGTATTTATCTCTGCCTGTGTTTAACTGTGTGTGTTTCTGTGTGTTCTTAGTCGTGCATCTGTCAGCTCAGACGGAGTTGACTGCAGTGTGTGTGTCGTCTCTGCAGGACAGAAACTCAAACACATAAAAACCTGCAGAGACTGACTTTAGATCAGACTGATGTGGAAGTTATCGGTGAAGAGATGTTCATGTGTTCGTCAGGTACTACCCGGCTCTGAGGACGCTGGAGCAGCTGGAGCAGACATGTCTTCCCCGGGCCGGTCAGTACCGGTTTTGCTCCATCATGGCCGAGAACATCCCCAAACTGAGGACGCAGATCCGGGACACGGCCATGACCCAGCTGAGAGACTTCCTGGAGAGCATCCGGAAACACTCGGACAAGATCGGAGAGACGGCCATCAAGCAGGTGCACAAAAACACAGAGACGCACTCGCAATTATTCCACATTAAACTGATCAATTAAAATATGTACAGCTTAACGAATCAGACGAAACGACCATATTCACTTTAAACATGAAAGGTGGGGTAGTCAGGATCTGAGGAAGTGCCAGTTTTTTGGAGAAATCTTGAATGTAAACTCTACCCTTCTCAACCAGTTTTCCCCTCAAGCCCCGCCCACAAACAGACGCTCCTGCTCGCTCGTATCGTTCCAGTTAAATTCAGATATAATGCAGATAAATACTTCAGATCATTACAAATGGGGCCCAGTCAAGGTGAAGGTCAAAAGCATTGGTGCTACTGTAGATGTCAACAGACTACCAGCAAACACAATGTCTGCAGGACTTCTACAACTAGGATAAAGTGACATAGTCCAGGACCCGAGGTCAACAGTTTAGCGATGGCGCTACAACACGCTACAGCAGGTCCGTTTGACAAGAAACACTTCTGTTACAGACACTTGTCTTACTTTGTTAAAGCGGTTTACCTGTCCAGCAGAAAGGTTACAGGGTCACCAAGATCCCCAAGCGTCCCCCATCGTTTATGTTGACCCGGCTTTTTAACTCTTGTCCGGTCTACCTCCGTTTTAAGCGCCCGTTATTCCTCCAGAGTCTCCGGTATTTACTTTGTTTTCTTGCTTGTTTCGGCAGTCGTGGCCAAAGGAGGATTCAGACAATTTTCCGAACTTTCTGGTTGGTTTCTACTGTCCACAAAAAAGATGCTTCTTTAACGGAATCCTGCCTACCCCACCTTTTTAAAGGGACATCCCAATGTATACTTTCTATTACCAGATGTTGAAATTTAATGATTAATGTAGCTGCAGCCAAGTCAACTTTTAACCTACGCAACTGAAAAAACTCCATGACGAATTCAGAATAGAAGCACTAATTAAAAACCAGAATGTCTCATCACAGAAAGAAGAAATCAGGCTTTTATTTTGAAATTCACCCAGTAGTAATTACGACCTAAACATGTCCGACACTGAGCATTTTGTATTGTCGTTAGTTTTCTCTGTTGTTTAGAGTTTATGTTCTTCTTCTACATAAATGCAGGAAAGTGTGTACCTGTGCATGCTGTTAAAAGTGCATAAAGTGTGTGTGTGTTTATGTGTGTGTTTATGTGTGTTCACTGATAACATCTGAACACTGTTACTGGTTCGACTATCAGGCCTCGCTCCACAATCCTGTATTGTTCTCTATCATCTCTTTTCTCTCAAGTCTGTTAATCAGAAGCAGCCAGTGTGTGTGTGTGTGTGTGTATGTGTGTGTGTGTGTGTGTGTGTGTGTGTGTGTGTGTGTTCGGGATTCTTGCTCTGTGGTTCGGCTGCCAGTAAACGAGCATGAAGGCGCTGTAGGAGACGCCACGGCCTGTCAATGAACACACACAGACACACACACACAAACACACACACACAGACGAGTCTTTTCAGCACTTACCTAATTGTTTTTCTGTTTTCCAAGGTCGAGGAAGTCCTCCACGAGTGTGTGTGTGTTTGTGTGTGTTTAGTGTGTCCTCCAGTGGCTCAAAGTGAGGCCTCCTGTTTATTTGTGTGCCTCCATTATTTTGGGAATGTCGTTCCTCGGATGGCAGGATGGAGGGGAGGGATGGGAGTGAGGACAGAGGGGCTGATGACGGACAGACGAGCGGATGGAGACGGCTGCAGTCTGAGGTTCAGTGTTTCCGTTTGTCCACTAGATGTCACCAGAGGATAGTTTCTCCCATCTGTGTGGATGTCCAGATCTGAATCGAGGGATGCTGATCAGAGGGTCAGGGTTAAGATCTTACGGAGGAATGAGAATAAGGATCTCCCTTCTTAAATTGTCAAGATGTTCCAGTAGTTTTACTTCAAAAGTACCACTTTTGATTGGCTCAGACCAGGTTCACATCCAACAGTTCTCCATCCATCCGTCACTTAAAGACAGCAGGAGTGAGAATGGGAATGTCATGTAGTTGAGGACCACAGGTAGGAATCAAACCCAAGCAAACCCCGTACAAGGTGCACGCAACTTCACCAATAGACCAAACGGAATCCCAACTTTCTTAGGAGTACTGGAGAATCTGCTCTACTCTGAACCTCTACTGGATCTAAGAGCCGTGGACCCTGTTTCTAAGGCCAGGCCCAGTTTTGCTGCTAGCATCCGGGATCTAGATCTTTCAGCCCCTCAAAGTCAGAGTCCATGACCGTCAGTAAGGGTAGAAACTGGAATTATCAGGTAGAGATGTCCGGCTCCCTCTCCACCATGATGATCCAGTGCCGTACCCTTGAAATCTTTGAGGCAGAGACTTAGGACCCACCTGAAGGGAGGACTTTGGCCTGTTACGGTTCATTCAGCTGTTTGGTGGTGGCGCTTTGGTGGTGAAGATGAAATCTGTTTGCGAAAACTGGTTCAATTCAGGTTTCTTCTGCACCAGATCGGACTGGAATGATTCACAAGTCATCACTACACTTGGTGGCACATCCTGACCCCTCAGGTGGGGGGTCCTGGGATTGAAGTTTGAGAAGCAGTGGCAAAGAAAGTCCACAGAGTGCAGGAGCTAACCGCTAACTCGGCTAACCACTAATTACAAGACAGATTGCAGAAACCTCAGGGGGTCCAGCAGCTTGATCCCGACTCTGGGATTATGTTGTTGCATCAAATGTTGGCATCCAGAAGCCTCTTTGCTTTAGAGGCATCCTTCAGGACCTTTTCTTCTTCGTTTTCTCTGCCTCTCCATCCTTTCCTCTCGCTCAGACAGCGTGTCTCTCCGCTGCGCTCTGTTCCAAATTAGCTCCGACTCTCTGTACTCGGCCGTCGTTACGACTCCCTCCACCAAGGATGTGAAAATAAATAGATCTGGGGAGGGAGGAGGAGATGGAGGAGAGCTCAGGGCTTACAATGGAGCTATTGTCTGCTGCCACATGCCCGTAGAAGAAGAAGAAGACGAATAAGAAGAGGAGGAGGAGAGAGGGTTGATAAAAGCTGAATTTGAAGGTTTGCAGATCCTTCAAATCGGATCTGAGTGAAACTTATTAGATGTTAACACTGGAAACTGGAACTGACTTCACCTGCAGTAGCGGAATTTTACTGTTATCTAAAACACAACAACACGATTGTTGAGTTTCAACACTTCTGTGTGGTCTTCGCACTATAAAACAAAAACAAGGGCGCAGTACAGACGGATTATCTTGGACTGGGATCTCCAGATCTGTCATTGTTTTATATCTGCACTCAGTCATTCGTCATTTCCTTCTTCCTCTCTGTCTCTGTCCGATCACATTTCCCTCTCTCTGGTCTCTCTGTCTTTCCATCTCCTCATCTTTCCATCTACTTCCCTCCTTCCTTCCTCTTTATTTTCTTCCATTCATTTCCAGCGAAGGACGAGTTCAGAGCTTCTGCTGTGTATTTGGTAGCTGCACACACTCACACACACAGGTCACACACACTAATGGGAAACAGATTGCTGGGCCTGTGAAGTAGAGGAAGATTGATTACCTGTATCTAGTTACTGAACACACACATGCATGCGCGTGCAGCGAGGGTGGCGGAGGGTGCGCGCCCTGTCCCTGTATCGAACCATCGGAGGGAAGAAAGACTTTTTTCAGTGTGTGTATGTGTGTGTTTGTGATGTCTACAGAATAATGCTCCACACTCGACTGCCTCCGGACACCATTATTCCTCATTCAGGCTCTACTTGCCAAAAAGTGATCTATAGTTGGGGATGGCCCAGTCAGGATTTTGACCCAAATCCTGATGCGAGTCATTAAATCCGGAGTATTTTTCATCACAGCTCCAAATTGATATTTAATATCTCACTACATGACCCAGCTGTGCGGCGCTCTAAGAGTGACCCTCATAGTTTTTCCATGCAGGTGATTCTGACGCTCATTAACACCAACGCTCTACGGAATCTTCATCAGGGCTTCTGCAGAGGCCTCCAAAATAAAACACACGTTCAATGACTTTAATGTGAAGTTGCCTCCTCGTCTCCATTATGTATCTACTCCATAACTTTTTTCCCATGGTTCCCTGCTCCAGTTTCCCTATTTTCCTCCTGAATTAAGAGATGACACACATTGCTGCACTTGAGCCTCAAGTGCCGCGCCGAATGCCACCTCTGAAGAGAAGCGCCACAAAAGGTGGGGTTTAAAATGCCCCCCCTTTCAGGACAGGACTTTGCATTGTGTGGGGGGTCAGGGTGAACGGCGGTATAGGCAGATAATCAGCACGACACAAATACAAACAAAGACACCTGTAGAGGAATGCTGAAGTGGACTTGACTGACGTAGGTGCTGACGTCTGAAATCTGCGGAGTCTTGAATTGTAGGACAGATGCCTTTCTGTGTCACTAATGGACCCTTTCATGTCTGCTTTCACGGGAGGTCCAGCTCTGATAATTTGTGCGTAAAAAGAGAAAAACAAGCATTCGATGACTTGGGAAGGAATGCCATCGGAGTAAAAAGTGCCGTTAGCCAAACGAGACCCTGCTCCTCAAGGGTCCTGAAGTCTTTGCTGCGTTTACTCTTTAAAGAGTTTAGGTAAGAGTCTTAAAGAAGAAGTGAAAGGCCTGCTGGGAATATTTTTAGACGTTGTTTGTTACCTGAAAAGCACGGGCACAGCCTGGCACATTTTCGTGTCCCCATACTCGCTGCCATGTAACCGAGCATGCACAGGATTCAGACTTTCCTCTTATTTTGTTTGGAGGTATTGTCTGATATGACTCACTGGTCTTCTATTTCTGTGGGCATTAGATCAAAGATGGCATTGTGTTCTCCCAACATCTCTGATAGTGTGTTCTTCCGCTTTCGGGGGTATCCACCCTGCCACGAACACCAGTTTTTCTCATTATCGTTGTCATTCACGGCGCAAATCGAGGCGCTCGAAGCCTCTGACGCATCCGTTGACTTCCTTATCGACAGATTTAAGTGCAGAAGGTTGGCTACTCGCTGGCGCCGGGCAGGCAAAGGAAGTCACGGCATTCACGTGGAGTTTCTAAAGGAGCGAGGGTGTGGATGGAAAGATGCATTCAGCTTGGATCTGTAAGGGTTTTCCCACAAAAATACCCCTGAAAGTGACTCGACGTAGGAACAGGCGTCCAAAGAACCTGAACGAGCAAATCCAAGAAGATATAAGAAGATGTTATTAAATGACTGCAAAACCAAACCCTTGGAATCCTTGCGGAGGCCGGTGTACCGCCATAAGTACTCGCCTCCTTGATTGGAAGTCCATTGCTTGGCTTGGCCGTCCATTGACAAACGTGACTCTGTTTTCTTTCTGTTGTGGATACAAGCTTCCTCTAATTTCTCCCCAAAACTTCCTCTTTGATTATCCGTATTTTTAGTATTCCTGATTCAACCCTGCTGCAGAGGAAGCTGAGTGCATCATTTCCCAAAGGAGTCTGCAAATAGATCCTCAGACAGGACGCGGTTTACATTAGATTTGGTCTTGGTCATTGAATTGTCTTTCCACTTGGATGGACTCCATTTTCCTCCGTCTGTGCCCCACCCTTTTCTTATTTTCAGAATCTTTACTGCATATTGTCATCTTTCCAAAATAAATACCCAAACATTGACTACCAAAATATCTCAAGGGGTCTTGAGCTACCAAAGGCCACCAGAACATCCTCAGAGCTCTTTGGACTTCAACAGAAAGTCAAAACACTGATAAAAACGATGTTTTCTTAAAGATCCGTGGATGCTGTTGGTCATTTGGTGGTTTCTGATCTGATCTGGTCACTGCATTTGGTTCACATTGCAGTTGCTGCTCTCAGTTGCCAATCGTGGCTAATGACTCCTAAGTTCTCAAACATAGTGATAGTAAAACAACCCGCCGTCGACCCTCAATAGTATCACCTTCCTCTGCGTTGTTTCACTTTGACTTCATGGCTTTATGTTTGGAAAAGTCCAAAAACTTGGACCCTGTCGACTCCAAACATGGCGGCATCACAGATCCAGTGAACCCTGTCCCTGAAGAGGTCAAGCGTTCAGCTTTTAGCGCAGATCGAACCTGCGCAGATCCTCGGGAGCGATCGTACGTGCTTTGTTTTGGGTTTCACCGACTCTTCGTCTTTCCTGCTCTTCCCTTCCTGTCCTGACATTTTCCCCTCTGATGCATTCTCGGGCGCTTTGGTGAATCACTCTTTTTATGGGTCATTTCCACAGGAGTTTTTGTGGGACAGCTTTTACACCAAGGTCGAAACCTTGACCTCGCAACACCGTGCTCGATTTTACAGTTGTTTTAAGACGAACATAAAAACAGGGAGGCGAGGAGGGATGTCTGGGGTTTGTTTTGCCTGCTTTTGTATTTTGAGTGAGATCGGAGGAGCGCATGTCTGGACAGCTGCAGTCGAGTTAGATTAGAGGCCAGGTTTCATTGTTATCAGAAACATCTGGTTATGGTGTCAGACCCTTTGAATCAAAGACTTTCTACTGTTCTGAAGTGGTGCCAAAGAGCTGAACGCAACAAGTTCCCCTTCCTCTTCTTTAGACTTTGGGAAATGTAGAAGAAACTTCACAGACCAAACAAAGCGCCCCCTCCTCCAGACAATAGATTCAAACCTGTCTGGATTTCTAATGTGCGTTTGTTTTGATCCGTGTTGTGTTTCAGGCCCAGCTGCAGCGCTCTTTGGACAGCTCTGTCTCCGTGCAGCCCAGAGCCCTGATCGGCCGACGCAGCAGAAAGGAGGCCGCGGCGGCGATGGTCACGGAGAGCGACGGACATGGAGGCAGCCCGGTGTCGGAGCAGGACTCGGGAATCCTGGACGTGGAGGACGAGGAGGAGGATGATGAAGTGAGAAATGGAACAGTTGGAAATTAAAGATTGTGTATTTTCAACTAAATCCACCTTTACCTGAAACTGGGGAGAGTTAGTGATGTGGATGTTCTGATGGAGGGCGGAGCAGAGAGACAGGAAGAAGCACGACAAAGGAAAGGCTGTTATTAGGCCTTATAACACGCTTAATAAGAGCCGTTACTCATTGCTTATAAGACGGTTTCTGGCCTGTTGATAGAAGGAGTCCTGCTACGGTTGTTTTTATTTATGAAAATTGTAAATATCTGATATATTTGAAGTATGTGGTACAAAGAAGTCCTGGTGTATTCAAAGTTTCAGTCCCAAACCACGATCACGACCTTCAAGACCGGTTTGTTAAGTAATCTGTCCGACAGTGACCCGGTCTGAGGGACGGCTGGAAAACATGTTTACGGCCCCCTCTAAAGGTGAACCTCTCTCAGTCTGTGAACTCTTGAAGTCGTCCCTGGCGGGGATCAGAAGTCCTGTTTGCTGCCCTGTTGTTCCCTCTCGAGGACAGCCGAGCACAAAGAGAACAGAGCGCTGAACTTGTCACCCCCGCGCTGCCATTCTGTTTTAAGGTCCCTGTCGTCCCCTCGGCTTATTTACGTCCTGTAAACTCCACTCAACCCTCTTCACGGGAAGACCTTGGCTCAAACAAAGGCCTGACCCCTCGGTCAGCGGGGTTACGACCGCGTTGGCGCCGATGGTCGCGGTGATGCCAACTGTAGAGTCTCCTCGCACCATCCCTGCCCCTGCCATGTCTTTCCTCTCCGCCTCTGCCCCGTGTCTCTGTTTCTGACCTCTCTGTCGTCTTTCCTCTTTGATTCAGAGCTCAGATCTTGTTTTTGTGATCGTGTGTTAAAGTGGGTGAAGCTGCCACTGTTTTCCTCCTTTGAAGACGGAGGATGTGGGCAGAGAGGAAGCAGAGGAATGTAGGATGGTTAGACGGAGGGGTAAATGGAGAGAAGTGGAAAAATAAAAGGCTGGTGACTGTCAGAAAACCGTTTGAGGAGCCGCAGAAGACTTTACTCTCTCTGTTTCATCTCCTCTCGACCACGTCTGTCAAATAAACCAAGATGTCATCTGAGGGACTTGAATCCAGCAGACTTGAAGTAAACAGAAATGACGAACAGTGAGACGAAGAGTTTGAAGGTTTTCAAATCATTGAAACTGTTTTTATTGAAAGTTGTGCAAAGACAACAAATGAAAAGTTGATCCTGACAGAATAGGAGTTATCCTTTCTGCTGGTTTCTACATTAGACCGAGGAAAGAAGAAGAAGAAGAAGAAGAAAAAGAAGAAGAGGAAGCTTGTTGAAGGGGAGAAAGAAGAAGGAGCTAGTTGAAGAAGAAAAAGAAGCTAGTTGAAGAAGAAAAAGAAGCTAGTTGAAGAAGAAAAAGAAGAAGAAGCTAGTTGAAGAAGAAAAAGAAGAAGAAGCTAGTTGAAGAAGAAAAAGAAGAAGAAGCTAGTTGAAGAAGAAAAAGAAGCTAGTTAAAAAAGGAGCTAGTTGAAGAAGATGCAGAAGCTAAGTGAAGAAGAAGAAGCTAGCTGAAAAAGCAGGAGAAGAAAAAGAAGATAGTTAAAGAAGAAGAAGCCAGTTGAAGAAGAAAAAGAAGAATCTTAAAAAGAAGCTAGTTAAAATAGAAAAAGATAGAAGATAGTAGAAGAAGCCAGTTGAAGAAGAAGCTAGGTGAAGAAGAAGGTTAAAGAAGAAGAAGAATCTAGTTAAAATAGAATGTAGTAAAAGAAGCCAGTGAAAGAAGAGGAAGCTAGTTGCAGAAGAAGGAGAAGAAGCTAGTTGAAGAAGGAACAAGTTAATGAAGAAGAAAAAGAAATAGCTAGTAAAAGTAGAAGAAAAAGAAGCTAGTTAAAGAAGAACAAAAGAAGAAGCTAGTTAAAGAAGAAAATTAAGAAGAAGCTAGTTGAAGATTTATTGCAAATCTACAAACGTTAAAATCATGTGTTTTGCGTTACTCCACAGCTGAACTGCTAAACTTTTATTTGTTATCTTCCAGTGATCTATCAGAAGTAGTCCCCTTCAAAATAAAAGCATATTTTGAACATTTCGGAAATGGAACAACCTCAGTGCACGACAGAAAAAAAAACAAATGAAAGCGTGATGATTAAATGTTTACTGAGTGACAGATTTGATATTCGGACATAATTAGACGTAGATGAAGACGTGTGAGGTGTTCATCAGTACGGTTTATAAAATGTTGATCGGCTCTCGTCTGAGCTTTTCTCAAAGTGACTGTATTTTGAGTTTTCTCTGAATATCGTTGATCAGGACACATAAAGTGGTTCCTCCCCCTCTTATCACAGCACACGGTCTAATAAAATATCTGAAATTAGAGAAACTGAAACGTAAAAAAACACAGACTTTAAAGAAGAAGGTCCAGTCTGATGGTACTGTTTGTGTCTCTGCAGGTTCCAGGAGCTCAGGACTTGGTGGATTTCTCTCCGGTGTACCGCTGTCTTCACATCTACACCGTGCTGGTGAGACCTTCATCTTGACCTTCAGGCTGACCTTTGAAATCTAACCACAGACACCCACACTGAAGGGGGTCACTAACGGTCACCTCGAGCGTCAAACATCATCTATTTTCCCTGCATGGATGTGAAAATAGAAAATTTAGTCGGAGTTAAGTTTAACAGAGCGACTCGGCTTTGTTTGAGATCTGAGACGGGGTTTTAAAAACCTCAAATCCTTCAGCCTTTGTGCTCCGAACATGTAATTGCGTCTCGGCGAGCTGAAGTCCATCTCTCGTGGTCCTGGTGGAGAAAAACCACACGGCTCCTGTACTGAGAGATGCTGTAAGAGGAGGCCTCCACTCCAGCCTGGCTTCACTCCAACCAGTGTGTGTGTGTGTGTGTGTGTGTTAGTGTGTGTGTAAGTGTGTGTGTGTCATCTCAGCCAGAGTGAAAGCGACATGGGTGGAGGTGTTGACTGGGCCATGACGGGGTTAGATGCACATTTTGGGTCCTGTGTGAGTGTGTGCCTGCAGGCTTGTAGGGGCCACGACCGGGCCAGGGGGGTCGGCTGTTTCTGTTCAGTCTGTGTGTGTCTGTGTGTGTGTGTGTGTGTGTGTGTGTGTGTGTGTGTGTGAGCGAGGGGGACAGGAAGTGCATGAACTTTGACAGGAAGGAGAAAATGAACAGGAGAAAAGAGCGATGGAGGGAGCAGAAAGGGAGAGTGAGGTTAGGGAGAGGGTAAAGAGAGGGCGACGTGACGGAGGGGGGAGGGGCGGAGTTTAAAGGGAAGAGCCGAGAGGTCAGGAAAGTTTAAGGGGGGGGGGGAGGCTCGACGAGGGTCTAAACGGAGGGAGGATGGAGAAGGTGAGCGAGGAGGAGAAAGTGAGCCAGGACTCGACTGATAAACGAGGAGGTTGGAGGAGATAAGGAGGTCAGGGGGAGGTGAAGGGGGCAACAACAGGAAAAGAAGGAGAAGAAAGGGAGGATGAAAGATGGAGGAGGCGATGGAGGGGGAAGGAGTGTGTTCTGTCTCAGGAAGGTGTTGAAAGGCCTGACCTCTTCACCTCTGAGGTCACCATCATCGCTCGCTCGCTCGCTCTCTCTCTCACGCCGTCACGTTATCGTCAACTTCCTCCTGATCGACGCGGATCTGAACCTCGATGTAGAACTGTCGCAGGAACTCAGGGGGACCGGTACTCCCTGGTACCAGTCATGGTACCTGAGGACGAGGACAGAAGTCCAGATAAACCAGTGAACAAACACACACAGAGATGAACCCGGGGTAATCCACGGAGTATTAAAAAGTATTGAAAGGTGATAAATCGATTTTGGGAAAATTAAGACCCTTAAGAACGTCTTTTCACGACTTTACCAAGTCTTGCATTTTGAAGGTATTATTTCTGAATTCGCTGTCCAAGAGTTTGAGTCCTAAAAACATCGTAAACATTTATTCGTTTCCTTAAAAAACAAAGATGAACTGGCACGTAAAAAAATTACGCTATTGTGGATGCATTCGTAAACCGTCTCCGAGAGCGCCAGAGTGCCTCGTAAATTCACAAAATTCGCCCTGGCGCTCCCAGTGCATACAAGAACGGAACTATGTCACTTGACACTCTCAGTGCGCAAAAACGGAAGAGAAGACTTGGTGAACGGTCATGGGAAAGTGCGAGTTTGCGGAGTCCTGGCTTGGCGTGCCGGACTTTACAGGATGGAGGGGAATACCGAGGAGGCGTATCGTAGAACGTGCAAGAAGAGGATTAACATCGTGTCCACGGGAATTAAGGCATTAAAGTCCCACATATGTTGTGCACAACCTACCACCGGCAGCTGCACCTGAACCTAACGTTACGACTACGACCTCTTCCGTCGCTGGGCGGAACGGCAACGCTGCTTGGAGGTGTCATGGTGTCTCCACTCAGCGGAGAAACACCACTTGGCTGAACAGTAACGAAAACTTGTCTGACGTTTTCAGGGCCGTGTTTCCCGATTCAGACATAGCCAAGACTTGTGCTTTTGGTTACGGACAAATCTGGTTACAGTATACGATCCGGCTTCGCACCATCCTGGATACTAGATGGTATCTAATTCCTCCCCAACCCGGCAACGGCATGGTGGCTGTCTAACATGAGTCTGGTCCTGCTCAAGGTTTCTGCCTGTTAAACGAAAGTTTTTCCTCACCGCTGTCACTCATGTTAGATGAGATGGTCCAAAACCCATCTTAGGTCGGTTCTTGATAATTCATCAAACATTGAGCGTGGTCTAGACCTGCTCTTGTTCTTTCTTGACGACTTTTGCTGCATAAGAAAATTTCAGGCACAGGATTTTTTCTGCTTCCAGAGGGTCTCCGTAAAAAAAAAGGTCGATAAAGGTTTTAAAATTAGCGTCGGGATTCCTGTTTATACCCCGTGAACCCGTTTTCTCCATTAAGGTGTAGTTTGATTGACGGCTCATTGGGCAGAGATGCCGAATTACCGTTTGACGGGAAATCAAGAATGTCCAGAAACGATCGCTGAACTGGCTCGAGGCGTGGACTGGAAAACCCACAACACACACACACACACACACACACACACACACTTTCAGACACACAGTTTTTTGTTTAATGGTCAAACAGGCACACGCTCGTAACAGTTACATTTATTTTTCTAGTAAACCTGGATTTGAAAATCCCATTTGCAATCAGGACCTCCACCTCCTCCAAATCTCTCCATCCATCCCTCTCTCCTTCTCTCCTCCGTGTTTAAAGTCGGTGATTTTCCAGCCCGGGTCCCGAACAATACTCCTTTGTTACACTAACACACACACACACACACACACACACACACACACGTGTAGTGGGAGGAGATCTGAGGAGCAGTGATGAGTGTAAACACGAGTCTGGAGTCCAAAAACCTGAGCGAGCGGAGAGAGGAAATGGAAGAGACCAGGAGATCCAAACAGAGTCCAAAAGCTGGGGTCCTGCTGGACTGGTCCTCTACCCCGAGATGGAGAGGGGGTATCGGTCCAAACACACACGTATAAACGGACTCTGTGTGCTCTGGAGGTGGTCTGGTTGTGTCGTAAGGGTCTTGTCGTGTTATCTCCCCACTCTTGGGGTCTTATCTGAGGACTCTGGGTCCTGGTCTGGACCCTTTAAGGCCACAAGTTTCTCACACACAGCAGAGAAAGAGAGGGGGAGCAGGACCAGATAGGACCTGGTCCAGTTTGGGTTTCTGTGTGGGTCTGATCAGTGACGCCAAACTAAACTAAACACACGCATGAGCTCACCTGGACGCGCTATTTTTTTTTGTTGGATGGTAGGGGAAAGTCCCGCCTCCTTCACCTCTGATTGGCCAAAAAAGCTGGAAACGTCATCGCACACTTCTGAATCTCCTAATCAGAGGCGAAAGAGGGCGGGACCTTCCTCTACCATCCTCCAAAAAAAAAAAAAAATCGCCACCCGGACTCTGACCCCACCATGAAGACCCTCCTCCAGCCGGTCCTCCTGTCCTCCACCCACCTGTCCTCCGTTCTCACCTGCAGGGTTTACGGGACGTCTTTGAGAACTACTACAGGAAGCAGAGGAGGAAACAGGCGCGCCTCGTTCTGCAGCCCCACTCTAACATGGTATGACCCCACCCCCACTCTGTCTAACTACACCTGCACCACCCCCACACCTCCACCTCCACCTCCACCCACACACTTGTCCTAATATCTGATTAACTGATGTGACCTTCAGTCAGTAAAAACTCTTAACTTTATAAACGTTTTGTCTGTTTTTCTTTCCTCTGTTTTTTTTTCTTCTTTTTCATTTTCAGCATGAAACTCTAGAGGGATACAGACGATACTTCAACCAGATCGTAGGGTAAGCTGCTCAGTTCTCCTCCTCTCTTCTCTCTTCTCCTCTTTCCTCCTACTCTTCCTCTCCCTGCTCCTCTTCTGGTTTAGGTAAAGAGGAGAGGAGAGCAGGGAGAGGAGTAGTTTCAAGTGGTTTCCTCTCGCCTCCTCTTTCTATCTCCTTCTCTCTTTCCTCTCCTCTCTCCACCTCTTTCTCTCTCCTCTTCTCCTCTTTCTCTCTCCTCCTCTCTCCACCTTTTTCTCTCTCCTCTTCTCCTCTTTCTCTCTCCTCCTCCTGCTCTCCTTCTCCTTCTCTTTCCTCTAACCATTTTCCAATCAGTGATCTTCCCGTCTGTACCAGCATCATGATTCTTCACCACCGACATTCCTCCTGTTCATCCTTTCATCCCTTCATTCTTTATCCCTTTATCCCTCCATCCCTCTATCCCTCCATCCTTCCTTCTTTCATCACTCCATCCCAACATCGCTCCGCCCTTTTATCCCTCCATCCTTCCTCCATTCATCCCTTCATCACTCCATCCCTCCATCCCTCCTCTTGTTCATCTCTCCATCTTCCATCCCTCATCCTTCCTCCTGGTCATCCCTCCATCCTTTTATCCCTCATCCATCCTTCCGTTCATCCTTCCATTCTATCATTCCTTCATCCTTCATTCCTCCTGTTCATCCCTCCATCGTTTCATCCCTTCTTCCTTTCATCCTTCCTCCTGTTCATCCCCTCATTTTTCCATCCTTCATCTCTCCATTGTTCCTCCTGTTCATTCATCCTTCCTCCTGTTCAACCTTCCCTTTTGTTCATCCTTCCATCCTTTCATCCCTCCATCCTCCTTGTCTATCTTGGCTCTAGACTCGGTGACACAGACAAACTCCAAACTCTTCGTTTTTAGAGTTTTTTGTTTTTTTCGTTTCATTTCCTCGGAGTGACTCTGACTGTTTGACATCTTCTCTTCTTCTCCTCTTCCGTTTTTCTCTCTCTCTTTCTCTCTGTTGTTCTTTTCCATCCTCTCTTGTCCGTCTCTGGCCAAACTCACCCTTCCCCTCGTTTTACTTTTCCTCTCATCCATCACTCCATCCAATTCTCTCTCTCTCACACACACACACACGCTGGTACATTAGTGTGGATTGATAGAGTGTGTGTGATGGTGGTTGGCGTATTGCTGTTATTCCTTCTGTCTGTCTGAGTCCAGCAGACGCTTCTATAAACACGGCCAAGACTGGACACTGACACACACACACACACACACTCACACTCTCGTCTGTTATTCCCATCCCAACCTTTGGAAAGTCGTGTCCATCCCGTGTCTCTCACACGTCTCTCTCTCCGCCCTCCGCTCGTCCATCCTTCCCTTTCTTTCCCATTCATCCGTCCATCCCTCCGTCCTTTAATAACTGGATCCTTCACTTCCTTTTGTTCTCCACTAACAGCTCTCTAATTAGACTTTCCCCGTCCGTCTTTATTCCCTCACTCATGAACTCTTTTATTTTCTCAGTGCAGATGGATGAGAGTCGCTGTAAAAACACAAACGTTGGATTAAATTAAAAGTCATGTCTCTGCAGCAGATGTTGATAAAACAGGTTCATGAATAATTTGAGCCTTGTTTTTGAGGTAAAATTGTGCAGTTTGAAGTAGTTCACTGCTTTCATCCCTCAAATTTCTCATATCTTGGATTTCTCATATCTCAGATTTCTCGCTCAGCTCAGGATTTGCTGCTAAAGAAAGTGGATAAAAACATTCATGACTGATTTAAACCCTGTTTTTGAGTATAAATTGTGAAGTTTGAATTATTTTACTGCTGTCATACCTCAGATTTCTCATATGTGAGATTTCTTATATCTCAGATTACTTATATCTCAGATTTCTCATATCTCAGATTTCTCATATCTCAGATTTCTCATATCTTACATTTCTTATATCTTAGATTTCTCATATCTCAGATTTCTCATATCTCAGATTTCTCATATCTCAGATTTCTCATATCTCAGATTTCTCATATCTCAGATTTCTCATATCTCAGATTTCTCATATCTTACATTTCTTATATCTTAGATTTCTCATATCTCAGATTTCTCATATCTCAGATTTCTCATATTTCAGATTTCTCATATCTCAGATTTTTCATATCTTACATTTCTCATAGCTCAGATTTCTCATATGTGAGATTTCTCATATCTTAGATTTCTCGTATCTCAGATTTCTTGCTCAGCTCAGGATTTGCTGCTAAATTAAGTGAAAAACTTCATATGTGATGAATAAAAAAGGACTTTTAGTGCAGAAGAAGAAGAAAGCGTGTGAAATTCTTCTCCAGGATTGTAAGTCTTGACTTGTAGGATAGCTGTTTAAGTGTTTCATAATTTCACCTCTGTTCTTGTCCAGCTTCTTCGTGGTGGAGGATCACGTCCTTCACACCACCCAGGGTCTGGTGAACCGCGCCTACGTGGAGGAGCTCTGGGAGTTGGCGTTGTCCAAAATCGTGGCAGCCCTGAGAACACACTCTGTAAGGAGACGCGACATCAGCACTTTTTAGAGACGCACAGAGAAATGTTAAACCCCTCTGATTTACTCTCCTGTCTCCTCAGTCCTACTGTGACAACCCGGACCTGGTTCTGGACCTGAAGAACCTCATTGTCCTCTTCGCTGACACGCTGCAGGTACGTTTGTGTGATTAACTGTTCAGATATCTCCACATGTTCCATGTAAGCTCTGAGATATTCCACCCCTGAGGCCCATCAAACCGCCTTAAATCGGGTTTGGTACTTCGGAGACTGGCGGGCGTCCACGTCTTAAAGAAAGACTCTCTTTTTGAGCAGAAATCCGTTTATCATCAGATGTCATATATTTACTCCGAGCTGGACGGAGGATGGAGTGAGAGTGACGGGAGATGAAGGGGGATGTGGGTAGAAACTGGACAGGAGGAACATCATCCAGGGATGAGGGAGGAGATGATAGACGAGCGGAGACCTTCAGGTGAAGTGATGAGGTGATGGAGGACGGCATAGTTTTTCTCCTGTGTCCAACATTGGCGGAGGTTTGGACTTGAAAAGTTTCGCCAACTTGGACGCGTCAAAATGGGTTTAAGAGGAACTTCAGGGTCGGAAATAAAAAAAATCTCGTTTTAAAATCTTGATTTGATAAAAAAAATATGAAAGAAAGTTAAAAGTTCAGCAGAAGGACAAGGACCAAAACTAAGACTGGACAGTCCTGAACTTCAGGCCGTCAGGCAGCACTGCATTAAAAACAGATCCGACTCTGTAGTGGAAGTCACCACATGAGAACAAAATCCCTCAAACGAACTACAAAAATGTCTTTTCTTTGAATAGATCAAACACTATCATTGCACTAGCCACCAAACATTGTTTTAACTTTAGCAAAGAGACTAAACACAACTCGCCTACTCTCTTCCAGCAGCTGCTCGTTTGTAGCGAGACCTCAGGCCAGTCCAGTATGGACTACAGCGGGGTTTCGCAGCTCAAGGAAGAACATTTATGATCATTTCTTTATCATTTCCTTGAAGTAATAATCGTCATATTGATCATTTTGCACTGCAGATGCGGTAGTTCTTCTGTCTTAGCGTCTCGGTCTGATTGTATTTCCATGAAGAAATGATCATAAATGTTCTTCCTTGAGCTGCGAAACCCCGCTGTAGTCGATGGACTCGCCCAGAGGGATCAGGAACTACTGATAGTGAAGTTCTTAAAAAGTTAGTATAATTTAAAATTTCAAGAAGTTCAGAAGTTTCATCCAAAAAGAAGATTTTTTTAATATCCTGCCTTTTTAAAGAATCGGAATAGAGAATTGTTAGGAACCGGAATCAAAACGAGGAATCTGAATCGGAATCATTCAAAATCAAACGATACCCAACCCTACATAAGAGTGGAATCGCTGGCACCTGTTGTCCTGTTGCGATCCTAATGTTTGGCATGACATACCGAGGTTGCCTTCCAGAATCTCAGTCTGCAACAGATATCGAGAATTACGATATTTCTGACATAGTATCTATATATCGCCGAATATTTACAGTAAATATACAGCAGGAGTTTCGCCAAAGTCGTGCAGGCACCAGGTTGCACTTACTGTGGGAATGCAATACAATTTAGGTATTCTGGAGGGCAATATGTGCAAACATTAGTTACGAAGGCACCGCTTTGACTCCTAAGGTTACACTCAGGTGTTCAGGACCCTCACTGGTCGCTCTGGTTCCTCCTCCTGCAGGGTTATGGATTCCCCGTGTCCCAGCTGTTCGACATGCTCCTGGAGATGAGGGAGCAGTACGGAGAGATCCTGCTGAAGAGGTGGAACCTCACCTTCAGGTAGGAGTCGTGTTCGGGGCCCGTGTTGGCGAGTGCGTGCCGCGCTGACCGTCCGCTCTCTAGTCAGAGGGTCAGGAGGGCAAATCCAGTTTGTGGGAAACTTCCTGGTCCTGGTTTTGAAGTTTTACGACCAGCCAGAGAGAGGAAGTGCTTTAAAACAAGATTTCCGGAACATTCTTTGCCCTTAAGAATGGGCACTACCCTTACAAGACCGTGTGTGTGTGTGTGTGTGTGTGTGTGTGTGTTGTATATATGTGTGTGTGTGTGTGTGTTTGGGCTTTTACATGCCATTGTTTCACCATCGCGTTTGTCCAATGACACCAGAGGGATTTCAAACCCGAGCAGACAAACAAACACACGCTCCCTCTCTCTCTCTCTCTCTCTCTCTCTCTCTCTCTCTCCGTCACACACACATAAACACACACACACACAAACACACACTCTGGGGAAGCCGCAGGAATGTTGTGTTGTATTGTTGGAGAGGGAGCGCTCTCCGGTTCACGGCCTCTCCATGGAACGCTGGAACGTCCGAAACTTTGGAGCGCCAACGAGAAAAACCTCAAGCATTAGAATGACCCCCAGTGGGACGATTGTTTATATGAGTGTGTGTGAGTGTGTGTGTGTGAGGAAACTTACCTGAGCTGTCTTTCCTCTGCAGGCAGGTGTTGGACCAGGACAACTACAGTCCGATCCCTGTGGCCACAGAGCAGGAGTTCAGACACTACACTTCCCAGTTTCCCCTGCAAGACCCCGACCTGGAAAAGGTACAAAAACCTGATCGGGAGAGGAAAAACATGCCGATTTCAGGGTTTAGATTACCGTATTTACCCTAATATAAGATCACCTTGATTATAAGACGACCTCCTGCTCTCTGTCTTCTTTAGTGACGGCATAAAAAAGACTAAATCTGACTGAAACTGGACTTTTAAACTCTACATAGCCTGACTAACGTACCTGGTAAACTAGGGTGACCATATTCTGGATCCCCCAAAAAGAGGACACGACTAGGCGGGGAGGAAGTCGTGGAGTCATGCGTAGTTAATTTTGAGAGTTTTCCGGCTCAGATCAAGTGTTTTTTACCCGCTTCTAGTCCATGTGACACAAACTCAAAACTTCTGTATAAAACCTTGGACATTTGAAGGATTTTATAAACTTCCCCGGACCAAGCCAAACAGGCCAGACAGCCCCCAAAAAAGAGGACATGACTACGCAGGGGCGAGGTCGCAGAGTCACAGAGTCATGCATAGTTAATTTTGAGAGTTTTCCGGGTCAGATCGAGTGTTTTTTACCCGCTTCTAGCTCATTAAGTCCGCATGACACAGACTCGAAACTTCCGTACTAAACCCTGGACATCTAAAAGATTTTATAAACTTCCCCGGACAAAGTCAGACAGCCCCCCAAAAAGAGGACATGTCCAAGTAAAAGCGGACACCCTATGGTAAACCTGTTTGGGTGTGAACTCTCCGGACTCACGGAACGAGTGGATTTTAAAGTCTTTGGTGTGTTCGTTTCTAGACCCTCAACTTCACTTTTCCCTGATTAAAAGGGAAAAAAAACTTTTCATATTTGTGTAAATACGGTTAACATTCATGATTAAAATCTCTCATAATCCCTGTTTTTTTCTTCTGATTTCTCCAGCTGCCTTTCCCCAAGAAGCTCCCGTTCTCCGAGTTCGTGCCAAAAGTCTACTGCCAGCTCAAAGAGTTCATCTACGCCTGCCTGAAGTACTCTGAAGACCTGCATCTCAGGTACTGGTCTGTGGGTTTGGTTTTCTTCTGGGTTTGCTGTAGTGGGCGAAGAACATGGTTTAGGGTCCATCTTTCGAAGGTCCATCCTGAAGTCATGGTCTCTAAACCAGAATAATATTGTAATCCCAGCAGTTCTGGAGCTGAAATCCGGTAACTCTTCAGTCTCTTAAACCGGATTATTGAAACTCTCTGAACTGGTCGGTCTGAGCTAACAGATGTTTTTCTGAGTCTAACGGTTCCTCTCTCTCGGAGCAGACAGCACTAATCGCTCTTCTCAATCAGAGTAATGACTCCCATTATCCGACCTGGCTTGATTTTTACGGTCCCGCGCACACCCTGCTATCCGGTTACCGCGGCGGCGGGCCTTCCTGCCCCCGCTTCAAACGTGCACAGATGCTCGGGTCCGGAAGCAGACCCCGGTGATGAAGCGGGATTGTGGTCATTGATCCTTTTGACCTTTGACCTCGACCTCTGTTTGTAATTCGGAGAGGATGCTTGAGAGTCGACGTCTCTATTTTTATCTCCTGGTGCCTGCAGGTTTTTATCGGTACAGATGTGTGAGAGTTTGAGGGTTTGTGTGTTTGAGACGTGCAGGGAAGGGGAGGGGGACTGTCTTTTTGTCCTTCTGTCCGTCTGTTTGTTGGTAGATTCGCCACTTTGGTCCCTTACCTTAGTTAGATCCATCATTTACAGTCTTAGCAATATTTCTGCAACAGTTTCCAACTCCATGCTCACTTTTTGTTGAAGGAAACAGCCTCATTATTCTGAACTTCTGAAGTTTTTACGGCCTCATTGTCAGCATCATAGAAACACTCTTTTAAAGGAAGCTGCGGTCAAACTCTTCATGAAGGTTTGGAAAAGACCCAAGTCCTGGTTTTGCCGTGAAGAATATCCTCAGCAGGTTGATAACACGGAAAATCTCTGTTAAAACTTGTACCTGAACTTTCTACAAGTCTGAAGTTTGGTGGTTTGATTCTCAGAGCAGTACAAACATGCTTCCTCTGGATCTGCCCGTGAAACACTCTCCTCAACCTCAAACTGGAGTCCAGGGTCGGAGGATTGTGGGTGTGAACGTGTCGAACTGTGAATATGAAACAAGGTGTCGCTGAGAAAGAGCACACGGACTCAGCCGGCCTGTTTTTGGGGTAAAGACTGGAAAGAAACTCAAGATGAAAGAGAAGACTCCTCTTGGCCACGATCTCCTCACGATTGAGGAGAATCAAGAAAATCAGAATCAAACTGCGTAGCGTGCCGATCAATCCCCGACACCAGCAGAGATCCAACCACAGCCGAGTCCGTGCCAAGCTGCTGCGAAGCCTGTTTGATGAAGTCCAGTTCCAAGTTCCCTTATATCACAGGGAGTCGGCATGACCATGAACCACTCAAGTCCTGTCCCCATCAAAGTTTGCCATCCCAAGATAATTAGCAAGTCATGAACCTCTTGTGTCGTGTCCCCGTCAAACTTTGCCATCCTGGAATAATTCGCAACGTCATGAACGACTCTAGTCCTGTCCCCGTCAAACTTTGCCATCCTGGGATAATTCGCGATATCATGAACCACTCAAGTCCTGTCCCTGTCAAACATTGCCATCCTGGGATAATCGCGATGTCATGAACGACTCAAGTCCTGTCCCCATCAAACTTTGCCATCCTGGGATAATTCGCGATATCATGAACCACTCAAGTCCTGTCCCCGTCAAACTTTGTCATCCTGGGATATTTCGCAACGTCATGAACCAATCCAGTCCTGTCCCCGTCAAACTTTGCCATCCTGGATTAATTCGCGATGTTATAAACCTCTCGTGTCGTGTCCCCGTCAAACTTTGCCATCCTGGAATAATTCGCGATGTCATAAACCACCCAAGTCCTGTCCCCGTCAAACGTTGCCATCTGGGATAATCTCGATGTCATGAACCACCCAAGTCCTGTCCCGGTCAAATTTTGCCATTTGCAATGTGACAGTTAAAGTTTATCAGGAAATAAACTAACACAGAGGATTTCTAGACTCTCTGTACTGGGAGTAAAACCAGTCCCTCCCAGTTCCCAGTGGGTTTGCATACTCGCTCCAAAGCGGCCCCTTAACGACATCATTTAAAGGTACGTTCTAAGAGTTGCTTGTCGTCCACCATCATGATACCTTCAACAGAACCGTTGCTTCAGTCCGCGGCTCCTCTCGGAGAAATCTTCTACAATAAAGTCATTACAGTTCGGTTTCACGGATCAAGATCTGGTTCCAGTTCATATCAAGTTCTGGAAACACGGCCCCTGTTATTTTGTGCTACTACAGCGAGCTCGCTGCGTCTTTCATCATGTTTCAGTCACGTCAGTTTATTTCAGTCAGCGGGCGGTTGAGGAGTCGAACCGCAGCGATATTTAGTGTCAGGAGCGCTGTTCCAGAGACGGATGATGTCCAGAGTCGTGCTAAGGAGCCATTTGAGGGTGAAGGAAAAATGAGAGGAACTACGTTTGCATGCCATTGTACACACATTTAGACGCACACACAGATAGACAAAGTGATGACTCCAGCTGGATTCTGTCGTATCACCGTCTTTGTGTGTTTGTGTGCGACCAGCTCTTGAAAACACCTCCACATGTTTCCGTCGTTCCTCTCCGAGCCGTAAACACGGACGCGCTCTGAGGCATCTGGCCTCCGTTTTTGACAGCGTCAGCCGCCGCGCGTTTATTGTGACTGATGGCAGCGAAAATATCATGAAACTCAATAGGAATTCTGCGGTGTGTCTATATTTGTTTAAGTGTGTGTGTGTGTGTGTGTGTGTGTGTGCCCGCTGGACTCGCTGCCGTACACTGACACACATCGTTTTTTTTTTTTTTTGTCCACTCGGCACTTCTGCCTCTCCAGGAATTTCTCCTTCTTGCTTCCAAAATTGTTGGAACGTTTTTAGGATTCCTCCTTTAGGTGACTCAGTGTGTGTGTGTGTGTGTGTGTGTGTGTGTGTGTGTGTGTGTGTGTGTGAGAGTGTGTGTGAAGGTTGAATTCCAGTCACAGATAATTTGCTGATTTGGTTGGAATGTGTTTGTTACCCACACTGTGCTGGAAAAAAAGTCAGATTCCTCTTCGTCGTCCTGCAGCGAGAGAGAGAGAGAGAGAGAGAGAGAGAGAGAGAGAGAGAGAGGGATGGCTTTAGTTTCAGCGGATTATCTCGGCTGTTTGACCTCCTCTGACTCTCTGCTGTCAGGTCTGACACCTTCAGATACTCAGTGATTTTTCTTATTTGGTCCTTCATTCATCTGGATCTTCGTCAGGTTTGTCTCGAGCTTGGATTTTGCCCTGTGAACTCGAGTTATAGTCCATAGTTATGAGTCCTTGAGTGGTCACTAGTTCCACTTCCTGCCAGGATCCTTTCCTACAGGTCTTCCCTTACTTTCTGTCCCTTTGTTTCCTGCCTTTCTTAAAGGGAAATTCCGGCATACAACTAATTTAGGGTCAAACACATCGTAACACCGAGTTAGACACCCTCTCCAGAGATGAATGTTGCCGACCGCTTGCTTCTCTAGTTATACCAACTTTAGTAACGACCGCAGGATAGAAATACACAGCGGTCTGAGGAGCCATAAACAAACCTGCCAGTCCATTACGGACTACAGCGGAGTTTCGCAGCTCAAGGAAGAACATTTATGATCATTTCTTTATGGAAATACAATCAGACCGAGACACTAAGACAGAAGAACTACCGCGTCTGCAGTGAAAAATGATTAATATGATGATTATTACTTTAAGGAAATGATAAAGAAATTATCATAAATGTTCTTCCTTGAGCTGCGAAACTCCGCTGTAGTCCGTAACGGACTGGCCTGAGAAGTAAGGTGCTGTTCTGAGCATTATTTGTGGCTATAAAGTGGCATTTTGGATGAGTGCGTGGCTCTCTGTATTGCTATCATGCGGTCGTTGGTATAACTAGAGAAGCAAGCGGTCGTCACCGTTCATCTCTTGAGCGTGTGTCTAACTCTGTGTTTGACCCAAGTTAATTTTACGCCGGAATATCCCTTTAAAGGAGACAAGAAACTCCCACAAACAGAGCTAACACCCAACAAAGTCAGGACGGGATCAATGAGTCCGTCTAACGCTAGCAAAGCCAGCACCACCACCCGTCAGCCTCGCCCTTAGATTGAAAACCTTGTTTCTGTTCTGGTTGTGCGTCGCCATGGTGAAGTTGTTGCCCATGAATCCGTCTGTCAGCTGTGATGTTAAATGGAGCTGCTCTGGTTTGCGGGCACGGCTCTATTCCTGTACGTCTACCGCGGTTCGTCTCCTGTTTGTGTTTGTAACCTCCCGTTGAACAACATCTGCTCTCACACAGAGAGGCCTCATCGCCGCTGCCATTAAAAACCTCACCAGACTTCCAAAACAGTCCTGCGGGCTTTTCCACCAGAGATCGCCCACATTTCAAACATAATAGTATGTCAGAGATTCTGTAAGTGGGTCCGATTAGCGCCATCAAACGTGTGTTTATACAGTAAATTTGAGCTCATTCAGACTTAACAGTCCGTTGGCTCGCTGCACGCCTGGTTGGCTGAGCCGAGGTGGTGATTTTATAACTTTTGAAAGTCTGTTGAGGGATGAGGGTGGGCGAATCGACTTAATACTGCAGGTTTATCAGGGTAGATCACAAAAGGTCATAAAACCGTATTTGTTTTATCGATTTCTGGACTCCGCCGGTGTTCGTCCAGCTTTAGATGATAGTTGTTTCCACAAAAAGAGGAACCTGGAGCCTCATTTTTTCCAGATTCGTTGTGTAATAGACCCGCTGCTTCAAACAGGTTTGGAAAAGCTCCCAGGAAATGACTCCGTCAGGCAGACAGCTCGAATGGTCACGACTTAATCCTCAGTGGCAGCTCACCTGATCACGTTACATCCGTTAAATGAGCTTAATTTTGTCCCTGAAGGTTCAGTGTCCTCACGAGGGTCCGACAAGGACAGGATGTAGATCCATATGTGGACGACTCAAGAATAAACTCTCATCATTTCTGTTTATTTCAAAGTTATTTTACTTTACAGATTTCAGGAGTCTTTGAAAGTGCATTTACGCACTTATTAAGGAGTTTTGAAAAATAAAGATTACAAGAACAATATTTTACAAGAATTAAGTTTTGAATTAAAAAGAAAAGTCAGAGTCTTGACGAAAAATTTTTTCACAGTAATAGAGTCGTAAATTTACAGTCATAAATTCTTAAAAAGACGAATGTCAAAATGTAACAAATGAAAGCTGAAAAAATTCTCTGAAGCAAAAACTTTTTAAGTAAATCCAACTTTAAATTGTAAATTTAAAAAGATTATGTAATTTACAATGAATAAAGTCATAATTTTGCAAGATTGAAGCTATAAATTTACACAAAAAGTTGGTCACTTTAAAATTCAAAAAAATTTACAAAATAAAGACAAAAGATATGCAAAAATTCACAAATAATGAAGTCTGAATAATTAAGTTTTTACAAGAAAATGTGGGAGTTGAAGATGAATTTGTAGTTTCAAGATAATTTTGTAAATCAACACAATTATATCTAAAAACTTTTGGTTTATATTTTTATAATGTAGGAGAATAAAATCATAAATCGACATACAAAAGTTGTGAATTTAAAGGATCAGACATACTTTTACAAGATTAAAGTCCTCTGTTTACAAAACAGAAGTTCTATATAAACAGTTGTGAAGCTGTAAATTTACACAAAAAAGGTGGTTACTTATAAAATTCACAAAATTTACAAAAATTTACAAAATCGCAAAAATAAAGATAAAATATTTTACAAAATTAAAGTCTGATAATTGAGTTTTTACAAGAAAATCTTTGAGTTGAAGATGAAATTTGTAAAAATTTTAAGGTAATTTTGTAAATCAACGATTCAATTTTTAACTTCCAGAAAATTTTTTGGATAATACGTAAGAACAAAGTCATAAATCGACATTAAAAAATTATGAATTTTAAGGATCATTCATACTTTTACAAGATTAAAGTCCTCTGTTCACAAAACAGAAGTTTTATATAAATGATTGTGAAGCTGTAAATTTATAGTAACAAAGTCCCAAATTAACAAGATTAAAGTAAAAAATCATTAGACGAACAAACAAACTTTTTAAAAACTGTAAACTTGACTTTAGTTTGTTGAACCCGTCGTCTCTGCAGAGAGATTGTTTTTGTTGAGCTGTCGGGCGTTCGTCGATGAGCTGTATTCGACCATCTGCTCTGAAAACAATCATCTTCACTTCTGCGGCGTCGAACCGAAAAGGTCAAACGGTGTTTCTTGTTTCGGTCTTGGCCCAATAAAAGCCTCTTTTTTTTTTGGTCTTTGTATCAGACGTTATTACATCGGTTTATTTTCCCTCTGATTACTCCGCAGCTGTCTGGCAGATGCCGGCCGAGGCGATCCGTTCCCAAACTTTCTGTGCTATAATCGATGAGGTCCAGGTTAGAAAACAGGGTAATTATTCTAAGTATTATCAGGAAAATTAAGGTTTTGTCAGGCCCCTAATAAGCCTGACAGCTCAGACATGCTAATGTGCTCATTTGAATTGGCTGACATTTCCACTTTTCTAAACAGAGAGATATGCAGACGGAGAAATGGACTTAAACTGTTTGTTCTGGCTTTCCGACGCAGCGCCTGTCTGTGAGAAATGGAAGTAATCACTTTTACATACCCACCCACTCTCTGACCGTCTCTTTTTGTTTGTCTGCGTCTGTGCGCCCGCAGCTCCACGGAGGTCGACGACATGATCCGCAAGTCCACCAACCTGCTGCTGACCAGGACGCTCAGCAACTGTCTGCAGTACGCCATCAAGAAGAAGAACGTGGGGCTGGCCGAGGTATTTCATCCGCAGAGTTATAAAAGCTCTAATGATCTTTGCACACTTTGAGGGTGATTCTCAACGGTTCCAACTCATTCATCAGGACGAACGCAGAAGTTTCCCCGTTTCAATGTGAGGCTCGGTGGGGATTCTCGAGTTTCCACCTCCCGGGCTGTTTGTTTTCACACTCAGACACAAGTTTGAAGACCAAACATCATTAATTTAAGTGAACAGAGCATGTGGTAGAGATCCAAGAGATCCCTGGCTTGTGTGCCGGTCCTCTAGGTAGTTCCTTCAAAATGCTGAAATAGCCCATGTGACACCATTGATACAGTTTCTCAGGAGCTATACCGTGTTTCTCTACGGGGTAAAAAGTGTTCAAAAGCTTATCCTTTTGGCGATCTATCGAGGGTTTCCAGACATTTCTACACCTGCCACAAGGTTTACAATCCAGCCACGAAAACAGGTATTTGATCAGAGGGATCATATGAAGGTCGTCCCTGAAAAAGTCGTTGTCTGGACGGCAGCAGATGTTGCTCCTAAACCTGGAGATATTGTTGAAATCTGAGGATGCAGCATCTATGATTTACAGTTCTTCATTGGAAGGACAACTGGACTTACTAGGCGAAACGTCACAAGTCCAGTTGTCCTTTCCAAAAGAGTGTTAGATCTAGATTCATCAGACCTCAGGACAGTTCACGGACTCACTTCGAACTCCGCTGGATTGTCGGCAATCCCATGTGGCACCATCAATATTGTTTAGTTTCTCAGGAACTATATCGCGTATCTCTACGGGATAAAAAGTGTTCAAAAGCTTACTCTTTTGGCGATCTATCGAGGGTTTCCAGATGTTTCTACACCTGCCACAAGGTTTACAATCCAGCCACAAAAACAGGTGTTTGATCAGAGACGTTTGATGGTACGTTTGATGATTATTTATCAGATTGTTGTGATACAAAAAAGATCGCTATAGCTAAATTCCGCTAATGTCTTCCGGGTTTGAAAAGCTGTTTTAGATGACGACTTTTCTGTCAAACTTTCGACCAATTATATGGTCTCATATTCTTCCTCTACTGTTCCCTTGACGGTAGTGTCCAATAAGAGTCAAGAAAGTTCCCTGCTTGTCTGCAAAATCAGAAATAATGGTCCTCAATGTTTGGAAACAAGTAAAGAAGAGATTCTGAGCAGTTTGATAGTCAAAAACGCCTGGAAGAATGAGTGTAAATATGTCAATAGTTTCTGTTGTGTGTTTGTTCCAATCCCAATATTTCTTCTCCTGATAGACAAGACTTGAGAGAATGATGGTCAGGTGAGGAAAGGCTTGGTCACTGTAGATTTATGTGTTTTTGAGGAAAGTTCTGTTGGGATCAATGTCCGTTTTTGTTTCTTGGTTGACTTTGATGGTTCTGAATCTACTGTCACATTCATTTTTAAAGAAAGGATCAAGTTTTTACAAAAAAAAACCCTCGGCGGACCAAAAAAATCTAAATATATCTGGGACTCCTCAGGGTTAATGAAGTGTCCGTCTTGCGTAACTTCCCAAAGTGACTCAGTCTGTTGGTTTCCAGCTGGTTCAGGTGATCATAAACACCACCCACCTGGAGCAGAGCTGCCACTTCCTGGAGGAGTTCATCTCGAACATCACAAACGTCCCGCCTGACACCGTCAACGCCACCAAGCTGTACGGGACCTCCACCTTTAAGGTGAGCCGTAGACCAACTCTTCCCCTCTTTCTCTCTCTCTTCATCTAAAATGAAGGTTAAAGTTAAAACCCGTCTCTGGTCTCGTCGCAGGACGCCCGTCACTCAGCCGAGGCGGAGATCTACACCAGCCTGAACGCAAAGATCGACCAGTTCCTGCAGCTGGCTGATTATGATTGGATGGCGCAAGGAGGCGGGACTCAGGACACCAGCGACTACCTGATCGATCTGATCGCCTTCCTGAGGAGCACCTTCAGCGTCTTCACCAACCTGCCTGTGAGTACGGGATCAGAAATCAACGCGACAGTAAATAACCGTAAAAATTTGGAATGGAAGAAAAGTGTTTTTATGTTTTTAATCTGATTTTGCAGCTTCACATGCAAATCAGCAGAAATGAAGAGTTAATTTTTAAAGTTTTAAGACATCAGATTGTTCGTTTTTCTACAGATGACAGAAAAGAAAGAGTGGAGCGAGTAAATCAGGACGTTTCTGGTGTATAAATTTACACGCTCACACACGCCTCTGTGCTCTGCTCTAAGTGTGTGAACTGTATTCATGTGTGTGTGTGTGTGTTATATAAGCCCCCTCAGCAGTCTCTCTGCATGTTAGTGTGAGACATCACAGGGCCGGACAATCTGCTTTAGTCGGTTCGAGTTTGGGCTTGTTACGGGTTAGATCGTTAACATGGGGCCCGTTAAGCTCATTAAAGGGTGAGCCGGTCAGGTCAGCAGCACCGGATTAGACAGCGGCTCAGGCTATTGACTCTACAGCCCGACTCTAATGACATTATACAGAGCGCCATGATGGACCGTATAGACGGGAGAAATTAATCGAATCTCCTCGTGACGCCGTCTGACGGGGCGTTAGCATTAAAACCGCCACCGTTTAATCTGCTATAATAACCAGGAATGAAGTATAATTAGTCTGCATTAGCTCACTTTGCTAATATATACAGGATTACACACATTAAATACAACCTGTTATTCTTAAAGTGGGAGAAAATGCAAATGTAGTCGGAAAGTGACGATTTGAGCTAAAACTACGTTTTCATTTCAGAGTCAGTTTATCTACTGAAGTCAGATTAAACCAGGACTTTGTAAAGAGTCAAATCTGAACTATTATTAAACAAACTAAACCATGATAATCATTACTTTGAGATTAATCAAACTCATTAATCTGGTTTTGAGATTATCATCGACAAAGGCTGACGGATTATATCAGAGCTGCTGTTAAAAAAACGTCTCATATTTCTCCTTTTCTAAATCTATCGTGTCGTTAAATATGATGTATGAGACACTTTACGGTTTTATAGTAACATACTGTAAAAATGGCACCAAAAGAGGCAGAAGCTTTTTCGCTCTGCTAAGCGTGCTAGATAGATGGCGTGGTGGTTGAATAAAGTAGGGTGACCATACATCCTCTTTTACCCGGACATGTCGTCTTTTTTGAGGGCTGTCCGGCTTTGTCCGGGGAAGTTTATAAAACCGTTAAAATGTCTGCAGTTTCGTACGTAAGTTTGTTTCACATGGACATGAATAAGTTAGAAGTGTGTAAAAAACACTCGACCCGACTCAAAAATTGGTCAAAATCTATCACCTGTGACTCCGTTACTCCGCCCCCGCGTAGAATATAATGCCGTGACTTTTTAACACTCTTCCTCCTAATCAGTTCATTCTGTTAAATAACGAAAAGTGACTGAAACTGTGGAGAGGGGTCGGTTTCAGAGTGCTACACAGTCGCATGGAAACTGTACATTGCTGAATCGATAGAAGTTTCACTTTCAAACATGTTTTCCTGGTGAGGCCAACAAAGTAGAAGAGTTTAAGATTGTGTGATAAATATTCCAGATTTACACGGTCATCCAACATTTGAAACAAAAGCTTTTTTAGCCACTCTAAAACTTTAAATTAAATTTTTTTTAAAGGTTTTGAATCTCAATGTTTACTTTTAATTCAAGTTTAGTGCTTTAATCCGTCAAAATTTACCCTAACCCTAGAATATAGTGCCGTGACTTTTTAACGCTCTTCCTCCTCATTAGTTCGTACTGTCAAATTACAGTAAGCGACTGAAACTGTGGAGGGGGTTGATTTGAGAGAGCTACACAGTCGCATGGAAACCGCACATTGCTGAATCAATAGAAGTTTCACTTTCAAACATATTTTTCCGGCAAGGCCATCAAAAGTAGAAGAGTTTTAAGATTGTGTGATTAATATTCCAGATTTTACGGTAATCCAACATTTCTAAAACTTTAAATTAAGTTTTTAAAAGGTTTTAAATCTCAATGTTTAGGTTTAATTTAAGTTTAGTGCTTTTATCCGTCAAAATTTACTGCGCCCGACTCTGTTACTCCGCCCCCGCGTAGTTGTGTCCTCTTTTTGGGGATCCAGATTATGGTCACCCTAGAATATAGTGCTGTGACTTTTTAACGCTCTTCCTCCTCATTAGTTCATACTGTTAAATAACGGTAAGCGACTGAAACTGTGGCGGGGGGTCGATTTGAGAGAGCTACACAGTCACATGGAAACCGCACATTGCTTAATCAATAGAAGTTTCACTTTCAAACATATTTTTCCGGCAAGGCCATCAAAAGTAGAAGAGTTTTAAGATTGTGTGATTAATATTCCAGATTTTACGGTAATCCAACATTTCTAAAACTTTAAATTAAGTTTTTAAAAGGTTTTAAATCTCAATGTTTAGGTTTAATTTAAGTTTAGTGCTTTAATCCGTCAAAATTTACTACGCGCGACTCTGTTACTCCGCCCCTGCATAGTTGTGTCCTGTTTTTGGGGATCCAGATTATGGTCTCCCTAGAATATAGTGCTGTGAATTTTTTAACGCTCTTCCTCCTAATCAGTTTATTCTGTTAAATAACGGTAAGCGACTGAAACTGTGGTGGGGGGTCGATTTGAGAGAGCTACACAGTCGCATGGAAACCGCACATTGCTGAACCAATAGAAGTTTCACTTTCAAACTTTTTTAGCAGCTCTAAAACTTGAAATAAAGTTTTTAAACTGCAATAAGTCAAAGGTTTTATGTTGAATTGAAAGTCAGTGCTTTAAACATCAAACTTAACATCCCTAACAATTATCGTTATTTATTCGGCCGTTAGATAAATCTAAACTTCGATAAAACCCGACCTGCGTTTTCGAATCGTTTTTATGCACACTGTCAGAAACACACATGATCCACGTTCCCACCCTTCATAAGACGGGATTAAGCTCACGGACAGGTCTCACACACACACACACACGCACACACACTCTCACACACACACATAGATTTGGTCAAAGCGGGTCACAAGGCCAGAAGGCCACACACACAAGGTGGTCGAGCTAAGTGTTTTCCAGCACTTCTAAGAGGCTTTTCTGACGCCCCCACGAGCCCCGGACATGACCCCGTCACACACACTTTCACACACACATCCAGAGAGCGGGGGCCTCTTAAGTAGATCAGATGCTATGGATCTAAAAAGCTGGGTGGTATGACCCTCCGGAGAAAGACGGGGTCATAAAAACGGTGAAATTACACCGATAGAATAGAGAGGAGTCAATAAAAGCGGGATTATTAGCTCTGATCGAACCACAACTATAGCGCATTCGATTCCTGTTACCATAGAAACAATTAACATCATTAGAGGAGAAGTTTAAGGTCAACAAATTAAATATCAGTCCGACCGAGCTGAAGTGGATGCTCCAGAAAACTCAAGAGAAGATTTGAGGTTTCAGTTGTTGGACGGACGAGAATAAAGTGATTGTTTTATATTTTTACGACTGTCAAAATCCGGGATGTTATGCAAGTAACAGTAAGCGCCCTGCACACACACACACACACTCACACACGCTCGCTTTGTTATATGAAGGCTCACCGTGACACAGCAGCATTCTTGCAACAACACGGCGCGCTCTGTAAGTGTGTGTTTGTGCTTATGCGGTTGTTTTAACAGCTCTCCATGTTACTAGTTGGAAGCAGACGTGCACTTAGCGAGGCTCAGCTGGCTCGCGTTTCTTCAGACACACATCGACCCAAATCTCAGCAGAGAGGAAAATGTTACTTTATCCGCCGGCTAATAATACGGCTCGGAGTCCAGCGCGAGCTAAATACTTCTAATCGAATTGAGCTCGCGTTTAAAGATGGATCAGGGAGTGAAAATAATCACGTACGTTTTGGACCCTCCTCCGACCGTAGTGCTTCAATTTTACGCCTCATAAGCTCTCTGATCAGTTCTCCGAGGAGGTTTGGCGGCCGCTTCCCCCCCCGCTCGGCGAGTCCAGGACTTAGCGAGTTCTCCATGGAGCTTGAGCTCGCTGCAACAAATCGCCAGATCAAGCCAGATTAGCTTCATCTCTCGGGCCTACGTGCAATAAATCCTCCTCGCCGAGGTGGAAAAAGTTTGGTTTCCACGTGGCCCGTCACTCTTTTTATGTCCTCCACTGATCATGCAAAAGTTTGAGCTAAATCTGCCGGTCTGTTCTTTACCGTAGGGAACGCCAGTAGAACATGCAACCCTACCGGTGAGTATCCTGGCTGTTTTTGAGTGATGATTGCCAACCAACCCCTGACTGACCCTGTTAACCCCTCAACTTTGACCCCTGAAACCTGACCGTAGAGTTGACCAACCAGCATGTAGAGTGGAATAGAAGTGATGCACGTCTGCCTGAGTCTGTGTTGGTGAGAAATCGTACCCAGACACCCCTCCTAAACCAGTTTGTTTGCATATTAGCAGGATCACTGAATTTATTACCTTAACGAACACTTTCTGAGAAGGTCCTGGTCTCAAGGTTTACTGTCTCCACACACTAAGCGCGAGTGGAATCATTGCACGTTAAGTCAATACAAGATGCAATAAGACGCTCCTACTACTCTAGTGGCGCAATGATGCGAGCTGGGTGGGAGCTGAAAATGTCTCAACTTGAGCAGATATTCGCAAAGATTGCTGGGTGACGTTTGGACAGTTGTGCACTGGTATCTAAAATGGAAGACAAACTGATCGTGTCGGTGTGTGGGTTCCCCTAAATTATATGATACCTTTTCTTTTAACTACCAGAACCAGAATAAAAAGGAACTGAAGTGGAGACAAGTGAGTGAGGAGGTCGGATTATCTGGTAAATCGTTAAAAACCTTTGTCTATCACTTGATCCCGCCGGTTGAATCGGCAGGGATTACCGTTGAAATTACTGTTGACGCGCGAATAAAGCGAGTAAATACTATCCATTCATGCGTCTAGATTCGCGCGAATGAAGCGAGTAGATGATTGTACTTGTGGTTGGTGTGAGCACTCAGAGTTGTGAGCATGGTGAGCTCGTCATCGGTGAGTCAGAATCAAGGTACCCTGACGGCACGAAGGTTGCCAGGTGACGTTTGAAAACGGACGGTTGTTTACTGGTGTCTAAAATGGCGGACAAACTGATCGTGTCGGTGTGTGGGTGCTTCGAATTATATGATACTTTTTCTTTCAATAACCGAAACTGGAATCAAAAGGAGCTCATCTGGAGGTGAGTGAGAGAGGAGGTCGGATTACCTGGTAAATCGTTAAAAACCTTTGTCTATCACTTGATCCCGCCGGTTGAATCAGCAGGGATTACCTTTGAAATTACTGTTGATGCGCGAATGAAGCGAGTAAATACTATCCATTCACGCGTCTAGATTCGCGCGAATGAAGCGAGTAGATGATTGTACTTGTGGTTGGTGTGAGCACTCAGAGTTGTGAGCATGGTGAGCTCATCATCGGTGAGTCAGAATCAAGGTACCCTGACGGCACGAAGGTTGCCAGGTGACGTATGAAAACAGACGGTTGTTTACTGGTATCTCAAATGAAGAATAAACGGATCATGTCGGTTCCCCTGAATTATATGATACTTTTTCTTTTAATTATCAGAACCGGAATAAAAAGGAGCTGAAGTGGAGACAAGTGAGTGAGGAGGTCGGATTATCTGGTAAATCTTAAAAAAACCTTTGTCAAACTTGATCCCGCCTTTTGAATCGGTAGGGATTACCTTTGAAATTACTGTTGACGCGCGAATGAAGTGAGTAAATACTATCCATCCACGCGTCTAGATTCGCGCGAATTAAGCGAGTAGATGATTGTACTCGCACTTGGTGTGAACGCCCCATTAGAGATGTGAGCATGGCGAGCTCGTCATCGGTAAGTCAGAATCAAGGTACCCTGACGGCATGAAGGTTGCCAGGTGACGTATGAAAACGGACGGTTGTTCACTGGTGTCTAAAATGGAGGATAAACGGATCATGTTGGTTACCTTGAATTATATGACACCTTTTCTTTCAATTACCGAAACTGGAATAAAGGAGCTGGTCTTGAGACAAGCAAGTAAGGAGGTCGGATTGTCTAGTAAATCGTAAAAAACTTTGTCTATCTACTGATCCCAGCTGTTGAATCGGCAGGGATTACCTTTGAAATTACCATTGACGCGCGAATGAAGCGAGTAAATACCATACATTCACGTGTCTAGATTCGCGCGAATGAAGCGAATGATTTCAATAGAGATGACATGATTGGAGAAAGATGACAATTAGAGATGTGAGCATGGCGAGCTCGTCATCGGTAAGTCAGAATCAAGGTACCCTGACGGTAAATTTCCTTTTTTGGTCTCAGAAAACCTTAACCCCGTTTCAAAACTTCACTCTCAGACAGTTTCCGTTAGGGCTGGGCGATATGGCCTTAAATCAATATCACGATATATTGATCAGTTCATCTTGATAATGATAAATGGATAACTACTCTACCAGCTGCTCACCCCCTCCCACATTAAATTTGTCTACTTCAGCAGCTGTTGATTATTCTCATAAATTTCGTTATCGGTAAATTTTTGGTTTATCGCCCAACTGTAAATGTCTGTTTTTGGTCTGAACTGTTCTCAGACCCGTTTTAAAACTTCACTCTCAGACAGTTTCCGTTGTTTTTAACCCGCCAACACTCCGTCTCAGAAGTCCGTTACACAACCAAAACAAAGCCCGATGAAAAAAAATGGATTTACCCGAGACCTAAAGGAATTTCCAGCCCTGGTATCTGTCTGTCTGAATGTGGTTTCGGGTCCTTGAAGCGAGTCCCGCTCGCGCTGGCTCATAACGTGCATGTGTCAAGGTCGGGTTACGTCTGAAACCTGAAGTCCAGACTTCATTTTTGCGGTGCGTCTTGAGTGACACGAACAAATACCTGCCATAACCTGGCAGTCCGCGGGCGTTCCACAGGACTGGGATCTGGATCTGGTCCCTCCGCTGGCGTTGAGAGTTGAAGTTCTGCAAACACATGAGCAGATAGATTTTTCGAGTCATTTTCCAAGTCGTTCGTCAGAATAAACACCTGTAACCCGTCAGATTCCTGCTCCCCCTCGGACCCTCTATCACGGATGAAGGATTCAGCGTTTCTGTGTTGCACATCAGCGTCGTATTTTCACCGCCATCCCACCTCTTGACTTTTGGCTGCTCCCGCCACGCCGTTCATTTTGACTGACAGCTTTCTGGACTGGACGCCGAGCATTTTATACACCGTGTCGAACCCTTTCCAGGAGCCGTGAATCAGGGCGTTATGGCGTTCGCGGAGCGGTGACTTACTGAGTGGCTGCTCCTGGCATCGCAGAAAACACGAGCTGGATTCAGAGGGGACTGCCTCAAAACAAAGCGGCGTCCAAAAACGGGAGGCGGACGCATAAATCTGTTCCTGAGGTTCTGCTTGTTGGAACACATTTGTCAACAGTCTTCGGGGTCGTCGGCGTCTTGATTAAATTTAGACCAAATATCATGTCGAAAGACCCGAATGTGGGAACAGACCCCGCGAAATATGCTAAACCAATCAGTGTTTATTTGACGGGTATTGAGTACCTGAGCGGCCTCGGTCGCTCCGCCGCAGCAGCAGCGTTTGTAAATAGCCTGTCATTGTCGATGTTGAAAGCTTGTACGGCTAAGCGGACGGGACTGTGTGTTTGACCACACACAGACGGACGGATTTAGCCCGGATCACAATGTGTTTCACAACCAGACCACATCCTTTCTCTTCTGGACCACAGACACACATTTTTGTTCTTGTTGTTTTAAGTTTTTTAAGCCGGATCGGATCAGAACAAAAGTTTGTCAGGATCAGTTTGGAGAGTCAATAAAACTCCTAATAATTGGTTTGATACTTTAATATTAATAGAGGATTAATGACTGTGAATGTTGGCAGAGGGATAATGAAAGGTTTTGGCATCTTTTACTGTTTTTAGATTTAGAGTCCAAGTTTAGTTTGATAAATTTACTGTTTTCTTTATAAAAATAATCAATAAGTAAATAATTAAAGATCCATCAAAATACTTGATTCTGATTGGTCCAAACCTTTGATAAAGGTGTCAACACATCACGTCAGATAAAACCAATAAAATCAAAGTATTATTGTGGTTTAATTAAACTTATTGAGTTTCAGACTGGTGGTGAATTTCTGATTAGTTTACAGGAAAGGAAAAAACAAATAAGGTTAAAAGAAAAAAAACATCAATCAAATTGAAGAAAACAACAAACGTTAACATTTTAAGGCACGGACCTGATTCAGGTTCAGGTGTTTTCACTGAGAATGTCTCCTTCGTTATCTCCTTATCACCTTTCCTCCGTCCTTGCCTCATGTCCTTAGCTCTCCTCTGGTTGCCTTGATCTTTTGTATCTTAGTTTTTGTTCCTTTTTTTTCTCATCCTCGTCTTTATTTTCAGTTTATTTTCGTTTTTCTTTTTATCTCTTTCTCACCTTTCCTTTCCTCCTCTCCTTTCCTTGTGTGGTCACCTGTCCTTTGGCTCCTTTACTTCCTCCGACTAAACTCCCTTTCTCTTTTCTTTCTGTAACATTTTCTTTCCTTCTTCATCTCTTTTTCTCTTTTCTTCATTTTTTCTTCTCTTGTCTCCGTTCTCATTTTTCCTTTTTCCTTCAACCTTTTCTTTCTTTGTCTTTCCTCACCTGTCATCTCATCACTCCTTTTTTCCAACTTCTCTTTGTTTCTCTTCCCTCTCTTCACCTTTTCCTCTTTTCTTTTCCAGTCTGCTCGTTTCTTTTCCTTTTCTTCACTCTTGACTTTTTCACTTGTTTCCTTTCCTTACATTCTTCACATACCTTCACCTGCTCTTTCCTCACCTTCACTCCTTTCCTTTAACCTTTCCTTCCACCTGTCATTCCTCCTCCTCCTTCTTTCACCTTCTCTCACCTTTCCTTTACCTCCTTTTCCTCCCCTCTCTTCACCTTTTCTTCTTTTCTTTTCCTTTTCTTCACTCTTTGCTTTTTTACTTGTCCTTTCCTTTCCTTTCCTTTCCTTCTTCACCTCAATTTTTCATCTTTTCTTTCTCAGTTCTTATTTCTCCTTTAACCTTTTCCATCCTCACCTGTCATCTTATCACTCCTTGTTTTTCCATCTTTTCTTTGTTTCTCCTTTCCCTCTTTTCTTTTCCTTTTCTTCACTCTTCACTTTTTCACTTGTCGTTTCCTTTCCTTACATTCTTCACATACCTTCACCTGCTCTTTCCTCACCTTCACTCCTTTCCTTTCCCTTCTTCTCATCACCTTTCCTTTAACCTTTCCTTCCACCTGTCATTCCTCCTCCTCTCCTTCTTTCACCTCTTCTCACCTTTCCTTTACCTCCTTTTTTCCTCCCCTCTCTTCCTCCCTCCTTCCTCCAGCCTAATGGTTCCCAGTTGTCTGCGTTGAGCTCAGAGACGGACCTACCTGAGTGTGTGTGTGTGTGTGTGTGTGTGTGTGTGTGTGTGTGTGTGTGTGTGTGTGTGTACATGTAAATAGAATTAACTCATTTCACGCTCAATCTCCCCCCTGATCAGCGACCCCCCACATTTACGAGTCGGTGTGTGTGTGTGTGTGCGTACTGGAGGATTTCCGCTCTGCGTGTGTGTGTAGGTGTGTGTGTTTCACGAACATGTGTGTGTGTGTGTGTTTCCACACGTGTGTGTAATTTGATTTGTCTCTGAGGTGAGCGCCGCCTCCTGAGTGAACCGCGCTGCAGACTCGTCCTGAAGGAGTCGGGGTCGAGTCCCGGCGTTCTAAAGACGTGATTAATGAAAGCGGCGAAGTTTGTGAGTCTGCGCTTCGTTAAAATCAGCTGATGAAGGCGCGTTTGTGCTGCTTTAACGTCACGTCGGCGTGCATTTAAGAAGAACATGCACTTCCTCTTCTTGATTTTATTTCACAGCGAAGGTCAAAAATGAAAAAATAAGCGACCTCTTTTTTCTTTTTGACCTTTTTTAACCTCATTTTGACGTTTTTTTCTTGTCGTCTTTTCATCTTTTTGCTTCATTTTGTTGGAATGCAGACGTCGAGGTCACGACCACTCACACACACAAACACACACACACACACACATATATATACTGACACACACTTAATCACACCCACACAAACACATGTTTTGGTTTTTGTATTAATGTGTTGTCATGAACTTCCTCATCCGCTGCTTTTATTCTCGAGGAGCCACTTCATCATCCTGACTGCACCTGAACGCAACACACTGATTATGTGTATATATATATATATGAGTGTGTGTGTGCGTGTGTGTGTGTGTGTGAGCGTGTGTTTGCAGCTGAAATAAAACATTAAACCAACAGCATTAACACTCAGAACTTCACTGGATCGTCGGTGAAAAGCGTTTTCAACGACACACGTTACGTTAGCGCAGATGAAAGTTCAAACAAAGACGTTTATCAAACTGTTAAAACTCACAAACCATCGTCAGATGAGAAATCTGACACTATGTCGTCCTTCAGGTCGTTATCTTTGTAATATTTGTATCTTTTATCAAAAATCACTCTGTTCTCTGACACGTAAACAATCAGCTGGTCGGCCATGTTGGATAGTTGGTGAATGTGACGTCGCAACAACGCGCAATCTGATTGGTCAGAAGTGGACACACAGTATGTGAAACTTTAGAAAATTCGACCGTGATCCAAAAAAAAGAAAAAGCCGCTGATGTGAACGCTTGTATTGACAGGATACGGGTTCGAAAAAAATATTGACGTCTGAAATAATCGCACGAAAAAAGACGCTCCCGATATGAAAGGACCTTAAGTCGGAGAACTTTTCAAATGGCGGAACATCTTCTCAGTGAAACTGAATCTTATTCTCCGCATTTTATTTCTGAAAATATCGGTGTATATATCGGTGAAAATTGGCGAGTTTTGGCCGATTATCGATTAGTCTCAAACGGGCTAAAATTGGCCGATTTAATCAGCTCGCCGATAAATTGGTCTCGCCGTAATCTCTATAAGATAAAAAGTGTTGAAAAGTTGACCCTTTTGGCGATCTATCGAGGGTTTCCAGACATTTCTACACCTGCCACAAGGTTTACAATCCAGCCACAAAAACAGGTGTTTGATCAGAGACGATTGATGGTAAATCGGCAGTGAAAACTTGATTATTTATCAGATTGTCGTGATAAATAAAGATCACTATTGCTAAATGCCGTTAATGTCTTTCAGCTGTTTTGATGACGTCTTTTTCTGTCAAACTTTCTACCAACTACATGGTCTCATATTCTTCTTCGTGTCCAATAAGAGTCAAGAAAGTTCCCTGTTTGTCTGTAAAATCAGAAATAATGTTCCTCAATGTTTGGAAACAAGCAGAGAAGAGATTCTGAGCAGTATGATAGTAAAAAAACGCCTGGAAGAATGAGTGTAAATATGTCAATAGTTTCTGTTGTGTGTTTGTTCCAACCCCAATATTTCTTCTCCTGATAGCCAAGACTTGAGAGAATGATGTTCAGGTGAGGAAAGGCTTGGTCACTGTAGATTTATGTGTTTTTAGAGCAAAGTTCTGTTGGGATCGATTCCCGTTTTTGTTTTTTGTTTGACTTTGATGGTTCTGAATCTACTGTCACATTTATTTTACATCATTTTTGCTCCATAAACTGACAGATGAGGTGGACCAAAAATAGCAAAATATATCTGGAAGTAATAAGAAATAAGAAAGACACACTCAGTCAGAGCGTCCGGTAGATTTTGACTCCTCCCTCTCCGTCTCCCCGTTTCTCTGTTCCAGGGTAAAGTGGCGCAGACGGCGTGCATGTCGGCCTGCAAACACATCTCCACCTCTCTGATGCAGCTGCTGCTGGACCCGGAGGTCCGACAGATCTCCATGGGAGCGCTGCAGCAGCTCTACACCGACGTCAAGGAGTGTGAGAGTGAGTGAGGAGGAGAGAACACACAAACACTCATGATCTTTATTTCGGGTTTAAACTTTATTTTTAATTTAAACATTTACGACACGATAAAATATCCTCATTTCAAACATTTAAACAACTTTAATAAGAGAGAAAAATCCAAATATCTGAGAGTCTGAGCGAGTTTTTAGGATTTCAAATGAAGCAGATCTTGTTCACTGTGAACATGAATTGTGTCATTACTGCAGTTCTCATTGAAAAGCGTAGGGGGCGCTATGGATCAGCTGATCAAACAGTCATTCAGGAGCCGATCTTTGATCTCAGCGCCGTGAAACTCTCAACATGTCACTTTTTCCCCTTCAGCTCGCTCCGAGACTTCCCTCCTCTCCTTACTCTCCTCCCTCCTTCCCTCCTTCCCTCCTTTCCTCCCTCCATCATGTCATCCTCCCTCTGTTTCTCCTCCTCCTCTTGTTTTTGAAAAGAGGGGGAGGAGTGAAAATCTGCGCGGCGTCTTCGGCTTCATTTTTTACACGATCAAAGTTCTCGGAGTCACACCGCGGCGCGCAGAGAGTGTGTGTGTGTGTGTGTTTGCGCATGTGTTTGTGTGTGACGTGATGCGCAGTGACATGCGTGCAGAGCTGCAGAGGGGTTAGGAGGTGACAGAGTTACATATTCAGAGAGGATGGAGGGAAGAAAAGAGAATTTAGAGGAGAAAGACAAAAAAATAAAGAGACTCTTTTGTTCTCAGACGACGTGATGAAAATATTTACCGTTCAGATTCTGCGATTCTCCGTGTTCACAGACGACGAGATGTGCTTGAAGACCTCTGAGACAGGATTTTTTTTCCAAATCATGTCACAAAAAAAAAAAAAAAAAAAGAAAACCGTATTTTTCGCACTTTAAGGCGCATTTAAAATCCCTTTTGTCTTGTCGGTGCGCTGCAGCTACCGTAGCCTCGCAGAGTTTTTGAATGAGTTACATAAAGTTTGACTTATCTAAATGCGCTTTATAATCAGGTGCTCCTTATAGTGCGAAAAATACAGTAGTTGGTTAGATCTGAATATGAGCGGTAGAGGACAGCATTACGCTGGATAGAAGAAGAAGCGTAAGAAGAAAAAGACGCATCAGCGAGCGGCGAATTTGAAACGATGGACGGCAGGTACATCGATCCAGGAGAAGAAACGGTGATATTAGAAGCTGGACTTGGGCGGAAAAGAGGCTGGGAAAGATGGAAAGCCTCACGGTAGCTGCTGCTGAAAACTGAAAGAGTCAGGTGTTTGTTTTTGTGTGTCGTGTGTCGGAGAGTTTATAGATGGCAGCAGTAGGGAAAAGTTCGGTAAAGTTGGAAAGATATTCACAGATACCAAATTTAGGGATCAATAACTCTGAGACGAAACGTTTTCTAAACACAAATGATGCCTCTTTTATGTCGTAACAGAACAGACTACGAGCTACAAGAATCAAAACAAGCCGTTCTTCGAGCTGGAGGAATAATACCGATCTCTACGTGCAGGGACCGTCTGCAAATTACGATACAAAAGCAAAACGTTGCAAACAAAAATCAATATCTCCACTGTTATAAAGTACAGAGTCTCCAAAATCACCGAACACACCAAGAGACTCTTCAAACTACAACAGCTGTTTTAGGAAAATGTGCCTTTTTATAATTTTATTGTTATGAATCATTAATATCTTCCAATATTAATCAATAGCTCCACTGTCATATACAGGAAGTGCTCGCTGATCAGTTTTTTACCTTTTAGTCTACGTTCACACTGCAGGTCAATTCTGATTTTTTAACCACATGTGACTCATATCTGATTTTTTCATTTAAGTGTGAACACGTCAATTCTGATTGGTTCTGATCCGACCCAGGCCTCTTTTGTTTGTGGATATAAATCAGATATGTATCCGATGTGACTGCAGTGTGGACGCTCAGGTCGCGTTCATCCGATCTATACGTGGACGTGTTCCGTTCACATTAGATACCACATTCGTTGTTGAAATGTGAACGATCGCACAAAAAGATCGGATTTAACAAAAAATCCGAATTGTGCATCAGAACCTGCAGTGTGAACTTAGCCTTAGACGCAGCTAACATCACTGACTGCATCTTTAATTCATCGGTTTATTTTTTTATTGTTTTATTTAATTTGATCAGTTTTTGGTTTCAAGTCTTTTTGACACGTTTATGTTTCTGATTTCTTCATTTCTTCCATAAATCGATCTCTAATATCTCGTTATCGTCTTCTACCTGTTATGTTTTTACACCAACATAGTTTAGTTTATTTTTTATATTCAGTTTTTGTTTTTCTCACATTTCTCTTTTATTTTCTTTCCTTCTTTTCCTTTAAGAAACTTTGTAATCTTGAAGGTATAGAAAATCAAAGTTAGACGATAAATGGAAACAGAAAGGAAAAAAGGCTCATCTGAATAAATAAAAAAAAAATGAAAAATGACCAAAAAAAGTGACGGAGAAAAGCCGATAAAGGAGGAAAAACGAAGCGAGACACAGGACACATAAAACGTGAAGGAAAGAAAGAGATCTGAGACGGGATTAGATTTAAAAAAAGAGGTTTTATAGAAGAAGGAGGAGAATGGGATGAAAGCGATCGAGGAACAAGAGAGCAGAAAAAATGGGATTAAACGAAAGAGGAGAGAAATAAAAAAAAGAGGGAATGGGAAAGAAGAAAGAGGGCAGAGAGGACGAGATTAAAGAGAAATCAGCGGTGAGGCTAAAGGAGGACGAGAGAGGAAGAGGAGGAGGAGGAGAGGAAGACTGAGAGAGGAGAGGAAGAAAGGTGGAGAGGAGTTAAAAACAGTTTAGAAATAAAAGATCATGTCAGGGATCAGAAATCGGGAGCGTTCGGATTCATGTCGGACATTTTATTTTAAAGTCGGAGGAAAATACACGTCCGAGAACTTGAGGAGGAAACGTGACGATAGTTTCTGACGTTTGTGTCGAGTCTGAACTCGGCGTCTCGTTTGAAATCAGCTGCTCTGAGATTTTAACACATTTGTGTTTATCTGAAAACTGTAGAAGAAGAAGAAATGTTCATTATTATTATCATTTTTATTATTATTATTATTATTATTATTATTGTTATTATCCTATCTATCTTCTTTGGTGTTCCACCTTTCTTACAATCGAGCATGTCAGTCCAAAGAGCTTTACATGAAAAAAAGATTTGATTGAATAATAAAGAAATAAAACAAGAAAAAAACAAGAAAATTCAACAAAGTCAATGCACCTGAAATGTTAAGAAATTAAATAAAAGAAAGTTAAATGAGTGAAAAGTTCAAAAGGTTGAAATAAGCCCTAACCCTTCAAAATAAAAGACAAGTCTTTAAATCAAGAAAGAGAGAAGGAGAGGTTTCTGCTCCGATCTCTGAAGAAAGAAATTAAGAGGAAACAAACGAAAAGTAAAAACATGTAAAAATATAAAAATCTGAGAATAAATATTCAAAACATGCAGAAAAATTAAAATATCAAGTTTTTCAGTTAATTCAGTGGCGCCGACATAAATCTGCAGAAATATTTGATGTTTTTTATATTTCGATAAAACAAAAAACAAATATTTAAAAAGTAAATATTTCTACAATTGAAGAAATTTAAATAAAACTTCAAAGTTTCTTATAATCAGAATAATTTCTTATTTTATAGAAAAGTGAACAGAGCTCGCTGCGTTTGCAGATTTCTCTTTTTGCTTTCAATATAAATCTTAAATTAGCCGCTTATTTCAACTTCTGACGTGATTTCAACTTCGACTCAGTAAAACATATTTTTGATTAAACGACAAACAAATACAGAGAACTGATTTCTTTGTCTTATTTCTTTATAAAATCGTCTCATGAGGTTTAAGTCAATTTCACCAAAAAATTCTGAAAAATGTTTCATTTAAAAAAATTACAGTAAAATAAGATTTGAATCACGCTATAAATAAATAAAAAAAGCGAGATTTAATGATTTCTTTTTTCCAGTAGCAGATTTTCTGACTGATACTGAGTAATTTAGCTTTTATTTGTCGAGTGTGTAGTATCTTTAAATTCAGCATTTTTCTGGATTTTAACTTAAATGAAGCCTCACCAGACTTTTAAAGGAAATAAACAACAACAAAAACTCCAATAAACAAAATTTCCACTAATAAGTGCACTTTTCAATCAGAAGGAAGTGTTTTTTTTTTCTTTTTTTTTCTTTTACAATACAGAAAAAATTTAATACAAACAGACAAACTCAACAGTTTCCCATATTTGATTTATTAAAGTGAGTTTAAAACAAGGTTAAGCAACTAGATAAACGACAATTATCACACTTTTAGTAATTGGTCCAATCAGAAAATCTGAATATTGGTCAGTCTGAGGAGAGTTTTTGTCTTTAATTTTGGTCAAAACTGATAAAATATTTTTCTCATATTTGAAATTGTGTTAAAACTGAGTCTGGAAAAAAAAAATGATGTGAGACGGTGAAAATCTGGTTCCTCCTCAGCAGGAGATCAGAGACATCACAGCGCCACTTGGATTTGTTCCCAATTATTCACCCATTTTATGTCTCAAAAAACATAAAAAAAGGACAAAAAATTTGGGATTTTATTTTTTTTATTAAATAAAAAAAAAACTCACTGACATAAAAGCTGAACGAGCAAGAAGACGATTAAAAACGAGATAAAATCCCGATAAAAAGATGAGAAAAAGACGGTCAATGGTGGATATATTTGAACCTGACTCTCTAAGACTACTAATCGCCACACCAACAGTCCTAACCAAACCCCAGTCACTTTTCTGCCAAATCCCCTCCCACCTTCGACACATCAAAAAGGTCTCACAAGGATAGAACAAGAAAAGATTTTAGAGTTTTTTCTGGGCGTGAATGTCAAAGAAGTTTCCAGAAATGAGCGAGAGTCTCAGACGGAGGGAAGAGGAGCGAGGAAGAGCGAGGAAGACGGTTGGAAGAGGAGGGAGAGAGCGAGGTGAAAGTTAGCAGGTATCATAAGGAGGTTTGGTGAGCTGGAACCAGATTAAAGGTTAGCCCAGCCGATGTGAGTGTGAGTGTGTGTTTCACGGGGGTCACTGAAGATGGCAGGCGTGTAATCCGTGCTGTGGTGTGTGATGGCCTTGTGTTACTGTGTGTGTGTGTGTGTGTTATATGTGTGTGTGTGTGTGTGTGTGTGTGTACACGTCCCGAGGTGAAAGAGATTAGCCACAGGCCTGCTCCTGCTCCCTCGCTCCGCGGCACTCCTCTTTTCTCTTGTTCCCTCGCTCGCTCCGAATACCAGTCGGCTTGTTTACGGGGGCCAACTGACGCCAAGACCCCAGCTCACACTCCGTACGACCCCGACACACAAACACAAACACACACACACACACACACACACACACACAAACGGAATGACACACCACACCAACAGGCATCACCTTGAGTTCAAAATCCAACAATCCTGGACTGTCCCGAAACATTCGGCGAGGGCGCTGAATACAGGATAAACAAACACACTCACACACACACACACACACACACACACACACACACAGATTCTGTCCAAGCCTACATTTAAAGGCACGACAAAAACCTCTGCTTTGACACCCTCAAACACACAACCGCACACACACACACCCTCTTTTTCTTCCCCAACAAGACCCAGCGACATGACTCTGACACCCTGCACCCCCACCCACCCCCTCACCCTCGCCCCCCCCCTCCCCAGGCTGTCATTTGTCTGCCAATCTATCCCGATGCATAGCGAATCCGACCAGGTCTTTTATTATTCCGTTTTTCACCCTCTTTTTCTCGCCTCCTCCTCCTCCCCTCTTCCCTCTCTCCGGGGGAGGACCGAGGGGGGGGCGGGTTTGTATTTTCCCACAGGTTTTGCCAGAGCCGGCCCGGTCGCAGGCTTCCAGGGTGACACGTTGCTTCTGGCCTTCAGTGACTTGAGACAAGTAGGTCTTTGTCTCCCTCGTGGTCCTCTCTCCTTCGTTTTCTCTTTCTCTGTGTGTTTTTTTTTTTTCTCCTCTCGCTCCACTATCTTTTTTCTTCCTCCTCCTCCTCCTCCTCCCCCCTTCGTCCTTTTCATCCTCACTTGCATCCTCCCCCCTGTCCTCCTCGTCTTCCTCCTTCATTTGCTTTTCTGATTTTCTGTTTGTTTTGTACTTCTAAATTCTTTTATCCCTCCTCTCTGTCGCCGTCCTCGTCAGGAAATTTGCTAATTTATTTCAAGGAGATTTCACTTGAGAGTTCAGAAGCTTCAATCAAAGGTTGAAGGTGAGAAAGAGACTTCATTAAGAGTGAAATACACCAATTTATGCGTGATATATGGGGGGTTTTGCAGCTCCTTATCTGCTAAAGTGATTCCCAAAACTCCAAAGTGAACTCATTTATTCCACTTTTCCTTCATTCAGTAAAAGTTTGCAAGTAGCATCATTCAAACCTGACATTTTCTGACTTTATCACCGGTAACCTGTGGAGTGCTCAGCCTCTTTATAACAAAGAAAAAAAAAAAAAAGTTCCGGTTCATGTTTAATAAACTTTTTTTCCCCCTGATTTCTTCACGGACATTTACCTGCTCAATTTTTAATGCTAGACCCCAAAAAACGTTCATTTTAACTAAACTTTTATCTTTTTTATCACTTTTTATCACTTCATTTGACTTCATCTGCACAAACTCGACACAGCTCAGTATCTTTGAAAGTATTTCTCAAAACTCGGATGAAAAACCTCCAACGTGAACTCATTTATTCCTCCTTTCCTTCATTCAGTAAAAGTCTATAAGTAGCTTCAATCAAACCTGACATTTTCTGACATTTATTACTATTAAAATTTAGAACACTCACCTTCTTTTACACATATAGGAAATAATTTAGAAAAAGTTTTCAGTTCATGTTTAACAAACTTTTTCTTTGCCCTGATTTCTTCATGGACATTTACCTGTTCGAATGATCAAATCTAGACACAAAAAAGTTCATTTTTTACCTAATCAAACCATTTTTTGTGATGTTTTTCTGCACCATCAGTCAGTGTGCAAACTTAAAATTGAAGTAAAAATAAAAAGTGTTTTATCAGAAAGAGTTCAGTCACTTTTAATCATCTGCTTCAATCAAACCTGACATTTTCTGACATTTATCACTCTTAACCTCAGAGCGCTCAGCCTCTTTTTAACAGAAAAAAAAAAAACAGAAAAAGTTCTCAGTTCACGTTTAACAAACTTTTTCTTTCCTCTGACTTTTTCACGGACATTTACCTGCTCAAATTATCAATACTAAACACAAAATAAGTTCATTTTTGTGACGTTTTTCTTGATTGTCAGCAAGTTTTAAGTCTGGAAATTACAGAAAACATTTTAAAAAGTGTAAAAAAAAGAACGTAAACATAAAAAAGTGTTTTATTAGAAATAGTTCAATCACTTTTTATCACTTTTCTATCTTTTCATATGACTTGGATACAGCTCAGTACCTGCTTCTCCTTTCCTTTATTCAGATCAAATTTGCATGTAGCATCAATTAAACCTGACATTTTCTGACATTTATCTCTTTCATACATCAGAACGCTCACCTTCTTTTACACACAGAGAAAATAGCTTAGAAAAAGTTCCCAGTTCATGTTTAACAAACTTTTTCTTTGCTCTGATTTCTTCATGGACATTTACCTGCTCGAATGATCAAATCTAGACCCCAAAAAAGTTCATTTCTGTGTTGTTTTTCTGCACCATCAGTCAGTTTAAAGTCTTAAAATTAAAGAAAACTTTTTTAAAAAGTCTAAAAAAAGGAACATAAACCATAAAAAAAGTTAAAAGTGTTTTATCAGAAATAGTTTAATCACTTTTTATCATTTCATTCGACTTCATCTGGACAAACCACACAGAATATTTCAGTTTTGTCCTGAGGATGTAAAACGTCTGATTTTCGCGGGCCGCCGCGGGTCCTCGGACCTGACGTTGAGCCCCAGTAGAGAGCAGGAAGCGGGCCCGGCTGTGTGCTGGAGCGTCTTGTTTTCGGGGTCCTGGGAAAACCGGAGCAGAACCAGTCGGAGGAGGGACAGAACTGGACGGGTCCGCTGTGTGAGCAGGATGTGGAGCGGGGAGTGTGTGTGTGTTTGTGCGCGTGTGTGTGTCTGTTCGTGTGTGTGTGTGTGTGTGTGTTGTAGTTTATTTCAACTTTGCTAATAAAGTGTTTGACGTCGTCGCTTTTGAGTGTGTGTGTGTGTGTGTGTGAAACAGGGCGGAGAGTTGTGTGCACGTCTTTGATGTGTGTGTGTTTGTGGTAGTTGTTGTTGTCGAGTGTGTGAAAGTGTGTGTTTGTGTGTGTGTATATTCAGTGTGTGTGTGTGTGTGTGTGACAGCGGATGACGGATGGGCCGGCAGGACGGAGCAGGGAGGATGAATGAGGTGACAGACAGAGACGGATAGCCCTTTATCCCTCCGTCACAATCCCTCTTTCTCTCCTCCTCTCTTCTCTTTCTGCGCCTGTCGGGATGATGCAGTGCCTCTTGTTCTCTCGCTCCAAGGAGGAGGAGGAGGAGGAGAAGGAAAGAAAGGGGGGAAGATGTGGAGAAGGAGAAAAGAAAAAATTGCATTCATCCGGCATCGATGTTTACTCCGCCGCCCCCTCCTCAGCGTCCCCTTCTTCTTCTTCTTCTTCTTCCTCCTCCTCTTCCAATCAGACTCCATCCCTCCTTTTCGACTCATTCAGCTCCTCTCTTTCTTCTCCTCCATTGTTTTTCCGCCGTTCTTATCATATCAAAAGAAATTCCTGCGCCCTCGGACGCTTTCATACGTGTCTTCGGCGTGTAAACATCTGTCCTGATCGGAGCGCATCTTTTTGTCTTCCCGAGGGCGCGTTTTCTTTCAGGTGGAGTTTTCATACGTGCTTTTTGGACCGCCGCCGCCACCGCCGTCTTTGTGTGTGCGTGTGATTGACCTGGTGGCTGAATGGCCGATAAATCACGCTGACGGGGCCGTTTGTTTGGCGGTCGGGTCCCGGTGTTCTGGAAGGTTCCGGGGTCCTGGGACAGGGCCGAGACAGGAGTTCCCCGAGGACACACACGGAGATGAAACCGTGATGAGTTTGTAAAAACAGACTTAATGTTTAAAAACGGTCGTGTTGAGCTCATGCGGCGAGTTCCACGACAGAGTCGGCTCATCTGTGTCAATCTAGAGTCTCCAAGGGGCCGCATTTATCAACCGTGTGGACGTACAGATGTGTGCGTAATGACACGTACGAACATTTCCACGCAATGTTTGGAATTTATCGACCTATACTTGTGCGAAGGAACGTGAGTAAATTTAAGAACAACTCTGACCATTGCTTCCATAGAAACCCTAGTGGTAGGACAGTGAAACTACAACGAGAACCCATTAAAGGAGTCACAGCGTTCAGTGATCTCAAACTCCACACATGTTCCCCGTTGCCTCTGTACAAAATTAATCGATTGGTTATTGATCAGACATTTTGAATGATTGGCGTGACGAGCTATAAAATCAGCTGTGACAGGACAACCTTAGAAGAAGTCTTACAAGAACCTTTTCTACGCACGGTTGATAAATGCGGCCCCTGGTCTCTCCTGGTCCTGGTCCTGGTCTCTGTGTCGCTCTCCCCTCCTCCTCCTCAGATCCGATCAATCCTCCTATATTTAGATCATCCAGAAGGCTGCGGTTACCTCCAACCTTTGGCTGCCCTCCTGTCTTCTTGTGTGTTTACATGTGTGTGTGTGTGTTTATGTGTGTGTGTGTGTGTGTGTGTGTTGCGGTGTGGCGTCCCCCCAGAAAAAAGCTTGCAACATTTAAGTTCCACTCATCCCCTCCTCGGCTCCTTCCTACGCCGGTCGTTCATTCTTCTACCTTCGGATTTGTGAGTGTGTGTCTGTTTGTGTGTAAGTGTGTGTTTTGTTGTGTGTGTCTTTGTCACTTTTGTCGTCAAGTTTTACTTTCTTCATGTTGAACTTTTCTTTAAACTTTAGTTTTCTTTTTGTCTTCCCTTCACACAAATATTTCTCGTCTCCTTTCCTCTGATTCATTTTCTTTCCTTCTCCTCTTTTTCTTCTCCTATCTCCTTATTTCCTTGGCAGTCATTTTCTTTTCCCTTGCTCTTCTCTCCTTGTCCTTTCCTTGTCCTCTCCTCTTACTTCCTTTCCTCTCCTTTTTTATCATATTTTCTTTTCCCATTCCTTCCTTTCCTTTCCTATTTTGTCTTTTCTCCTTGTCTCCTTTCTTTTTATCCTCTCCTCCTCTCTTTTGTCCTCATTTCAATCTAACCATCCTTATTTCCTTCACTTGTCCCTTCTTCTCCTTTCCTCTCTGTTCACCTCCTTTTTAACTCTCCTCTCATCCTCCTCTCCTCATTTACTCCTTCCTTTCTCTCATCTCCTTTCCTCATTTCTATCCTCTAGTTGCTTTCCTTCTCGTCTCCTTTCCTCTCACCTTCCTCCTCCTCCTCCTCGTCTGCACTGTCACTCTTTTTCTCCTCCTTCCCTTCTTCTCCTTCTCCTCTCTCCTCCGTCATACTTTCTGTGTTTTCGCTCTTCGCCACTTTTCTATCATCTGTCCGTCTGAATCTGGCGTTGCTCCGTCTCTTCGCCAGTCTGTCATTTTACCTGCCAATCACGGACTCCTCTGACCTAAAGTGACTGGATGTAACCACACACACACACACACACATACACACACACACACACAGAGTAGTGTCTGTCGTTGGTTTGTGTCCCAACCATTACCTCACGAGGCTTCCCTCGCCGCAGCAAATTGACCGGCGCAACAAGTGCTGATTATCCAGTTTGTGTGTGTGTGTGTGTGTGTGTGTACTAGACTAAAGGACGAGATGAGGCCCTTACCTCCATCTCACCTCCTTATAACCTGGTCTGTTGAGTCCAGGAGGAAACGGCGCTCCCCTCCTCTTAGTAAAGTGACGGTGGCCTTTGAGGACAAAAACCTCAGAACCTGCTTAGTAATCAAGACCGTCCTTTTTTGGGTTTTCACCACCTAAATCCGTCTGGCCTACTGGTCTGAGGCTGTAGTCCTCATCCTGAACCAGAGTCCTGTTTTGTTTCGAGGACACATCCTCGCTGATTTATTTCTGTACAGTTTCAGAAACATCCATCAGCGCAGCAGGAAGCCTTCACTTGATCCCGTCAGAGTTAGTTTGTTGCTTCATTGTTCCTGACCTGAGTGCACATGATACTTAACGCCCCTCGCTTCCTCTCGGCCGCCCCGCTCACAAGGACAGAAACGATCCAGTCCTGCAGGAAATCATCCCTCAAAGTCTCTCTATCCGAGCTTTGTTTAGTATTTAACCTCATCAGCTGATTTACAGTTGAGATTCCTTCTCGTTTTTGAGTTTCAAGACTTTGGACTTTGCAGGAACGTAAACCTCCTAAACTTGTGTCTTCTGGGTGAGATTCTCGTCCACCAACATCTGCTGAGGGAACTTTTTTGGGTGCAGGTACAGACCCTGGTGTCACCCGTTATTTCCACACTCTGCAGCAACGGCTAGCTTCTAGGTCGCAGATGCAGAGGCGGAAAAACACCAAAACAAACTTGGCGAGTGCTCCAGGAGAACCGAAGCCGGTACCGAGCCAAACGTTGACATTGCTGAAAAAGTTTCTGGTGAATTTTTTGCACGTTTGCTTCTTTTCCTGTAATCGTATCGTGCCGTTGCAGAATTTTGACATATTTGTTGATTTTTGCAACAACAACACAAACTTTTGAGTGTCCGGTCAATGCACTAAAAGATGGCTGAAAATTGACGGGGTAAAACCTGGAAAGTCGGTTGACCATGAGGCGTTTCAGGTCTTATCTTGTCCCCTCAGAGGACAGAGGGAGGACACTTTGAGAAAATATAAGTGAAAGATAAGGAGGAGGGTAGACGGAGGTGAGGATGAGGACAGGAAGAGATAGAGGAGGTCAGAGAGACCGAAAATCTGCGACCGTCAGATTCCTGAGGACTTCGGTCAGACTGGGACGGCTGCAGAGAGAGAGTTTGACCGGTCAGGTTCAGGAAGAGGACCAACGACACGGCGGTGAACTGTACGTACATGTGCAGCCTTTAAATATCAGCAACAAGGCGACCTTTGACCTTTGAAATCTTTGTCAAAAGGCGGGTAAACGGAGGGTGCAGAAGAAGCATGAAAGAGGGAGATGATGATGTGAAAGACTCCGGTGGATCTAAAGAAAGATGACGGGAGGAGATGGAAGCGAAAAAAAGAGCAGAAACAAGACTTGAATGAGAGCGAGCGAGGGATGGCGGGTGAAAGAGTGCAGTCAGGTGAAAGTGATATGGTGGCTGGAACAGACGGACAGGGTGGTCTCTCTCCCTCTCTCTCTCCCTCTCTCTCCTCGGGAGGCTGACACTTCCCTTCATCTTTTGACCGCTCACAGAAGGGGGGATGAATGGAGGAGTGGAGCGGGGTGAAAGAGCGGGATGAGCGGAGAAGAAAGAGGGCGAAGGGAGGATGAGCAGCAGACGGACATCTAAATGCTCGCCCCGCCGATCTTTTGGAAGAGGGAGCGAGATCGACACACATAAACGCAACATGGACGAAGAGTTTGTTTCGGGACAAAACGCAGCGACACATTCGCCTCTCAAGGACGGACGTGGAAGGAAAGTCAGCAAGAATATTGACACTCTGCACTGATTATCGTCTCTGAACAAGGAAGCAGAGATGGAAAAACACCAAAGCAAACAAACTCCAGGTGGTGCATCGACAGTTTGTTGCACAATGCACACTAAAGTGCAACAAAACGAGGATGCACCTGCTAGAATCTGCAGAAAACAGTTGCCTAGCTTTGGTACCAAGAAAAAAAATCAGAGTGGCGTTGTTTAGGAGTAGCCACTTATCATGGCTTCTGATAGGCGAAATGTCGTCAAGAACCTCAAGCCGGTCCTTTTTAACGAAGAACTGGATTGAGGAAGTCCTAGATCGAATTTATCTAAAGTTCCAACTTCAAGAGACAGGTGGCCAGTGACATTTCCAGATACCTCCGGATTCCAGAATCCAGCGTGTTAGGGTCTGTTGCTAGAGGAGCTAAGTTAGCTGTTAGCTAAGTTTGCAATGTCAACAATGTGATTTTATAAACATTACTGACATTTGGGAGAGATAACACGAATTCCTATCTTGTCTTTTGTTCTACGTCCCGGCGTTTCACGTAGAAAGTATGGACAACAACGGCTGACCTTTTGGCAACCATGTTGGTCTTGTTTCGCGACTGTGTTCCCATTGGTTATTGCTTGAATACCACTTCCTCTCAAATTAGCGATCTCCATTTTAACGCGGCGTTACCTAGCTTTGGTACCGGTTCTCCTGGCAGCTTCCTCTTAAAGGGGCGGAGCCAAACAGCCTCCACTGAGGCTAATACACTCACAAGGGACGAACATACCTTGGTAGCCGACAACTGACTGTTGAACCTACCTGTTGCACAAACACACACACAGATTCATGCTGTTTGTTGGCTGCAAAGAGACACACTCACAGACACACACTCACACTTTACACACATACACACAGCGGTCAGAGATCCCGCTGTGCTCAAAATAACAACAACAAAAAACAGTCCCTAGAAAGTGTGCGTCCATATCTGTGGATTTATGAGTTCAAGCTATTATTTGTGTGGGAGAGGTCAGTGTGTGTTTTCGTGTGTGTGTGTGTGTGCGTTCCTCGGCCCCTGTCTCAACTTCCTGTCCTGTCTGTGGCCGGCCTTATCGGCTTGACAACAGGTCAGTCAGTGGTCACGGCAACAGAGCCGTTCACTGACCTGATTGGACGGGGAGGGGAGCGGCAGTTTCATTCTTCCGATTGATGGTCAAATTGTGGTCACACACACAGACACACACAGAAACACACATTAATAAATATCTTTTACTCATGTAATCACACACACACACTCAATAATGGCGGTCAGACACACACACTCACACACATAAACACATACAGTGACCGTGTGGTGACCGGGTCAGGTCATTGTTCTGCGTTATCAGTCGTGACCTCTCCATCAGGCTCCCCGATACGACCTGCATCAACACCCCTTCCTCTGTGTGTGTGTGTGTGTGTGTCCTTGTGTGTGTGTGTGGCTCTGCAGTCACTTCATGGTCGGACCTAAAAGTTGAGACCAGTCCACAGCTCTCACCTTTCAGTCGTTTCCTGTTTTGGGGTCGCTGAGGAGACACTGAGGGATGTGTTTCATTTTCAGCTGCAGTTTGGAAACACTCCTCTGGGTCAAGTTCTTTCTGAAAATCAGATTTCCGTATCAGTTCAGGGCCACGGGTGGATCTGAAGTGTCCTGAATTTGTGGTTTTATAAACTCCCAGGAGGTCCAGACTAAGCAGCAGTTCTCAGTGTTGGAATTGATGCCTGTGTGGAGGCGCAAAAGGCTGCAGTTTCTGAAGTTTCTTGAGATTGGCAAACGGAACAAACCCTGCAAGGTCCTACATTACAGCAAAATGGTTTCAAGGGTTCATATCCTCCTGCCAGTACAAGAGTCACCTTTTTACTGTCTTCTTTTGCACAGAAGTTGAAGTTTCAGCAGAGAAATGTTTTCCTGCAGCTTCTGTTGTGCGAACTTGACAGCCTGATCGCACTTTGTTCAGGAGCATGTCCGGATCATTACAAAGTGAATTGTGGTGTCCCCCAGGGGTCAATCCTAGGTCCTCGCTTTTTAATGTCTTAATTTGACCACTTGTGAATGTCCTAAGAAGGTAGGGTGACCAGACGGCCTCTTTTACCCGGACATGTCCTCTTTTTTGGGTCCTTGTCTGGGGGAGTTAATAAAATCCTTCAAATGTTGCGTAGACTTGCTGAGGTACAAACACAGAAAAAAACACTCCATCCGACCTGACCCATTTCTTCATGGAAATACAATCAGACCGAGACACTAAGACAGTTGTTTCTAAAGTTGGAATAACTAGAGAAGCAAGTGGTCTGCAACCTTCATCTCTCCAGGGGGTGTCTAACTCTCGTTATGGTGTTTTGACCGTAAATTAATTTTACGCTGGAATATCCCTTTAATAAAGTCTGAAAAGCGGTCGAACCCAAAGTGAACCCCAGCCCAGAGTTCACCTTTAGAAAGTGTTTGGACCCAGATTGAGTGAAAAAAGATCCGTCCCGGTCCAAATGGAGCTTTTCTTAAAACGTGCCTGAATCTGAATTGAGCTCGGAGCGCAGCTAAAAGCTGCTGTTTCTCCAGCCCTGTTTGTTTTGGAGTCTTCTGTCTTTATTTGCTTTATCAGCGCTCGGAGCAGCTCCCAGCAGGCCCCTCTGACTTCAGCCTGCACTCGTTTATCGTCTCCCCGTATCTCACTCACTCCTTCTTCCTCCTCCGTAACATCTAGTTACCCTCCGCCTGACCTCCTCGGCTCCCTCCTTCCCTTTTTCTCCTGGAGTCCTGTAATATTTCCACGATCATTCTTTCGGAGTTTTCCTCTCTTCCCTCTCATTTGCCTCCCTCTCTCTCTCTCTCTCTCTCTCTCTCCCCCACTCTGCCTCTCACAGTCTATGTCTCTCACTCAGCCTCTCTCCATCTGCGTAGTGTCTAATTGACAGCAGAGACCCCTGGTTGAACCACCAGCACTCTTCTCTCCGTTTTGTTGGGTTTTTCTTTTTTCCACACTCGTTCCATTTCAGCCCTGTCACTTTTTTTAAGGGGTCGCACAACTTTCTCTGTCACTGCTGGGGGGAGGAGGAGGGAGGTGAGAGACGGAGTAAGACCGGGAAGAGGACAGATAAAGGAGAAAGTAAAAGACAAAGCCGAAGAAGGGGAACATTAGTTAGTTATGTAAGGGAGGTAGCGGAGAGTTCAGGTCTGTGACATGAAGATGTAAAAGGTCATTTTGGAGCTGTTTCCCCTCGCTGTGGACAAACAGCTCTGGGACATTTTTTATATCGCCTGTACGAGCGACGACACAACTAAAGCACTTTGGTCCCCCTAAAGTTTCCTCTTGGAAAAAGTCAATACAGTGATCTAGATTGGCAAAATGTTTGATCGCCTCGGCAGATTTGGAGGTCGTGCCATCCCTCAAGACATGTTTCCCTCCAACTGTCGAGTCAAGAACTTTTTAAGAAATGTGGCTCATGTACATACAAACAATAAGAGTGGCATTGTTTCGGAGACGCCACTTATCAGGGCTACTAGACTTAAGGCGAAACATCTTCAAGAACCTCAAGCAAGTCCTTTCAATGAAGACCTGGATTGACGAAATCCTATATCGAATTGTCTAAAGTTCCAACTTCAAGAGTCGTGACGTGTCCAATGACGTTTCCAGATACCTCCGGTTCCCAGAATCTAGTGCATTAGCATCTGTTGCTTAGAGGAACTAAGTTAGAGCTAGGTTAGCAATGTCAACAACACGACTTTGTGAACATTGGCAATGTTCGGGAGTGATAACACGAATTCCTATCTTGTCTTTTGTTCTACGTTGTGGCATCTCACAGAAGGTACGGACAAAATATGTTGACCTTCTGGCCACTATGTTTGCCTTGCTTTGCGATTGTGTTCCCATTGGCTACCACTTGAAAACCAAGACCTCACAACTTAACGATCTCCATTTGAAAGCGGCGTTAAGGCTTCGGTTTACTGGAGCGTCCATATCGACCGATATGCATCGAGAAAGCGAATATTCACCCAGGACTTCATGGTCCACCTGAGGGTCTCCTTCCAGAAAACCATAAACAAAAGGCAAGAAGTGGGTCTACTCCGAGATCCTGAGCTGGATGACCGAGTCTGTCACTTGATCTCTTTCCTTTGATCACTTCTCAAGGCTCAGGACTGAAGGTTTTGGTCTGGATCAAGAATTGCAGTAAAACTTGGAGCTTCGCCTTCCTGCAGGGCTTCTACTCGACCACAACAGACGGGTACAAAGCCAGAAAGTTTAGCTCAGTCTCCCGGTCCGGTATCATTCAGAGCCCCCCAGCTGTCTACCAGCTTTGACGGTGTCGTTGAATTAAGGTTTTATGGACTTTGATCAGAGTCTTGAGGAGATATCCATGAGAAACCTCCATCTGAAGTGTGTCTGAGCAGCTCCTGTGCTGCTGTTCTGAGGCTGACCTCTGACCCCTCCATGTAGGGGAACAAAACAAAGACCGACTCCCCTACAGGGAGCGATAAAGCATCCTGATTTTATCTCTTGGCTGCTGTGTTTTATTACCCCACACATGACAAGCTGTGGACCCACAGTGGATTAATAAAGCACAGTCTTGTACGTTGAAGGAGGATCGCGGCGGCTGAGGCTGGGCTGTATTGTGGTTCCTGGCAGCGGGGCGCTGTGGTCGCAGGAACGAGGCTGCAGGCAGACGTACAAAGATGCAAGCTTTTGGTTTTCATTTAATTTTTGGCCCTCCGCTAAGAAAGAAAAATTAGATCCCTGTTGAAAAGCGATAAGATCCAAGCGTACTCCGTCTTGATCACTGTTCGAGATGGAGCGATACTGTCCGAGCTGCAGGGAACAAATTTCTACAGGGATGGCGGGTCCTGCTTCTGGTTTTAGGGCCACACAAGAAAAGTGAAGAGACGTGATTAGTTCAGGAACGTTTCAGAGGAACAGTAGCCCGATAACCTCTGGATCTGACCTTTGACCCCTGGCTTTCAGAGGTTAAGAGCTGGCGTTTGGGGTTAAGTGTGGAGTCCTCTCTCACGCAGGTTGTCAGTCAGATCCTGGACTTTGACACAGATGTGAGAACAGAGAATCAGGTGTTATCAGGACGGAGGGAGGATGAGAGCCGAGAGCGTCTGATAAAAGCTTTTAGTGAATTCTTAGCAAGGTTTGTAGGACGGAGATGTCGGCTGTGATTGACAGCTGTCAACAGGCCCCGCCCTCCATCTCTGCGCCGAGACGTTTTCTTTGGATAATCTGACGCTGAACACAGAACAGACACAACAGAGCGGCGTGGAGGCAGTGACCTCTGACCCCTGATCAGATTTAGGGTTTCATGATGAGGTATCAGTTCTAGTCTATTCTGTTTGGTTCTAATCTGTTCTAATCTGTTTTAATCTACTTTGTTCCGAGCTGTTTTATTCTAATCTATTCTATTCTGTTCGATTCACTTCTATTCTGATCTAATCTGTTCTATAATATTCCTCTCTAATCCATTCTATTTTATTCAGTTGTATTCTAATCAATCCTTTTTAATCTAATGTATTCTAATTTGTTTTGTCCTGATCTAGTCTATTATATTCTAATCTATTCTATTCCATAATATTCTATTCTCTTCTGTTCTAATCTAGTCTGTTATATTCCAATCTATTCTATAAAGTTCTATTCTATTCTATTCTAATCTATTTTATTCTTATCTATTATATTATATTCTAATCTATTCTATGTAGTATTAATCTATTATATTCCTATTTATTCGATTCTAATCTAGTCTGTTATATTTTATTCTATTCTATATTGTTCTAATCTATTCCAATGTTATCTATTCTATTCTACTCTAACTGGTTCTATTCTACTCTATTCTATTCTAATGTATTCCATTCTGTTCGTATATATTCTATTCTCATCTGTTCTTATCTGCTCTATTCTATTCTAATCTTTTCTATATTGTTCTGTTCTATTCTGTTCTGTTCTATACTTTTCTTCTGGATTATTTTATCCTCACCTTTAATCTGAGGGTCGTTGGCGAAAGTTTTTCTTTTGAAAATGAATAAATTTTTTAAAGCGACAAAATCGACGTAAAAGTTTCAACAACTTTGAGTCATGAACCAATCAGATCTGTGAGAGAGTCAGACTGATGGACAGGTGCCAACATGGCTGCTTCTGCTGATTAAAGTCCCACTTTCACTGCTTTTAGCGACCTTTGACCCCCCAGAGGACGATGAACAGCTAAGAGAGAGAGAGAGAGAGAGAGAAGATAAGGGAGAAGAAGAAGAAGAGGAGGGAGAGAAGTTTAGAAGTTTAACCTCCCAGAAGTTCGAGCTTCTTCTTCTTCTACTACTGCTGCTGTGAGGATTAATGAAGTTTTCCCTCCTTCATCGCTGAAACATTACATAATCTCACAAACACACACACTTCACTGTATAGGTGTGTTTATGTGTGTCTGTGTCTGTGTGTGTGTGTGTGCGCGCTGAGTGTAAACATGATGAATTCTGGGTGACCCTGACGTTTGGCCATTAGGAACGGGAACACGGCAATTCCCCGACGGTCCCAAACAAATAAATCCTGACTGCAGCCGGAATAACCATTAACAAGTCTGCTAAACACCGAGGAGGAAGAGGGGGAGGAGGAGGAGGAGGAGAGGAAGAGTTGATGAGGGAGAGAAAGAAAAGAGAGAGGAGAAGAAGGAGGGATCATTGGAAGAGGAGTGGACAAGAGAAGAAAAGGAGAGGATGAGGAGAAATAACAGAAAAGAGGGTGAGATGTAGGTAAAAGGAAGGAATGAAAGAAATGAGGGGTGAAATGAAGAGATAGAGAGGGGGAGCAGGTGGAAGGGGGTGAGGAAAGAGGGAGAAAGGAAGGAGAGGAGGAAACAAAGAAGGATGAATGTAAAGATGGGGTAAGAAAGGAGAAATGGATAGAGAGGAGGAGAAAAGAAAATGAAGGATGGAAGTGAGTGAATAGGAGACAGGAAAGGAAGAAAGTGAGGGAACAAGAGAGAAAAGGAGAGAGAGAGAGAGAGAGTCGATTAACGGAGGAAAAATGAGAGAAAACAAACAAGAAAAGTGAAGAAAAGACGTCACTTTGTTTTTCTGCTCGTCTCCAACGAAGAATAAGAGGAAGCAATAATCAGTGTGTGTGTGTGTGTGTGTGTGTGTGTGTGTGAGAGTGTGTAAAAGTGTGTGTGTAAGTGTGTGAGAGGAGACAGGAGCGATAGCACGGGGGAGGTCATGGCGAGGTGAGAGAGGGGGAGCGAGACGGAGGGAGAAGTTCAGCGAGAGGTGAAGAGAGAGAGACCTGCCGTTTTCTCCCCCGTATGTGTGTGTGTGTGTGTGTGTGTTGAGGGTGAATCGGGGGTCAGGTGTGTGTATAAGTGTGTGTCAGAAGGACCTGCTGGCTCGCGTGTGCCTCGTTTTTTGGACGAGCCGCTCTCTTGTCTTTTTTTCCCCCGTTTTCATCAGTCTTATCTGTCTCTCCTCCTCTTCCTCCCCCTCTCTTCTCCCTCCTTGTTGCTCTTCTCCTACTGCTCCCTCCCTCCTCCCCTCCTTTCCTCCCTCCTCCTTTCCAAACTTACCTACTGACCTCAAGTTCACCCAAAACTCTCTGAGACCTTCTCTTATGTCCTTGTCTCCTCTCTTCTCTCCTTCATCATCTCCCCTTATCCGTCACTGGGGTCTTTTTGGCGTCCCTCAGGGCTCGATTCTCGGACCTTTACTCTTCTTCTTAAACCTCCAACTTTGAGCATTTTTAGATCAATCGATGGTGACAGGTTCTTTCTCCTTCCCTCATTTCCTTTCCTTCTCTCCTCTCTCCTTCCTCCCTTTGTTTTTTCGTCTATTTTCGGAACAGAGCGATAAAAAACGGAGACAGAGATACGGTCGCGTGATTCCTGAGCGGAGACAACGATCTGTTCTCCGATAAAATGAAAATCTTTGGACCTGAGTCCTGAGCTTATCTGCAGGAGAGTGTGTGTGTGTGTGTGTGTGTGCGTGTGTGTGTGTGTGTGTGTGTGTGTGTGTGTGTGTGTGTGTATCTGCTGACTACATCATTTCTGAGTGTGTGTGAGTGTGTGTTAGCACAGATTCTCAGGGTTACCGCGGTGCCGCTACTGTATCTGACTTTATCTGACGTGGCCACACACACACACACACACACACTCTCTCTCTCTCTCATGTGTGTGTGTGTGCGTGTGTGTTTGACAGATGTGTTAATCCACCCTCACAGACAGCTGATGTTTAAACTTTATGTAACTGTCTTTATTCGTACCTGTTTGTGCACACGCAGCTTGTTTTCGTGTGTGTGTGTGTTTGCACTTGTTTATTTGGGAAGATTAGCAGGTCAAACTTCGGCCGTGCGAGGGTGAACTCGGGGACAAAGCAGAGAGAGAGAGAGAGAGAGAGAGGGAGGGAGGGAGGTGAATACAGAAGTGAAAGGAGCAGAGGGAGGAAGGGAGGTGTGGGAAGAAGGAGAAGAAGGAGAAGAAGGAGGGAGGAAAAGATCAGGAAGTCCAAATCAGGAAGTTTTAAGAACTCAACAGTCCTCTGAAAATATTCAGGACACTTCCTGTTTTGATGAGCGCTCTGATGAAGTCAATTCAGGTGAAGGTCACGACCTCTTCACCCTGAAACGCTCGAATGAAACCCCGAAACCCGGCTAAAGAAAATCACCCTAACAATAACTAATAACTATTTTTTTGTAAATACGCCACAAAAAAAGATGCTTCTTTAACGGAATCCTGACTACCCTACCTTTGAGTCCAGATTTCTGCGATTTCATATCTGGTGGATCGACTCTTTGACTAAATTCATCGTTTCAGTTTCACCGTCAAGAAAACAAAGATTCCCATTTTCGGAGGAGCTCCGAAGTCGATAAAACGTCAAAGTTCCCCTCGGATTCTTCAGGATCCGGTCACTCTAAGACCCCGAGTCCTCGTTGGTGGACTGGAGTCTGTTTTCTGAACCGAACCGCCTGAAGGCCCAAAAGCAGAATTCTGAAGCAGAGACGTTTCGACTGAGAATTCATGAAATCGAGGAAGGACGAAAACTTGAGGGTCAAGATCCTTCAAGAGTGTCCTTCTGATGAAACAAGTGTCCTACCTTCTGTCCTTTCCTTTCCTTCACCTCTCCTATCTGCCCTCTCTTTACCCCGTCTCCCTCTCTCTCCATCTGCGTCTCCTTCCATCTTTACTCTCTCATTTTCTCCCCCACATGTGGTTTTGCTCTCCCTCCCTCCCTCCCTCCCTCTCCTCCTCTTCTCTCATCCCTCGCTCACATATGGTTTCTCTCTTTGGATCTGTGTGTGTTTGGTGTTACCCAGAGTTCACCGGGGCTCCCTGCTCATATATATACACGTGTGTGTGTGTGTGTGTGTGTGTGTTAGGTAGAGTTCAGCAGGGCAGCAGCAGGTTATGCAACACTCTAAATGTGGGACAACTTCAGCCCCCTCTCTCCTTCAACCTGAGTCGCCTCCTTCCTTCCCTCCTTCCTTGATTCCTGCTCCCTTCTTCCCTCTTTATTTACTTGAAAGAATCCCAGAAGTTGAGCAATCCGGTAGATTTAGCGGCAGATCGGTCGTCTCGTCATCTGTGAAGTTTTAGGAAAACATCCGGATTAGGTCGTCAGTTCCCGTGAAGAGCCTACTCACACTTCAGAGGAATTCTTCAGTTTTCGTGGGCGTAGGCGGCGGCGGGTTCAAGAGTCCCGGGTCGCAGAGACGGTGAAATCTTCACATGTGAAATCTGGACGCAGATCTGGGTCCGTCTGGTCGGATTTTCCAGTCATTTCAGGAGATTCCAGATCCAGATCTGCAGATTCTTTCGGGGCCGCCTCGTTAATATTGACATGATTGATATTAAAGGTCCTCTTAAAGGGACAGTACGCTCTTTTTCTGGCTTCACATCAACCCTCTGATATCTTCTCAGCAGATCGACTTGATTTACAGCTCAGCAGATTCTGAACATATTTTCCTCGTCCAGACTCTGTCTGAGAGAAGCATCCAGAACCAGAACTCTGGGAGCCTCCTTCACTGTTGCCAAGAAATAAGGTCGTGTTTCTGCCCTTTTAAGGAGATTCCCTGTCCGGTGATGTCACAATTTGGGGAAATCTTGTCTTAGCCAGTCAGAGACCCCTGTAGACCCATCTGGGGATTACCTGAAAATCTGTCCTGGACCCTTATGAGTGAAAAACTGGGTTGGAATGGGGCGCTGTTTTGGTTTAAGGGATGTCCAGAACTACCATCCCAGATCCAGACTTATCAAGCAGACCAGATCGGAACTTGGAACCCTTGATTTTAAGGCATGGTTGACGATCTGAGATGCAGTTGAAAAAAAATTAAGGTGTTGAGGCAGATTTGAAAAAAGCGTCCCACCCCCCACATTCAACCCTCTCCCCCCTGAACCTGTATCGCCCTCCCCACGACACACCCCCTCTGGCAGAGCAAGAAGCCGGCTAGTGGAAGATCCTACACTAGCTTCAAATAGGATTCACCATGTCGGATTTCCAGTGACTAGCGGCGGTAAACGCCAGCTCTGCTCGCGAGCGCCGTCTGCAGCTGCCTGGACAGCTACCATGTTGACATGTCAGAGACTAATCAGAGTTTTTTATGTAACATGAGCCACGATAAAAGGAGATAAAAATGACCTGTTCAACAAAAACTCTGCTGTCTCAGCGTCTGTTTTCTCCACCGCTCCAAGGATGACCCGATGTTTATTCCAGTTAGATTCCTCGCTTGATCACATTTCGTCTCTTCCCGTTCTTCTGTCGGGCTTGTGTTTTCTTCCCACTTTTGGCGGTGGAAAGGACGCGATGGTGCATTCAGGTTGCGTCGGACAAGAGGATAGGGCAGGGAATAGATACTGGAACACGAAAGAATCGATCTAACAATGTTACTCACCGGTGCAGACAGGCTAGAAGAGATGCTCCGCAAATTCTACCGTAAATTACAGCCGACACTTCCTGAATCCGCCGGTGCAGTCGCATCGCAACTGTTTGCATCGAACCACTGATATGAATCGGCGGATCTTGACATCCCGACTGTAGACCCATCTGGGGATAAACAGAAAAACTCTCCTGGACTCATATGGGTGAAAAACTGGTTTGGATTGGGACGCCGTTTTGGTTTAGTGGATTTTGAACTACCATCCTGTCCTTTTGCTAAATGCCTCCCCTTAACTGTCGTTCAAATAAAGACCAAAACACCCCAAAATAAAACCTGAAACTAACTGTGGTGGACCGACTTTACCCAGATCCAAACCAGATCCGAATTCTGAACCTTGGATTAAGAAATCCTTGTCTGTGTCTTATTCCAGCTTCTGGACCTGTTCACGCAGTGGGATTGGTCCACCTACCTGGCTGACTACGGCAAACCCACCTGCAAATACCTGAGAGTGAACCCTCATACGGCACTGGCCCTGCTGGAGAAGTGAGTACCGCCTCGTTCGTTCACACGTCTGTCAATTTTCACTCTGTCTTCATCCTGATACCCCTGCGTCTAAAGGGACCAGAACCGACTAGCAGGACTTAGATCTTTAGAAGGTTTTCCAGATGTCCACAAAGATAATCTCACTGGTTTCTGTCTCCTCTCCCTCGTGTTTTTTCAGGTTATTTAAGCCGTAAGTAACCCTGGTGTTCAGTCTGAGTGGTGTTGGATTCTGGCATGTGCAGAACTAACACCGATCTTTTCTGTGGTTGAAAACACACTAACAGACACACAAACACACACCCGCTGCACAAACACAAACGTCCAGGGCTCAAACGCGCTCACACGCGGTCCTTTAATTGCGCCCATTGTTCGGTACAGTCCGCTTGACCTTCCTCTAATCAGGGTCAGTATTTTGTCCCCAGACCTCCAGAGGACCCAGGCCCGGTGGTCCCTCTAAGCCCAGGAGGAAGCACCCTGCTGGGGCTTGTCTGGTCTGCTGGTCCCCCCTGAACTTCCTGGAGGTCCATAACAGTCCAGCGTTCTGCAACCAAACACACACACCCTCATGTGACACACTAAAACACAAACAAACTCAACTCTTGAGCCGGAGCGACTTTTTCTTCTCGACTGTAGCGGCGGTACATGTGTGTCTCTACTGAGCATGCTCAGACTGTCGTGCACTTTTGAACGCATCCTTTTGCAGTGCAGTTCCGACAGATCGTTCCTCTTTCCTCTCCTCACATCTGTCCTTTTTCTTTCTTCTTCGGTTCCAGGATGAAGGAGACGAGCAGGAAGAACAACATGTTCGCGCAGTTCAGGAAGACGGACCGAGACCGCCAGAGACTCATCGACACCGTCATCAAGCAGCTACGCAACCTCATCGCTCAGCACCAGAGCTAGATCCTCCTCCTTCCACCGGCCGCCATCAGATCAGCTGATTTTACTAACAAGTCTGAATGTCGTTTAGTCGTCTCCTCAGCCCTCCAATCAACGCTTAATCTATGCACCTTGTCTCCACTGGTCTTCCTTCAGCCACTGCCAGCACTTTTAGGTCCCTGAAAACCCCCGAAAACCCGGTCCTGATCCTCTACGAGCCCATCGGACAGTAACGTTAACATGTCTTTGGTTTCTCTTTAGCTGCTTTTACCCCTCGAAAAACAAGAATTCCGACTCCTGCTCCTCAAAAGTTCGGACTTTTTCTCTAAAACTGCGTCTTTATTCGTGTAAACTTCAGTCAACCAATATTGCGTACTTACTCTTCTTCGTTTACACCTCTATTACTCACATTTTTAACTTTAAAGTCTCGTACGTTTGAGGCTTGGTTTTCGTTCGTTCGCCGATCTGTTGTTTAAAATTTACATCGTAAAAAAACGTAAACTTGTCATCGCCATGTTGCTTTTTTCCCTCTTGTCTTCCTCGTTAAAGAGACGTTGAGGTGGTCGACCTCTTATATTTCAAGAACACTAGACTCCTGTTCGTCACTGTCTTCCATAAGCCCCGCCTCCTCCTCTTCCTCGCTGCCACACAGGAACAGAATCGTTGAATGTACGTCAGAGAGAGTCGTGGCGTCCTGATACTGTAGACGGAAAAACACTGAAATCTGAATGAGGTTTGGTTAAGACCTTTGGGTGATAAAGGGGGATATTCACCCAACATGGCAACCCTTTGCCCTCTTAAAGTAGAACCTGTTGACACTTGAATGGGCCTCACTATAAAACTCGGCAACAGAACTCCGCCTTCGTAAACGCAGAATTCGGTCTTGAAAGGGGGATGTTGTCCAAACATGGCAACCCGTCGCTCCTTTAACTGTTAGTAAACGTTGGGATCACGTTGCCTGTTTTCTACGCTTCATGTTTGATTCACTGGGTCTTAAAGGGGGGATAGCGCCCCCTATCTGGCAACGCTTTGTGCACACACACTTTGGCGTCTTCCATAAACACACACCACCTCTGTGTGTGTGTGTGTAAGTGTGTGTTTGTGTGTGTTAGTTTAGTTTAAGCACATTTACTCGAGATTATTTTTGAACTAATTTGGGTCTTTTTGTTTTTTTTCTGCTTACTTTTTGAACTCGGGTGCAATAACAATGGAAACTGCAGCATTTTTGCGCGTGAGTGTGTAAATGTGTGTGCGAGTGTGTGTTACTCATGGCGCCTTACAAAGGGATTCAAACCTACAGAGTGTGTGTGTGTGTGTTTGTCAGGAGGAGATCGACGCCTTCGTCTCTGACCGGTTGCCATGTTTGATTTATTCAGCGACGTGTTTGCGCTTCCGAAATCAAGTTTGTGTTTGTTGCGCGCATGTGTGTGTGTGTGTGTGTGTGTGTGTGTGTGTATTTTTCATCCCTCCTTAGGTGTGTGTGTGTGTGTGTATCGTTCAGAGGTGTTTTTTTCTAAGGGAACGGGCCGTCGTTAATGAATGTGCCTTTGCTGTATTATTTTGTCTTTTCCTGCCAATAAAGCGACAAATCTGCAGAGTTCGGAATTTGGACACGCTAAACTCGACATTTACGCTTCATTTAACGCACTGAATTCAAAATAAAAAGTCTATTAATCCTTAAAAAGTCCTGATTTTTGCGTCTTTTTCGGCGGTTAAATTTCTGACTGTTACTGACTGGACGTCCGGACTCCGAACTCTGCAGAAGTCGTCGCTGCATTGTTGTCGTTGTCGTTGTTTTTTTGTATTTTGTAAGCAGAGATCTTTACTGAGACGGAAGCACTGTTGTTGTTCACGCTGTTGTATTAAACCACTAATGAATTAAATCTCAAAGTTAAATACTAATAAAGTCGAAGCAAACGCCAACGGACAAACGTGGAATAAACGCAAACGTGTCTCGACTCTTTTTTATTGTTTGAAAGTCAAATCTGATTTGTCCACAGGGGGCGCCAGAGTTCAAACAACCTGAGAAGTTTGAGATGTCTTCTAAACACCTGTTACTCTCTCTCTCTCTCCCTTCTCGCTCCTCTCCCTAATTGACCTTTGACCTGTGGGACAGCGGGGTCGTCTGCTGTGAGCGATGTGATTAACGAGGACTCTCTCTGTTTGTGTGTGTGTGTGTGTCGGCGCCGCAGGTGGGAGGTGTGTGTGTGTGTTCTTGTTCGATGGAGGGCAGCGACTCGAGTCTGAGGCAACACAAACTCTCTGCATGCTCCAGTGTGTTCTTGTGTGTGTGTCTGTGTATGTGTGTGTGTGTGTGTGTGTGTGTGTGTGTGTGTGTGTTCCCAGCTGTCCATAGAGGAGCGGTGGAGCGCTCAGAGCCTCAGGACGCCTCACAAAAACCTCCCCGTCTCTTTCCGTTTTCTTTCATTTCTCTGTTTTCGCTCTTTGTGAACTCGCTCTGCTGCTGCTGCTGCTGCTGCTGCACTTTTCCAGTTTTGAACGTTTCCCCGAACTTTAACGCGCCGATTCATCCTGATCGCGAGAAATCCTCCTTCCCTTAACTCTTTAACGCTTTCCTTTTTCGCTGACTCTGCAGATTCTGGTTCCTGGTTTTGGTCTGAAGTTTTCCGACTTTGTGGTTTAACGTCTTTAACAAGCAGAAAACTCAGGACTCGAGTCATGAAGCTAATGTAGAAGTGCTTAAAGCTGCAGTTCCTGGAGTGTCCACTAGAGGCTGGCTGAAAGCTTCGAAAGACACATACACACTCACTTAAAAAAGCTGATCTTTACAGCTAAATTTAACGTGTTTACAGTGTCGTTTAAAAACAGTTTTAGTTCGACTACTGTGGTTGTGCAGCTTGTAACTTTACCCATAGAAGCTGTTTATGCTTTTTTAGTATTTGTTCAGAGTTTTATCTTATTTTTAGTATTTTTGTCAAGAATAAAGTCGCCATAAAACCATTTTGTCATGAGAATAAAGTTTTAGTGAAATTATTCTCATAAGAAAATTAAGTAAATCAGTCGTAATGTAGGATATTTAAGTTATGTTGCCACCAAATAATAATGTTATAAATAATTAAATGGTGATAAAATCGTAGTTTTGGTTTACAGTAAGAAGTCAGCTCTAATGACGTAAACACAACTTAACTTGTTTTTTAAAGTGATTTAAGTACGACTTTATTCTGGTTAGAAAATGTTTTATATTTTTCTGAAAATAGCGAAATTTCTGCGACTTTATTCTTGCAGGAAAATGATTAAAGTACGACTTTTTTTTCTAAGTATGGTAAAAATCGGGGTGGCGTTTCTGCTAGCTAATAAAGGCTAAAGGTCAATCAGGGGGAACATTTTTATTTTTTCTTTAAAATGATAAAGTCGTACTTTAGGGGCGTGCAGATAGCCAAGTAGGTTAGCGCACTCCTACAATATGACTTTATTCTGGTTAGAAAATGTGTTAAATTTTTCTTGGAAATTAGCGAAATTTTGACTATATTCTCACAGAAAAATCATTAAAGCATATCTTTTGTTTTTTTTCCAAGTATGGGAAAAATCAGGTCGGTGTTTCTGCTAGCTAATAAAAGCTGAGGTCAACTGGGGGGAACCTTTTTTCTTTTTTTAACACGATAAAGTCGTACTTTAGGGGCGCACAGATAGCCAAGTAGGTTAGCGCACCCCTAAAATATGACTTTATTCTGGTTATAAAATGTTAAAAATTTTTTGAAAATAGCGAAATTTCTGCGACTATATTCTCGCAGGAAAATGATTGAAGTACGACTTTTTTTTTTTTTAAGTATGGTTAAAAATCGGGATGGTGTTTTTGCTAGCTAATAAAGGCTGAGGGCAATCGGGGGGAGCCTTTTTTTTTAACACGATAAAGTCGTACTCTAGGGGCGGGCGGATGACCAATTGGGTTAGCACGCCCATAAAATACGACTTTATTTTGTCGGAAAAAAAAATAAAAAATTTCCCTTATTCTCCTGAAGAAGTGATTTTATAATGACTGTGTTATCGTTAGTAAAAAAAAAAAAAAATCAAATAGGAAAAAGATTTTAACTTTTTTGAATATGATGCTTCCATGTCAGAGCGCATATTCAAACTCACCCGAATTGTCAGTCGGGCGGCGCCGCTCCAGTCGATGTTGACTTCTGGAAACGTTGAATCATTGAGCACGGTTCTGCTCCAGTTCCCGCTCTGACTGACTGGTTTCAGTGGTGTTTAATGGTGTGCGGCGAGGGTTCGAGCCGGTTTTGTTTTGGTGGGTGTGTCTGCGGCCTCGTTGAAAAAACACACCAAGATGAAATGCGCCTGCTTGGTTAAGTTTACCCAGCAGCTGTGGGGTATCTGAGGTGTGCGGCAGAAGTGAAACAAGCTCGGGCCGATGGTGCGAATCTGTGTTTTGGTTTTTAATGATCTGAGTGAGACAGTGGGTTCCTCTCCACAGCACAGAAACAACACGGCCGACATCTGTGAAGTTAGTTTGCCAAACAGTTCGCAGAAATCACCTCAAACACTGACGACCTCCGCTGTTTACTACAGCTTTTATTAGCTGACAGAAACAGCGCCACAATCTGAGCTTTAATCTTGAAAAATCTCGACATTTTCAAACCGAATAAAACTCTTTCCACTTAAGCGTTCGCTGTGATCGATTAATTTGAAAGGAGACGTGATAAAAGCAGAAAAACTGCGGAGGAATAAAAGCAGATTCTTCCTTTCAGCGATTAAAGCGTGAAAGTGAGCGCATTTGTCGGATCTCTGAGTGTTACAAGATGTGTTTTACAGTACGATAACGGAGCCGCCGAGTGTGTTATCTCATTATCACTCGTCTGACAGTCTGCCGAGGGTGAGAAGAAGCAGATCAGAGTTTTCATACACTCTGAGAGAAGAGCATCCAGACTCTAATTGAAGTATCCGCATGTTTCCTCGGCGGGCCTTCGTCTTTTAAAGATGAGCCAAACACACGGACGAGGTCGCTCAATATGGAAGAGATTTACCGCTGAAAAGAAGAGCTGCGAGGACAGGAACTTGACGCAAGTCCTATAAATGTGCTGTGACCTTCACCGCGACGAGGGGCGGAAACTCTTCAAAGCTGAGGTACGAATTTAACTTTTGCAATTTGGAGAAAAAACACCAGAGGACAAATGTTAATGTTTTATCACCCTGACCAAGGGAGTGACTTTTCTGTGTTTGTTTTTAAGGGCAGAGGTTATATCACGACAAAAACATGGAACTTTCATTATTTTCATACTTTTATTCAGATTTAACTGCGATTTTTAATGTATATTTACATAATCAGATAAAATTTACAAGTCTTAAAGGGATATTCAGCTGTAAAACTAACCAAAACGCCAATTTATAGCCACAAATAATGTTCAGAACAGCATCTAACTTCATTACGGACTACAGCGGAGTTTCGCAGCTCAAGGAAGAACATTTATGATCATTTCTTTATCATTTCCTTGAAGTAATAATCATCTTAATCATTATCACTGCAGACCCGGTAGTTCTTCTGCCTTAGCATCTCGGTCTGATTGTATTTCCATAAAGAAATGATCATAAATGTTCTTCCTTGAGCTGCGAAACCCCGCTGTAGTCCATAATGGACTGGCCTGAGGTCTCACTACAAACAAGCGTCTGCTGGAAGAGAGTAGGTGAGTTGTGTTTAGTCATTTGTGGTGGTTGGTTGAGGTTTGTTTATAGCTCCTCAGACCGCTGTGTATTGCTATCATGCGGTCGTTACTAAAATTGGTATAACTAGAGAAGCAACATTCATTTCTCGACGGGGTGTCTGACTCAGTGTTGTGGTGTGTTTGACCCTAAATTAATTTTTCGCCGGAATATCCCTTTAGTAATTAAAAGTTTTTTTCTAAGGGTTCAGGTTCTGACCAACAGTCTGTTTCATGTTACTGAGTTTGTACGAAGATGTCTAAAGAAATAAAACCTTTTAGTGCAGTTCCCAGAGTGTCCACTAGAGGCTGGCTGCAGAAGCACCAGAACCCACATACACACTCATTCAAAAAAGTGCATTTTTACATCAAAGTTAAACGTATTTACAGCCTGGTGCAGAGAACAGTTTTGGTTTCAAGTTACCTCAGAAGTCAGATGTCGGAACTAAAAATGACGTCACACTCAAGTTACCAAGTTGGAAATAAGCAAAATTGGAAACAAGATGGCTACATCTATGAAAGTTATCAATGCTTGCCTGCTCCGAATATAAGGCAAGCGCTAAAATAACGTTCATAGATCCATCATGTTTCAGGCCTCCAATTTTGCTTTTTTCTGACTTGGTAACTCGAACGCAGCATTTGGATACGAGATCGGCCAATCAGAGGATTTATCTTTTAATATTTTAAAATTTAGAGATTTACTTCAAAAATCCATTTTTGTGTGTCGTACCTGAATCAGTCTGAACGTGTTAAATATTAATTAAAAAGTCTTTTATCCTTTCCTCTCTTTCTGTTCGCTTCTTTTCACGTCACCCTCCTCTCTTTATTTCTGATCTCATCCTGACCCGCAGAGGTGAGAGGTCTTCAGAGGTCATCACGGGGTTACCAGAGGTCGCCGATGTCACGGCGGCGCTGTGAGGAGAGGACCACACACTCTTACCATCGAGGTATCTCATCTTCTATCAGCTCTGTCAGTCCTCACACACACACACACATATCTGCTCATCTTTTTTGCATGTGTGTGTGTGTGTGTGTGTGTGTGTGTGTGTGTGTGTGTGTGTGATGCTCCAGTTTGATTGTGCGTTTTGTTGGACGAGGAAGAGATGAGCAGCAAAGTTTAGAAACAGGAAGTCTCTGTTTGACGCCGCAGAAAAACTTCCTTCAAACACGAATCAAACAGAGAAGAGAGGAAGAGGCCTTCTCTGCTTCCTTGTTTCCTTTCCTTCCTCGCCTCCTCATTCTGATATGAGCGGCGACGGCAGACAAAACAAACTTCAGTCACTTCCTTTAGCTTATTTAGGTTTCAATCTAGATCACAGCTGATCTAGATTGAAATATCGATCGGTCTGATTCACGCCGGCGTCGAGGTCGCGGTTTGCACGCCGCCGTCTCTTCCTGTTTCGAACAGTTTGCATGACTTTCTTGTGTGAGAGATAGAGACGGTTAAATAATCGTTCCATCAGATAAACTTCTCTTCCTCCACAAACGGATGATAAAGAGACGACTTCAAAGGTTTTAGAAACACGATCGGCGTTTAAAAAACACGCTTTAAAACTTTAAACGTTATCCTGAGAAACCGCCGCTTACATATGTGTGTGTGTGTGAGACGATGCTACTGAACACACACGCTCCCTCACGGCGGCCTAATGAAGACGAATGAGACAGCACACACACTTCTCCTCACCCCCTGGTTATTGATGAGCCTGAGGGGTCAAAGGTTACAGAAACACCAACTGTGTGTGTAACTTTCACTTTCTCTCTCTCAGACCGACATTTATCTTCAGGACAGCGAGAAAAAAAAAAACCCACTCGCACTTTTTCCCATGTGACTTTTACTTCCCTTCATTCAGTGTCTGTTTCCACTTTTTTTTTTTCTCTCTCTTTTTGAATCCGGACGCCGCCTCGGTGTTTTTGAAGGTTTTGGACGTTAAATTTAACCTGCTGTAAAATAAAAGTTAAAACACGAGAGCGACACAAGCTGAAAATCAAAATACATGAAAATAGAAGAAGAAGCAAATCTGTTCTTAGGGCTACAACAAAAAGTATTTTTTTTTAAACAACATTTTCTAACTTTTATCCTCCAGAATTATGTAATAAAAAAAGATTCTTTGTTTAAAGTTTTATTTCTTAGTTTTAATTAAGAAATAAAACTTTGAACTAGAAATCTACTTTTATTTCATAACTTTGAAGACAAAAAGTAGATTTCTAGTTTAAAGTTTTATTTCTTAGTTTTAAGTCAGAATTCTCAAAATTACGAGTTTTGAGTCGCTTTTTAGAATTCATAGTTAAAATTTGGAATTGTGACTTTTTCCCTCAGAATTGAAACTTTAAATTCAAAATCTTTTGTCTTCAAAGTTCTGAAATAAAAGTAAATTCCTATTTCAAAGTTTTGTTTCTTAATTATAAGTCTGAATTCCCCAAATCGGAGTTTTGAGTCACTTTTTAAAATTCATAGTTAAAATTTTGAATTGTGACTTGTTTCCTCAGAGTTATGAAATAAAAGATTCTTTGTTTAAAGTTTGATTTCTGTGTTCAAAGTCAAAATTCTTCGTATTTTGAGATTTGAGTCACTTTTCAGTTCAGTTCAGTTTATTTTTGATCCCAAAATGTTATAATTACACTTTTCATTTCTTTTTCATTTAAATCATTGGACCAAAAATTTCACAATTCGTTATTAAAATTTTGAATCGTGACTTTTTTTCTTGGAATTCTGACTGTTTCCTGAGATTAAACTCAATATTTGACTTGATGTCAGAATTCATTTTTCCAATTTCTGACATTTTTTGCCCAAAATTATGACTAATGTTTCAAGATTAAAGTTGGAATTCTTATTTCTGTGTTTTTACATTTTCTTTTTCAATATTATGACTTTTTATCTTTGAATTCTGACTCTTAACTTATGTTTCAAGATTAAAGTCATCATTTTGTCTTTCTTCCCTGAAAACTGACTTCACTTTGGAAATCCATACCTAGAGTCAGAAACCTATGAAAGTGCAGAAAAAAGTTGATTTTCAGAATAAAAGCCTACTTTTGGAATTTTCAGAAAAAAGGCAGAATTTGAGTTATTTTCTTTTGGAATATAGAAAAAGTTAAAAAAAATTATTTGAAAGTGCTTTAATTTTTATTAACAAAAAGAACTCTTAAATCTGTTTTCAAATTTTTCAGAAAATAGTCGGAATTTGAATTTAGTTTTAGAATTTTCTGAAAAAGTTGAAAATTTGAATCTGAAACTTTAAATTCTAAGAAAAAAAAAGTCAAAGTTTGAAACATTTCTTCCCTTTTCTTATTTTCAGGGAGGGTGCTCTGATCCTCTTCTATGCTGATGATACTTTACAGGAGATCGACAGTGAGCGTCAGGTTTGTAGAAAAAGTAAAAGTGTTGTATTTAGACAAATCCTTCTTTATGGATACTGATGTCTTTTAACAATGGAAAGTCCTTCTGACTGTGATGAGATGGTGGTTTATGAGGACAAGAATCTCCTGTGATGCAATAAAGGATCATAGTTTTTTAGTGTTTTATCACGTTGTCTTATAAACGTTATAAATGTTTAATTGTTTTAATATTTCATGTTTTCTTGTATTTGTGCACATCATGAAGTTGGTCTTAACTCTGATTCTCCACATGTGCTCTCTGGATTCTCTGAAAGAACAGATAAAAATATCTCCTTTTTTTAATATTTCCCCTCAGAGTCTTTGTCAGAGCAGAGAAATATTAAACAAAGTAACTGGATTTAAAGTGGAAATGTCCTTCAGAGCAGAGAGGACCACATTATTGGTCTCTGCGTGCCTGTGGTCCGTCTCTTCTTCGTTCCCTCGATCCCTTCAGCCCTTTAACTTTCATCCACAATCATTTTAACTCATTTTCCTCCAAAATACTTGTGGCCTGACCGACAGATTCCCCTCCTGACTAAAGACTACTACTGTGTGTACCAGCATGTGTGTGTGTGTGTGTGTGTGTGTGTGTGTGTTAAAGTGTGTGTGTACGTGAAGCCGGTTATTCATTCCACATATGAAGACAATTGAATTATAATGAAGCCCATTATTAAGGCTTAGAGGAGCCTGATGGCCCTGTGTTTCAGGGATTATTACCGCATTCGTTATGTGTGTGTGTGTGTGTGTGTGTGTGTGTGTGTGTGTGTGTGTGTGTGTGTGTGTGTGTGTGTATCTGGATTCACAGTAAATACAAAAACATTAAAGTGTCGGGCGGCATTACTGTAATCGCCGCTTTAGATCTGATTAGATGCAGACGTCTCTGAGGGGATTTTGGGAAGTATACGAGGGAGGCTGACTAACGCCGTATCGTTATGATTTCAGGGAAATGAGCGGCGTTTGCTAGACGTGTTCAGCGCTAATTTGTTCTCTTTTACCGCTGTCATCACATTGCGGTGAATGAAGTGTGTGTGTTTAAACAGCTGGGTTTAGAGAGACGTCAAAGGGTCAACAAAAGGTTAAAAACCTGTTTACAGTGAAAGCTTTCATCATCTTGGGGTTAGTTTGATGACTTTTTCACCAAGTTCAGGATTTCCTTGTTCTTATTTTTGTTTATTTCAGACCTGTTGAGCAGCAGGACTCTTCTACTACGGATCCACACTATTGTCATCCCTGCAGAGAAACATCTTTGTATACTTCTAAAACTTCTTATACGACTTTATTAGTCAAATTTAGCTTCTAAGTGATTTGAAAAAGAACTTTTTATTTTGAACTCATTCAGTGCCAATGACGGATTTTGACGGATTTTTCAGTTTGTTTTTTGTTTTCCACCAGAGGGCGCTCCTCCCCAACGTACGACTAAGTTTGGGGTCGTTCTGAACGCAGAAAAGCCGTCAAATACGTCAAAACCATGTCACAATAACAAAAACAAGGACTGGCCAGTGAAAGGTGTGACAATTAGCCTTGTAGTGGAGTGTTTTCTCTCTGTGAGGAAAGTCGGAAAATGCCGAAGTCATTAGCCAAGAGCTAATGGTCTCGGCGCATCGGCTCCCTTGGGCGCGGTGCTACCGTCTCTTGATCCAGTGGAGTTCCCGGTACCGGACCTTCGCATCATCAACAGACATTTAAAGAAACAATTTCCCGGCGTGTCGTTGTGTCGCCGTTGAGCGAGACTGAGCCGGAATCCAGCGACAGTCCCGGCGAGGAGGACGCGAGTGTTCCATGTGGTTTACGTTGAGGCGTTAGGTTCTAGAGAGCCAATACGACTCCCAGCCGTCACAAAGTGATCTATCACGATCTAAAGAGTGATGAGGAGTGGTGTCCGAGGAAGGAGGACCTTGATGCCGCCTGTAAAGTAGTTTGAAGTGAAATGAAAAAGACGATCAGAGTTTGGCTTGAAAGTCTCTCCTTTGTAATAATGTGTTTTTCCCAGATCGGCAAAGATGATATGACCATGCTGCATTGAGCAGGCAATAACTAAACACAGGAGTGGGTTAGAGACTAACTTTTTTTTCTGGTGAAAGAAAAGAATCACACCTTTCTTTTGAGATATTGCAATTAATTCTAGTCCGAGCACAAGATATTCTGCAGGTCCTGAAAGATACAGAAATTTCTATTGCGGTCGATGGTGGCACTGGGTGAAAATTGCCCAAATTTACCTGGGACTGAATGAATTAAAAATATGTTGGATTTTCCTCAGAAAGTGTTTAATTTTAATGAGAAAACTTAAAAATTAATTTCTGATTTTCTTCGTTTATATTTCCCGATAAAAACGACTTCGTGTTTTGACGATAAATCTGATTTTTCAACATCTAATGAGTTTAAACTTTTCAACCACAGCTGATGAAACAACAAGAGTTCAAGGAACTTAAACATTAAAAGATGAGTAAAGAATGCACAAACACACACACACACTAACACACTCTTACACACACTAACACACTCTTACACACACTAACACACACACACTCATGGCGTTGAGTCATCGAGCCCAGATGTCTTTATTCACCTCCGTACAACAGAACGACTGTTGAAGTCAGACGCGAACGCTCGTAAAACATGATTTCACTCAAACACACACTCATACCAGGCACCAATTAACCCTCACACACACACACACACACGTGAACACACACACGCACATGTTGGCGTTATGCTGACCTCCTGAACTGTGTTTTCTAGCTGACGGCGGTGTGTATCATCATGGGAAACTGATGCTACATGTGTTATCTATAAACTCGCTGATTAACAACAGAGTGTGTGTTTGTTAGAGGGCGAACGAGTGTGTTAGTGTGCGTTTAAATCCACGTTACACACACACTAACACACACACTATGACAGACTCATAGTTTGGGGATGTATGTATCGCCTCGTTGGCACCGAACGGTGAGAAAGTTCACAGATCAGAAACCGCAAGACGTTTTATGGAGAGGCGGCGTGTCGAAGGCCCGTCTGAGGTCAGAAGTCGTATATTTATACACATATATGGTAAATACTAAAACCGTAGAGAAAAAGTATCACCAAGACAGAGAAGAAGATTTGTCGGTAAAAACCATAATCCTTGAACCCGCTCTGCTGCCACTAGCTTAACTGAAACTGCAGATAAAATCATGAAACTCCAAAAACACGACTTTGTGGCCTTAAACGTGGATCAAAAGCAGACAGAGGAGGAATAACATGAGTCAAAAAAGAGAGAAAAATCAGAGGGAATCATTAAACGTCTCTAAACACGTCCCTGTCATCTCGTTTTCGATCTCCGTCATCGTCGATCGTCTGGTCCGTACGAGAGGAAACCACAGCACACAGACCCGGCTCTCTGTCAGGCTCTTTGACGTCGTATTTGCTTCTCCACGCCTCATTTGTTTCTGTCATTTATCACATCATTTTGTCATTAAAAACATGCAACTTCTGCCTTTTCTGTCCTCCCAGAATCGCCCTCACAGCTTCTTCATCAGAGCGACGATCCGTCACGTCAAACTTGTTGCTTTCATCCCTCCGTTTAGTTGCGTCAAAGTATGTGGCGGCGACCGCCGAGAAGGGTGGATCGGGGTCCGTCTGTCTCTCTGTCTCTAAAACAAAGAGATTTTCATAATTCGAAACATTCGCAGAGTCTACCAGTAGCAGAAGAGGCAAGAGTCACCGGGAACCTTCAACTCTTTATGAAGGACTCGCTCAGAGGCTGCAGACTGGGACAAGACCAGCAGTCCGGTTTGATCGGATCTGAGTTCAGGGGCAGCATCGGTGAGAAAAATAGTAGGTGCGGCTGAAGGTTTGGAAAGCAGAGCCCTGTTGGGGGGTTCGGATCTTGACCTACAAAGACAAATTGGGTGGGGAAACTGTATTTTAACTTATTTTTAGGTCATTATAGCCGACGCCCAGCCTACCTACATTTAGTGTAACACTATGATATAGAAACCGACTGTAGCGTACTCGTCTACATTCACCTGCATCTTTTGTCGCGATTATTTTGCAGGGGAAACAAAAAAAAACGGCCTTACTCTTTGGACTTCCAGTTAGCCATACTTTGCGCCTGTACCATGCTCTTGAAAATGTCCACGTATATATTGTCTGCTCTTCTCTTCTCGGTGGTCACTCGCTGAGCAGCGGCATCTGGTCAATCCGGACCGAGCTCTTTCAGCTTTAGTTAGTCCTGCAGAGTTCTCCTCTCGAACGGGACCTACTTGATGGAAAGCGCAGCGGTAGATCTCTCGGTAGGGGGTTTGCGGTAGCTATTCCTACTTCATCTGTCATTGGCAACCAAGTGCAGAGTGAGGGGCGGACTGGCTCCGAGTAGAGCAGCTAGCTATGTCAGAGGCATATTGTAGCTATGCTTCCATTTGTGACCAATCTGGTTATAAACGTGCTTACATTATCCAAATTAGGGACGTTTGGGCACTGGTCCCTGGCACCCCTTAACGATTTTTTTCATTTGGCTAGGATAAGCTAACTTTTTAGTGCAGAGCTGTGATCTAAGCATGTGTGAGAGTGCAGAAACCTTGGGCGCTGGCCAGTGGCGCCCCTGACGTAAATGCACAACTGTGATCTGAGTATGCGTGAGACAACAGACGATTCCGATTCCGCCCCGATACTGGGTGGAGAGATCGCTAACGGACTGAAATACACAGTTAATGGAAGGATTAATATAAAAGCATGATTTCCTTATCTTGATTCTTATTTTCAGGTAGACAGCAGACATCTCCCCCCGCAGTGCCCTCATATACCGGCCGCTGCTGGGTCGCACTAAAATCCGAACCCTTCTGAAACCTCGACCCAGATGGAAACAGAGCTGGTCTGATGATCCATCTTCATGTTCTCGCATTTTCCACTCAGGACTCTCTGGGCTTGCGACACGCTTTGTTGTTTCATATCGAGGACTTGCCAACTAAGAGGGTCAGCCAAGAGACCCCCACATGAACCAGGACACACCGGGAAGGTTCGAGAAAGAAAGTCTACGACAATGACAAGATTCATGTCCTCGTTAGTGGAGTTTAGCCGCCCCCCCCTGAGGCAAACTCAGGGGTTTCAAACCCACAACCTAGCAGTCCACCAGAGCAGTTTTCTATAAAACCCCGATCCGAGCCGTCCTCTCTGTCAGACACAAAGCCGCTGCTGGAAACACAAAGATCTGATCAAATGAAGACCTAATTAAGTTGTCGCACACTAACCCCGTGGAGCAGCAGAGAGAAACCCACATCCTAGTTTTTACCCAGAAGTCTCCCCGCAAGTCCCGATCCAGAAAATTTGGCGAGGAGGGGGGGGGGGCGCCACTTTGTACTTAATTAGTTCAAGGAATCTGCATGAAATCCTGCGCTGTTTAACCACTGTGCTGAGTCACTGACCCCGGATCCTGTGGGCATCAAAGACGGCACAGATAGTCCTCCTCTTCTTCTAAATCCGTCTCAGGTCTGCGACGGCTCACAAACGTCCCTGTTTCTGTTTTCAGACACAAACTCGCCAAATTAATCCACAGAGTCTGAACTGGCGCTCTTAAATCCACCGGAGGAAATAGTTCATTAGCAGCCGAGTTCAGATCCAAAACAGAGAGTACCGTGTGAGTAAAACCGAACCGCTGACCACATCTGTGGCGGCGTTGGCGTTTCATCTCATTTCCTGCTTTTCTTTGCTCCTCTCTTGTTTTGCTCTTGTTGTTCTCGGCTCTGCCAAGTCTGTTTTAATGTTTACTCCGAACCGTTAGGTCTGCAGATGCCCCGCTGCTCCACACACAGATTGTATTTAGTTGTTGATGATAATGAAATTAGCCGGGCTAATCGCTGGAGCCTGTGATTGCGTAAAACGAAAGCTTTACCGACCTGTTCGTATTATTTTAATAGAAACCATCGAGGTGATCGTCTTTTTCCACCGTTCAAACATCCGACCCAGACCGACGATTTCTCTAATTCAATACAAACGGGTTTCTGCTTTGAAGAATCGAGTGTTCCCCGCAGGTGACCTCAGGTATGCAGATCCAAATCAGAACCGAGTGCTAAAAATGAGCTAGCTTAAACTGACGATGCGTCTGCGTTCACTTACGTTTCTAAGACTTTAAAGGGACATTCCGGGGTCAAACACACCGTAACGCTAAGTTAGAGCCCCCCTTGAGCGATGAATGTTGCCGCCACCAAACATCTTTTAAACTTTGACTCATTTCTTTAGCAAAATGACCAAACACAACTCACCCACTCTCTTCCAGCAGCCACTTGTTTGTAGAGAAACCTCGACCAGTCCATTACGGACTCCAGCGGGGTTTCGCAGCTCAAGGAAGAACATTTATGATCATTACTTTATCATTTCCTTGAAGTAATAATCATCATATTAATCATTTTACAGACACGGTAGTTCTTCTGTCTTAGTGTCTTGTCTGATTGCAAAGAATAACAAGAAATTAAAAAAACAACACCGACCAAGACAAGAACGAGAGACAAAAACAAATCCAAAACAAACAAAGTATCAGTCACAGCTGTTTAAAATGAATGGTAAGGAATGTTGTCGCTTGGTTGTGTGGATGAGAACAATGTATGTTACATTAATTATGTAAAATAAAAATTATAATAATAATAATAAAGAAAAACCAATAAGAAGTTGAACCCGAAAGAAAATAGGATAAAATAACAACAACAACAAAAATAATAATAATAATAATAATAATAGGTCTGATTGTATTTCCATGAAGAAATGATCATAAATGTTCTTCCTTGAGCTGCGAAACCCCGCTGTAGTCCGTAATGGACTGGCCTGAGCTTTCTCTTCAAACAAGCGGCTGCTGGAAGAGAGTAGGTGAGTTGTGTTTAGAAAATGAGTCAAAGTTAAAAAGATGTTTGGTGTCTAGTACTATGTCTGTGACCCTATATGTCCTGTTGATGAAGTTAGGTGCTGTTCTGAGCATTATTTGTGGCTATAGAGTGGCGTTTTGGTTGAGCGCGTGGCTCACCGTTTTGCAATCGTGCGGTCGTTACTAAAGTTGGTATAACTAGAGAAGCAAGCAGTCGACAACATTCATCTCTGGACGGGGTGTCTAACTCAGTGTTACGGTGTGTTTGACTCTAAATCAATTTTACGCCGGAATATCCCTTTAAGGTGACAGCATCTAGTTCTCAAACTCGAGGCTTGAAGAGGTTAAAAAGTCACTCGACATATTTTGCTCATGAACCGTTTCTACCGACAGCTGAATTCGTCAGGTTTCATCCTCTCGTTTGTTTTGGCGGTGACTTCCTCTAAGTTCCTGTCTCTGTTTTTGTTTCGGAGCTAAAAATAAAAAAAGTACCAAAGAAGAGGTCAGAGGAAAGTTTCGGGCTCCTGAGCTGCTGTTTCTGCAGAGGTCTGACTCTGCTGCCTGTAAACCTGTGAGCGTGAGCTGAGTCAGTCCGGAGGACGTGATGATACCAAAGCTTGATGACCTCGTATGAGGCCGAACGCCGAGTTTGGGGTCACCGCAGGGACGCTGACGTCTGAGTAACGAATCATCAGCGACTCGTTTTTTCCTCTCCTACTCTTTTATTCTCAGAAGTGAATCCGTTTCAGTTTTATGCCTCACATCTTGACTTTGTTTTGAGACATTTCTTCTTTTTATTATATTTCTGGATTCGGTCTTTGTTTACAAATATGTTTATTTGTTCTGTTCATGTTCCCGGAGTTATTAGAAAAAGACCCAGAACTGTTTGTTCTGGTCTTAATGGAAGTGCTGTGCTCTCTCTGATTCAATATTTAAAAGAACAGTATATTACTGTCTGTATTTAGTGTACGATTGGATGAAGTCGGAGATACTTGATGAAAACTTCTCAGTAGTTGAAGGACCAACCTGAGGATCTCCGTCTTTGAAACTGTCTTCTGTACATTTTTGACCCGTCTGAGTCTTCGTTCTTCATCCACTAGAACTCTTAAGAACTTGACCTGGTGGTTTTGAGAAACTTCTATGTATCTCTGAGTACTCTGGATTTATCTTTTGCGTATTTTCTGGTTTTTGTTCGAGAATATCGTGAAATTTGACGTTTTTATCTTAAAGTTATGGTTGACGATTGTAGAGATTGGTAATTATTATGAACCTCGTTTCTATGGCGATCATGGTCCAATCATGCGATCTCCACAAAGTGAAGAAGAAAAAAGAACGGAAAAAATCTGTTCATCCTATCAGGCGCAGGGCTGCAAAATCATTGACCAATAGGAGCCATTCGTCCCGGACAGCTCCTATTGGTCAATCTCCTGCTCCGCCTCTTCATCCAATCACCTCGCTGTATTCGACACACCCCTCTCCCGTAGATCCGACTCGTCCCCTCCCACTCTCCGGGCGCCAATTTTTTTTTTGCAGGCTAGTAGGGCAAGGTCCCGCCCTCCTTCGCCTCTGATTGGCTAGAAGTGCTGGGCTCAGATTGGTCCGATTGGTTGCGATAATGTTCTGTTTGATGTACAGAGCCAACAGCCCGCATTTGGCTTGAGCATGTGATGACATTTCCAGCTTTTCTACACTCTGTTTTTTTATTGTTAATTAATTTTCCAAACATTTCAAAGCAGAAAAACTTATTTTTTTGTAATTTTGCAATAATATCTAGTTTTTTTTATTGTCTAGGTTTGCAGATATTTTATAAACATTTGTCGTCCATCCATCACAGATCCCTTCTTTCTTCTTCTCTTGTTCACTTCCTGCGTCCCGCTAAGCCTCCTAAATCCTTAGCTAAACACTTCAGCTGTGAAAGGTCGTTCCAGGGTCAGGGGAAACTGAAAAATTCGTGGACTAGCAGAACTCACATCATCATCATCACACACTCACACACACACTCACACACACACACACACACACTCACACAATCTGGGTCGGGCTGACAGTCACACACTCACACTGTCAGCTGGTGGGCTAAGTGAGGTGAGCGTGTTTAGATAAAGTGTTAAAAGCTCAGACGGACAGAGCCGAGGAATGTAAAGATAAGACGTTTGTGCTTACACAAAGACACACACACACACACACACACACACTCGCGGCGCGGCGCACACCAGAGTGGTAATTATCTAACTTACACACATAATGGTGTTAATGGGCTAAGCGGCGACAAATCTTCCTGTTCCTGACCTTGGGTGGGAAACGCCGCAAGTTTGGCACATTACACAAGAGGTCACGACCTTGTAGTGGAAGGATGGATTCGCGCCGAGCTCCCGGTAAAGCTCTGAGATTTTGGCGAAGCGGCGTGAGCTCCCTGAACCTTCGCTGAACCGGGATTGATCCGATTGCGGTGAAGTAATGACTCTCTTGTGAATCAGAGCGGCAGGACTACATGACTCAACCGAACCAGATCTGCTGGATCAGAGGGACTTCCTAGTTTATGAGAATATCCTGAGAACCTTTAGAGGGGCCTGACCCTGAAGATGGGACTGACCGGACTGGGGTCTGGACCAGCTACAGGACTTTAATGCGTCTTCTGTTTCAGCAGCATTTCTGACTGTGATTATGGTTTCCTTCACGCCGCCGGCCGTGTCGATTACATCACTGTTGTCCCCGTAATGACTGTAAAGAATGTCTGCGAGGGAATTAGTGATATAATGTACGAACTCGAGCGTCCAATCAGCACAGTCCTGGATGGCATGTGGTTCAAGGATGTGAGACTTTAGTTTGAGTATCTGATGGAAGGATTTCTCTGATTTTTGTTGGTCTTTGTCTCTACCTTTTTGTCACTTCCACTTTTGATTCTGTCAGGGGTGCCGCAGCTCAAGGAAGAACATTTATGATCATTTCTTTTTGGAAATACAATCAGACCGAGACACTAAGACAGAAGAACTACGGCGTCTGCAGAGCAAAATGATAAATATGGTGATTATTACTTCAAGGAAATGATAAAGAAATGATCATAAATGTTCTTCCTTGAGCTGCGAAACCCCGCCGTAATCCGTAATGGATTCCGTGGCTCTCTGTATTTCTATCCTGCGGTCGTTACTAAAGTTGGTATAACTAGAGAATCAAGCGGTCGTCAACATTCATCTCTGAAGGGGGTGTCTAACTCGGTGTTACGGTGAGTTTGACCCTAAATAAATTTTACGGAATATCCCTTTAATTCCTTTATTGTGAAATGAAACGATGAAACAGCGCTCTCCGTGGTGCTGGCACTCACTCTTCTCTCACCTTTAATTTACTCTCTTTAAATTCTGAATTATTTGGATAAAATTTGAATGTTGGGCCTCAATGTCGTACTATAAACTATAAACTATATAAATATATATAAATATATATATATAAACGCAGCTTCGGTAAAACTGCAAACTCATCACGCACGGCTCCACCTTCCCAATAATCTGCGAGTCTTGTTTTGAAAACAGGATGTTCTGTGTATGAATGTGCTGGATTGTAGCTTAAGGCTGTTTTGCTGCAGGATTTACATACATTAGATTACAGTCGTTCCCCGTACGGTAATCCGCGGGTCAGCTGCATGTTTGCTGAGGTCGAACATACTTCATGCATAAAACATGGATCATGCATTTTGTAGGTTGAACAGTTTGGGCTGCATGTGCCGTGAATGAAAATAGATATAAGTGAAGTTTGATGATCTCTTTAGAGTGTCGATGTTGAATGAAGACGTCAGTAAATCAAGTCGAATGTTAGAAGATTCAGGTCATAGAGTTACGAGAACAAAGTTATTAAAAAAAAAGGAATGAAGTTAAAATATTATGAAATTAAAAATGTGATCAATTTGTTTTTTTTTTTAGATCAAAATTTTTTTAAAGATACAGTGGGGATCTTTTAGGGTGTTTCAGTTTTGGCGCCCCCTGTGGACAAAGCTGTCTTTGCTTGTTTTGTCCTTGACAATTTTTTGTTATGAATCTCATCCTGCTAATTTTAAACACTAAAACTGAACATTTTTGAAAATATTTTGTGTAGAAATTAAAAAATTTCCAGTGTCTTTTGCCTCAGCTGATCGTCTGACCTCCTTAAATCAGTTTGAGGCGTTAAAAGACGGGAATAAAAATCATGTCTCATTGCTGACAGTCTAATTTTCTGTTGAATGTCATGGAAGTGAAGTCAATTTTTTTTAGATCAAAAATTTCTTAAAGCTCCAGTGAGGAATTTTTCGTTTGTCTCAGTTTTGGCGCCCCCTGTGGACAAAGCTGTCTTCGCTTATTTTGTCCTCTAAATGCTTCAGTAATGAATCTCATCCTGCTGATTTTTAACACTGAAACTGAAGATTTTTTTAAAAAATTTGTGTCGAAATAAAAAAATTTCCAGTTTCTGTTTCTTTAATTGATCGTCTGACCTCCTCTAATCAGTTTGAGGCGTTAAAAGTCGGAAATAAAAGTCATGTCTCATTGCTGACGGTCTAATTATCTGTTTGAGGTCATAAAAGTGAAGTTATATTTTTTAGATCAAAAACATCTTAAAGCTCCAGTTAGGAACTTTTAGTTTGTCTCGTTTTTGGCGCCCCCTGTGGACAAAGCTGTCTTCGCTTATTTTGTCCTTTTAAATGCATGAGTAATGAATTCCACCCTGCTGATTTTAAACACTGTAATTCATCATTTATTTAAATATTTTTGGGAAAACTGTAAAAAAAGTTCAACTTCCGTTTCTTTAGCCGATCATCCAACCCTCTTGAATCAGTTTGAGGCGTAAAAAGATGAAAATAAAAATCGTGTCTCAGTCTGATTTTTCTGTTGGATGTCATGGAAGTGAAACCAGTCTAATTCATCAACGTGAAAAAACTTCTCACAGGAGCTTTAAAATTCCTCCAAAATGAGTCAGTAAAACATTTCAGACACTTTTACAGGAATTTACTGTTTTTTTAAGACCTTGAATGAGTGTAAAAGTTTCACAGTAAGTAAAACTAATGCATCATTTTTCTAATTAAACAGTCCGTCTAATTCATGACCGTTAACAAACTTCTCACAGGAGCTTTAAAATTCCTCCAAAATTAGTTTCAGACACTTTTACAGGAATTTACAGTTTTTTTTAAGACCTCGAATGAATTCAAAAGGTTTTTTTTTACAGTGTTTAAAGTTGTGGGATTTTCTTCTGTATCATCATTTTTTAAAATCAGGATAAAGTTTATTTACTCCTGGAAGAACTGTAAAAGTTAGAAACTCGAACATCTACAGTTTCTGCCGCAGCATTGAGCAACTTCTCCTCATGAGGGAGGTCATGTGATCCGACAAACAGATCCACAGCAGCCGTTAAACGGATCCTGCGGTTACAGATTTTTGGGATTTTGCAGAGTTTGAGATTCTCTAAAAGCAAGACACCAAGAGAGAGACAGAGAGAGTGAGATGAAGTTAATTTAGTTAAACCCTAAATGATGTTTTTCTCTTCTTCAAACTGGAGTTTTCTGAGTAAATGAGCCGACAAATGAACTTTTGGTCTGTGCGCTCGTGTCTCGTGTCGCGTCTGTAAAGAATGAAAAGTCAATTAAACGTAAACTTTGAGGACGTTTATAAAGGAAGGACAAAAACCTGCACACAATTTACTCCAACAAAGCAGAAAATCAAAACAATGCCGTCTCCTGTTCCTCCTCTCCTCTGATCTTCCCTCTTTTTCTTCTTCTTCTTCTTCCTTTTCTCTCCGGCTGTCATGAGTTTCTGCTCCGCTAGGCGGCAGCATTGAGCCGCTTTCAGGAGAAGAAGCAGAGAGGGGAAAGAGGGAGAGAAACAGAGAGAAAAAAGACGGTCAGAGGTCTTAAAAGAGGGAGAGATTTATACAGAGAGAAGAAAGGAGGGATGAGAAATAAGAGAGGAGCTGAAAAACGAGGGAAAATGAAGGAAAGAGAGACGATCCGAAAACAGGTGAACTTCTGTCTGACCTCTACAGGTGTGTGTTTGTGTAACTGTGTGTAACTGTGTGTGTGTTTGTGTGTCTTTCAGGGTCTCCTCTCTTATATAACGGACCCCTAATATTCCTGATCAACAGTCTGAGGACCTAATTGAAGCCAGTCATTTTCTTTGGCGCTGCGGTGAACCCGACTTCCCCCGCCGCCTGAGACTCATTGATCCGATTGTTTCCTGAGGACTTAGAGAAGGAAGCGAGGCGAGGACACGGGGAAGGACACGTGGACCGGGACCGTGGAGACCTTTGAGGTTCGAGGACGGGAGGAGAGAGGGATGGAGAAGAAGAAGAAAAGAGAGATGGAGAGATGTATGAACTTCTTTTTAAAGAAAGACAAAAACAATGGAATAAAAGACAAATATTCAGACAGATGTACGAAAAATGAGGAAAAAGAAGGAAAAAAAGGAAAGACGGACTCAAAAAAGAAGAAAATAAAAAGACAAAAAAGAAGCAAGAATGAAAGATAGAGAAAAGAAAGAAAAAAAGACAGAAGAAAAAGATGGAAAGACAAAAGGAAAGGACAGAAAGAATCAAGAAAGAAAATAAATATAAAATGACGAAAAAACAAGTAAATGAAAGAAAGAGCAAAGAAAAAAAAAGGGAGACATAAAAGAAAGAGAGATAGAGAAAAGAAAGAAAGTTGAGGAGGAAGGCAAAAAAAAAGAAAAACAAAAAAGAAATTTGAAAGACAGACGGAGAGAAGAAAGGGATGAGGACAAAAAGAAAAAATAGAAAAATGTGAGAAAACTGAAAAAAAAAATTTAGAAGAAAGAAAGACGAGAGGGACAGAAAGAAGAGAAAGAAAAAGAAAGAAGAGAGAGAAAGAAGAGAGAGAAAGAAAGGAGAGAAAAAAGAAAGAAAGGAGAGAGAAAAAAGAGGAAAGTAAAGAAAGAAAAAAGTGAAAGAAAGAAGAGAAAAAAGAAAGAAAGAAAGAGGAAAGAGAGAGAAAGAAACAAAGAAGAGAAAGAAAAAAGAAAGAAAGAAGAGAGAGAAAGAAAGAAAGCCTCTCCTCCTCCTCCTCCTCCTCCTCCTCTCTCAGAGATCAGAGGAGATGAGGAGGTGATAATCCGTAAATGAAATCAGATCTGGGGACTCTGAGGATCAGGATCAGTTTTTGGCTCTGACTCATGTACCAGGTTTGGGGTCAGCTGGTCGTTTCCCATGATGCATCAGTAACCATGAACGTGAGAAAACCGGGATCCCCCTGACCTAAACTAGAGAGAGTTTAATCAGGTTTTAGTCCGTGTCTTTGACTCTGTAAAGTTTGGATCGGATTCCGATCGATCGGTTTTGGAAAAAAAAAAAAAAAACGATCGGGTGATTTCCGATCGATTCAGACTCTGATGATCGAAGCAGCCGGTAAAAAACGAGCTTCGATCAGCTGAGAGCAGAGCTGTGTCAGTCTGCAGGTGATTAGTTCAGCAGTGCGCACGTCCTGCACGGAGACACGAGTCATAAAAGTGAGTGCAGCTCTCCCTCTCTCTCTCTCTCTCGCTCTCTCGCTCTCTCTCTCGCTCTCTCTCTCTGGCGCGCTGCCAGCTGCAGCACGCTCCAAGCCTCCTCTCCTCTTGCGCCGCTTGCCGCTCACTTTACACCGACCCCTCCTCTTCTGAGAGGAGAGAGGAGGGAAGAGGGGAGGAGGAGGGGAGAGAGAGAGAGGGGGTCCTCCAGGAGCTGAAAGAGGTGGAGCAGAGGGGAGGGATGGAAGGAGGAGGGAAGAAGGGGAGTCTCTCTCTCTCTCTCCCCCCTCAAGCCGACGCTGGGGTGAGGTGGGGTGGGGGATGGAGGGGGGAGACGGGAGCCCTTGGCCGCCTATTCGCCTTCCAGTTGCCTCCGCACTATATAAACACTCACTGGTGCCTCTGGCTTGACGCACACACACTCTTTACGCACGTATCCACACACACACACATGCACACACACTGAGGGTGACTTGTATATGCAGAGAGAGAGAGAGAGAGAGAGAGAGAGAGAGAAGGTACAGAGAGGAGGAGAAGAAGAGAGTGGACGACAGAAACTAAGAGCAGCAGCAGCAGAGAGAAGAGGACGGTGACTCCTGAGCATCTCTCCTGCGCACCTTTTCACTCCTGCACGCTCACGGATCTTAAACTCTTCACTTCATCCTCGTCCTCGTGCTCGCCTCACAGAGATTTTTAAACTTTTGCAAAGACATTTTTAACTTTTATTTAAAGAAAAAGAAAAAAGATTTGGAGTTGAGGAGAAACGCGATTCCTGGAAGAGTTTTTTCTTCTTTCCATCCCTCGAGAAGTTTTTAAAAAGTAAAGCCCGTCTGAGTTCCAGGGCTCGGCTTCACTTTTTCCACGTGTCCCACGGTTCCCCCAGCTCCTGACACAAACGTGTCACTCTGATATTTTCTTTTCTCTCAGCCTGAAAACTTTGACTGACTGACCCCCAAAGAGAGCAGAATGATGTTTCAAACAGCAGCAGCCCTCAGCGGTCTGAGTCCCAGAGGCTTAAATCACTAAAACTCATTTGTGTGTTTTTTCCACTTTGACGCGCAGAGGTGTGGATCTGAAGACACGGGGAGCGCCGCTCACCTGTAGCATCTCCTCACACTGATTTTGCACTTTGAGACACTTTGACAGCAGGGAGCTCAGAGTCGAGGCGGTTCATTCATTCCGCTGCCTCTGTCACCTCCAGTGGAGTGCGTAAAAGGAGCGCTGCGCTTTTACGCAAAAAGAGTCAAACTTTTGGATCACTCCAGCGTCTTTTTTTTTGTTCTCCAGAGGGACGCCGGGCTTCTCCATCACCATGCTCTTCGACAGCTTCGACCTGGTCTCGGCTCTGGCCACTCTGGCCGCCTGCCTGGTGTCCATGGCTCTGCTGCTCGCCGTGTCCCAGCAGCTGTGGCAGCTCCGGTGGACGGCCACGCGGGATAAAAACTGTAAGCTGCCCATGCCCAAAGGATCCATGGGCTTCCCCTTCATCGGCGAGACCTGCCACTGGCTCCTGCAGGTAAGCGCGCGCTCGGGGCGGGGAGAGGGGAGAGAAGTAGGTGGTGGAAGCGGGGGTGATCCCGGAGCGGAGCCGGGACTCCATCCAAGAATGATGAAATCACTCTTATCTGTGTGACTGCTGGTTTTATTCTGGACTTTTATTCTGGTTCTGAGTTCGTGCACGAGGTTTGCACTTTTTTTTTTACACACTTGACTTGGCGCGCGCTGCTTTTATGGACTTTAATTGACAATTTGGAAGTTTCTAATGAGTGAAAATGAGAATGGAATCGATAAAAGTTCAGAGATCTGATGCGCAAATTTAGAATTTTCTCACCGATTTTAAACTTTTTGTCACTTTTGCTTAAAAAAAAGTTTTTGACAAGTAAAAATAAATCAAATTTTCTTTCTTATATCATAAAAATTTGGATTATTTTGCAGATTTGACTCGTCTGCATGTCTGACTTTTCCTGAAACAACCTCGAAGTTTGATAAAAGTTTCCCCCTCCTGCACGCGCGACTTTCTCTCTCACTTTTGATTAGTTTAAAGCTCCGCTATCTCTCTCTCTCTCTCTCTCTCTCTCTCTCTCTCTCTCTCTCTCTCTCTCTCTCTCTCTCTCTCTCAGATCACTTTTCTCTTTATTGTCTCAGACGGGGAGCGTGTCGAGGAGTCAGCCAGCCGCGGCGCGCAGAGGTCTGTCTGCAGTCATGCCGATCGTTTATCGGCTCATATCTGATAATCGGCTGGAAATGAGTGACCGCGGCTACCTGAGCGCCGATCGAGCCTCAGAGAAAGTTCTTTTAGTTCCTCTTAAATCGATTCTAATCCTCTGTCTGTGTGTCTGTGCGCGGTTTGGCCGAGTTTGGCGCGTCTGTGTGTTTAGAGATGTGTTACAGTAGGAGACAGAGTGAAGGTAAAGGGTGAGGTGAGGGTAAAGTGCACACCTCGGACTCCCTCTTTCCCTTCTCTCCTCCTCCTCCTGCATCCAAAAATAGTTCCCAGCATGCCGCATGTTTGAGGAATCGCTCAGAATCCTCCTGTTGCTCCAGAACTTGACGCTCTGATCAGCATTTTCACCCCAAAAGTGGAGGTACGAGATGATGGCATGTAGGTAGAGAAGGTTGGATGGAGGATGGGAGAAGAAGAAGAAGACGAGGGGGGAAACGAGCGGAGGCACGTTGGCCGTGTGCGGAGCTTGAACTCGCCGTGCTCCTCTCCCCTAACATCTGACACCGAGCGAGACGCGTTCCCGGAATGCAAGCGAGGACCACGGCCAAGTTTATGGAGCGGGTAGAGGAGGGGGTCATGTCAGTCAGATTGGGGGGGGGAATAAAAGGCTGAGTGTGTCTATACTTATGAGGACCAAATGTCTCCAGAATCTGGAGAATCTGGACGTCTGTCTCGGCAGCTCCTCGCCGTTATCTGGATGAAGTTAATCAGTTAATGTAATCCATGAAATGCCTCATAAATTAACTTAACCCGCAGAGATAGGGATGCAGATCTGATGGGACCCTCTGTTTCATGTCTCGGCTACCAAGTCTGCCGCTTGATTGGTCGCGGAGACGGCATGTCAGACGTGCTCAGAGACGAGTCGTCTCCCCCCTGAAAAGAGACTTCTGAAGGACCGGAGCGCACACATCGAGTGGAGGAGGTTTAGAGGCAGATGTTTGGGGAGGTTTTGATTAAAACCTCAGACCAGAGAAGAAGAAGAAGAAGAAGAGCGAGTTTGGAGATAAGAAGGTCATTGACACGTTTGTGTTAGCTGGTCTGCGCTAACGTTGTGTTTTTGAAGTTTATCTCAAATCAAGTAGATGCTGACTCACTTTTGAACGCTCATGTTTGTGGAAGCACAAGTTTAGACAAGATTTCTTAGAGTTGAAGACTTTTCGAATGTGTTTTAGCTCGGTTTTTGGTCTCCTCCACTCCTCTCTCAAGCAAACTTTCGATAAACTCTATTTTTAATCATCTCTACTACCCTCCAGTTTTGATTGGCTCGTTTAATTGCTGGAAATAACAGAAATGAAGACTGTGAGAGTCATCGATCTACGTTTGAGACGCTTTGATACCAAACGCAGTGTCGATTTTGTTAGCTAGTTGGGGCCAACGTTGTTTTTTTTAACGGTTATCTCAAATCGAGTAAATGCTGACTCACTTCTGCACGGTCATGTTTGTGGAATCAGATGTTAAGACAAGATTTCTTAAAAAAAAGACTTTTACTGTCCTTTTAGCTCTGTTTTTGGTCTCCTCCACCTTTTTCCACCTTCTTGAAGCAAACTTATAATAAACTCTATTTTTTAAAATCCTTTTCTGCTTATTTAAATGCGAGAAATCAAGACTGTGAGAGCCATCGATCTACATTTGAGACACTTTTGCATCAAAAACGGCGCCAAGCGTGTACGCGAGTCCGGGGTTTTGTTGTGATTTTGAACGTTTATCTCAAATCGAGGAAATGCTGACTCATGTTTGAGGAAGCAGATGTTTACGCCAGATTTCTTAGAGTGAAGAGACTTTTTAGCTCTGTTTTTGGTCTCCTCCACTCATCTCTAAGCAAGATTTATCACTTTTTTCCACCTGCTTGAAGCAAAATTTTGATAAACTCCATTTTTAACCCTTTCCTGCTTCGTTTGGATGCGATAAATAACAAAAATCAACTCTGTGAGAGTCGTCGATAAACATTTGAGACACTTTTATATCAAACGCGTCACAGAGCGTGTTAGCTAGTCCGGGCTAAAGTTGTGTTTTTGAAGGTTTATATTGTATCCAGTAAATGCTGACTCACTTTTTGCAAGGTCTAGTTTGTGGAAGCAGATATTTACGCCGGATTTCTTAGACTTGGAGACATTGACCGTCCTTTCAGCTCTGTTTTTGGTCTCCTCCACTCCTCTCTCAGCCAAATTGATCACTTTTTTTCCCACCTGCTTGAAGCAAACCTTTGATAAACTCTATTTTAACCCTTTTCGGCTTTGTTTGGATGCTGGAAATATCAGAAATCAATTCTGTGAGTCGTCGACATACATTTGAGCCACTTTGACAAACTTTTTCTCCGTTTTAGTGACTCTCCTGCCGCCTGTTTTCCTCTTTTGTCCTGCTGCCCTCTTTCCTCTTCCCCCCTCCTCTAAATTTACCCACACAAACCCTCATTTTGCTTAACTTTGAGTAAATATACAGTGGGTATTTAAGCCGACACACACGCACAGCAGCAGCAGCAGCAGCAGCAGATTTCAGTGACAGGTCCGTTTTAGAGCGATCTGCAGTTAGGAACAGTTTTACGGTCACTCTGCCAAAGACCTGTCTGCTCTCATTAGGAGCCAGAGCTTTGTGAACGGACGGTGCCAAGCAGGAGCCTCACTGCTGCGCACACACACACACACACACACACACACATAGAGACTCTACTAACACAGTCTCAGATACATTAAAATAGTCGTGCAGGTGCAAACACACATACATTCATCTACGTTTAACTAACTGCACAAACACACAAATGAATAATTATTTTCTGAACAAAAAGCAGCTTTTTGAAAAATTCTCAGAGGAAATGCTCGGATATTTTTGGAGATAAAACCACTTCCTGTTTTGAGGTCGTCGTTTTTTCATTCGGATTAAATTTGACGCTGGTCTGAACGGACGGTGGAGGCTTAGAATGAAAGAAAACTCAGTTTAGTCTTTGAATTTTTTTGATATTTTTTAAAAAATAGTGTAAATTTTTTTACTGGAATTAAAAGTTTGACAGAAAATGCTGACTCAGGGTTTTTCTGATTTTAAAAACAGGATCTTCTCGGTCGAGAGATTTCTAAAAACTAAAGATCAGACTCCAGAGATTGTAGTTGTACCGAACTAGATGGTTGCAGTTACTCTTTGTTGCCACTAGAGGCCTCTAAAGCGCTCCAGAGTCTGTCAGCTGTTTTTAACCGTTTAGATCACGCACAGATTTAGACCACGCTACCATGAGATGTCTGGGTAATCACTCTTTGTCTCTTTTTTAATTGCGTAATGATCCCACCTGGGAGGAGTTATGATGTGTTCCAGTTACCTGGGACGTCGGAATGGGATTGACGTTACACCCGAGTTAACAGCTTTACAGTTAACAAGTCGGAAAACCAAGACAGACATCTACAGTTGCCCATTGTCAGCTGTCGTTGTTAGTTGTTGTTGGCTATGCCGGTTGTAAACGGTGCGTAATTCAGTAATTTCTCGTACAAACACCAAAGCAGCGTGTTCACAGTTAGACGTTGGGCAGAAGTGCTAATAAATAAAACATTACGAGAGCTTTCACTGTTACTCTATACTGTTGATGCACTGCGCTACCATCTCGAATTATGACGTTGTCGTCAAGTCGGGGTTGGCGAGGATCGTCCGACTTTCCAAATTAGAAATTCGACTTCAGGGGGGCATTCCAGATGAACTTCTGACTCTGAGCTTGAATATCCCGACTTCTGAGTACAACTGGAACGCAGCGTTAATCCCAAAAGAACCACACTCTTTCAAAAACGGTGGACTTCCTGTCTTTCAGGTCCTTCCAACTTCCTGTTGGTCCACTCAGCCAACACCCAAATTCTTCGCCATGAAGTCTTTGGATTTCAGGACTCAGTCCTTAAAAATGGCGTCAATTATTCGTTTTACGTCACGACTGGAATTCTAGGGAGAGGCTCAGGACTTTATCTAGAGTGACCATACGTCCTCTTTTACCCGGACATGTCCTCTTTTTTGGGGTTTGTCCACATTTGTCCAAGGAAGTTTATAAAATCCTTTAAATGTTCGCGGTTTTGTACGTAAGTTTTGAGTTTGTGTCACTTGGACTTACTGAGTTAGAAGCGTGTAGTCGTGTAGTTTCTTTGGGGATTCGGAATATGGTCACCATACTTTAACGCCCGACTTTCTCGCCCCTTTAGCGTTGAAGGTCAGACTCAGAGACTGAAGTGGTTTCTCTGCAGCATCTATACTCAAAACTCTACGTAAAAGTTGCTCTCTGCTCCCACAGGAAGTCTCCAAAGTTCCCAGTTTAAAAACTTTTTGAATATTTTTGATTATTTACAGAATTTTTGTACCAAAGTTCTCAGAGTTCTTGGTACTAAAGCGAGTCCAAGGATCCAAACCGGAGAACCACGTGAGCGCGGATGCTCTTCCTATCAGCGATTCTGCATGCGTCCTCTCCCAGTCTGGTCCTGATATCCCACAAATATGCAACACACAAACACACACACACACACGTAAAATCACACACACACACAAATACAAATACACACACATGTGGCGCAGACAGGCTGGACTGAATCTGGGTCAGACCTGCGGAAATGAACACATGGCACCGAGACTCAGACTGTACTCTGTGTGATTTAAGTCCGTAAAGAGACAGACTTTCACCAAAACAAAGAAGAAGAAGAAGAAACGCTGATTGTGTCTTTAATAAGGAGTCCGTGTTTGTTGTCGTCGTGCGTGTGTGTGTGTGTGTGTGTGTGCGGCTCCGACAGTAAACTCACTAATGTGTCGTGCGTCTGTGCCAGCCTGTCGTCTTGTCTGTGTTTTACGGTGATGAAGTGTAAATGACGGCGGCGGGCGGAGTAATAACAGTCCTGAAAACCTCAAACTCTCTCATCTCGCTCGGCGATGACAGCTCTCCTCTTCTCTCTCTCTCTCCTTCTTCTTCTTCCTCTCCTTCAACAACACCTGTCCTGCTCGCCTGCTCTCTCTCTTTCTTTCACACACACTTTTCCTCGATACGACAACAAGCCGAGGTTGAGATTCGTTTGTTCTTCCGTTGTGAAAGGACAGTCAGAATCTACGATGAGTTTCTAGAGGTGGACTTTTTATCCAGGGTGACCGTACGTCCTCTTTTACTCGGACATGTCCTCTTTTTGGGGGGGCTGTCTGGCCTTGTCCAGGGGGGTTTATAAAGTCCTTTAAATGTCCGAGGTTTTGTACGGAAGTTTTGAGTTTGTGTCACGTGGACGTACCAAGTTAGAAGCGAGTAAAAAACACTCGACCCGACCTGAAAAACCCTCAGAATTTACCACCCATGACTCTGCGACTTCGCCCTATTGGTATTGTCTTGTTTTGGGGGATTCCGAGTATGGTCACCCTACTTTAGCGGCACAAACTGCATCTGAATTTCAGCTCAAGATTCAGGACGCTAACACAGTATCATCTGTTTCATGATAGGGTCAAAGTCGCGTTCTATCCGTGCCACCAATCTCGTGATAAAACGAGAATTTACCGTCTTTTTCTACGTGTGATTTCTGTCGCGGTTTTCTATAATTGTCCGTACGAAATCTCCAAAAACTTTGTACCTGGCGAGGAAACGTTTTGGATTGCCAGAATTCTTGACTTGCTTTTGTTGCAGGAGTGCTAACACACTGTGCTAAAAGTTAGCTAGCTAGCTAGAAGCCGTCAAAATTTACTACGCATGACTCTGCGACTTCGCCCCATTCGTAGTGTCCTCTTTTTGGGGATTCAGAATATGGTCTCCCTACTTTGGCACCACATACTGCATTTGAATTTCAGCTCAAGATTCAGGATGCTAACATGTTAGCATCCATTTCAGAAGAAGGTCAAAGTTGCGTTTCATACGTGTGATTTCTGTCGTGTTTTCCATAAGTGTTTATATGAAATTTCCAAAAACTCTGTAACTGGGAAGGAAACTTTTTTGTTTGCCAGAATTCTTGAATTACTCGCTATTGTTGCAGGAGTGCTAACACACTGTGCCAAAGGTTAGCTAGCTAGCTGGAAACTGACTCTTTCCGGCTGCTTTATTCCAACCAGAGTCGCCCTTTATTACAAAGTATCATGATGGCACTAAACGCTTATTTTGCGTAATATTGATAGTTCCTTTTTCAGTGAATCTGAGATGTCGATGTTGGCGTTGTAGGAACCAGATGCGGCTCATGGTCCTGGCCTTGCTCTAACTTAGTTCCATTCTTCAGGGTTGTTTGTCCTTATGGGGTTGCCGTAACAGCAGGTGGATATTTAACAAGAATTACCGTATTTCTGGGCCAGAATTCACCATTTTTCATCCTTTCCAGTGGCGCTGGTTCATCCCCAGATCTGCTAAGTCGCCTGAAGACCAAAAACCAAATTCAGTCACTTAGAATCTTAATTTTTAGACACTCACTATTATCTCTTCTCCACCCTGATCTTGTTGAAAGGATACGGCCTCCAATCATCCTCAAGTCACTCAGAGAGAGCACTCTGATTGGTCAATCCTGCTCCGATCACCTTCAAGCTTTCCTTCTCCGCGGCACATGTGAGATCTTCTGAACAGAGCTCGGATTGTGAGGCCGTCATCTATAGAAGGTTCCATTACTGCGGTCCAGCTCGCATAGCTGCGGTTACACACACACACACACACAAACACACACACTGTACATGGAAATACTAACAGTATAGACGCACAAAGTCACATGACGCACACATGTTTACAGACGGTGGGAGTGTCGGCGCTCTCAGGACCGAGTTTGATCTTTTTAAATCTGCTTTTCTTCACAGATGAAACCAGGAAGTGGAATTCTGACATTTTTGTTGCTTGAATCGTTTGTTTCTCCTCTCAAATCTGTTTTATGTCGTGACCTGTTTCCTCATTCCTCGTCTCCTTCGACCTTCAGCGTCTCAAACACGACTTTGACTGAAACGAGAACCCCGTTCCGTGTATTTATTCCGATAACAGCGTCACCCCGTTTTTCTTTTATCTCTCTGCTCCTCTTTCTCCATCCTCCCATCCTCCCTGCCTTCCTCCTCCTCCTCCTCCTCCTCGTCTTCCTCCTGTTGTTCTGATTAGCAGGAGGTGCTGGCAGCCCCTTCGTTCACCCCAAGAACACACCGCTCCTTCCTAACAACACTCTTGTCCTTGGCCGAGCACAGAGCACAATGTTAGGCTGTTTTTGTCAATGAGTGTGTGTGTGTGTGTGTGTGTGTGTGTGTGTGTGTGTGTGTGCGTGCACGCCTTTGAACCACTTATGAACTTTGTCTTTAGGTGTGAAAGTGTGAGTTTGGAATAACAATGTCAAGATCAGGCTGAGCGATAAAACGATAACGATGTACGTCGAAAATTAACTTCCTTTGATATCGAGATCAAACACAGTCAATATGTTTTTCAAAAGTCGGCATTCTGCGATGTTTTGGTAGACTGAATGAACAGCCAGTGAAAGTTGGAGTTTCTGCGGGTCTGTTTCGCCCTGAACCAATCATGTGCTGAATTAGAACCAAGTATCAAACAACTATGTCGTAGCACACAGCAGCTACACCCAATCATCGCCCTGTAACCCCGAAAACAGCCAACCATTCAGTTCGCTTTTTCTAGCGCAACGCCTTACGACAAAACAAGCTTATTGTATCGCAAAAGACATGCGACCAATATCGTGATATGTATCGATATCGACTGATATGAAAAAATATATTGTGATTAACTTTTTCCCATATCGCCGAGCTCTACATCAAGATTACGAAAACTCCTGATGATGTGTTCCTCTTTAGCCGTTCGCCGAACCTCCGAAAAACTTTTTCTTTAAATTATTTTAAAACTGTTTCTTACTATTTTTATTTTTTTTAATCGCTCCGGCTAACACTTGGTCACTTTTTTCTTCGTAACGATGTCTCACTTTGCTATTGGCTGAGTTTTTTTTTTTTTTGTAATTTCTTCAACAAATAATTTTGGATGTTCTTGCAGAACCTTCCCCTGATGATGTCAACAAACCAGCTAGCCATAACGAAAAGTTAGCTATCTAGCAATTTAAACGACGTTTGTTGATTTGATTCCCCAATTTTCTCCTTTTAGCTTTTATTTTAATCTCGCTAACTTTTTCGTCAAAAGTGATAGGATCGGAAAACACATCCTGGTGAGTAACTTAGATGTCACTCATGATCGTACCGTAGCTTTATTTACCGTTATTGTCACAGTTCCTTACTCGCTAGTTTATGGCTAACACCATAACGCTGGACGTAAACGAGCAAAGACGGCTTCTCATGGATGTCCAATCGGAGTATGCCGACTTGTAACCATCCTATAATGAAAGTTCGGAGGGTGACGCACATGTCTCTATGAGAGTATCAGCTAATTTTAACAATTTAAATAGTTTGTAACCGGGGCCTGAACAGGATCCGTCCCGGTTTGGGTCCTTCTTTTGCGTTTTTAGCGTAATCTATATAACGAGCGCTTTACCACGAATATTGTGGAGCTGCTGGGGGAACGTGTTTGAACCACTTACGAACTTTGTGTTTAGGTGTGAAAGCATGAGTTCGGAATAACAACGTCAAGGTTACGAAACGTAATCGATCGATTTGATTTCCCAAATTTGTCGTTTTAGCGTGCGTTTTAATCTAGCTAACTTTTTTCATTGAAAGTGACCTAATTGGAAAACACATCCTGGTGAGTCTCAGTTTCACTGTAAACAGGAAGTAACTCAGATCCCACAAACAGTCGTACCATAGCTTTATTTACTGGAATTGTTGCAGTTTCCTCAGTCGCTAGTTTATGGCTAACACCATAATGCTGGACGTAAACAAGCAAAGACGGCTTCTCATGGATGTCCAATCGGAGTATGCCGACTCGTAACCATCCTATAATGAAAGTTCGGAGGGTGACGCACATGCCTCTGCTAATTTTAACAATTTTAATCGTTTGTCTGAACAGGATCCATTCTAGTTTGGGTCCTTCTTTTGCGTTTTTAGCTGAATCTATATATCGAGAGCTTTACCTCGAATATTGTGGAGCCGCCGGGGGAACGTGTGTGTGTGTGTGTGTGTGTGTGTGTGTGTGTGTGTGTGTGTGTGTGTGTGTGTGTGTGTGTGTCGGGTATTAGCTGGGGTCCCGGGGTGAGTGCTTAGAGAGTTTTGAACAACCATAATCTCCCTTCCTATAATGTCCCCGGGTCAGGGGCCAACCCCTCTCTCTCTCCCGCTCTCTCCCTCCGTCTCTCTCTCTCCCTCTATTCTCCTCGTTTTTTGGCTGAACCATCCGAAGCTCATTTCCCTTAATCCGCCTTTTTAAAGCGAGCAGCCTTCCCCATCTCCCCGCCTCCTTCTGCCACGCTCTCTGCTTGCTTTCTCTCGCGCCCTCTTTGGCGCTCGCTTCTTTCACACTTTCTCGCTCTCCCCCTTCTTTCTACCTCTCTTCCTCCTCGTCTTTTCTTCGCTCCCTCTTCCCCGCCCTTATTTCCTTTCTCCCGTCTCACTTTCTTACTCCCTCTCTTTCGTCTTCCCTCTCCGTCTCTGTGATGTGGTGGCGTGACCGCGAAGAGACGGGGTTCATTGTCGAGTCGAGGACCTATCTTACCATTCAAACGCGCGCACGCACACACACACACACACACAAATCCTCGCGCCGGTTCCTTGGTATCTCTGGCAGCGGCTGAATGATTGACGTCTGAAAAGAAAGCAGGAATTCCCTCACAGCCTTTGACCTCGTTTCCTCTCGCTCTTCTTCTTCTTTCTGCTGCTTTTTCGCTTTTCCTCTCTCACGTTTTTTTTTTTTCTACTTTTATCCCCAAAAAACGAAACTTTCGAAGAAAATTTTGGCTCAAAGTTGACGATTCCGCTCTGCAATTCCCCGTAAATAACACGCCGGTGGAGTGGTGGAGCGGTGGAGCGGTGGCGGTAAAGTTGTCGCTTTCTTTGAACTTTTAATTTTACTGAAACGAGCGAAATCTCTTTTGCGATAAGCCGCCGTCAAAGGAATCGAGTCAGAGCTGCGAATCTTGATTTTTCTTGGATTATTCGTGTTTATTTAAAAGAGTCGTAAAGGTTCAAACTCGCCCGTGCAATAAAGCGACAAGCTAGCGAATGGATCACGATTTTAAGCGTGCAACCTAAACGGAAAGTTGGTTTTCAGATTTGTCTTTGTCGTTTCTAGATGAAATCGGAAATCTAAGAAAGTAAAAACAGGCCAGAAGAATCGGCCGAATAATTACCAGGATATTTCTGCAAACGTCGCCCTTGAACTTTAATTTCTCGTCTGAAAAAGTCGAAAAGTTTCGTTGCCGACTTTATCGTGTCTCGACCTTTCTCCTCCCGCCGTCATCGATCTCCTGTTTTCCAGGCCTCTCTGCTCCCCGATATTTCTCTGCACACCTTCACGCTGTCCCACCGCCTCCTCACAGGGTGTGTGTGTGTGTGTGTGTGTGTGTGTGTGTAGCGCTGATCTGAGTAAACATAATTAGCTGTGTTTTTTTGTCTTGCCCTAATAAAAGAGTCATTTGTTGGACATTTCCACTGAGCTACAAAGAGGACATTTATAAGCCCAGGGCCCAGGTTCGCCCCCAGGCCAACCCCAACAGAACAGACGGGGGTATTTTTAGCACGGCCGGCGCTCTCTCGCTAGCTCTGCTCAGACACACTCTGTGTGTGTGTGTGTGTGTGTGTGTGTAAGAGGTGTGTGTGTTTTTGTGGTAAGAACCAGAGATACACAGATTTGATCAGACCAGGTTGTGTGATCTGTGGGGCTCCTCTTCTCTTCTCTGTATCGAGGTTCTCGTCAAAAATCTGATAAATCTGAATAAACGGAGGAGGACGGTGTTGGTTACAGGAGCTAAAAACTTGAAGACGACTTTTTATCAAGTATATTGACCCTGACACAACTTCTGTGCAGCGTCTGCTCGAATTACCTGCACCAATCTGATTTGCACTTTTCTTTAAGTCTCGCGAAACTTCGGCTGTTGCATATCAAAATATGATAAAAGTTAAGGAGGAAATAAGAAGTCAAGACTCTAAAATAGGCGGACACTTTGGCAAAAACATACTTTTCTAATTTTTGATTACTAAAAAAATCTTTAAATCTCCCTGTTTATAGCATCTTAAGTGATTTTAATGTTTGTTTGGAGCAGGTCATGTTTTAAAATTTGAATAAGTCAGTCACAAGATTCACAAATATTAAGGTTCAGCCAAAAATCTGATTAATCTGAATAAACGGAGGAGGACGGCGCTGGTTACAGGAGCTGAAAACTTAAAGACGACTTTTTATCAAGTATATTGACCCTGACACAACTTCTGTGCAGTTTTCTCACATAAAAAGGAAACATCTGCTCAAACTCATCTGATTGGACTTTTGCACTTTTCTTTTTAGTATCGCGAAACTTCGGCTGTTGCATATCAAAATATGATAAAAGTTAAGAAGAGCATAAGAAGTCAAGACTCTAAAAGAGCCACTTGGAGATAAACACATTTTTAAATCTCACTTTTAGTAGCATCTATATTGATTTTAACACGTTTGTTCAGAGCAAGTCGTGTTTTAAAATCGTAATAAATCTAAATAAAAGTGCATAAAGACGTCTTTTTATGACAAGCAAAAACAAACCAGACCATCAGTCACAAGATTCACAAATATTAAGGTTCAGTCAAAAATCTGAAAATCTGAATAAAGTGACTCTGTGAAGGAAGACAGCACTGGTTACAGAAGCTAAAAACGTTGACTTTTTGTTGACCCTGACACAACTTCCTTTTACTTCTACGTTAAGATTTGTGTGATATTTTAATGCTAAAACATGTGAAAAGATAAAGTCTGCTCTAATTATCACCAATCTGATTGGACGTTTGCACCTTCCTTTAAGTCTCACGAAACTTCGGCTGTTGCATATCAAAATATGATAAAAGTAAAGAAGAACATAAGAAGTCGAGACTCTAAAATAGGCGGAAACTTCAACAAAATCCTGCCTTTCTAAATTTTTGATCAGTTAACGACCTAAAAGAGCCACTTAGTCCTGAATAAATCTTCAAATCTCCCTGTTTATAGCATCTTTAGTGATTTTAATGTTTGTTTGGAGCAGGTCGTGTTTTAAAATTTGAATAAGTCGGTCACAAGATTCACAAATATTAAGGTTCAGCCAAAATTCTGATGACTTTTTAAAGACTATTTGACCCTGACAAAACTTCCTTTTACTTCTACATATACTAATCTGATTGGACGTTTGCACCTTTCTTTTAGTATCGCGAAACTTCGGCAGTTGCATATCAAAATATGATAAAAGTTCAGAAGAACATAAGAAGTCAAGAGTCCAAAATAGGCGGACACTTCAACAAAATCCTGCTTTTCTAATTTTTGATCAGTTAATGACCTAAAAGAGCCACTTGGAGATAAATAAATCTTTTAATCTCACTGTTAGTAGCATCTTTATTGATTTTAATGTGTTTGTTCGGAGCAGGTTATGTTTTAAAATCAGATTTTCTACACAGATCTGACTGGATGTTTGCACGTTTCTTTAAGTGTTGCGAAACTTCGGCTGTTGGATATCAGATTGATCTGCAAATGACCTAAAAGAGACACTTAGTTCCAAATAAATCTTTAAAATCTCACGGTTAGTATCAGCAGGTCGTGTTTTAAAATCGCAATAAATCTAAATAAAAGTTCGTAAAGATGCATTTTTATGACGAACAAAAGCAAACCAGACCGTTAGTCACAAGATTCACAAATTTACCATTTATCATTCGTCTCGTCTAGTTGGAGAAAAAGCCGAATAAAATATTTACGATAAATAAATCAGAGTGTGAGAAAAACACGATTTTAGCATTTAAAGGAGAAGATAACGAACACGAAAATAAAAGTTCCTCACAGGAGCTTTAAATGACGTTTAATCGTTGATAGTTTGATCGATTCGTAACAAAGTAAACTGAGTGAAAATTGATCGTCTTATTTTCAATAAATCGTCACTTTTCTCTCTGGTCTCTGGATCTGATACGACGTCTTTGTTTGAAAACTTCTCTGAAGGACACGCCGTGTTTCCCGCCGCCACAGCCCGCCCTCTCTGTTGCTAAGAAACACGTCCACAAGAATATAAAAAAAAAAACGATCCGCCATGACGGTGAGAAACCTCGCTCTGGTTTTCGGCTCCCATCAGACTTTGTTGCCTGTGACCTCGGCGGTCAAATCCGCCGTGATGTTGTGGAGCAATTTTGGTTTTTGGGGTTTTTCTTCTTCTTCGTTTACAGCCGAGGGAAAAATGTTCAGCTTACGATCAATCAGCGTGAAACTGTGACGCCTGCGTCTCCGCGGCGACGTCTACAACTGTGACTCTGTGTGTGTGTGTGTGTGTGTGTGTGTGATGTAGTGTGCGGTTCTGTACGTGTTCTCCTGCATGAGTAGAGTGGCGTCATTACATCACAACTTTCCATGCTCTCGCTCCGTGTGTGTGTCTGTGTGTGTGTGTGTGTGTGTGTAAGAGGGGGGTGTACACTTCTCACCTTTTCACGTTAAATGTCATCCAGACCACACCCCTGGCGCACACACACACACACTGAACACACACTCTAAACACACACACGGATTATTTTAAGGCGATTTTTTTTTCCGTTTTCTTGCGGCGAATAAGACGGATGAAATCCTGCCAAATTGTGCGAGTGTGAAAAGAAAATATCGAGAAATGGAAAGAGAGTAAAAGTACACACATAATACTCGCTGCGCACACACACGCAAACGCACACAAACACACACACACACCACAGAAAGTACACAATCGCTCCAATCTGATGCTGTATCTTGGAGTGTGAAAGGGAGCCTTGTCTGGCTGCCCGAGGAACTCCCTTCGACTTTGTGTGTCTGTGTGTGTGTGTGTGTGTGTGTGTAAGTGTGTGTGTGTGAGCAGGCCTGCCAGGCAGACATACTAAACCACTCTACATCCATGTGGCAGCAAAATGTAGCTTGGAAAACAACCCCACTCTTACACGCACACACACCCCGAGGGCTCCAGAGGCCAGCCGGCGACCTGGTGTGTGAGTGTGTGTGTGTTTAAGTGTGTGTGTGTTTAAGTGTGTGTGTGTGTGTGTGTTTAAGTGTGTGTGTGTTTAAGTGTGTGTGTGTGCGTGCCACAGTAAAAAGAGGAAGTGTACAGGAGCTGTGAAAACAGTTCAGGTCAACAGTTTGTACCCAGACGGGTCGACGGAGAGAGAAGAAAAGCTGCAGATCCGTCTCTGACGAATGAAAATCGACGATTTCTCGAGACGTTTTGATGAAAAAAATCAGAAATAAAGTTTAAGATTCAAGAAAAACTTTATTTATAACGTCTTAAAACCTCTAAAATGACAAAAAAGTCTTCTTTAGAGTCAACAAAAAGACACGTATTTGGAGATAAATCCAAACGTTAATCTCCCGAACGCGCGGCGCGGATAAATTAACGTCAACACCTCGTGAAAAGGTCTTAACATCTGCAGGGACTTAAAGCGCCCTGACGAACGGAGGCGGGGCCTGTTGGGCCGAATGCTAATTAGCGACATTTTTCATCTATAAAAGCCGTCTGGCAATCAGAGTTTTCAAAGCAACAACATGAAACAGCCAACAGAGCGGCGGCGGCGGAGGCGGCGGCGGCGCAGAGGGCCGAGGCATCTGTGCTCAATTTGGGTCCGAGTTCACACAGAGAGAGAGAGAGAGAGAGAGAGGTTAGGATGTGAGGTGAGGAGAGAGGAGATGAGCCGGAGAGGAAGGAGGCGAGAGTCCAGGAGGAGGTTTTTCTTTTCTCCGAGTTAATCAGGGATAAAAATAACGACGAATCGAACGAGACGGACAGGACTGAGAGTGAGTCGGGTTAGAGGTGACGGGTCGGAAACGACGAGACGGAAGTGTCTTTGTGAGCAGAAGTAAGGTGATCTCAGCTAAGAGGACGAAAATTCGGTAAATCACGACTTTATTTGGGTCATATCGTGTCAGGATTTAGAGAACATTGAGGTCATGAGTGAAATCGCTTTTCTCTGCGTTATCCAGAGTGTTAACGAATTTACGTTCGACTGAAAATGAGTCGTCGTGTTAAAAAACGTCGGAACAGATGCGATTAAAATCTCTTCATAATGATTCCGACAAATTATCCGACAGATAAGTGTTTCGTGGAGCAGGTTTGATCGCGTTTTAAGTTTCTTTAAAAAATCGGAATCACTAAAAGGATAAATCTGATTGGACGTTTGCACTTTCCTTTAAGTATCGCGAAACTTCGGCAGTTGGATATCAAAATACGATAAAAGTAAAGAAGAACATAAGAAGTCAAGATTTCCAGATTTTGATCTGCGAACGACGTAAAACTCTCACTGTTAATCGCGTCTTTAGTGATTTTAACACGTTTGTTCGGAGAAGGTCGTGTTTTAAAATCGTGATAAATCTAAATAAAAATTTGTCAAAACTGATTCTTTGAGTGTTTCGTGGAGCAGGTTTGATCGCGTTTTAAGTTCCTTTAAAAAAAATCGGAATCACTAAAAGGATAAATCTGATTGGATGTTTGCACCTTCCTATAAGTGTCGCGAAACTTCGGCAGTTGCATATCAAAATACGATAAAAGTTAATGACGAAATAAGAAGTCGAGACTCTAAAATAGGCGGAGACTTCGACAAAATCACGCTTTTCCAAATTTTGATCAGCGAACGACCTCAAACTCTCACTGTTAATCGCATCTTTAGTGATTTTAACACGTTTGTTCGGAGCAGGTCGTGTTTTAAAATCGTTTTAAAAGTTCGTCAAATCTGATTCTTTAAGTGTTTCGTGGAGCAGGTTTGATCGCGTTTAAATTTCTTTAAAAAATCGTCAAAAATCAGAATCACTAAAAGGATAAATCTAAATTTTTGACGCCACAGAGGCCTCGAGCCGACGCTCCAAACGCTTTGAAGATAAGCCCCTTCAAAATAAAAGCCCCAGAAAAAGAAAGACGGTCTTTTTTTAAAAGCAGCCGAATCCGTTTCAGTGTTCGAGACAGCGCCTCATGGTTCTGCTTCAAAGCGGCGTATATTTACATGTGTTACTCGTGTGTGTGTGTGTGTGTGTGTGTGTGTGTGTGTGTGTGTGTGTGCGTGCCTCACACTCGTACATATCTCTTTCCCCTGGAGTAAACTGGGGTCAAACCAGTTAGTGTTGTCACGGCAATTTGCAGTCCGGCCTCCGCGTGTTTGTTTGCTTTTCACGTTTTTTAATGACTTGTATGAATTCGAGGTCCGTGTGCGCGAATGTGTGTCTTTACTGTATCTGTGTGTGTGTGTGTGTGTGTGTGTGAATAGTGTGTCTGTGTGCGGGTGTGTAACACGGTAAGCCGCCCTCGGGCTGATATATATTCTTTTCACTCAAACAGCCCATTTACAGTTCTGGGGTCGGCTCCCTCTCGCTCTGCCGTGACCCGGACCGTTTGGAGGTCATCGTCAAAGCTGAACTCAGGTCAGCTCGCTAACTGACTCCAGCTCCGGTCCTCTGGGGGTTTTACTGACGGCCCCGCTGCTCAAACTGTGGAGCGGGGGCCCTGGAGTGGGCCGTTTGGCTTCTCCTGGTTACTGTAACCTCTGAAGACGATTCGGCGCCTCCTGTTCGAGTTTCGCTCGTCTTTCAATTCACCATTTGGTTCTTCTTCTTCTTCTTCTGTTTATGTTGACTTCAGACTAGACATACCAAACACTCGACTTCCTAGAGAAGAAGTGAGTGTTTGGAAGAGAGCGGAAGAGCTTTCACGCCAGTCCTGTGGCGTCTCCTGAGCTGAAAAGTGACGGAATTGCGTTGATAAGGGGTCAAGCGTTTTGGTTTGGACCTGTCCTGGCAGAACCAGACCTGTTCACAGTCAGGTAGAGAAACCAGAAACAGTTCTTCCTCTATTTGAAGGACGGTTGCTACTGGGTAGATTTTTCACGACTATCTACGATCGTCTTCATCGCCTTATGGCGCGTCCGAGTAACCACGGTAGTCGGAAGTCCGAACTGAAAATGACGTCACTCCCGAGTTCCCAGCGTTTCAGTTACCAAGTCGGAAAAAAGCAAAATCGGAAGCGGAAACAAGATGGCTACGTCTACGAAAGTTATTATAAAGCTTGCCTTGTCCGAACTTTCGTAGATGTCGCCATCTTGTTTCAGGCCTCGGCTTTTTTCCAACTTGGTAACCGACTTGGTAATGGTTTGGACCTTTCCTGGCAGAACTAGACCTGTTCACTGTCAGGTAGAGAAACCAGAATCATTTCCTCCGCTACTTGAAGGTCAGGTGCTTCCGGGTCGATTTTTCGTGACTATCTGCGATCGTCTTCATCACCTTATGGTGCGTCCAAGTTACCACGGTAGTCGGAAGTTCGAGCTGAAAATGATGTCACACCCGAGTTCCCAGCGTTTGAGTTACCAAGTCGGAAAAAAGCGAAATCGAAGGTGGAAACAAGATGGCTACATCTACGAAAGTTATTTTAACGCTTGCCTTGTCCGAACTTTCGTAGATGTCGCCATCTTCTTTCACGCCTCTGCTTTTTCCGACTGAAATGCTGGGAACTCGGGTGTGACGTCATTCCAAGCTCCAAGAACGCTGCATTAGATTTGCGTAGTCGGCGTTCATTGCTTCGTTCCCAGATCGCATTAGGGACTAGATGTTCGATAGATTAGTCCAGAACTAAGTTTGGTTCTTGTTGGACTGTTTTAAACGTAGACAAGAGGTCTCAATCCGATCTTAGGGTCCGTGGTAAAACCTGGTGCCAAGGCGTACCCGTTAGCGTGCTTCCATTAAACGTGTTAGCCGAGGAACGTTTCCACGTCCAGGATGAGAAATCTCATTTTCTGTTCTTCAGGCAGGAGCCTGGAAATGTTTGGAGAACCTTTGCCCTCGGATCCTCATCCTCGGATCCCGTCCTACAGGCATCCTAAATCAGCTTTCATTGAGTTAACCCGGTTTGTACCGTCGAGCGAAACATCTGCGGCCTCTGAGTCGGAGTTTGGTATTCGAGACGGTGGATACAGTAACTTTTAGCATGTGGGTACTTAAGAGGAACGTTTCAGCTCCAAAACCACAGAGAGAAAAATACTTTTAGAGGTGAAGATGAAAGCGGGAGCGAGGGTCAGGTCCTAAAAGACTGTTTCGAATCAGGAGCGGGGGGGAAAAGTCGGTCAGCGGAGTTCTGCAGAGCGCCGAGGTTTATGTCTGATTCTGCAAACGCCGTCAGCTCCGTTCAGAAGCTTTAAGAGGAAGATTTAAGATCCGAGTTGTTCAGCTTCTGTGAGGGTGAACTAGTTTAAATCAAAACCAGAGGTACGTCAGATTAAAGGTCGTTCAAGATCATCATCTGAATCCCCGTCTCTTCTGTCTCTAGGGTTCAGGTTTCCACGCATCGCGGAGGCAGAAGTACGGCAACGTCTTCAAGACTCATCTCCTGGGCCGCCCTCTGATCCGGGTGACGGGCGCTGAAAACGTCCGCAAGGTGCTGATGGGCGAGCACACGCTGGTGACGGTGGACTGGCCCCAGAGTACCGCCACGCTGCTGGGACCCAACTCGCTGGCCAACAGCATCGGAGACATCCACCGCAAGAGGAGGAAGGTGAGGACCCGCAACAGGGTACACGAACGTAAAGAAGGGGGCGGGGTTACGTTTGGGGACTGTTAACGGAAAGAAAGGGCGGGAAAAGATTAATTTTGATAATCTGTAACAGCTGGGAAAGAATGAACTCATTTCAGATTCTTTCAGATTTCATATTAACAAAAATCTACTAAATCTACTAAAAGAAATCGCAAAATCGTCCGACACCACTTCAATATTTCGTAAACGCAACTACAGCCACATAGACGAGCTAATAGCGTGTTGAGTTTGAGTGTGATTGATCGTGGATAATCTATACTACGTTTTGGATAAACTACTTTCAGATTTTAATGTTGAAAGAAATCTACAAAATTAGTCGCAGAATCGTCCGACACCATTTCAATATTTCGTAAACTCTACTACAGCCTCTAAAGCCCGAGCATTAATGAGCTTTTAGCATTTCCAGTTTGAATTAACTTAATTAATTTGTCGACAGTAAAATTACGATTCCAGGAGAAAAAAGTTCTGAATTTGACATCATAGATATTTTGTTCTAAACTTCGTACAGATCGACCTAAACCTGTGATCTTGTCTTATAAAATTACTATCCTCGTTAGCTAACGACTCAAGTTTGGTAAATTTGCGAATTTTCATCATATATCTACGACTTTTATAACTTTCATCGTCTTATTTTGTCGTATCTCATAATTTCACAGTTTTTGTTGAATATTTACGACTTCAATCTTGAAAATCTTCAACTTTCATTTTATATTTGCAACTTAAATCTCAGAAATTGATAATTTTATTATATATTCAATATTTAAAAATGAGAAATTTATAATTTTTTCTTGTATATTCAGACTTCAACCCTTGAAACACCAACTTTTATTGAATATTTTTGACTTAAATCTAATAAATTTATAACTTCCATTAAAAAGAGATGTTTACATTTTGTAGATTTACAATTTTTTTTTGCAATTTTACAATATTTTTCTTGCAAATTTAAAACTCAAATCCCTTAAATTTTTCAATTTTACTCCAATAAAGACATTAAAATCTATTATTTTAGTTCAATTTTGTCTGTTAATCTAATATTTCATTAAACTCTTCGACGTGGCCTTAATCTGCTGTTGTAGAAAGAAGTTAAAAATCAGTGTTTGTCACTTTTTTGTCAGTTTTCAAGTCTTTTATTTGCTGCGTTTCTTTGACTTTTAAAACACTAAAATAATTTTTAATATTCTTAAATACGTCTGATGGGAAAGTTCTCGATCTTCTTCCCTGACATCCTCAGATTTTGCCGCTCAGCTCTGTAGTAAATATTCAAACTGGACCTTTGAGTTTTGGGCGAACCAAACGTTGAAGCCTTATCTTCTTGTCGAGCAGAAACATCGTCCGACATGTTGAATATTCATGATCTAAACCTCGATTGTCGGAGTTGTGTTCGGGACGCGTCGGTCTGAATCCGCTCACACAAACAGAAAGAAAGAAAGACTATCGCTGTAACGCTAGCCTCCTTATCAGCACCGTTCTGGTTACTGGAGCGTGAGAACGACCCCTCCATCCCTCCAGGATCACCTGTTTTTTTTTTTAACTCCTCCTCATCCTCTCGTCTTCATCTCTCCATATTTCTGAATATTTTCTCTCTCTCATTTCGATCTCGCTCCACTTCCTTTCTCTCTCTCTCCCATGCCAGGACCATTTCAGGTAATCAGCCTCTTCGCTCCCCCTCCTATTATCCGTTATCCCCGAGGCACATACCTTCGCTCTCTCTCACGAACACACACACACACACACACACACACACACACACACACACACACAGATAAACACAGTCGAAGCCGCTTGTTTTCCTGTAAATCAGCCTCCAGTTTTCTCTCTGGATCCTCGGTAGACGTGGAGAGGAAGAGGGACGTTTTTTTTTTTGGGTGTGGGGGGTCGGGTTTCTTTGGCTGCCCAGGGCCCGGGGACAGTGAGGGGTCGGTTGGGTCTAATCTGGGCTCTGATCCCCTCTCCTCTCCCTGGGGACCCCAGCACTAACCTCATGTAATGACCCCTGATTAGGAAGGCAGCCTCCAACACAAGCACAAAGAGGGGCTTTCTGTGGGGGCCCAACACACACACACACACACACACACACACACACCTGAACATTCCTCTGCTCTCAGCCCAAACAGACTCTGGATATATAGACACCGATCACACCGGAAAACTCTGGTTACAGTCGCAGGTTTGAGTTCTGAGTCGGTCGACGACTCAACATCGTTGAGTTTGATCGATCAGGTTTAAACTTTAGGGCGGTAAGAGACCTGAGTCTGTCAGTTTTAGTCCATCGTCGTTTTTCAAACCCCCAATTTCCATCGCATCCGGAACGGCTACGAAAAGACCGTATCCGCCGATCGTAACCATTCAAGTTAACGTGTCAATTTCCATCGACTTCTTTCCGTTCCGCTGCAGATCGCCGGATTCCGCAGCTGATCGCAAGAGTTCTATTTTTTCCAGACGCCGGAGCATGCCGTAAAAATTCAGCACAGATTAACCCGTGCTGAAAGGAAGTCGGGCACAGACACAAAATAAAACAACCGGCTTCCGTTCAAACAGGCGGAGACGAACAAGTGAAAGGTTTTTAGACGTCATTTCACCCCGATGACACCATGGATGAGGAGATGCTGATTCTAGAAGTCTAGAAGTAGATTTCCTCCTCTGGAAGGACACAATCTACTGCTTGTATGTCTATGTGGCTAAGAGACAACTTATTATCGGGGCGACTTCACGTGAATCTGTGGGTTTTCATGAGTTCTCACGATTCCTGCTGTCTGAAATCCGCTACGACAAACGGACCTGGTAGGAATTGCCGTTCCGGATGCGGTAAAAATTGGGGGTTCGATCACAGAAGTTTTTAGTCCTGGTGATGTGGTTCATCGAGGCCTGACCAGCGAACGATCCTGCAGAGGGATCAGAATCGAAGAGGCAGAAACCTCGAGCACAACCAGACCTGAGGTATTTAGGTTCCTGTCTTATTGTTGCGTTTTTAAGATCTGGATTCCGGTGATATACGTCACGCACAGAAACCGTCCGGTGCGCTCTAGTGCTTAAATTCGTAGTTGCAAGAACCGAGTCTGAAAGAGGTCAACTTTAGGATGCTTGACAACGCAACGCCTTCCCTTCCTCGCCATTTCCCCCCCAAATTTCCCAGAAATCAATCACGCCAAACGAACCTCATGGTCTCTACCGAAGGAGGTGGAAGATCTTGAAAGAGGGCAACGGTACGCCCCAGTAAAGGCGCTCCTCCAAAATTAGGGGCAGGTGCAGAAAAAGTCGTTAGTGGACACAGGCCCTAAAGGGGGACACGTTTATTGATCAGAGTCATGACTTGAGGAGCAGGGCGGGGTTAGGGTCAGGTCTGGGTCAGGTCTGGGTGTGTGTTCTTGTGCAGGTGTTGGTGTTTGTCAGCTCCACACAGACAGAAGAGAAAGAAAGACAGAGCGACTGGCTCACCGTCTGACCCACTGGACCAGAACCACTCCTCCTCATCGTGTCTGTGTGTGAGTGTGTGTGAGTGTGTGTGTGTGTGAGTGTGTGTGTGAGTGTGTGTCAGCCCTCCTTGTGGTTTCGGTACGGAAAAACAATCTTCACACAGTACATTAGCCTTTGGTGGATCAGCAGAGCAGCCAGTTTCCATCTAACCCCGTGTTAAGCTAAGAAATAACTCTCTGAAGAGCCGCGGCGGCGGTGGCGGTGGTGGACTGGTTTTCCACTACGGGACGGTCAGGGCCAAACGGGGCCACATCGTCCTGGTCCGAAAACAACTCCTCTGCTCGGACAGATTCACTCGATCACCGTCAGGACCACAGCAGAATTCTCCCCGGAGGTGACGGCTGACAGTCTGAAACTCAAAGACGAATGTTGGAACGACTGAAAACGACTCAAGAGACGATCTTTAGGGGTTAAAGTTCCTTCAAGGAGCAAATTCTGTAAATTTAACCTTTTTGTTTTTACTTTTTTGACCCCGAAAGTTTAAATGTGATTGATTACAAATTTCACGACTCGAGTCAAAAAACGTTGATAAAAAATTACGATTCCAAGAGGAAATATCGGCCGATATATCGTTTTAGACTTCGTACAGATCGACCTGAACTCGTGATCCTACTATTCTCGTAAGCTGACAACTTGCGAAATTTTCATAATATATCTACGATTTTAATCTTTGTTTTTTACAACTTACATCGCCACATTATGTCTGATTACGGCTTTAATCTTAGAAATCTTCAACTTTCATTTTGTATTTGCAACTTAAATCTCGTAAATTTACAATTTTGTCGCATATTTAAGATTTAAAAATGAAGAATTCACAACTTTTCTTGTATATTGAGACTCAAACCCTGTTAAACAAGTTTTACAAAATATTTTTGACTTTAATCTACTAAAATTAAAACTTTGATTAAATAGTTATGACTTTGACAACTTTGATCTTATAAATTGACGACTTTTATCACAGATTAACATTAATTTTCTTGTGAATTTACGACTGGAATCCCTTAAATTTGCAAATAAGGGACTAAAGTTCTTCCAAGGAGCAAATTCAGCAATTTAACCTTTTCTTTTTTACTGTTACAACCCCAGGAGTTTACAAATATATCTAATCTTTTCAACGTCTCTCCATATTTAACAAAACGCCTGATTTTCAACAAGAGTGTCGACAAATCCAGCTCTGAAAATCCAAGATACTGATCGTCTGAAGTTTGCAAAAGAGCAGAAACATCAGAGATAAAGGTTTAATGTATTTGGAGCTGCATGGACGAGACTTAAAACCCGTTATTTGACACGAAAATTGAACAAGAAATCACAGGTTTTCAGAAATGCAGCTCAGTCGTTGTTCCGTGGACGATTTGGACGTAACTGTCTGAGTTTGCACCAAATCTTGCAAAGACTGCGTCAAATTTTCAGACGTATTTTGCACGGACAGCTTAGAAACCACATTTGCTCACTTTTTGCACGTTCTGGTAACAACAGAAGAGCGTGTAGTCGACCTTTTCTGCTCACAGTAAGCAGAAGACCTCATTAAGGCGTCCGTCCTCACCTCAGAGCCGCGGTCTGAACCGTCAGAAACACTCAGTATCCACGCTGTAGTAAACACGGCGAGACCTGCGGTGGAAAAGCGTCCCTCTGAATCCAAGTGAAGAGCACACTCGGGCAAACACACGCTCTGTTGACAGTGGCAGCTCTCGGACATCCATTTTTTTCACCTCTTCTCTCAGTTCCAACATTTTCCTCTTTATTTGTTTTTCTTTTTTTTTCCTCCTGAACCAAAAAACTTCTAAACCCTAAATTTAGAGAATAAAGAAACACGGACAGGAATAACAGAGAGACGGACGCACAGATTTACAGACTGTGGAATCAGTGTGTGTGTGTGTGTGTGTGTGTGTGTGTGTCTCTTTCCTGTGATTCAGGTCATGGCCAGTAGAGGGCACTGCCAATTCTAGCTGAGCTGGAGCCGAGAGTGTCTGTAACCTCTGTGCTTCTCCAGGTTTCCTCTCTCTGTTTGAGGTCAAACTCTCAGATTAGATCAGATTAAAAGGAGCTGGAGTTTGATAATTACATCAAGATTAAATCACTGCAGGAGTCCTCCAATCAAAATAAAGACAAATAAACTCAGAAGTTTTCATTTTCCTGAATCTCCTCCTTAATATTTTTATTTTTCAGACTTTTATTAAAGTTTTTAACTTTATGAAGCTGCAGCTGGTTGATTTAAGTTTTTTAAACCGCCTAAAAATAATTCAAAATCACATTTTTTATCCAATATTAGAAAACTACAAATATATAAAGTTAATATTTGAATAAAACCAACAAACTTTACATTATATCTGTCGTTTGGATGACCTCTGAGACGATTACTGCAGATTTATAAAAGCATCAGCTGCAGCAGGTTCATTTACAGATGTTTCTGATAAATTATGTAACTTTATCTCTACGGGAAAAACACGAATATCAGCCGTGCCTCTGTTTATTAGATACTATTAAAAGGTGAATAAATACATAATTGATTCTCCTCTTTATAAAGAGAATAATTTTAATTTTCATTAACGGACATTTCACTCTCTCTGTTTATGAAAAACAAACAAAAAAAGCATACAACACCACTACATTTTTAGAAAAGTTTTTATTTACACTAACCCGTGTATATATGCCGTAAAGAGCATGCCAAACCTGTAGGTGGCAGTGTAGCAAGAAGCTCAAGCCCACGCTAGCCACAACAACAACAATAACATCACTTCCTTCTTTTGGAAAAGATGCAAATGCAAATATTACGGGATTGCACCAGGATAAATGCGACTGTTATTCTGCATGGATCCATAGATCGTAAACTATGTCGTATTTAACCCAGTTTCCGGCGCGCAATCGGCTGTCGGCTAAACCCAAATCTCAGCATTTCTCCGTTTACATGCAAACAGAGTTTTTCAAAACCTCCACTCTGGCCAAAGTTTTTAGAAAGCATCATTTTCAGAGGTGAATTCTCCGTTTGTGTCTAAATGAAGGGATGAAAACGATGGTTAACGTTGTCGTCCTCATCGTCGTTTTCTCCCGCTATCCGGCTTCAGGAGGGAAGCCCAGACGGCCCTCACCTCAGCCACTTCCACCAGCTCCTCCGGGGGGATTCTCAGGCGCCCCCAGACCAGGCGAGAGATATAATCCCTCCACCTGGTCCTGGGCCGGACACGAGGCGTCCAGAAGGCGTCCTAACCAGAAGCCTGAGCCACCTCAGCTGACTCCTCTGGACGTGGAGGAGCAGTGGTTCTACTCTGAGCGCCTCCCGAGTGTCCAAGGAAACACGTTTTGGCCGCAATCTTGTTCTTTCAGTCATTACCGAAAGTTCATGACCACCGACTGATCGGCTAAGCATCCGCATCACTGCTGACGCCGCTCCGATTCCGCCTGTCGATCTCTTGCTCCCGTTAATGTCTCCTTTTTTTGCTGCGTGTTTATACCGGTATATGACCGTGCTTCTGTATTGATAAAGTTAACGGAGGCTAGAATTAGAAAAAGTGAAACTGATGCTGATAAATAAACATTTATTTAAGCTATAAAACAGCGAGAAAAATTGGCGCATGTTTGCAGCAGCAATCCAGAAGAAGCTACGGCATGATGGAGCTCAGGGACGATGTTTCAGAGAGGGAGCACATTTTTGCAATGCACCCAAAGATTGACACATCGTGCACGGACTGAAACATGTCTGTTTGAGTGACTCCTTAACTGGATTACAGATCGGAAAAATGCGAACTCTGTGTGCAAAGATGTTAAGGAATCCTGTTTCCCACTGGTGAACAAAGTTTGCATTATGTCGACGTATGCGCACACGGATGACTGATTAATAACCACTCGGTTTGGCGTGCTTATCAGCGCGTTTGAACAATTTTTGCATCAAACCTAAAGAAAAAAAAACTTCTTTTGCAAAAATTCGTACAATAATGTGACGATTTTAACGTTAGAGTCAGTGATGATGGAAGAGAGACTGAGAGAAAAGAGGGAATCAAACCGTATTTTAAACGGAGGTTGGATGGAGGGGCAGGGAGAGACGGGAAGAGGTGGGAGAGAGAGAGAGAGAGAGAGAGAGAGAGAGAGAGAGAGGGAGGAGGGCCGAGAGAAGAATAAAGGAGTCTTTACATGTCTGTGGAACCAGCAGCTCGCAGCACTTTCACATAATTTAAGACATATGGACGTTATTAGGACGACCGTGTCTGTGTGTGTGTGTGTGTGTGTGTGTGTGTGTGTGTGTGTGTGTCTTAAGCCTGTGTCTTTGCGCTGCGGGCTACAGAAGACAGTCACGTTTTTGTGGTGCAGAGAAATGACTGTTGAACTGAACAATCCCCCTCTCCACACACACACACACACACACACACACACACACACACACACACACCCCGTCCTGCGTAGAACTTGGTATGTCCCAGAGTGACACTGCATAAAAAACTGCGTTTGATTGACAGCCGTGCGGCGGCGGCGAGGGAGAGGGAGATACTCGGCGTGTGTTTGTCTGACCTGTAGTTACCTCCAGACGGACTGACTCACTGGTCCTACAGTAGCTCCACTCTGCTGCTCCAGATCCGTCTCTGAAGGTGTGTGTGTGTCAGTGTGTGTGTGAGTGTGAGTGTGTGTCTGAGATTGATCAATTACGCCTAATCCAGCACAGACAGGTTAAATAGGTCGATTTGAGACCTTACACAACCATCTTTGGCTCAGTCAAATTGGACCAGATCACCTTTAAGTCCCTTTAAACCTTTTTTTGTTCATTTCTGAGGTCTCTCTCTCTCTCTCTCTCTCTCTGAAGATGTTTGCGATGACTCCAGCAGATGTTTGTCCAGAACCCTAGACATGGTTAGGTAAAGATAAAACATGATGCAGGTCCGTCAGTGCGTTCCCACTCTTCATGCACCGATTCCTCATCGTGTTTGTTGCTCCTGATGTCATTGCGCAATTTTGCGTTTCGGTCTTCATGTGGTTTGGACTTATCAGGGACGTCTCGCCGTGGAAATCCTTCATAAAACAGTCATGTCGTGATTTGTAAAGGTACATCATGATCCTAAAAAAAGGCATCATGACTTCTTAAAGGTGGGGTAGTCCGGATCTGAGGAAGCGCCAGTTTTTAGGAGAAATCTTGAATGTAAACTCTACCCCTCCAGCAAGCCCCGCCCACAAACAGACGCTCCTGCTCGCTCGTGTCGTTCCAATTAAATTCAGATATAAATACAAATGGGGCCCAGTCAAGGTGAAAGTCAGAAGCATTGGTGCTACTGTAGATGCCAACAGACTACCAGCAAACACAATTAGGGTTGGGCATCGAGTCTCGAGCATCGATGGGGACCGGGACTAACATTCCGATTCTCCCGGAATTGTTCAAATTCTAAAATCTCGATTCCAAGTTTCAATCCCAGTAGAAATAGCCGCCGAACACTACAATGGAGAACCATTAGGAACCGGAATTGAAACAAGGAATTGGAATCGGGACCAGAATCTTCTACAACTAGGATAAAGTGACATAGTCCAGGACCCGAGGTCAACAGTTTAGCGATGGCGCTACAACACGCTACAGCAGGTCCGTTTGACAAGAAACACTTCTGTTACAGACACTTGTCTTACTTTGTTAAAGCGGTTTACCTGTCCAGCAGAAAGGTTACAGGGTCACCAAGATCCCCAAGCGTCCCCCATCGTTTATGTTGACCCGGCTTTTTAGCTCTTGTCCGGTCTACCTCCGTTTTAAGCGCCCGTTATTCCTCCAGAGTCTCCGGTATTTACTTTGTTTTCTTGCTTGTGTCGGCAGTCGTGGCCAAAGGAGGATTCAGACAATTTTCCGAACTTTCTGGTTGGTTTCTACTGTCCGATATTGTAGCACGCTAACTTTGTTTGGGCTCCTGAACGACACGGGGGAGCAGCGTCTGCCTCACAACCAATCAGGTCAGGGAGGCGGAGAACGACTTTGTTGACAGTTGACTACACAGACGTAAGAGAACACAAATATCATCAATAACAAATACTGACGACATTTGATCTTCACGGAATCTTGCCTAACCCACCTTTGACCTCTCCAGGCTAACTCTGCCTCCTCCGCCTTGTTACCTCAGAGGCGTCCACGACGGCCTCGCGTTCCTCCTCAGACTGCTCTGAGGTCAGACGGCGTGTGTAATCCCCGGTGGTCAGGGTTGGAAAGCAGGTCATGTAAACTGATCTGTAACCAGTAACCCCGGGTGGGGCAGCGGAGGAAATGTAACGTCTTGCAGCGCTCTGTGATCTGCACACACACACAGATACACACACAGAGCTTAATATACTGTACACACACTCACCCTTACAGCGCACACGTCCGTGCACACGGCGCTGAGCTCAGTGGACTATTGTTCATTCATTCTGAGCGGCGGAGGGAGGGAAAGATGGCAACAGACGGGGAAGAAAAGGAGAGGAAAAATGGAGCGGAGGGTAAAATAAGAGCGAGGGTGCCCAACTGTTGGTTTGGTGGCTGAAACATGGACCTCAGGAACCACATCTACCCTCGCTGGCCGCGTCTCAAAGCCCGCTAGAAGCTCCTTTAGTCCCTCTCAGACTCCATTATGTCTCAGTGGAAAGAAGCAGGAACAGAGTGTCTTCATAACCGTGTTGCTTCAGCGCGTTAACATGTGGAAAATATATCCTGAATACACAATAAAGCCTTTTTGGAGCGACAGAAGCTCCAGAGCACACTTAAGTGTACCCATACAGCGTTTCCAAAAGGGTTCGTCTGGACATATACTGGACTCAGTGGATCCAGGAGCCGGGGGCATGTGGGTTTCTTTTCCAACGTTTCTAAGAGTCGACATGGTTTTCAGCACAGTTGAGTTTATCTGCATGGTTATAAAGAGTAGGAATTAGATCATAAAAGGAAGCCACAATGATACTATAAATCAAGACCGCAAACAAGCTGCAATTATTAGTTTGTGCAAGTCGGGGAGGAAAGAAAAAAGCTCATAAAATGCAGAAAAACACTTTAAAATAAGCAAAAAGTAAAAAGAGGAGAAAACAGAAAAAAATGATATTTGTGCCAAAGATCGGCACACATCTTAAAAAAACTGTAACGCTCTGGATGAACCGAGGAGCGAGGGCTGATCACCCAAAGTTAAGATGTTTTAGTCTCAAATACAAACCATGTGGAGGAGGCGTGGCCTACGATAACTTCAAAATAAAAGCTTATTAATAACTTCTGCAACTAAGAAGATCTAAGATGTTCGTAAATTATAACATGTACTGTTCACATTTTCTTAGTGTTTCCAGTTACAGTCTAAGGAAACCATCATGCACCTAATTTCAAAATAAAAGCTAGTTATAACGTCTGCGACACCTAATTCTAAGATGTTCGATGACCATCTTTCTTAAAATAAACGTAAATTACAACATGTACTGTTCACACTTTCTTACTGTTTCCAGTTACAGTCTAAGGAAACCATCATGCACCTAATTTCAAAATAAAAGCATGTTTTTTGTTTTTTTTACAATGCGGATGATCGAACAAAACTAAACTTGGTTGAAATGTCAAAATAAAAGCATCACAAAAAACCTTTCTTTAAAAGAGTTTCTGTCATAGGGATGACGACCTCGTAGAAATAAACGATAAGTTTTTAACGTCTTCTTTCAACAAAATTTGGTCACTGAAAAAAAAACATACTTGGAAGAAACAAATTTGTAGTAAAATGAAGTAAAATCTGAAAATTCCCATTTTTACAGCAGAAACGACAAACTCATAACTGTTTGCATAATTTCAAAATAAAAGCATGTTTTTAAATACGAGACAGTAGGAAGAAGCGTCAAAATCACAATAAAGTAAAACAAGAATAACAAAGTTTGAAGGGTTAGAAAACTTCCCCTCAAACTGGGATATTCGTCATTTTCTTTTTCTTCTTCTTCTTCTTGGACCTCTTGACCAAGTTTGAACCGTTCTGCGGAAAGCTCAAGAGGTTAAACACAGCAGACTGATATTTATTTAAATAAAGTTAAGTGTCGGTGACCGATTCCGACGAATATAAAAGCCTTATTCTTGTCGAGTCCGCTCACGTTTCTAAATCACAGTTTTAGGGCCGTTTTAGAGGTTAAATCAGATGGAATGTTATTTGTCCAAACAACACTGACGACTTTCGACTGATTCATACAAAGAAATACTACGAGCAGCCAGGAAAGACTTCACCCCCTCCTCCTCCTCCTCGTTCTCCTCCTCCTCCTCCTGCTCTCTTTCGCTCTTTCTGTCTGTCATTCCAGTTCTGCTGACTATGGGGAAAAACCTCCACAATGTATAAGTCTCTGTAAAGGGGGACGGAGGGGGAGAAAGAGAGAGAGAGAGAGGGTTTAGGGGTGAATAAGGACTGGACATCGCCGAAAAAGGAGTGGGGAATAAACAGTGAATGGAAAGTCTTGTGGAGGTATAATTCATTAGAGAGAAAAGGGGATTAATGGATCGTCGAGGTTGTAGAGAAGTGACAGGAGAGAGAAGAAAGGTTAATATGAGGAAATTTGTGCAAGGATCGACTCTGGAAAATGTCAAGTGAGTCACATGCACGTCCGCGAGCCAGTTTTATAGTACAGTAACAGCGTCTATAGGAGTAACAACATAGTGTTTGAGAGGTGGATGTGTCGACTTATTAAGTTGTGCGGCTTTTGTTCGGGTTACGACGACTGTATCTGTCGACGGGCCAACTCCGAGAATTTACGAGCGTTTAATGAAAACTTTGCTTGATCTTATCAGCCCCGAACAGAAAGGTGCGGTCCCGCTCTGCATTTTAACTAACGTGCCTCTCTCTTGTGTCTTCGTAGGTGTTTGCCAAAGTGTTCAGCCACGAGGCCCTGGAGTCCTACCTCCCGAAGATCCAGCAGGTCATCCAGGAAAGCCTCCGGGTGTGGAGCTCCAACCCTGAGCCCATCAACGTCTACAGGTACAGCAGGGGTCAATGAACGGAGGTGGTAGGGTGGCGGATGGATGTAGAGGTAGAAAAACACCAAACTTTTGAGAAAGAAGGGTGGACAAATCAGAGCATCATCAGCGTACGTAGAGAGTCGTTCAGTTACCAGACATCATCGATTGTTTTGGTTTGTTTTTCCGCAGGGAGAGCCAAAGGTTGTCCTTCACAATGGCGGTGAGGGTGTTGCTGGGTTTCAGGGTGTCAGAGGAGGAGATGAGGAACCTGTTCTCAACCTTCCAGGACTTCGTCGACAACCTGTTCAGCCTGCCTATCGACCTGCCGTTCAGCGGCTACAGGAAGGTACTTCCAACTCTCTCCTTGAGTCACCTCTTGTCTCCTGAAGCTAAGACATACTGTCAGGTGATTTATCTTGTTTCTTTAAGTGCCAATTTCCGTTTCTCTGTGTTTGCAGGGTATCCGTGCTCGAGACTCCTTACAGAAAAGTATAGAAAAAGCCATCAGAGAGAAGCCGCTGTGTTCCCAGGGGAAGGATTACAGCGATGCGCTGGACGTGCTGATGGAGAGCGCCAAGGAGAACGGCACTGAGCTCACCATGCAGGAACTGAAGGTAACACGCCAGTACACTCGGTAGTGTTTACAGTTATAGCGCAGGTATGCACCAACTCTGCTGGGGTTTCACTCCTGCGTACTCACAGTTGCACATAAAGAAGAGAGTCGCTGTTTTTCGGAGTAAAGTCCTGCCAAAAGGAACCTGTCTTATATGACTGAACACACATCTATAAACCAACAAATATCATAATTTGTACAACAAATCCTCCTGTGATCATAGGCAATGAAAGTGACTTTATATATATACACACATCTTGATGTAAAATACGACTGCAGGGATGCGAGGCCGGTGCCCAGAGGCCGACAGTAAGAGTATAAGACACGCACACTCACGGACAGGCACACCCTCTATTTACCTATTAAAGTAACTCTGAGGAATTCTGTGGAAACTCAACTCTCTCTCTGCGTCTCTCTCGCTCTCTGTGGTTTCTGGGTGAAGTCCAGGGCCAAAAATAAGTCAACACTCCCCCTGCTAGGGGTCTGAAAGAGGCCTCCTGTACGCACACACTCACACACACTTATATATAAATACACACACAGAGTGAACTGGGGAGCCCCTGTCGCGGAGGCCCACGCCGAAGCCCTCTCCTGCAGCTTTCTGACGCACACATATATCTCACACGGACACGGGGTGAGGCTGAGATCTGTTTTGACACGGATGATGGTAGATGAGAGGTCGGTAATGAGTGTCGTGCTGCCCAGCCACAGTGTTATTTATTCCACTAGCTTAATAATGGGCCGGCTACGGCGTGCTAAATGTTGTTATTGGATTTGAACTTTCCGAAAGTGCTACTTTTAGGAAAGAAAAACATCACACTTTTATTATGTCTTGGCTTTTGACATTTGTTTTGGCCGTGCCGTTACGAAACAAATGGCAAGCGTGAGGTGTGAGATGGTGGATTCGTGCCCAAAGTGAGGTTGAAGGCGCGGGGTTGGGTTCGCTCACAAGTATCCTACATAATCGCAGACAAAAACATTTCACATAACAGACGACTCCACAACATGTGAGGTTAGAAAAACCTACTTTACTCATCCTTAACTGTGTTTTTGTTTTGCTACCAACCCTGACGCAGTAATAGCGACTACGGTAAGGCTTTTGGCCGAGAGCCTAGCTCAGTTTTAGCATCCTGTGCTTCCATCTTTATCACCACTTTGTGGACCATTTACTCAAGTGACAAGCATTTAGCCCATCAGAAGCTAAGGCGGATCCAGTTGGCTCGTCCACAAAGTAAAGATTAATCAGTTTAAATTACAGATCAGAAAGGATCGGTACTTGGAGGGAGTCTGGACTCATGCTGGAATTATGCTTACTTAACTGATCAATGACTGGCTGTTCCCAAATCTGGCTCAGAGGGGATTGTAATAGTGAGTGGTAGGTCGGCGATGTTTGGACGCTTTGTAATGGAAAGTCAGGATTAAGTACAAATACCCCCGAGAGGCTGGAAGATAAAATCTAAGAGTTTCAAGATGATAAAAAAAGAAAATTAGGGTTCATGTTTGAGTATCGCTTATCATCCGGCCAACCGCTTAGTGGCCCAAGTGGGACCCATATGGATTCCACTCTAGCCACTAAACGGTCTGGTTCAGTTTTGTGCAATATGATAAGTAATTATTTGTTTTGGGTCATGATTTTACTTTGAAAAGCCCTCCATGCTTTGACATGCACACCAAAAATCAAGCTGTTCCAAGGTCAGACAAATGCCATGGTACGGGGACAGTCTGCTGTGGTAGCTGAAAACAATACCCTACTGGACAAAACCAGACCCTTTGGTGGAAATCCTTGGGTGTACTGGCTTGACAGACCCAAAGTTGTTTTAAAAGTCCCGCTATTATACCATTTACTTCTCAACCCTCCCTCAGGAGTCAACCATCGAGTTGATCTTTGCTTCCTTCGCCACTACGGCCAGCGCCAGCACCTCCCTGATAATGCAGCTCCTCCGCCACCCTCAAGTCTTGGAGCGTCTGAGGGAGGAGCTGAGAGCTCGGGGCCTCCTCCACAACGGCTGCCTTTGCCCGGAGGGAGAGCTGAGGCTGGACACCATCGTGAGCCTGAAGTACCTGGACTGTGTCATCAAGGAGGTGCTGAGGCTCTTTACACCCGTCTCAGGGGCCTACAGGACCGCAATGCAGACCTTTGAACTTGATGTGAGTATTACAGTCAGTTTTCTTTCTTTGGAAACTTTTGTAGGACAACTTTCTCAGCATCGTCACCTTCTTGTTGAAGAGATAGTTCTCATTTGCTGCATCTCTGTGTCTTTGTGCCTCCAGGGGGTCCAGGTTCCAAAGGGCTGGAGCGTGATGTACAGCATCAGGGACACCCACGACACCTCGGCTGTCTTCAAAGACGTGGATGCCTTCGACCCTGATCGCTTCAGTCAGGAGCGAGGAGAAGACAAAGAAGGACGCTTCCACTACCTTCCATTCGGTGGCGGCGTCCGGTCCTGTCTGGGCAAGCAGCTCGCCACTCTATTCCTCCGCATCCTCGCCATCGAGCTGGCCAGCACCAGCCGCTTTGAGCTCGCGAGCCGGCAGTTCCCCCGTGTGATCACGGTACCGGTGGTGCACCCCGTTGACGGGCTGAAGGTCAAGTTCTACGGCTTGGACTCCAACCAGAACGAGATCATGGCGAAGTCAGAAGAGCTGCTCGGAGCGACGGTTTGAAGGGCAGAGAGTTTGACAAGAAAAGGGGGGAGAGGTGGGTTAGCAAAGAAGTCTGAGGGGGAAGATTGAAGGAAGGAAAGAAAGAATTTCAGTTATTTTTTCTCTTCCACATTTGCTCTGCTAAGTTGGGGGTTCCTTTTAGGACTAAAAGAAAAAGCAGAGGTCCTCATCTCTCGGGACATACCTCTGAGAAAGGAAGATGCTGCCAAAAAGTTCTTAAATATGCTCTATTCTTTGTGTTTTTTGAGAAGTATACAAACAAAATCTATTTACAAAAAAGCTATGTAATATAATTTGAAGTAGGACGTGGGTAGTGCACAATGGTAGTAAGGGAAGTACGGTGGTACTCGTGGTGAAAATAGACAAGTGAAAGGTAGGATGCTCGTGGAAGGAAGGAAGGACAGATGGATGAAACAGGGTATAGGATGAGATGAGAAAATTATATTTTAGCGTTTTGCTAGCTCTTAATCAAATGCAGTGAATCATAGCAGTTGTCTAGCAGGGTAAAAGTGATGGATACATAGACTGAATGTTTTATATGTTCTGGCGATTTTAACGCCTGATGATTTCGCGGTGCCACCCAGATTCAACCGATTACCTGAAAGATTTGAATGCAAGACTTTGGTTCCTCAAGGTCCACGAAGAGTCAAACGGCACCAGTAAAACTTTTCCAAATCAACCATATCATGATGCAGGAAACTCTTTGACTGGCTTCAGTTTAGTACCAGCACTAATAAGGGTCAGGGATCGAGGCCTAGAAATGAGGGATGTAGTTCTGCTGGAGATGCTAACACACGCCAGTTTAAAACCATGTTTTAACCCCCTTTGTCTGCTGTTGCCTCGACATATTCCGACTCTTAATTTGTCCTCGCTTGTTTCCTCAAGTAGAATAAGCTAATATGATCAACAATAGAAGATAAAACAAGCGCTTGAGGAAGTCCAAACCAGAGTTTCTGGTTAATTCCAAACTGGTCCTGACTTGGAAAACCAACAGACAGTAAATACTGGTGTACCGTTTGATTCCACAGCAAGCATGTGTGTCTGCAGAAATGGTTTCAGGGGGTAAAGAGTGGGGCGTGGCACACATGCTTACCGTGGAGTCAAGAGGTACTCGATTCTATTGTCTTAGCTCGCCCGTTGACCTTGTAATGTAACCCATAGTAACCTTGCTGGTATGTGAACTCAGGTGAAGATTAGGCGTTGTGGTTGACAATGATTTAGCGTTTTAACTCGGACTGGCTGCACATAAATACCCTCACTTACTCACTGTAAAGGTTTCTGAGCTAGACCAAGCGGTCCACAAAGAGATTTCAGGGGTTTCCGATCTGCAGCTTTTTTGTACCCACCCAAGGAAGCTATTTCCGAGGTGCAACCTCATACAACAATTGGCGTCACGCATGAGGAGAGTAACTAAAACCCTCTGAGCATTTGTTTTGATGCATAAACTTCACTTTCAAGTTGCGTTGAGATTGAACTCTTTTGGACAGCGACCCGCCGCGGAAACGCAACGAAGCGGTGCGACTTCCTGATCTGGAGGGGGGGGAGGGGAAAGGAACGAGGGACAGAGTGGAGCTGGGGAGGAGAAAACCTTCATACATGCTGCTTGAATGTCGCTTTGTCATACTGTGTTTGTTTGTTTGTTTGTTTGTTTGTGTGCTGTTTTTTGATTTCCCATCTCTGTGGGGCAGCCGTCTGGAGCTCTGTGGAGAAAGTGACATTCTGTCTTGCTGCTCCTCCAATCAACGCTAAAAATGCAAAACAAAACAAATTCCATGGTTAAGCAACTTTATTAGCTGAAAGAGATTTATTGTTTGAGGTGATTGCACAATCAGGACTCTCAGAGCTTTGTGTGTCCCAGAGTCGGACGGAGTTCTTTCGTCGTGTTCTCGTTCATGGAAAAGCTTCTGCTGCAGAACTCTGGGACTTATTCGCAGAACTAACTGGACGCTCGATCGAAGCCCTGATAACCCGAGTTCGAGAGGAATGGACCAATGAGATTTCAGGGGAGGGCAGGATCACTCTCAGAGGGCTCTTCTTATTGGACGATCCTGTTGTCATGGATTCTGCCTGTGCTCGACTTTGTTCACTCTTTTAACAACCACACCACTGATTTCTTCCTCTGAAAAAAAAAACCTTAAAAATAGAATTTTTTGCTGCTTTTCTTGTGTACATTTTCTATTTGAGAATTATAGATTGCAATAGTTTGTATCGAGTGAGATTTTCCATTTCTTCCCTTTTTTATATATATGATTTAGCTGATTAAAATATTTGCATTTTGTGAAAGTAAAGAGCATTAATAGGTAACAGTGTATATTAATTTGTACAATATTTCTTTCCTTAGCAAGCCATGGGGAAAATCAGCTATTTACATCTACTAATAACCTAATATTAATGTTATTGTACGATTAATATTGTTGTTATAAGATATTTGAAATGATATTTTTTATTCTATTACAGATATAGAGTTTTTAGGCTAAATGAGAAGGTCTTTGGTAAATATTGGATGTATTTAGAATGTTATGTATTTCAGTTATATTGTAAACAGTGTTTAAAATGTTAATATTGTTGATTTGGTTACTGTAATAATTATTTTTGTTTTGTTATTCAGACTTATTATCACTGCATTTTATTTGATATTAATTATGGAAAAACAGAAAGCACTTGCGAGGTATGTCTATTTTTTAAGTGCCATGCGACTACACTTCCTGTTCCTCTCACCTGTCGGTTTCTCTGAATTTGTCTCATGTCATTATGTACATAATATTTGTATTTTTCTTTATACAGGAAAAAAATGTTCATTTAGTTTAGGTATAAATGTCTCGTCCTCCTTTTCTTTCCTTCCTTTTTTGTTACCGTGACTGTTTATGTACTCCTGTAATAAACGATAAAGAAAAATGAACAGCGAGTCTCCGCATTTCCTTTAAGAATTTTATAGTATAATGAAAAATTTTTACTATTACAGTATTGCTGCATTCAAGTTACATCGGAAGTCAGATGTCAGAGCTGAAAATGACGTCAAGCCCGAGTTCCTAGCATTTCAGAAGTTATTTTAGCGATTGCCTTGTCCGAATATAAGCAAGGACAAGACAAGCGCTAAAATAACTTTTGTAGACGTAGCCATCTTTAGATTTTTTCCAACTAATTGGATCGCTGGTATCTCAGGTGTGACGTAATTTTTAGCTCTGACTTCTGAATTCCGAGGTCAAGCTATCCTTAGATTATGTAAGCGAGAGAAGCCTGTGTTAAGCAAATACAGCCCATACGAGCTGATTTGAATGACGTTATTTTTTTGTGTGTAACTTTAACTTATATAGTTATGCACAAAAGGCAAAAAAGTGTGAAAAAAAATTTAAACACTAAAAGAGTTGCTCCCTTTATTTCAGAGTCAGATTCTGAATAATAAGTGGAGTGTAACATTAAAAGTAATAACATATTTTATTGATAAGCGCCCTTTTAAAACACTCAAGGACACCGTATAAGACACAGGTTCTTCTGGAGCACTCGCCAAGTTTGTTTTGGTGTTTTTCCGCCTCTGCATTTGTCTGCACAGAGCTACACCTATAAGAGGACAATCAGGCAGCGAATTGAAAATGATGCCACATTTGGAATAGAATAGAATAGAATAGAATGTCATTGTAGCGTTTCAGTCGATTTAGATCACCAGTTGGATAATGAGGTGAGAAACTGAGAGGCTGCAAACAATAGAAATATACCACCATACTGGGCCTTAAAGGGATAATCTGATGCAAAATTACTTTAGGGTCAAACACACCGTAACACCGAGTTAGACCCCCCCTCCAGAGATGAATGTTGCCGACCGCTTGCTTCTCTTGATATACCAACTTTAGTAACGACCGCAGGATAGTAATACAGAGAGCCACGCCCTCAACCAAAACGCCACTCTATAGCCACAAATAATGCTCAGAACTGCACCTAACTTCATCAACAGTACATATAGGGTCACAGACATAGTACTAGACACCAAACATCTTTTTAACTTTGACTCATTTCTTTAGCAAAGAGACTAAACACAACTCACCTACTCTCTTCCAGCAGACGCTTGTTTGTAGCGAGACCTCGGGCAAGTTCACTATGGACTACAGCGGGGTGACGCAGCTCAAGGAAGAACATTTATGATCATTTCTTAATGGAAATACAATCAGACTGAGAATTATTAATATGGTGATTATTACTTCAAGGAAATGATAAAGAAATGATCATAAATGTTCTTCTTTGAGCTGCGAAACCCCGCTGTAGTCGATGGACTCGCCCAGCGGTCTCCGTACAAACAAGAGATATATAAGACATGTTTCTCTGGGATTTCATCAGGTGAGATGTTGTTACTTCCTACAATGTGAAGCAACAACAAACCGAATCTGAAAATCTCAAACTCTGCACGTTCTGCGATGTTATTTTTTGAGAACAAAAAGACCCGGGACCTGTCATGTGGGGAACACGCAGCAGAAGAAGCAGAATCTGGTTTTGACTCGCAGCACATTGATTTGCCTCAATGTGCCCATATCTGTTTTTTTTTTTTTTTAAGCCTGCAGATAAATGTGGTTCTTTGACATGGAGAAGAAAGAGGCTGTGATGTTGGCTCCGAGTTTTTCTGTAGTTTGATGGAAGACAGAAGCAAAGACAGAAAAAAAGGAGAGAGCTATTACGAGACAGATGTTAGAAAATAAACACACTTCAGGGACAGTTTTTTGAGAGGCCACACCTAAAAACACACATTTGATCTTCAAGCGTTTCCAGTCTGAACCCTCGGACGTACCTTCACGATCCGGCCAGAATGGTTTAAGTATTTAGATGAGGGTCCAAAAGTGCTTGTTTGAAACTCTCGTAAACCAAACAAAGAGCTCGAACACATCAGAAGGACGGGGCAGAGAAAGTGGTGAAAGGCTTCAAACTGGGGAAGAAGTAGAAATACGGAGGACGAGCAACTCTCAGCTGTGACTGCCCTCCCTCCGAAAGGATTAAATCACAGTTATTATCCGACAGAGTGGATGCAAAGGCACAAAGTAGAACCCTCGGCTGGAGGTACAAAGGATCATGGGAAACGCAGAGAGCAGACAATCAGCTTTCAGCATGCAGACTGAGTCAACAGGATCAGACTTCTCTGTGAGCAGACGTGTGACGGTCCATCTCGGGACGGGATCATGTGACGACAAAAGCGAAAGGACAGAAATGAACGATCGCAAACTCAAAGCGAGACTCTGATTTCATCGGAATCTTCCAGTGATCTCAGTCGGACTAAAGAGAAACAAGTAGAAGAAGGTTAAAAGTTGAAAGACAGAAAAAATAGCAGGTTGTCTTTCGGTCAAGGTGTCAAGGGTGCAGATTGAAGTGTCTCCACACCTTTACTCTTCCTCTTATCATCTGCGTAAGTCTTCCCCGGTAGATGCATCTGTGAACAAGTGGTTAAACTTTCTGGAAGGTAGTTGGCATTCGCAGTGTCTCAGTCTCTGTGAGCAGACGTGTGACTGTCCATCTCAGGACGGGATCACGTTACGACAAAAGCGAAAGGACAGAAATGATCGATCGCAAACTCAAAGCAAGACCCTGATTTCATCGGAATCTTCCGGTGATCTCAGTCGGTCAATTTCAAACAGACTAAAGAGAAACAAGTAAAAGTAGGTTAAGAGTAGAGAGACAGAAAAGTTAGGAGGTTGTCTTTCGGCCCAGGTGTCAAGAGTGCAGATTGAAGCGTCTCCAAATCCTTGAGGTGTTATAAAATCATGTGTGCACACGCACTTTAACGTTCCTCTCATCGTCTGCGTAAGACTTCCCCGGTAGGTGTGTCTGTGAACAAGTAGTAAAAATTTCTGGAAGGTAGTTGGCAGTTGGCATTCGCAGTGAGCGGTGTGATTTCCTCATCGCAGTAGTGTGGGGTTTCCCTCCGTGACGGTCTGTCAGACGTGTACGAACTGCTCCCGGTTTGAGATTTCTCTTGGCAAAGTATCGACACTTCCTGCTGACGTTTGTGAACAATAAAGAAAGTATGAATGATGAACCAAAGCTGGTACTTAGAGGAATCATTCAACAGAAAGTTCTGGGACTTTTTCTAGCTGTGTCAAAGGGCGGGCACTTCTCTTCGTAATCCGTTTTACAAGAAAGTTGCGTTAGTTGAAGTTTTTTGGAAGTTTAGGATCCTGGAAAAGTCGGGAACTTTAAAGTTTCACAATATACTTTGTTATTCCAGCCATTTATGAACACAAATAAAGTGAGTGATTTTGTCTTTAAAAGAATATATAAAATTCCTGTTTTTTTAATTTAGAGTTTGTCAAAAATTGACCAAAAATGGACTGTGCTCACTATGACATGTTTTTTTTTTTCATTTATGTGTTTCATGAGCAAAAGTTTAAAAACTACAACAGGCTTGGACAAATGAAGAAGGTGCTAAAAACTGCAGTACCTCTAGTGTCCACTGGCGTCAAAAGCTCAGAAGCCCCCATTAGTGCCCATGTTAAAATGCCCATTTTGGTTCAAAAGCAGTTTTTGTGCATATTTTGAAAACGGATTTACTCTGAAGATACAGAGATTAGATGTTTTTCACAATCAGGTACAATTAGTGATTAATGTAAACGACTTGACTGACAGGTGTTTAGAGGCCCAACTCAACGCCAGCAGGTAAGATTTCTTACCCGGGATTGCCACCAATTCCTACCGGATCAGTTTGTGAGGCGAATTTCGTGTCAGAGTACGGACAGCAGGAATCGCAAGAACTCACAAGAGCCCACGGATTCACGTGCAATCCCTGGGAGGAGAGGCTAGCTACGTCCCACCACCTGAAAAAAGCCAAGTACCAGGACCTGATTGATGAAGCGGCACTAAAAAGGTGGCATGCAACCATTTTCCAAATTGAGGTCGGCTGCCGCAGGTTCCCAGCAAAACTGGTACTTCCTTCAGAGGATTGATCTGGAGCCCAAACAGCTGAAGAAAGCCACAATGGCAGAATCCAACTATAGATGGTTGTGGCTGAAGAGGGCCCAAAGTTGGAACCCTTCTGCAGGCTAATCAGACGAACCGCCGCAGCCCCACTCAGACAAGGTGTACAGGTTAAGGGGCGAAACACCTGCGAACCCGAGATACCTGCTGACGATGCAGAAGGGTTCCCAACAAAACAGACGAGCAGAGGAACGCGACTCCGGATCCAGACTTCTAGAATCAGCATCTCCTCATCCATGGTGTCATCAGGGTGAAATGACGTCTAAAAACCTTTCACTTGTTCGTCTCTACCCATTTGCATGGTGTGAAATACGATCCGCCTGAAACACAGATCCTTTCCAGCACGGGTTAATCTGTGCTGAATTTATCCGGCATGCTCCGGGGTCCGGAAAAACTAGAACTCTTGCGATCAGCGGTGGAACGGAAAGAAGCCGGTCGAAATTGACACACTGACTGGAATGGTTACGATCAGCTACAATCGGCGGGTACGGCCTTTTTGTAGCCATTCCGGATGTGGTGGAAATTGGGGGTTCGACTTTCTCCATGTTTCAAACAATCTGTGATCAGAGGTAAAGTGCACTTTTGGACAGAAGATAAGTATGTTTGAAATCATGAATAATCAGTTTGGTACTGTTTTTGTTAACCTTGAATGAGTGATTCTACTGCACAGAATGGATATACTTGCGCCAACTGTGTGTTTTTGTTTCTTTAGGTGAAACGCACCTGTTTAAAGACAGAGAGAACCGGAGGTCGTACCCATCATGCATCCCAGGACCTTCTTGTCCTCAAAGGTCACCACCATTACTCTTGGAGGGGCGGGGGTGAGCAAGGAAGCATTTACATTCACAAAGGTATGAATATATGAAGGAGCAAAGACATCAGAAAGTAAAAGAGGATTTTAAGACAGCAGTGTCATGATGAAGAAATGTAAAAGGTTAGCCCTGCTAATAA